CCCGCCTAAGCAATACCCACGGTATCCCAAGATACCGTTCTCACAAGTTCTTCCGAAAGCTTCGCCACAAGGTACTACTCAGTGTTCGGCGCGATCGAGTATCACTGGACGCTACATCTGCGCATATAGCCCTCGACCTCCTGGAACGCCTTCTGCAATTCGATCCCTCGAAGCGGATCACAGCCGCCGACGCCCTCTCACATCCCTACTTCACGGGCTCGGTGCCTATCGGCCTCCCCGCACCCGCACCCGGGTCCATGGCACCACCCGCATACAACTACCCCCACCCTCACGCACACCAACAACAGCAGATCTCGCAGCAGCAACAGCAGCAGCAGGCGCATGCGCAAGCACAAGCCCAGGCACAGGCGCAAGCTCAGGCGGCGTATCTGCAGGCGCAGGCGGGGATGGGGCATGGGCCTGCGGCGATCTCGTCCGGGCAACCTCCGGCGCCGGCGGCGTATGCGTCGCGCGATCACCAGCTGTACCAGCAGCAACAGCACGCACAAGCTCAGGCTCAGGCGATGATGGCGCAGCAGGCTCATATGCAAGCGGGACAGGCCCAGTACGGCATGCAGTACCCGCAGCAGTATGCCGCTGGACCCGTGTAGTGCGTCCTCTGCCGAGTTCCCGGTGTAATGGACAGCCTCTTTCTCTGTTCGATGTGCGCCGACTTCTCTTCGTTCGCGTTTGGTATGTCACCGTTGTTCGCCGCCACGGACGGTATGTGGCGCGCGCGCCCCAGCTTAAGTTATGTATGTCGTTCCGCGCTGTACAAGGATAGGATTCGTTAGACGTCATCGGCAATGTACACTACAGCACGATGTTCTTATGTTAGGGCTTATATAGGCAGCGTTCCTACTGTACATTAGAGCCAACATATAATTGTACACTGTGAGGCAGCTGTTTGTGTAGCTTAGACAAGACGATTGCGATCTAAGCGGTATCAGTTGTCTTCCGAATAGGGTTCAACACCAGTCTTCTTTCTACCTTCGAATGGACGCATACTAATAGTGACTATTTGGCATATCACCCAACGAGGTAGCAAGCATGTATCAGGTACGATTGTTATCCTCAAACCGTGATTACACTAACAAGGAACATGCAGAGACTCAGATCGTAATAAGTCAAGCTGACATACACGTGAACTCATCCTGGTCCGTGCGCTGTAAAATCCCAGGCAGAGCAGAGCAGTCCGGGTGAAACAAGGGGGAAAATCGGAAAATCGGATAGATGCTGTCATCCTGAGTACACTACACGCCTCCGACGGTCCGACCGCGCGCGTGGCGGTTCTGACGATCTCAACGTCCAGGTGAATGCGCTAGGAATAGCCCGGGCCACTTGCAATGCGGCTGTCGCTTCCTATAAGATAACAGTGGGTGCAGGACGAACGGTCAGTCCTCCTGTGCTGATGACAATCTAAGGTGGTTCACTTACCCTCTATCGCCCACAGGTCCTCCGTCAACCCCCACCCCAGATGCCGAAGGCGGACAGACGATTGTGTTGCAAGTGGCCACCTTGCAACACAGCCGCCCAGTCACTCCGCCTTCGGCACCTTCCCCCTGCCTCCGCCTTCGGCACCTTCCCTCGCGCCTCCGTCCTCCGCTGGGCGACGACCTAAGGGGTGTTGTTAGTGAGAGCCAGCAGAGTGAGTCGAAAAGAAGCTACCCATTATTCATTTGCACGGCAGGCTGAAACCTACGTAACTCAGTAGACACGAGAAGCCCCGGGACATATCTAGAAGAGAACGGAAGTTCAGTACGGAGTGCTACGAAGGTGAAACGAAAGCACTTACCTCCTGCTAGCCCGCACCCGTCCAGCCCGCACCCGTCCAGCCCTCACCCATCCAGCCCTCACCCATCCAGCCCTCAACCGTCCGTCCAGCCCTCCCCCTCACCCGTCCAACCCCCCTCGCCTCCCCCAAGATGACGAGGACTGAGAAACGATTGCACTGCAAGTGGCCGCTTGCAAGGCAGCCGCCTACCCGTCCACGCCACCTACACCCCCGATCCCCTCCCGGTCCCGCAAACGCTCCGGAAGACCTGCGCAGAACGTCAGTGAGGATAGGTGAAACAAATTGAGACCACTACTCTTTGTTGTGCATCGGTCTTGACAGAGTTGACAGACGGTCGTTCAGGTCTACAGGCACTGGTCAGTAGTCGGACTGAAACGAGATGAAACGAAGGGGTACTTGGCCATGCACCGAACGCGCCTTGAGATGTCGAAAACTTGAGGAACCTAGGAGGGAGCACTCAAGGCAGTCAGTGAAGTGTTCTCAACCCCGTACAAAGCAGAAGACTCACCTTCTTCGTAGACGCCCTTCCTCGCCTCCCCCGTCGAGCGGCGGAGGATGCGCAGGTATCAGAGTCGAGGAGGCGAACGCAATACGACTGGCCAATCGCATGCGGCCGCCTCGCCGACCCATCCTCCCCCGCATCCACCGTCGACCGGCCTCAAGCTACCCCTCGCCATGCACGACCTGAAATGAAAGAGAGCAAAGGGGTCAGTGAGTGAACAACAAATAATGAGAACGAAACGGACTCGTCTTTCGAAGAACTCGATGTTAGTCGAAGCCCTGTGAAGAGGTACGTTACGGATGAGATTCAAAAGAAATCCGCGGGATGTAGGCAGGAGGTAACTCGGGGCATGACTCCCGAGTCAACACTCCGCCAGATCCGTTGGCTATACTTGACCGCCGCCCTCCTGGTCCCGGTCCCGGTCCCGGTCTTCGTCCTGGTCTTGAGCAGCACACCGTCCCTAGTCTTGAGGTTGAAGAGGAATCCTGGAACTGAAACGCAAAGATCAACGCAGACGAAGATGGTACGCGGACACTATTTTGTGCTTTAGTCTTCGAACTGTTTTTCTCTTTTGCCCTTTTTTTAGAAACCTGAACCCGAACCACGAACTCGAATCCCAGAGCGCAGCGGTAGACCATGATGTCTCCGCGCACCCAAATGCCAGGACGAAGTGCTTTCTCGGAGGCTTCTGCGACCCCTCGAGGCCTAGGATTATCTCGACGGTTCGCTTCCACACCCCAGTCCAACACCCAATCCTGGCTTTTCTGACTGGCGACCACCACCCCCGTAGATCGCACAGTCCAATTGCCAACGGCCGCTTTCAGTCTCGACCAGCAGCCAGACTTGAAACACCAGGACAACGCGCGCCCGCGCGCGACAGCCCTGAAGCCCCTCTGCTGGACTGCTGGCGTCGTCAACTGCGCCACCGCTGGAACACATTCCCCAACGCCAATTGAACGTCGCACCCGCCCGCCTGTGAGTCGGCGGTACCACGGCATACGACGCTCCATCAACCAGACCCGCGGACGTCAAGCCCGGGCTCAGAGACCCCGGTACTTGATCGCTGCGTTCCGCTGCGCCTCCTTGAGAGACACGAGCGGAATAGTCACGCCATGAACAGGACTGTACGCACGAATGCCCGTTCCAATCTCGACGACGTTGGGGCCTTTCGCTTCCTCGTAGAGACCACGGTACTTGATCTCTGGGTTAGCCTGCGCTTCCTTGAGAGGCAAGAGCGTCATGGCGTAACCGGGGGCGGGGATGCGAGAGACGTTGCCGAGACGGTAGGCAAAGGAAGCAGTAGAAGGCATGATAACGTATGAGCGGAGAAGGTAGGAGCAGGGGTAAAACGCTGAGAAGGTGGCGGTGCAGGTGCAAGGAGTGAGGAGGACTTGCTGGTTTCCCGACCTGCCTTTTATCCCTGGAACTCGGGGCTTGGGGTTCTGACTGGTGCGTGACTTGAATGTCTTGTTTCCGATCAGCGGTCAGTTCACAGATGGTAATGCCGGCCACAGACCAGAACCGAACTGCGCTCGCCCCAAGTCGCCTACTCTCGCAAAGTAGCCTTGGACCAGGGAACGTAACCGGTACAGGCATGTAGTATACAAGACAGCGTATACAAATCCCATCATGTATGGAGAACGACGTTATCTCCACACATACATCTTACAGAGCAGACTAATTAGAAAGCGTACCAAAAAACATCAGCATGTCCTTTAGCCTCCGGATGTATCCGTTTTGACCGTCTTTTTCCGTTGTGCAACTCTTGGAAAGTGTTTAGACGTCACAGTTCGCTGGCAGACGTTCGTGATCAACAGACATGCTGAGTCGCGCAATATGAACGACAATCACCTTGCGCTTATTACTTGCTTTAACCGCACTTCATCTTCTGAAAGAGGAGTGAGGTCGCTCTCGCTCTCGCCGTGTCATCTGTACGCAGAGCAGGAGAATCGACCAGATACGCGTTGGCTTAGGCGTTGAAGCTCGGCAACGTACGCGGACGTTCGGCCTCCGACGGTAACCCACTTTATCGTGGCGGGCTTACCGTCGGGCTGTAACGTATCAGTCTAGAGTCATGTGGCACTGGTGCTGCTTGCCAATTTATTCGTTTCTTGCTCTTCTTTCCTTTCCCCTGTGGGCGTGTCATTAATCCTTAGTCCTTCAAGTAACTACTCCCCTGGAAAATGACGAACCCAACGGTGTTAATAACCAATGTCAGGAACTTCGAGTCGTCCGCGTTGACCTCTACAGCGATGCGGCAAACCTCGAGATGTGCATGTGCAATGCCTTGAGCTGCTCGTCATTGAGAGTAAACAGCGTTCTTCTGGGTGTACACGAGCATGATAGAGGATTTCATCTATGATGAAGAAGCGTCAGAAACGGGGAGCCTTCGCGCTATCACCGCGTCGTAGATGGTCTGCACTAACCTGCGACCCAATTTCCGACACCTGCGCTGAATGACTGATCAAGTAGCAGCGCTTTGATAGGGCATCTTCGCTTCAGGACGGTCTCCTTGAACCAGGCCAAGTCAGGCATAGACAGGATGGGATCGAACCCAAGTGCGGAGATAGGTGGTTCTGTGAGGGGGCTCGCGCACAACCGTATCCGACCGAGACGACGAGCGTCCAAAAAGGCCAACTGAGTAATGTCTTGTGTCTCCGAATGCTGGATGTGAAGGATGAACTGGACTCCATTGCTCTATAGGCGTTGATTTAACATAGGAACTGTACACATGCCTTCATGAATCTCGGCGGCCAGCCTGAGTCTGTGGAAGCCTTCCTCGGTGTCTCTTTGTAGTACGTGGCCAATTGACCCTTCACCTTTCGTCCGGGCTTCAGTAAGGCCACGGTATCACTGACAACCAAAAGTGCTACCTGTAGCATGCCGGTCATGCCAAAGTGCAGCACGGGCATCTTGCCTTTGCCGTCTAGCTCCAAGTAGAACACCTTGCCTGTTTGCTGCATGTAGATCTTCCGACTGCAGAGGTACATACAACTACACACGCACCATATCTACCCACGTTTGTGACGCGGCGACCTTTGATACTTCGGGCCTGCTAGCCGTTCAGCTTCATGCACAACATCGATATCAGGCCTGAGTCGGATGACTTACGAATTCAGTGTGGCTGCTGCCAGAGTAGACTATATTATCTTCTACGGTTTCCACTTCAATAATCATGTTCCCGAGTGCAACCTCTCTAACAAGCTTGGCCGCACGTTCAACTTCTGCATGGCTGGAGTCTCAGCTGTTACCGTGTTTGAACGAAAGCAATTCGGGGATAAGGACTGTGCATTCATCAACTCACCTGGAAGCTCCGGCATGACGCGTTCGGAAGTGGAACTGGGCTTGACCTTATCTACGACTTTGGCGTTGTGCAACGCATCATGGTCTCAAGCAATCTCTCGAGCTGGTGCCGATGGTTCCAAGTTGGTTGACGGCGTCAGTGGCACCGTCGGTGTCCCGGAAAGGCAATTGTGTAGATCGTTTTCGCGGGACCGGGACGCGCCCGGCTCATCGTCACGGTATGACTGTAGTAACTGAGAGGGTGTTGCACCCGCTCCTTTGACCCCCCACAGCGCTTCTGGCCTACTGCTTCATGTAAATAGGTTCTGCCTGGTTGGAAGGGAGGAGACTATGACCGGAGACAAAACAGCATGCTCCAGGCTTTCGGAAGATCGCTCACGGCCACGGGGACTGAAATGGAGATCTTCTATGTGGTTTGTTACGACTGGTAAGTCAGGACTCAGTATCCCCAGCATAGTCCCTTGCTCATGTGGACGGCTAGTCGTTGGTCTAGGTGAGTCTGCATCTTGTGTAACATTAGCAAGGTCTGAACAGACTCGACCTCAGGAGTTACGACTGATCTCCTCGTTTACTCACTCATTGTACCAATCATTCCGTTCCAACTAGAAAATCTGGGTACTCAGGGGTCTCAGGTTTGGTCGGATGGCTCCTCTTCGCATACGTAAGCTCGTTACAATGCGAAGTATCCTCTGCTACGATTGACTGCCGTACTGTGTCTAGTCAGCCGGATCGTCATATGTACGTGGATAGATGCGACTTTGCTCAGAAACACTGACTTCGAAACATCTCCCCCAGTCACGCCCCAATCGCACACTTGTCAGAAAAGTACAATAATCGACAGATCCACTCTCGGCGGCTTGATTCTCTCATAGGAGCGCAGATCATGTTCATGTTAGCTCCGCCTACTGGCTATGGTCATCGCACGCTTTACAAGGCGTGAGCTCAACGGTCATCTGGGTTGCTGGACTTGCGCTCTTGTACGCCCATCTCTCCATCTCGCTTCTGGTAACATCTGACATATCGTCCTAGATGTGACAGTGTACCAGAGAGTTCTGTCGGGAGTGAGTTGAATTGCTGCGCACTTATCTCGGTTGCTCATGTTACGAAAACGTGTGTCAAGGACAACTCGGTATCGCGATGAGTGGCCTGTCTATTGGGTACGAGCATCCGTTCGCGCTGCATTACTATCTACTGAACTACGTATGCCAGATTCCTCGTCGGCCCCCCGTATCAGGAGCCTCTACGATAAATTTGGATTCCACGGCCCCTTCATCTTCGGCATCATCATCACGGCTATAGACCTCATCGGCCGGCTCCTGGTCATCGAGCGGAAACATGCGATTCTCTGGGCGTGACCCTGCTGCGTCCGCGAAGGCGGACCCAGAAGGGCAGACTCAGCCCAAGCAGGACACTGGAGAGCTAGACGTCGCACCTGAGCCATCGCCTGCTCTTGGACAGGAAGAGAAGGAAGAAGGCGAAAATGCCAGGGTTGCTGAGGTGCAAGGCTCTCAACCCGAACGGGTAGACACAATGGGCGATGCCGCTCCAATCCACAAGCGACGCAGATCCACCTGTCCCTACTGGCTGTCCTGGCTAAGCTCTGAAGTCTGTGAGAGCCGACGCCGTTTTCGCATGCACGCTGTTATACGCGTACGTAGCCGCCATCATCCTGCACTGGCACTGAACCTAATCGTCTTCGGTGCCAAGGTGGATACTTTCCAGTCAGGAACCAGCACTTCCGCTTCACCTCCAGGACGTATGGAAGTTCAATCATCCAAGGTGGGGCTGGTGTACATCGCCGCGGTGGTGCCCACCTATTCTGTACGTGGCGCCATCCGTTCGGGCCAATCGTTGTTAAGTTCGCGTAGCCTCCACCATAACCGGTTACTTCGTCGACAAACTGGGGACAGGTCCAATCGTAGTCGCCTCGCTCGCTTTTCGCTGCCCTGGATCCTCGTGCTCATCGTGCAATCGTCGCTTCCTCTGTTCATCGTCGTGTTCGCCCTAGCCAGTAAGCTAATCCAAACAGTGTGTGTCCTGGCCCGGCACTCACACTTGCGAACAGACTTCGGCGTGGCTGGGACGGTATCCCCGCTGACGGCGGAGCTCGCGGCGGTGACACGACAGCTGAATGGCGTTGGCTGTCCGTTCGTCTTCGCTTCACACATCATCACTCTGCTGAGCAGCTTCCGGTAGATGCACACGTGTACGGCGCGTTCAACATGGCGTATGGCATTGGCTCAGCCCGTAAGTGCTAGCTCGTCATCCTCGAATGCATGCCGTTCTGACTCACGAACAGTGGGGCCTATCATCGGTGGTCAAGTAAGTGAAGCGCCAGTCGGGCCAGGTTCTCTGCTTGCTCACTCGTCGTTCCTAGTTATACGATCATCTCGCACGAGGTTGGATGGCGATCTGTCTGTTTGGTGCTGGCTCCGCGCTACTAGCTATGATGCTGGCCATCACGTCCTTCGGCGACGTGACCGTGTTGTCGCGCATCCGGGGAAAGATGACAGAACACTCCATATTTGCGACCGAGACTCGCCGTAGTAATGATGCATGACCCACACTATCAGTGGCATTCCCGACGTCTCACTGCTGGCGCACATTCCTCAAGCTGTTGGGAACTAGATGTGTGCTTCCCGTATGATTACTGTATGGGAAGGCATGATACACGAACACGTAAAGTACATATTGCAAGTGAGTACGGTAGCCAGTGTAGTAGATAAGGATAAATGGAGTGCTACATGTCAGGGTATATCTAGTCTGGAGGGTGTATATCACAGTACAGTCGTAGGGGATACGGTAGCAAATGCGAGGTACACTGGATGCGTGCAGCAAAGCGATACAGATGCGTTCAGTTGTGATATGCAGGATAGCGGTATGTCAGAGAACTTGTCCGGTGAGTTGTAGCGTTCATGTCTGTGATGTTGATGGGCCAGGATCTTCCAGTTCCTGTCGCATTAAGGGCTCTCCATAACTTGTCAATAGAGTCAACAGGTCCCCTTCTGTGTTATTCAGTCAAGCGCAGGAGGTCACGAAAACGGTGTTCCTACCTCTTTTCATTGGTTTGGTGAAGAATCCATTCATGCCAGAACTGAGGCACAGCTGCTTGGTTGACTCTTGGGCATCAGCGCTGAGGGCGACGACTAGGGAAGTTTTCAGCATCTTTCGATCATAATACGCAAGCCGATGTCGTACTTGGTAGTTGTACAGGCAGTTTACGCCTGTTCTCCATGACGCGCAGCCGTTTGCAAGCCTCGACGCCGTCACATATAGGCATATCTGCGAGACAGTGAGACCCAGTAAGTGGACAGATGACATGTACATACGATGGTCAAACAGTGCAACACTGAAGTAACCAGGATCGTGCTTCTCCCATTCTTGAGGCACCGATTAGTCTCGATCTGAGAAATACAACTCTTTACATACCGGTGATAGCCTCCTCGCCGTTTGACGTAGCAACAACATTCAGCTGATACTTTTGAAGCTGAGCGATGAGCAGCTTCTGGGCCACTGGGTTATCTGCGACAAAATTAATCACAACTTACATGAAGCCAGGAAACCGACTGACCTTCGGCGATGAGCACATTGCCGTGCAGGGTTCGCCGCGCAAGTGCCTCTTCTTCCCGGATTGCAGATGCATTCGTCACTGGCACCAATGGGACCTGAGCAGGAAGATTCTTGAGACTGGCAAGAGTCTGAAGCAGCCTGACTTGACGGGGTGGCTTGGTGACGCGAATGATCCCTGAAGCTCCATCGCCGCCCGGTTTAAGAATCGGATGGTCTGCAAGGTTATCCGTAGTTGGAGTAAACAGATGGACGATCTTCGTATCCTGAAGTGATGGCAACGACGACGCCTGCAAGATCCGAGTGAAGTCGTCAATGGGAGCCTCTGACTGATCATCCAAAATGACGAAGTCCACAGGATCTTGGGGTTGGGCGTTAGAAATATAGGTCTCTGCCTCCGGGGTTGACGGGACAGTCGTGATTGAGAAACCCTTCAACATGGTACATAGGAGTGCCTGGGTGGCGCTCGATGCGGAACTCAACAGCACACGCAACGGCCGCTCGCTGAGTAGCTGGGTCTGAAGACGGGAGACTTCCGCTGAGACCTGCAGCGAAGTGAGTAGCCGACTCTGTGACCATACGCCCCAAAGCGCACCTGTCGCGACTCCTCCGATTCATAAATCTTGACGGGAAGCGTGAACCAAAAAACAGACCCAACACCAAGCTCCGATTGAACGCCGATGGCACCGCCCATAAGCTTGACCAACTGCCGGGAGATGGACAGGCCCAATCCAGTGCCGCCGAATCGTCTGGTCGACGAGTTGTCCGCTTGTTGGAAGGGTACGAACAGGAGGTCAACGTCGCTGAACGATAATGAGCTACCATTCAAGTGTAAGCAAATAGTCTCACCTTGAGCTCAGCCCTATCCCAGTGTCTCTGTCGAGTTCATGTTAGCTATTACAGACGGTACGGAATGGCATACAGACTGTATCACGAATTTGAGGTTGACTTCGTCCTTAGCAACTGGAGCGCTGTTATCGACAGAGCAAATGACTCGTACAGATCCTCCGGCGGTGAATTTGACAGCATTGCCAATCAAGTTCATGAGAACTGGAACAAGATGGTCAACGTCGCGTAGAGTGACTGTTCGTTCGCACTGACCTTGACGAATGCGAGCGTAATCCGCTTCGACCCCTGTTTCTGATTATAGCGAGTATCAGGCAGAAGAGGCATACGAAACGTACAAGGAGGAACATCCGATTCGATATTGTACGACAAATCCAATTTCTTCGCCGCCATGGGTAGGAGCAACTCCAAACAATCCTTGACTGGGAATCAGAAGCAACTCGACGATGAGTTGGTCTATACTCACGGCTACCATGCTCTCAATCGCGAAACCAGAGTATTCCAATTTGAGAGCTAATATTGATGTGTAAGTTGAGTAATCATTCAAAGACGACGGCTTACCTGAGGCTTCCAGCTTGCTGTAGTCCAAAATGGAGTCGATGATCTATTCCGCGACGATTGAGACCAGTGAATTTAAGCACACATAACCACGCCTGCAGACCTTCAGCAGCAATTCGCATGATTGCTTAGCAGTTTGAACTGACCAGATGTCAGTAGGCAATCTCGTGACTTTGACAGAACACACCTATCTCCCTCTGTCCTGCCGTTAATTCTGTGCCGCTGAGGAGGTCAAGCAGACCGTAGAATGAACTGACGTCATTTGAGTCAAACACTGCGTTGATGCTTTTTACCAAGGCATACAAACCTGAAGGGAGTCCGCAGTTCATGGCTCATTGAAGCGAGGAAATTACTCTTGATCTATGACACACTTGGTGGTCAAAATGTTTGATACGAACACCAAGAAAGGACCACCCAACCTTGGTCGCTTTCAGTGCGTCTTCCCGACTTCTCCGCGCAGCCTCAAGAGCATCTCTTTGCGCTGCAATCATCTTCAAGTTCTCGCGAGTACCAGCTTGCACCGAGCGGAACAGCAACGCGTTCGAGATGCCAATACTGGCTTGTTGGCAAAGGAGGGTTAGAAGTGTGACTGTGTTCGGAGAGAATGCATATTTTGAAGCCAAATAGACCGCTCCGAAAGTCTGTCCACGGTTACTGAAGATAGGTAAGCAGATCACCGAACGATATGAGCTTTGCTGAGCTTCGGACGAAAAGCGCGGTTCGGTAGAGACGTCTTCGTAATACACTCGCTCCTTTGTATTGAGGGCTGCGTCCGCCTGTAAGACTTCGAGCTGTCCTATATACCAATCAAGTGCACTCACCATGCTGGATTATGACCTTACGCAATGGGTCAGCAATTTCGCGCACGGATAATGGATCCCTAGATGTGTTCTTAGAAGGCCCACACAGATTGCGCACGACTCGACTCACTCATGGACTTGACATGACTCTGGAGGGATCATACTAGTGGCAACGGTATAATCCCCTGCTTCCCTTGCAATGACGACGCAGGTATACTGACTGCCGGAATTCTCTGTATGGGAGCTGAGATTCATCGCAAGTGGGATATTATATCATAACCTTACCAGTAGCAATCTCCGTGAGCCGTTGAAGGGCCATGGGCAAGTTGATGTCACTAGAGATGTCTTTGCTCCACTTCAGTATCGATGCCAGATCTGACGCATTCATGGAAGAAAGGTCATCTTCCTCATAGTGATCCGTTTTCCGTTCGTAGGTACCGGCAGCACGTGCATCGGATGTCATGATAGCACTGTCTGTCTGGACGGCTACGTCAGATGTATAGGCATGCCGTTTGAGAACATATTGCGCCCGATTATCCACGCAGGAGGACAGGTAGTTGCTGGGAAAATGTCATTCATCATTGATGATGACAAGTCGAGAACAACGCACACTATGCCGCGAGCACCCCATTGCGCTTGACGAGCGATACCTCGTCGCTGGAGTTCTCCACCTAAGCCTTCAACGCCGACGTGCACAAAATGGCTTCCTTGCTGTTGGAACACACGTTGAGACACATGGAGACGGAAGACCAAGCTCAGGAAAGCGCACGAGGAACATAGCCCAGCCACTCTCAAGCAACCAGTCGTTGTTGACCGCGAGTCTAGGTCAATCTCAGCACTTGCATAGCAAATTCGATCTTGTAGCAACTTACTTCACTGCGACATCATACAGCTTGAAGGCGTCGGGACTGTTGGTGAGAGATGCCATCTCTGCGTCCTATTGGAGTACGTCAACTACGTATAGTCAAGGGTCATAAGACAGCAACGCACTATGAGAGCCACCCATGCACTGGTATTGACAGGACTTGGCGACAACCACCTGGAAACATGCCATTAGCCACAGACCAATCGCTTCGACGCAGCCTTACTTTCTGATATACGACTGATTGAGTTCAATCTGCTTCAAATATTTGGAACGCGTCTCTACATCCAGGTCGCCAGCTCGTATGCACTGGATCATGGCTAAGACATGGAAGAAAAGGGAGTAACGAGTGTGCCTATGACTGTGTGCCACGTAAGTGCAAACTCTTGGATTGAAAATGCGCGACTCACTTTGGATGTTTATCGCGCGTATCGTAGACGCAGAATCCTAAAGCAGCAGCCTCGTTGGCGAAGCCGAGGCAAAACAGTCCGACGACCTGAAGATGTTGTGAACATGCGAGGATGGTACAAGACAATGCAACATACCTTGTACGCTTTATACCTTGAAGATGGTGATATGTTCAACAGCTGACCGAGGAAACACTATGCTCCCACGTACCAACTCAACGCGACATCGGGTGTGCCGCATGCCTCCGATGCACGGGCGAAGTATTCGGTCTCGTTGAACGTCTCGGTGTCGAAGACTGCGGCCGGAGACTCAGCATACGTATAGCCTCCAATGGCACGAACACAGTTCAAGATCCCTGTTGGAGGTCAGCATATGTCCGAGACAACTAACCGCGGGTTTTCTTGCCTTGCGCTACGATGGAAAGGTCGCCACTGGGTGCCCATTGCGAAACGTCGCTTAGACACTATGGTTGCGCTGCATCAGTGATGTATATTGCCTCAGTGAAGGCCAGTACTCACCTCTTCCGCGTTTACCACCAGCTCGCTGACTGAAGAATCATGAGCGAACGTCTCCAGAAGTCTGGAATTGACATACCATGTTCGCATATCCAAAGTCTCGTCTGGAGTAGATGAATGCTGGCGAAGCTCGTATATATCCTAAATTGCGGTGAGCTGCGAGATATACAGCGACTATTTCGTGGACTTACTTGTCACCAGCACTCTGGCCATATTTCAAGGCTTCCTCCAGCCGTGTCAAGTTTGCCCGAATATGCACGTTGTCGAATCCAGACACCATGGACGAGAACAACACCAAGGCACGACTAGCTCATATGTTAACAACGTTTATGCGAAGAGAACAGGATAAAAGACTGACCACTTCTCATAGCTCGTGCCGTATTGGTCGGCGATGCGAAGGGCCAATTTACCCAAGTCCGCGGAGAATCGATAAAGCTCTCTCCGTTCAGCAGCCGCTGTTTGCTCGTCAGCCAAGGTTAGTGTTTGCTTGTGGGAACGGGCACACCTCCAAGAGCCCAGAAAAAGCCAAGCGCTGTCCCTGAGCACATACCCGAACTGCGAAACGTGTCAGTTGGTTCAAGACGAAACCAGCACATCGATAGACTTGCCGCAAAGCTAATTGGACGGTCTGGGATATCGATGAGCAAAGAACTGATACGAAAGAAGAACCAACTTGGCTTACTGTGAGACCGATAACATCCGCAAATCCTTCCCCGGAGCTCCAGTAGGCGTTGTGGCCTGTCACCTCATGAGCGGCGCACATCTCGGTAAGCAGCGAGCCGTTCTTACCGGCATCGTTCAGCAAAGAAATGGCCAGATCCGTCTTTGAGTCCCTCGCACGAGGTATAGCGAGAATGTCGTCAAAGCCTACGGCAAGGATTTCGTTCTTGACCTGCTCGAACATCTGGTCTGCTTCTCGACGAGTAGGGGCTGCATTCACGTCCACGCCCAGAAGATGCAGACCCTGCAGCGTGTCAGACAGCGCAGCCTTGTAGTTTCCACGCATCCAATGGTTCTTCGAGCGTGTGCGTAGCATGCGGACCTTGCTTTCGAGGTCCTCTACACGGTGAAGGCACTCATTGATCAGATAGTCAGACGTAGCGAAGTCACCTACAACGGACGTTAGCGTCTATCTAGCCCTTGAGCCGGACCAAATACCTTTCCACGTGTAGAGCCTACGCGCAAAAGCATGTCAGCGGATAGAGCGCAGCAGTAGAGATCAAGACATACTCAGCGAGCTTCAAACTCAATGAGGTAGTTCGATCAAGATCGGACGCCCACGACGTAGCATCCAAAAGTGATTGTGCGTTGATGTACGATTGCAGAGCCAACTGTGTTCTACGTCATCGACTGCTACGGCATCATACAGAACACTTCTTACCTCATGCGCGCCACGAGCCGTAGCGGAATCACCGGCGTCGATTGACAATTGCAGCAGCTCATCGCGCTTCGCGTGCTCTCGCAGGAGAGGGAGACATCTGTGCCCGCTGTGAGACTAATCACTCTGATGAAAAGGGGGTCAAACTTACTTCTTAGCATGCTCCGCGATGCGATATACATCGGGAGTGGACTCGTGCAGCATCATGAGGATGATCTGAATGTAAAACCGGTGAGTCTTCTTCCGTGCGAGGACATTCAGAACGACATACTCTAAACGACATCTTCGATATGACATCCGCAGGGAGCTGCTCAGCCTCAGCCTGTGTAGCCTGGCGATAGCGGTCATGCGAGAAGCTGCACATATCTCGCGCCCGCTGCACGAGCCACCCCTCCGTGATCGCAACTTGCAGTCCTCGCATGATCCACGACTGCTCGAGCCCAGCTGGCTCTCGTTGATGCTCGACACCATCGAAACCGCCTTCGAGACGTTCCACATGTCTTCAGCCTCCTCGTCGCTTCCGCTGCTCCCGCTCGAGTCTTCCCAGTCCATGAGCAGGGCGACCTCGGCGACCTTGAACGTGGGTCCGAAGAACGACGCCCATGTGAGAAACTTCTTGGCGTCCTCTGAAAGCTCACGGAAGTGATTCAGGAGGAATGTCAAATCGCTGGGATCTGCGATCATCTTGTTGCCGTGCAGACTGGGCTCGATTGCCGAGATGTCATACTCCCAGTGTTCTTCTCCCAGCTGAACGTATCTATGTAACTTATGAGCACAGAATTTCACCGAGCCAAAGAGTACGCGTACATGATGCTGCCGTTGCAGAGTCATGAGAATGTTCCTCGCAGAGAAGGCATTGCCCAAGATGCGGCGTGGACGAGCTCGACAGGTTGGCGCAGTCCTCCTTCGCCTACGCAGCGTGCGCGAGACCATGTTTGCTATGGCGCTGTAGCGAGCGGCTCGAGATTTATCCATGTCGTGGACTTGCTCGTGAACGTTGCTCGGATCCTGTCTACGGCCTCCCTGGAATGACGTATGCATCAGTGTCAAGCATCCCAGTTGCAGACGCGTACTCACGGTTGTCCGACCGAACTGTGGCAAACACGAGCTGCGGGAAGGTAAACCTTGATACCAAAACGTTGAATACGTGATTGCAACTCACGATGCGCGTCCGTGAATTCACCAGCGCGTTGATCAGATCGAGTGACGAGTCGCTCGCGTCATGCAAGTCATCCAAGAATAGCGCAACAACCGTGTCTCTGCCAATACCGAGAACACACTCTGGAACAAACTCTGAACCTTGCCCGAAGCTCATGTGTCTCCAACGATTCCGGCGGCGCCTCGAGCGTGATATCGAACAGGCTGAGGATGTCCCGAGCTCCGGCGCGCCCTCGTACAGCAGGGGCACGTTGCGGAGCTGCGGGCCCAGCTGCTTCTTGAGCGCCGTCACGAACTGTGGAGGTCCGTGTGGAACACGATGAGTTGACGCAGAACGGACGACAGACATGCGAGCTATGCAGACATTGACGTCAACGGGTTTGCGCGGGGGCTGAAGCGGTGCAGACTTACCAGAGACGAGAACGGCGCCGCCTCGACGTCAGAGAACTTAGCTTGTCCCCAGAGTCCGTGCGCTGTTCAATTCGTCAGTGCGCGTACACCACATCTACTTGTCGCAGGCAACCTACACCTCCAGCGCGCCTGATGCGCGAGAACCAACGAGCTCTTCCCGGCGCTACAATGCGAAGATTGAGTCGATCGGCATTCAACAAACGTTCATGAGGTCACTCACCCCGGAGGACCGAGGATGATGACGGCATGGGTACGCGCCCGGCCTGACGAGGGCGCCAACGCGACTCTCCTCAAGCCGTCGCTGCCAGTCATCCCACCGGTGCTGATGCTCATTTGTGTGCCAGACGTGTCCGACGCCCTGAGGGACCCGACCTTCGGGCTGTTCGGGTCGGGCGTGGGCGAGCCACCGCTCCGGGACGAGCGCGAGTCGCTGCGGTCCTCCGTCGGCGAACTGTTCGTGCCCCCGCTGTCGCTGCCGGCGAGGATCGCGTTCCGCGACGCGCCGATGTAGCGCGAGTACGAGGTGGACGTATGCCGGATGATGTTCCGGACCGTCTCGAGCTCCTTCTCGCGGCCGAACTGCAAAGGCGGCGTGAATGACGGCGGACCCGACTGCATAGTGGGAGAACTTACCAGAGGACTCGGGATTGTGAATTCCTGATAATGGGTCGCGTCAGCATGCCGATCGCATGTAGAGCTGTCATGCACGTAGAGGATCGCACTCACCATGTACCTGTCCTCGGTAGCAATGTCGAAGTATGGAATCAGCTAGAATGAGACAATTCAGCTCCCGATCTCATACCGGCGAACAAACCCAATCTACCTCCGTCGACTGGTCCGACAAGACCGTGACGGCACGGAGAAGTAACCTCTGACATTGCAGCAGGTCTGCCTTGAGGCCGTAAGCGCTTTGGTATCGCATGTCCGGGTTCTTCGAGAGGAGCTACTCAATGGACGGATCAGCCTCGATGAAACCGGATTACCTTTAAATGACCATACGGACCTTGTCGATTATGAGTGCCAATACCTGCGGAATATCCCTGCGAACTTCGTGGACCGGCATCGGCCTCTTTTGCACTACGGCATGCAGAAGCTCCAAGGGGCCGCCCTCGAATGGCATAGTGCCACGACCTACCAGCAGCGTCCAAAACATGATACCTAATGAGTAGAGATCTGTCCTGTGGTCCTCATTGAGGCTTCCATGCTGCCAGTCTGCTCCGGGCTACGCGGTACTAAGCGGTGAACGACTGTGGTGCGGATGACAAGCAGAGTGACATACCGAGGTAGCAGAGCGCCTCCTTTACCTTCAACTTCTTTGCCTCTTCAAACGCGTCAGCGCTCAGCACAAACGCAGAGGGGACGCCGAACTGCTCTAACGAGACAGCGCGATTTCCAAAGTGAACCATTCGGACCAAGCCGCTGTGTGCATTGAGGTGGAACGCGTTCGCACGGACTTGAGGCGCGGTCAACTGCAGGTCAGATGCAATCGGCACAGTGTACTTACCCTCGCGATGTATGAGACCATTCCTAGACGCGCCGATGAGAACGGCGACGGGGCCAGGCGGGGATGACCTACCTGTGCATCATTTCTAGGCAATGCGTAGCTTGGATGGCGAACCTTGGGAGAGTCAATCCGTGTAATGATGGCGCGAGGGATGAGGACGCACTCTAGAAATGAAGCCAAATCCATAATCTCGATCGCCTCCATCTCTTCGACCGTGTACGGCTCCTCCATGCCCATCATGAGAATGTCCGTGTGCGAGGGCGGCGGACGCGAGCGCGATATGTCTCCTAGCAGCAGATCATTGACTTTATGGGACGGAAAGTATCGGCCTAAGATATTGAGACCAGGTGGTTCAAGAGGAGGACGACACAGTCCCCGTTGGTCCGAGGGATGGAAAGAAGTCGACTAGCCTGAGAGTGGTGCTGGATGACTCCGGGGTCGTCGACATTCGCTCCAAGCTGTGCGGACGCGCACTTGAGGATCGGCAAGTCTGAGACAGAAGAGGGGGACCCACATATGTGCTTCACGCTCCAAACACAGCGACGCGTTCGAGTGCGCCGGCACGATCTTAGCGAGCACGCCTGAACCGTCCTTCAAGCTCGTGCCCTCGGCTAGCATGGTCATGCTGCCTGTGTCCTCCCATGCTACCGCCTGCGTGACCCTGTTAATCGGGTGTAGTCCGAGGGTGCTCAGTGGGGATGTACGCGCCTTCTCGAATGTATATCCCGGTATGGACAGTATACAATCCCGGAAATAGAGGGTTGGTAGAGCTGGCTGGGCATATTTCCTCCGCATACTGGCGGACGGATGTGGGCACGCCCAGGCAGAGGATGTGGGGGATGGCGACGTGCGAGGAGTTGCGCGCAGCGACAGACGGTGCTCGGCGGCAAATTGTAGCTTATCCTGGATTGGCTGGGTGGGCGGGACGACGGACGAGGGACGCCCTCATGCCGCTGTCCCATTCGCCCGTCAGATCGACCTCACCCACTCCGCTGGCCTGGACCCCTCACACGCGGTGCCCGGTGACGTCATGTTCCTTCCTGCCACCCGCTGAGTCCGTCGGACTCTCAACTCTGCCACGCATCATTGGCCGGCCAGCCAAACTCCGCCTCTCCGCGGCGACTCCCCGATACTTACGTATGCTCCCGCATTGTAAGCTACATCCCCAAGTCATTATGTCACACTGATGCGCGGCAACGTCCGACATGTCTGCAACACTCCGACAGAGATGCACATTATCGACCTCGCGAGAGGCTTGAGAGGTAACCATTGAGCGGGAGGAAAACAATATAGGTACACTAGAGACACTGGAACAACAAGAGCACGACATCGATAGCACGAAATTAAGAAGTCACTGGGCAGACGATCAGTGTGGTGCGCAACCATGCGGGGTCCGAGCAAACTCACTATAGCTGGCAGGGTCAATGTGGTCCGGCAGCTCAGGTACTGCCACCTCGAAGCGCGACTGGATCGCCGCCATCACCTGCTGATCGCTCTCCGAGGAGACAAAGGTGATAGCGAGACCCTTGGTACCGAAACGACCAGCACGGCTGCAAACAGGGTTAGCTCGGATATGCACGCTGCGAGGAGGAAGGCTGAACGTACCCGACACGGTGGAGGTAGCTGTCCGCATCAGGAGGGCAATCGTAGTTGATGACGATGTTGACACGCTCGACATCGATACCACGACCGAAGATGTCAGTTGCGACGAGAATACGCTTCTCGAAGGCCTTGAAGGCCGTGTACCGGTTGATACTACACGTGAATGAGCTGCTGATTCCAGCCACCGGAATAAGCGACCGGGCTCACCGCTCCTCTTGAGCCAATCCTGAGTGGATGCTGATGCTGGGGAATTACACGAGACGAGGAGCTTGTCCAACTCGATTGCCCGGGCTACCGACTTGACGAAGATAACGACCTAATAATAACACGTCAATTCTTCGCCGTCACTCCGCGTGCGCTGAACATGCCTGGTTGAACTCCAAAGTGTCCAGGAGCTCGTTCAGCTTCCGGTTCTTGCCCACCTCTCCAACTTCACGTAATGCTGCTGTAGACCGTGCAACGTGAGCTTCGTCTCGTCGTCCACAAAGATTTCGAGGGGCTAGAGCGGCGAAACCGTCAGCAGGCGTCGAGCCAAATGCATATCAGCCACTCACGTTCGCCATGAACTTCTTGCACGTCACCCGAATCTCCTTCGCCAAGGTCGCGCTGAACATCATGACTTGCTTGTGGTGTGGTGTCGCCCGGAAGATCTCTTGCACGTCGCGACGCATGTCTAATGGATGATGTTGCAATAGGTAAGAATGCTTGTCACCACAACAACACACAAAAGGGAGGAATGAGGAAGGCCGGCGTGCTTCGATCCTTGACGCGGGTGGGCGAATAGTGCTATGTCCTCGGACAATCGCCACGCGAGTCGGATGTTTGTCCACAATGTTCATCAACCGCCACCTCCCGTGTCGTAGCCATCCCCAACGGACACCATCCACTCCCATAGACCACTTCCGAATTCAGTCGAGGGCCAGACGCCCACCAGGGCGGTGGGCGCAGACGAGCGGCAATCGTTTGACCGTTGCGACAATCCACAGGGCCAGCCGACGAGGTGGAAATGAAAGGTGCAGGCCGAAATCGCATGACTAACCGAGCTGTTCCAGCATTTTATCGCACTCGTCGAGAATGAAGTGCTTGACTTTCGAGGCATCCAAGACTTTGTCCCTCGTGAGCGCATTGAGACGGCCGGGGGTGGCGACCACGATGTGCGGGCACTTGCTTTTGTCGCGGAGCAACTCTGCATCCTTGACGACAGGCGTACCGCCGTAGAAAGTGCTGACACGGACGTCGGGCATGTACTTGGCAAACGGGTGTACTCGTTCTTGATCTGGAACGCGAGCTCTCGCGTGTGGCAGAGAACGAGGACGGACACCTCGCCGTTGACGGGCTCCAGTTGTTGTAGAGTCGCCAAGACGAAGACCGCCGTTTTGCCGTGGCCGGACTTCGCCTGACACAGGACGTCCATTCCAAGCACCGCCTGCGGGATACATTCTTGTTGCACTGAATTGAAAGGGTCAGGAGGTGGACTCTGGAGGTGCGCAGCGTCGACGCTCACCTTCAGATGGGTGCTCGAAACCAAGGTCACTGATCGCGCGCAGCAGCTCCGGCTTCAACAGGAAGTCCCTGAGAACAAAGGGGCGACACGTAAGTCACAAAAACCAGACTTGAGCACTAGGGAACATACCTGAAGCCAGTGGAGTGGATTCCCGAGAAGTTTTTCTTGTCCTTGTCACCCTCGCCATCGACAGAGGGATGGCCGGCCGTGACAGCCACACCATTCGCTGCCGACTGGGCTGCGGCGCCGTTCGTGACCACATCGTGTTCGTCCTCGTAGTCGATCAGTTCCTCGTTCTCGTTGTCGTGGGAGCTCATATTTGCAATAGGTTGGAGGAGGGAAGCAAGTAAGGAGGAGGAGAGGGATGGAAGGACAAAGGGTGTTCAGGTGGTGGTGGCGGTGAGAGAGAAAAAGGGCGCGCTCGACGCGTCCTGCCGGATCGAACATGGGTGGCCACGCCACCGGGAACTTCCGACAACCCAGATCTGGAACCTCGACCGTGTCGATGCGATTCGTCTCGCCACCGTCGTGGCACTCCGCAATGATATTGCTTGAATAGTCGGCACATATCGGTCGTCCTGTTCCTTCACTGGCATGGACCCTCAGGCTCTTTGGTCAGGAAACACGCTTGGTCACCGGGCTTATAGACACATACCACTCGCTGGCTTGCCTATAACGTTGCTCAGACGCGTCGCTCATATGTCACACCACCGAGATCCTAGTAAGCTACTAGGGAATAGAACGTAGAATTGTTTGGTGTGATCGCTGCTTGCCGTTTACCTGGTAGAGTAGTACTGGGGAGACCCATGGTAGAGGCGGTACGGGCTTTCGACAGAGCTACCTTTCACAGTTCTGCGACAGTGCAGAGTTTCTACACACACAGTGCCGAGAGTCAAACATACATGATTGATTGGGCTATCAGAATGGCATTGCAGATGGACATACGAGCAGTAGAGTCATTACATTACGTCGTGAAGCAACCGATACGAGACCGTTGTCGGGAACATACTGAGCCCCAACCAGAACTACTATGGAACAAGAATCCGTGAGACGAATGCAACAACACCCTATGCAGCCTCCGTGAATAACAAACAATGAGAGTAGGGCAAGACGCACGGTAGGCGCCGGACACACAACGTAGGGACCATACGCATGAGAAGGGATAGAACGAAGACTCTAAGGAAACGCTGAGGACAATGTGTCCTCCTCAATGTCCGCACCAATGTGCACGCAAAACTCTACACCACCTCCCCACTTCCACTATCCACCATCCGTCGACGCCGTCAAGACTCTCAAGCCTGCATATGTCGTTCGCGCTTCTCCGAATGACATATGCAGCCACCGACGACAAAGCCTGCGGCCTTAGTGGCCAGTCGAGGAGCCGGAGAACGCCTCCCGCACGCTCTTCCTAAGCTCCTCATGCTCGCGCCCAACACTACCCTCATGCTCACGCAGCGATGCCGCCTGTATCTGGGATGCGGCCGCGCTAGGTGTCATGGCGCCATCGCTGTCCGCCTCCGTAATGTCCAGAATCCGACGTGCAAGCACTTGAATCTCGCCCTGGCCCTCACCCGTCTCCGTATCCTGATACGAGTGGCTGGCGGAGTGATGCGAGTGAGGAGTGCCACCGACGGACGAGGTCGGTGTCGACGTCCGCGTCTCAGCGAGCTGCCGGATGTTGGGGATGAGGAGGTTGGAGCTACGGATGTTGCTGATGAGTTGGGGGTCTGTGAAGGTCTTTAGCATATTGTCGAACTTCAGCAAGTGATCCCGCTCACCGCCTGATTCCAACAGCTGCACTATGGTCCACACGGCGATGTGCTGGAAGGTGGCATCCGGGCTCGTCAGGAAGCGGTACAGGTAGCGGTGCATGCCACCATCAGGCTTGTCCCATACGTCGTTGAATGCAGAGTAGTCATCAGTGGTAGTCCGGCCATCTACATTGCATATGTCAGCGGATGAACGTGGGCGATTTTCGTCAGGAGCCGCTCACCTTTCGAAGACAAGTTGCCAAGGGCCGCCGCACTGTTGCCCTGCACCTCGGAGCTGGGCGAGTTGGTCAGAGGAATGAGGACCTCGCAGATGCCCATCTCGAGGAGCTGGCCCTTGAGTTCGTCTGGGATGTGTCAGCCATTGGCACAGAATTCAAAAGTTTTGAACGTACCACTCAAAGCAAGGACAGCAATACATGCGGTCATCTCACTCTGAACATTCATTGGCACCTCGAGAACCAGCTCCTTTATGCTCTGAACGGCACCAGCCTTGACGATCGCCTGCTTGTTCTTCTCCGAACTTGCCGCGAGATTGCGCAAGGTCGAGATCGCGTGGCACTGAACCTCCTCGTTATCCTTGAACGAGAGAAGGTTGATCAGCGGCTGCAGGAAACCCGACTCGATGATAGGCGACTCGTTCTGCGGGTGGATGGACACGTTCCGGACGCAGGCAGCCGACGAAAGGATGAGTGGCAGGTACGTCGACTGTAGCAGTCGGAGGAGGTGCTGAAGACCATCCGCCTTCACGATCTCGAGTTGATATTCTCTGCATCACAGTCAGATGAGAAATATGGTAAGCTACACGATCTACTCACCATCGCTAGCAAGATTCCGCAAAGCGAGTGCGGCCTGGCATTGCACCTTCAGACTTGGGCTGTCCATCAACTGCACCAAGCTTGCCACCAGCTTAGGCTCGCTTTGTGCCAGCTTCTTACGGTTGGTAGCTACAAAAACGTGAGCGCAGGCCAATCGCCGATCTATGTATGACACGTACCATCAACCGCGATGTTGCTCAGCGCCGTCGTACAGTAGTACTGTACGTCCGTGTCCGGAGAGTTGAGCAAACTGACAAGCACCGGGATTGCCCCTGCATTCACGAGCTGTTGGCGGTTCTCATCTGAAATGCAACATATATCTGATCGGGCTTCGGATGCAGCAGAGAAAGAACGCACCAGAATGGGTCATGTTGAGCAGCGCGCCTGTCGCATTCCGCTGCACACGCATGTCCTTTGATCGAGCAAGGCGAGTTAGAGGAACAAGGGCACCGGACTTTGCGATCTTGGTCTTGTTGTCGTCTAGCGGCAGAAAGACAGTCAGCAGCCATGATCATGCGAGATGACATGTTGATAATTGAGGGTGGTCACGATTGTGCAACGGCCTAATGTATCCGAAATATCGAACGGACGTAACTGTCGGCGCAGAGGTATACAGGCAAAATCGAAGTACTTCACTTCGCTGCCAGTCGGTCTGGTAGCACGTTGCAGTGCAGGTCAGCTGGACATCAGTACGGTGTACGTTTCCAGCCGCTATACACGTGTAACAGCTAGAAGACAACAAATCTGTCACCGGTGTCGACTCTACTCCACAGGGCGATTGGGGGAAGCAGGCAATCAGGGAATGCGCACTTGCACGGAGAACTCCGTGTCGCAAATGTCTTGTCCGTTGTCGGAAGCCCTCGCCTTTACCATGAAAACCGGGATTATGAGCAGGAAACATACCGTGTGTCGCCAAGTTTGTTACACAGCCCACGGCGTTGCATTGCACTTCAACATTCGGGCTGAGCATCTGTCGGATGAGAGGCTCCAGGCCGCCCAACTTGACGATAAGCAACTTGTTATCAGCTAGACGCTCCATGAGATCGACACGCTGCTGGAGATGCGACAGGCAGGATACGCACTGTTAACAGCGAGGTTGCCTAGTGCTGCGCTCGCGGCCCGCTGAACCTCGGTGTCATGACTGCCCAGGAGGAATAGGATGGGGTCAAGAGTATCGCGACCGACGGGGCGAACTTCCTTCTCCGTAATCTCCGCAAATGCCAGAGCGGCGCTTCGCTGCAGATCGACGTTGTCGGAAAACGAGAGGGTGGTGAGCGCGGAGAGCGGGGAACCGGAAAAGAAGTTGGTCGTCGTCCGGTCTGCCGCAATGTATACATTCAACGTTGTGCTCAGTCACAGATGTAGAGTATACGCACTCTCGAGATATTGGAGGAGATCCGCGACCGCCTCTCGCTCATTCTCAAGCAAGAGGGGTTCGTACGACTGAGACCTCCGGGAATGGACTGCAGGGTGTGTTACATAATTGACCCGAAGCGAAGGCGCGGCAATGTCAAACTTACAGCACGACTCGCAACAGCTCGCGACGACGCCCATTGTCGCAGAGAGAGAGGCTGGAGGAGGTGTGTCGGAGGGGCGGTGGTGATAGAAGACTGCAACGAGCCCGGATGCAACTTTGGGCGTAGTCGACGCCACGTGCGTGGGCGCTTTGCGCACCGGTCGCAGTCAAGTCGCGGTAATACTCGCAGTACTCGCTGGGTCTCCCAACGCGTCGCGTATCTGCCTTGCTTGTCCTCCTGATCGCCATTCTAGAGCATTGGCTGCAAAGACACTAGGGGCAAGTAATTGTGCTCATGCTGCTGGCGCTTTGCCGCCCTTCGCACGCGTTTCTTCCAGCAGTCCGACACTGGCATAGCTACTCTGTCCTACCAGCACGCATCCGCATTGGAAAGACACTTAGGCCCAAAAGAATGCAGGTCAGACTCACCGAGCAAGAGGACAAGATATGCACACTGCTAGACGAGTGCACAGCCTACATCAAGGAGACGGAAGGGTCGCAAACCTCATGTCGAATCGCCGGAGGGTGGGTCCGGGATAAGGTCGGGTTGACAGGAACTGAATGTGCTATCCTGCAACTGACAGCGGTCTTCGATCTTCTAGCTGCTAGGCTTGGACAGCAACGACATAGACGTTGCGCTCAGCGACATGATGGGCGTCACATTCGCGACCCATTTCGTCCACTTCTGTTCAAATGTGAAGGGACTGCAGGTGAAGGAAGTAGCGAAGATATCAAGCAACCCGGAGCAGTCAAAACACCTCGAGACGGCCAGGACCACAGTTCTCGGTCGGGACTGGACTTTGTAAACCTCCGAAGCGAAGAGTATTCTGAGGACAGCCGGATACCAACGCGAATAGTACGTGGACCGAGTACTCTGAACAATGCGCTTATCAATAGGCTTGAAAGACATATGGGACACCTCTGCAGGATGCGCTGAGACGAGACATCACAATCAATGCTCTGTTTTACAATGTACACACGAGGACTGTAGAAGACCACACCGGCAAGGTGCGTGCCCCAGATGACTCGGAGGTATACCAGATATCAAACCCGATGAAGTAGGGTCTCGTGGACCTGAAGCAAGGCTTCATACGGACGCCTCTTGACCCTCTGGAGACGTTCAGAGACGACCCTCTGAGAGTTCTCCGAAGCATACGCTTCGGCGCCCGATTCGGCTTTGACGTCGATCGAAAGCTGAAGAAAGCAGCTCGTGAAGCTGAGATTCAGGTGCGTAGAGAAAATACGACATACTCAAACTCACTGAACGAAGATGCTCTGCTTCAGGAAGCACTGGGGCTCAAAATTAGCAAGGAACGCATTGGCCATGAAGTCGACAAAATGCTGCAATGCGAGTGATACATACATGCATCTGTCTCAGTCAGCTCATGTTGAACATATAGCCCGCGACCCACTCCGAGCACTCGACCTTCTCCTTGAGTTGTCCCTGTACTCGACCGTATTCCAGGCACCACAGTCAGCGGCGTCTTCCCAGTCTCTTGAGCCTGTGAACCACGCTTTAGCGGCTGGTTCAATATTCAGGGCCCTATGCAATCCCGACCATTCACCAAACCTGACTCCGGTACATGCTACCCTTGTGGATCCGTTCGAGAAGAACATGGCTCTCCGCGGACGGCTTTACCTTGCATGCGCGCTGACCCCCTACCGTGACATCACCTACACCGACGCCAGCGGCAAGCACCATCCTGCAAGTGAGATCGTCATTCACGAGAGCCTGAAGCTTGGTGCCCAGCACCACTATCTGGATGGCGTTCCATGGTTGTTCAGAGCCTGGAAGGCTATCGCTCCGGCGGTGGCCGACCTGGCACAAGGGCAATCTCCTGACGACAGGCGAAAGATTGGTGGGCTCCCCAACTACTACATAGCGTGCTGCTGCAAACTCACAACACTTTCGCGCGGAAGGTGTGTTCTTACGGCAACGGACCATCCACAGCCCACCGGTGATTCAGTGGGAGATATCGCTCTTGTTCTCCCTCGTGCAAGACCTCTTGCCTTTTTGGAATCCCTACACAAATCTTCTTGACGGTATATATGTATCTGTTATCCAGAGATCCGCCGGACTCATTCACCTGCAGAGACTAAGGCTTCGGAACGTATAGCTGTGTATAATGCCCTGGTGACGAAGGTAGAAGCGCTGGGTCTGACCGCTATGGTTGACGCCAAACCGATGCTCAACGTACGGATCCTACTCTCTTTGACTTTTCTGTAGCCTAATGTGTTCATGTTGCAGGGCCGGGAGGTTCTTGGGGCGCTGAATGCACCCCCGGGTCCTTGGGTTGCCCCCGTACTGAGTTCCGTGATGGAATGGCAGTTAGATCATCCGGAGGGCACCAAGGATGAGTGCCTCGAATGGTTGAAAGCGGAGCATGCGGCGGGAAACATCGATATGTCTGTGCCGGCTAAGCCCCAGTTCAAGCGGGCTTCGCAGTCAGTTGTGGAGGAGCATGCCGCCGTCAAAAGGGCGAAGCCGACATGAAGACCTACTTTCTGTCGTGTGGGGTTCGCGTTCAGACATACGTCTTCAGAAATGTATCGATAGTGTTGATATAATGTGAAGCGACTTTCCTGCGCTACGAACTACACATACAGGCCCAAGCCGATGCTGATAGATACAGAGGGGAGAGGGGAGATGTAACACTAGATGATCTAGGCGAGAACTGAGCAGACAGTAAAGCGAGACGAGATGCGAGGCGCGAACAGCGAGGTGAGAGCGAAGATGTCGAGAGCCGGGAACGTCACGGCGAAAGCGAATTGTGTAATAGGGGCGGCGTCTATGTAAGAGCAGTGGTACGAAGCCGAGCACTAATGCTCGGCAGCGAGCCAGAAGTCGTAATCAACCTCATCGTCAGTCTTGGGATCACCGGGCGGTGAGTGTGTGTCGAATGACGCAGGCTCGGGATCCAGGAGAGCGGAGGAGCGATCAGGGTTGAACATGGGGGATATGGAGAATGCGTCGTCGACAGCTCCCCGAAGGCGCCGTCATTCTCAAGGGTACAGACGGATACAGGGAGCATTAGATCTTGGGAGGAGGGTCGGACGTAGCCTTGTCCGTGTGCGTCGCGAGAGAAATCAAGGATGGCCGGAGGAACGTCGGGCCACTGCTTCATGGTGATCGTCGGAACAGGAGTGCCTCTCTCTACAGAGAAATGACGGTCGAAGTGTTTCTCATCGTCGACAGTCTGTGGTTCGCAGTGGGTATGAGAATCATCGTATATATGTAAGTGGCAGGACGTACAAGGTTAGGGGGCAGAGGCGGAAGGAAACACGGGGGGTGAGTGGCTTCCAGCAGCTCAGATTCTCGCATCCCTGGATCTGGCAAGGATGGTATCTCGGGCGTCGAAGGCTCCATCTTGATTAATCGTCCTCATTGGACGATACAGGAGAAGGGGTGCGCGTGTCCGGCGAGACCTGGCGCTGAACGCCGCGCCTCTGAGCCTTGGTCGCGCGCGTACGAATGCGCCGCGGGGGTATCACATACAGCACCTTCTTCCTGTCGTAATCCTTGATACGTTCCTCGAGCTCGTCGCCTTCGCATCCTTCGCCAAGAAGACGCGCCACGACATCACAGCGCGAGAAGTCGCGGTTCGCGCCCTTACCGCCTCTCCGACGCGGGAGCCTCTCCTTCTTGAACACGGGTGAGTACTTGTAGTCGGGGTACGCCTCGGCGTGTCGTTGTTTCGCGAGTTCAGCCAGGCGTCGGTACGGAACGCGCTCGGACTCGGGGAGCGCGTTCCAGGCTGCGCCCGCCATGCGGCTGATCATGCGGTGGTCGCGCTCGACGGTGCTCTTGATCTTCTCCTTCGCCCAGAGCTCAGAACGGAAGAGCATGAACGCATTGGGCGGTCGCGGAATGTGGTCCGCATCCCGCTTGCGAGAGTGCGACGATCGGCGTATGAAGTCGAGCTCGGGGCACGAGAACGGGTTGGGAGAGAACGGAGGAAGGAAGGGGCCGGGCGACGGGGGAGTCTTGCGGGTCGAGCGTACAGCGGGGGCGGGCGACGCTCGTTCGCGCGGGCTTTCTGCCTGTCGATCATGCAGATCAAACTCATCAGGGTCTTCGAACACTGCAGTCCAATAAAAGCAGGTGAGTAAGAACGAACGTAGTGTGGACCCACAGAGGCAAACAGTGGGTAAATAGCAGTGAAGCACGTACCTGCGTCGCGCGGTGGCTTGTTCAACAGACGGCGGGACCTTCGAACGCTGCGCAAGGCGGGCATCGTAGTGGCGAGTAGGTAGGTGAGTCGCTGGTGTGCTAGGGAGCTGCCCGAGAGGGACTCGAGGACGAGAAGCTTCAAAATACGGAGGGAGTCGCATCTCGTCCTCGAGCCCTTCCCTTAAGAATGATTCAGGATCGCAGTGTAAGAACGCGTCCATGGTAGGGCGGAGCAAAGAGACAGTCCGTATACCCGCCTCATGGCGACCTCGAGGACAATATTTGAGGTCTCTCCGAGCTTAATTATCGAGATCTGGTGCGAACTGACTTTGAACCTCGGTGGCTGCATTTGTTCTGAATTATCTACCTCTCAGGGTAATGCGGCCAGGCCAATTTTGCCTGCCGCTGACATTCTGGCATGCAAATTGTTTCATCGCCCAGAATTGAGCCTAGTCCACCGTAAAGTGAGTCGCAATTTGCTACGACTTTCCTGACATTCAATATTCGTTTGTATGCAGGCGCCACAGAACTTCCTCTCCAGCCACCGTCGGACTCTCTCATTCGGGCCTATCTATTGCTCGGATGCATGTGCCACTCGTGAAGAGCTGCGTGGCATTCTGCTGGAACCGCTTCACCTATGGCGCAGGTGCAGGATTGTCGCCCTCGTCTCCAGGCTCACAACATGACATCGCCCCCGCCCTGAGTTGGGCACATGGCCTGACACGTTCACAGACTGTCGCGCTCGCCGCTGAGGTTACTTTTCGCTGAGGCTTTTACTGACAAAATACAGAACGCTGAGGCAGAGTCATAATCCTCGGTCGGGACAACATCCACTTCTGGAAACCACGAACCGTTCCAGTGATCGCTGATACAGCTGCGGTAGAGACTTCCTTCATTTCTGCAATTCGTACATCCCTGGACAATGACTTAGGAGCGCGATTGTACGCCCAGAACGGCTATAAACAATGCGTCCGCCCACGAGACAGGCGTCTTTGTGCCGGTGCCGCCGCCTGCTTTCCGCCGAGGACGCGTTGATCGGGGATGTGCCACTGGACTACGCAGTGGCACACTACTCTATCTTGGTACTCGGGTCTAATCTCAGATATCGTACCGCTTCGTTCGGGTCTGAGGAAGCTCCCCGTGTCCGCGACTCTCATCTGATGTTTAATGATTCACACTCTACCATAGGGACCAGTGGCGTATATGAAAACATGACGTTGAAATGTGCGATCTGTACACTAGCAGCACTATGCACCGTCCCGTTACGCGCCTGTCCCCTCGCTGTGAGAACCCTCTTCTGGAATTGACTCCTCTCTTCCCTGCCCTACCTTCTCTTTTCGTCTTTTTGAACCCGCAATCATATCCCTGTCATCGTTATCGATTCCTGCGTTCCCTCAGTACACGGTCAGTGGAGACTCACCTCTTCTTGATAGCATCATTCCGTCCTACCCTACTTGCATTATTTACCACTTCTGCGCGCTTTACCTTGCCCATCTGACGCCGTTTCATTTTTGAAGGCTTTGGAAGCTTCAGGATCCACTCCGGGACTGAGGAACCAGATTGGAGGAGTACGTTGGCAATCCTAGAGGGCAAATCAGCATTCATGGTCACGGTGTGGCTCGGCGGTTTGTCACGGGGTGACTCTGGGATACTGCTAGGAACACTTACGTTTTGAGGAACGGCGCGTCCTCATTCGTGAAGTACGTTATCGCCTTCCCCTCTCTCCCAGCGCGTCCCGTGCGACCTGTAATACGCGTCAATGTCAACGACACGCTGCGTGCTAACGTGGACCAGAAAACATTCAGGACGCCCGCCGCTTACCGATTCGATGGACATAACTCTGAACGCTCTGTGGGAAGTCATAATTGATGACTTCTCTGACGCCCTTGAAGTCCATGCCTCGCGCCATGACTTCCGTGCTAACCATGACCCAGCTTTCCCCACGCCGCATGCGAGAAACGGCATCTTCCCGCTCCTTGTGAGTCATACCGGCGTGCAGGCAATCGACGTTAGGTACTCCATTGAGCACCAGTTCCTCTGCCAGAGACGTCGCGCGCGGCTGTGTCGAAACGAACACGAGGAGCGGTGGATTGTACGGCTGTGACAGGTATTGAAGAAGGGTAGGCAACTTCGACGGATCATCCGCCACGTAGGTGAGCGACTGTGCGATGAGCGGCAGCGGCGTGTCCCTGGATGGCTGTCAGCTTCCGCTGCATTGTCCACGGAGAGAACGCACTTCACCCTACCACCACTCGTATCGGATCTCGCAGCATGCTCATGGCGACTTTCTCTGCGCCCGCTGGGAGCGTCGCACTGAACACAGCCTTCTGGACCGCTGGGTGTGTGCACGCTGCAATGACTTCTTGAACTTGTGACAGGAACTCTGTGTCTAGCATACGGTCCGCTTCATCCAGAATCACGTGTCGGACGCTGAAGGCTGTCAGATAGAACTCCAAGAAGGCGAGCATGCTACTTACTTATTAAGTTCCAGACCGCCTGCCTGGAGAGCCGAGACCAATCGCAGAGGAGTACTGATGATAATGTCTGCCATCCAACCAAGCTTAGAGCGGCGCAGATCATCTCCATGGTGCAGACCTACCAACTTTGTCTCGGACGCTTTTGTCCGCCAGAGTGCTAGCCGTCGCCTTACTGAAGAGCACGATTCTCCACTTCCGACCCTGAGCGAGCTTGAGACACTCGTTATGGATTTGGTGCGCCAACTCACGAGTCGGAGCGACGATGAGCGCGCGGACGCCCGTCCCGAACTCAGCTTTCGTCCGAGAAAGGGGCGAGCCTAGGAGGGACATGACGGGGAGCAGGTACGATAACGTTTTACCAGTACCGGTGGGAGATATAGCAGCAACATCCCGGGACTGGTGAGTCGTTATGAGACTGCGGGAACGGCAGAGTTGGGAGCGTACGCACCTCCATGAGAATTGGTATACCATGAGACTGTATACCAGTGGGTCGCTTGTACCCGCTCTGCGTCAAATTCGCGAGTAGGTGAGACGGTGTCTGGTACCGCTCCTGCAGTTGCTGGAAGGTTCTATGTGGTCTGGTACATTCGAGCCCTTCGTGGTGACACGGTGCCGCGGCATGGGCGGGTCGTCTTCGTCGGACACCTCTGCCTCCTCCGCCTCTCCTTTGTCCAGCTTCCGCTTCTTCCGTCGATCTGACGGCTCTCCACTCGCATCACCATCACCAGAGTCATTTGCCTTTGCTGGACGCTTAGCCGAACCACCCTGAGCATACTTGAAGAAGTCTAGCTCTGCAGGCAGGTCGCCTCGGGGGCTCGTGCGACCGCCTTGCCCTTGTCCTGCTTCGCTTTCTACAAGACCGCAGTTGAGCGCGCAATTTGATACTACACCACTAATCACCTACGTCGAAGAGCTGCACATCCCCCTTAAACCGTTTCTTGTCAAACCTGGCGCCTCCACGAGAGAGAAGCTGAAACGCTTCCATTCTTGCACTGGGATGCTATAGCCCTGTTTCGGGTGCACGTCTGGTTCGCTCGGATAGCTATCACTGGCAGATAGGACCAAAGAGAACGTAAGATGGGGAGCTCAGGTTATTCCAGCCGTGCCTTCAAGAGAGCTTGTTAAAACTCAAGAGACTGAGATCTGAGACCCACGCGCTTGCGATCGAAAGTCGAGAAGTGCAAGTTTTCGGAGAAGGGATGCCATCACGTGACTGACGCGTCAAATCATAAACGCGTCTTAGGAACCTCCCGACTCCCGAGTCCTCAGTCCGGTCGACCCTTCGACTGCATCACGAAGCATGGTCGAACTTATGCACGAAGTATGTGATTCTCGACGCAGAAGAAATAAATAAGATACATAGTGCAAGGATATCGAGGCTTCGGTGCATGCCAATCTCTATCTTCGATGTGCTGATAATAGCGAGAGCGTGTGGTGAATCTCAATCGGCAGGGAACAGCGTGCGCCATCCCTTCTTCAGTTGCTAAATGAAGCGTGGTAGATCAGTACTACTGATGAGCATTGATCGATTGACAGTCCCTACCTCTAGGAAGACGAACATGAAGATCGTGTTGGGCCCCAAACGAATGAACGCAGGCGTCCATCCCTTGAAGAGAAATCTAGGCCCCTCTTCTCGTAGCGATGTCTTGAGGACGTCGATCGGATTAGATTTTCCCGACTGTGCAAAGATCAGCATAGGAGATAGGAGATGCACAGAGATACACACCGCGGACATCAATCGCGATCTCAGCACGTCAGCGGGCGAGCAAACAGCTAGAGAGACGCGTCAGTTTTGTTGATAAGCCGGTCTCGGAAGGACGCACTGGTAGCCACGGTGCCAGCAAGTGTGCTAGCGGCCATGTGTAGAGCGAGATTATCCCGGAACTGGAAGTTGACGACGGGCAACTGATGTTGCAGGAACCAAGACTTGAAGAAGTCATACCTACGTACGCGGAGTGGAAGCACCGACCGAGTATGCTGCAATCCTCGATACTCACGACCACACTTGAGAACCGTTCATCAGCACTGCTCGCACCTACGCCCCCCGAATTAGCACTTGAGGATGCCGCAAGCGGTAAAAACACACCGCGTTCGTCCCGAGTCCTCTGAACAGTCCTCCTGCACCTTCGCTGCGGATGATTTGCACGAGCCCAGTGATAGCGTTCGAATAGTTGTACCGCTTTTCTGGTGGTCGTATAGAGTCACTGGTCATCCGCACCAGCAGAATATCTGCCCCCAAGGATGTAAATACAAATTCCACCTGAGACGCTGGCGCACGTACCAGCCGGGTTCCCGGCCACACCGCCGAGGCCGCCCGCCGCCATCGCTGCCAGCAGCAGCTTGCCCGACGACGGCGGACCGTCCTCGGACAAGCGTGCCTTCATCTCCTCGTAGCTGCCCAGTCGGACGAGGGAGTATGACATCTGCCGAAGCAAGGAAGCCGTCAGCCCCGTGTAGAGGCTTCGGAATCCTTGTTCGGCAACGGTCATGCGGAGAACAGAGAGGGTGGAGGGTTGCTTCTGACCCGGGACAGACGGAAGGGTCTGCATTCTCCTGAGGCCGGACGCGAGATAGTGAGGTGGTGGCGCAGACTGCTGCAGGGGCGGCACTCACACTTTGGTGAGGTCTAGCGGGTGCGTACATGACGCTGCCACTGTACAGACGCGTCCGTCGGCGACTACATGGTGGTCAAGAAGAAAGTCAAGCACGTACTGGAGCCCGCGACGCCTAACGACCGAATTGTCTATTGAATACGCGTCCGCGTGATGTCATGCGACGACTCACCGCCCAGCCTGGATGGTCACCGGACGATGTGAGTATCTGGCGCGTATCGCAGGCAAGCGCACGCACCAGAAGGGATATGCCTGTGTCTTCGTCATGGTCGTATGCAGAGCGGCGGGATACTGTGCAGCGCTCGCAGCATTTAACGTTCGGCGGAGGGGATGCCCCGGGAGAGCGAGGTTTTCGTGCTTGCCGCGTAGGCGCCCATGTAGCCAGGACGCGCTCACGGACCGGGGTCGCGTCACTCCCACGGCTCTCGGCCGACCAGTGGCGGGACTCCGTTTACCACACTGGCAGCATCAGTCTCTCAATGGCTTGAAGATCAGAGCTTACATTCAAAGCTAGGTTTCCGTTAGGATAATTCTTGATACTAGACGGATCGCCTCACAGGTGCTGATACGACGGGGCACGGGTTGCACAGTAGGTAAACGTGCCGCAGCGACGGACAGGAGTGTGCACGCCAGTTCGGACGCCACACAACTGCCGTCGAGAGTTCGGCATGTGCATGTACGCAGATATGAAGGCTCTCATGGGCAAGTTGACTAACCCTTCTCAAGCACACTCAACGTGACCGGGGTGCTATCTTTGAAATTCTGCTTGCTTATGCGGATGGTGGTGGTTCACGACTCGGAGGAGTCAACTCACCCGGCATTGTCGATACAGCACGGCGTTATAGCATCGTCGCGCTCTATGATCGAGCCTCAGGTCTTACGGCGGCGAATCTTCGCTGCACCTATCTTAGACATCGCTGTTACACTGCTCACGAATTTGTATGGACCGCGGCCCATTGGACACGGAAATGCCACTTGTACAGGGGATGCTCGACGCTTCATATCGGAAGCCAAGCCTATAATGCGTGCAAAGCGCAGATGCCCTGGCACGCAATCGTCGCTCATTTACACCCACTCCCAGTGTAGAGATCACCAAGTTCGATCCAACTTGGAACTGTCGAACGCTGGGCATGACGATCAGCATTAATTAATGCTAGGAGTATTTGGTATATGTGAATGCTTCTCGCACCTGTCTCTATCCCACCAGTGCATACCACGTACGTAGGAGAGTACTGCACTCCGCATTATGTATAGGGAAAGCACGTCCGAGTCGGGAGTCGAAGCCGGATCTGTTGAGAGGTTGATCGAAGATGTCCGCGGACGTTCCCGAAGACCCGATCGCCGATCGCGTGTGCCATCACGTGGGCGTAGCGCGTCGCAGCCGCCACGCGTCTCGGTGGCTCTCTGACCACCGTGCTCTCCACCGGCCACCAGGAGGCCAGCCTGCTGCGATGGAGGCTCCATGCTCAGGACGTGCTTCATTCTGCCCCAGATCCTGCCCTCGTACTCCTCCGTCATCTCAGTCTCAATCTCACCTCGATCCCGCACCGCTTTGTCTGTTGCCTTGTCAAAGCACACTGCGCCGGCCCTGCTTTGTCCAGACTGCGCCGAGCCATTGCTTATTTAGTGACTCCACAACCTGGCCGGGACTCGCAACTCATTCCTCTTTCTCCATCTCCTTGCTGTCTTCTCGTTCTCTCCTGGACCTCGACGGCCAGCCTCCACTCCTTCATCTTTCTCTCTCGCCGTCATGATCTTCCGCATACCTCTCCTGCTTTACCTTCTCGCCAACGTCGCGCCTTCTGATGCTGGCATACTCGCTCGCGGGTCTGGGTCAGTTGCACGCGTGGCCAGCCGTGCACACCAGCGGGGCGCGGGCCTCGTTCGCGATCTGCGTCTCGCATACTCAAGCATACTCATTGGTCGGTCAGACGACGGCTCAAGCTCACAGCAGCCATATTGCGTGAACGTCGCGTCAAATGGATCGTCGCTCACCGGTGGAGGTGATACTGGAGGAGGGAGCAGGGGCGGTTCGTCTGGGACGGTGCAACCTTCGGGAACATCGTCTGCGGCTCCAGCGGCTAGCAGCAGTGCTGCTGCCGCTTCGTCTCCGTGGAAACTCAAGCAGAGTTACGTGAGTGTCGCTAATTATGCGGCTTGTGTTGAATATTGACGGAGTCATTGTAGGAAGGAAGCTCATTCTTTGGTGGATGGTCCTTCTTCACTGACGCTGATCCAACCGGCGGCACGGTGGACTATGTGGACGGATCTGCTGCTGTGAGTAGTCTTGAATTCCGTGAGACTCGTATCTTCCTTTCCTTACCTCTCGTAATAGCAATCCGCGAACTTGACAGGCGTCAACAGCGCCGGGAACGCCTACATGCGCGTCGACACCACGCCCGTCGTCTCCGGCACGCGCAAGAGTGTGCGCATCACGACCGAATTCACGTATACCCAGGCACTCGTCGTTCTCGATGCGGTGCACATACCCACCGGGTGCGGGACATGGCCCGCGTTCTGGTCGAACGGCCCGAACTGGCCCGCCGGCGGCGAGATTGACATCGTAGAGGGAGTGAACACGTACACGAACGACCAGGTTACGCTCCACACAAACACTGGATGTTCGTTGCCATCGACGGACGTGAGCAAGTTGGATATCGCTGGGACGCTGGTTAGCAGCCAGGATTGCTCGGTGTCGGGGACTGGGGATACGGGGTGTGGCGTGCGATCTACCGCGACGAACGCGTTTGGGCCTGGATTCAACGCGATGGGTGGTGGTGTCTACACGAGTGCGCTCTTCCTCATTCTCCATCTTCGTGCGCATGCTGACATTTGCTGAACCTCTGCAGTGAAATGGGACGACACTGGTATCACAGTCCACTTCTTCCCTCGCAGCTCTATCCCGAGCGACATCACCTCCGGCGCGCCAAATCCGTCGGCCTGGGGCACTCCCATCGCCAGCTTCCCCTCTTCTTCGTGCAACACGACGGAGTTCTTCTACGATCATTCGGCTATCTTCGACACAACGCTCTGGTGAGTCTTATACTCGTGACACCGATGGCAGGGGTAGGTTATTGACACTTCATTGTAGTGGCGCTTGGGCCGGAGATGGCTGGGGTGCTTCTGGCATTCCCGGACAGGAGACCAGCTGCGCCTCAATGACGAGCACTGCGACTTGCGCGGATTACGTGCTGAACAATGGTGCCGCGTTTAATGAAGCATGTGCGTGACAGTGTCTCCTCGCTCAGTGGCTCAGTTTCCTCACCTCGCTTCTCAGACTGGGAGGTCAAGAGCGTCAAGATCTACCAGACAAGCTGAATTGTCACATTTATACTGCCTTGCGTCACCTTTCTTTTGATTGCACTCACCCGAGCACCACCGTCTTCTTGTGGACATGTATCATGGCCTACATCACTGTTCCCTTGTATCGTTAGCTTTTCCAGTTCCAACGTTATCGATTAGCTTCCACGAGCATACCAGCCAGGAGAGGCGTGAGACATTTGGCTGAGCTCATGATCACCCATCATCGTGTCAGGGCTTCGTTGGATTGGTAGTAAGTAGCATGCATGGTGGTCACGGTTGGTGGAAGAGAGAACCCGATGGGGATCTGGTGGCCGGGCGCCAGTGCGGGGGAATCGAGATGAACGCGTGGCACGTGCTGGGAGGACGCGTCGTGTCACGGTTGTGTTCGAGTTGTCGATCTGCCTCCGCCCGCGATCTGCTTCCGCTCGCCACCACAGGCATCCCACCGGGTGCCACACGACCCGTGCAACACCCACAAAGCATTACAGACTAGCCGCGCAGCCTCCATTATCTATCTCTCCATTGTTCGCCAAATCGGTCCTCAATGGCTGAGTTTCAAAATAGCCGACCGCTGCACAAAGCCGCGCTACGCGTCGCGTTCGACGTCTCACTCGTCGACAGCCAGGTGGAGAAAATGCGCGCGATGAGCTTGGAGGATGAGGTTGTGCCAGACAGCGAGGAGGAGCGGCTCCAGTGAGTGCATTCGCCGTGGAATAGTATGCGCTCACTGTCATTCACGCCCGGACTTAGACGTCGGAAAGCTTCGAGACGCGCACCTGCTGATGGAGAGAATGAGGTCGTGATTGAGTTGACTTCTGATGAAGAGGAAGACATGTGGGTCCCTGTATCCCCTTCCTTGTGCTGCAATTGCGCGTCTCACGGGTCTTCGCAGCCCCATTCATCATCGGCTTGATGCTCACAGGACTCCCCGAGCTCGACGCATTATACAAAGCTCTGATTCCGACGGCTCTGACGACAATGAAGGCGTCGATAATGCGAAGTCCGCTTCTCAGACGCAGCACCCACAACCCACCGCTACTGACACCACCCGAGCTCTCGCCAAGAACTTAGGCCCAGTGATCGACTTGACCCTCAGTTCTTCAGAGAGTGACACTGAGGAGAGACTGCCAGTAAAAGGGAAAGCACCGGCCAAACTGGCCTCGCGGCCGACTTCACGCATTGCGACGTCTCACCGCCCGACCTCGTCGCAGGACGACGAGAATAGACCCACCATTCCTTTATATGCTGATGGCGACCCGGACGACGAAGATCCACTAGACGTGAATGATGGCTCGATTTTAACGCTGTATGCCATGCTTGACTTCATCCTTTGCTGCGGTCGCTGAACATAGGTTGGCCAGTAACGAACCGCGGAGCGCACGCAAGCCGCTTCGTGCGACCAATGCAACCTGTACCATGCCGTCCATCTCAGCGCCCTCCACTCCCGTTCGCCGCATCGTGTCTGTACACTCTACTGACTCCGAGTTGGAAATGGATATCGAGTCCGAGGCCAGCGCACGCTCGGCAAAGCCAGCAGCCAAACCGAAGAAGTTAAACGGGACTAAGCCGCCGAAGCTCAGCAAGAAGGCTCTGGAGGCGGCGGAGCAACAACGGCGGGAGAGGTATGCCAATACGTTCTTTGACGAGATGAACAGGCTCGTTTTCGGGCATGGCTTGCCAAGCAAGACCGAATTGAAGTGGAGCAAGAGGCTATTGACGACCGCTGGGAAGGCGAACTGGCATAGGTTGGTCTCCACGTATGCCATGTGAGCGAGAGTCTAAGCCCGGCGGTATTCACTGTGTTCTAGATCCAGAGAAGGAGTCGACAGCACCAGGATCGATTTGGCTGTGAAGATCCTCACTTCCGATGGTCGGTGCACTAAGTGCTAAGCTGTATACTCTATATTGAATCCCTCGATCTTCGGGCAGAGCGCATCCGCAACACGCTCTCGCATGAGATGTGTCATCTTGCGAGTTGGATCATCAGTGATGCTCCGACGGAGAATCACGGCGACATCTTCCAGGAATGGTGGGTGGCTGCGGCGGTCGAGCTGCCGGGTCTGGTGAAGACTGACCGGTGGGTATAGGGCGAAGAAGGTGATGCGAGCACGTCCAGACATTGAGGTCACGGTGCGCGCTTCTCCTTCATGCTCGTTGCTCTTAGGGTTCACACAATTGCCTTACTGTAGACGAAGCATAACTACGAGATCGAGTACAAGTATGAGTGGAGTAAGCATGAGTTCCTGTTGACATGTTAGGCTAGAGCTCTGACCGCCTCTTTCGCACGACATCTTTTGTGCAGAGTGCCAGCAATGCAACAAGATGTAAGTGCCCTCCATGGAAGCTGATTTCAGGGCTCAGGTATATTGACGCTCACGTTCGGCGCCGTCAGCTACGGCCGTCATAGCAAGTCAATCAACCCCGAGGAATGCGGTACGTCCTAATTTTTGTACCATGCTACTCTCTCGCCCATCAGACCACCTAGTCTGCGGCGCGTGCAGAGTCGGAAAGCTCATCCCGCTGTTCACCACGGTGGCCCGTGCACCAAAAACACCTCGAAGTCAAGCGGGAAGCGCTATGGCGTCCGTCAGAGGCCGGGGTGAGTGGTTAATGATTGGTCTCCAGCTCTGGATTCTCACTGCATCTCGACTGTATCATCGTGTAGACTCACCACTCGCGATATCGTCTCCGTTCTTCACGCCAGATAAAGAGGTGGATGTCAGCGTCAAAATCCACATTCCCCAGGGGACGCCGGTCCGTGCATGGGCGGCGCCGACGAAAGTACATGCGGTCCCCGGTGCCTTCCCCCTTGGCGATGGCGAGGACGAGGACGATGGGGACGATGATGTGCAGGTGCTTGCACATGTTTTGGGAGGTGTTAAGATCTAGGTCAGAGGATGACTTGTGCATACTGGACTTTGGGGCGGATCATACCTAATATTTTGTTTGTTGAATGTCTGTCTCACCTAGGGTAGCGTGATAGGTGTCGTATGACCTGTGCTTGATGTATTGGCTATGTACTGACCATGAAGGTTGACTGAGATGTTGCGGTCGGAGCCTGTGGTACATATACTATCAATGCATGTTGACGCGGTATTGAATAGTTGAGGTTCAGTAGGATGCCTTCTCAAGCATGGCTTGTTCTCTTTGAATGCCCATACCGCAATAAGTAATAGAGGTCCAGTAGTACCCCCACCCGCCACTACCTGCTCGGATGAATCAAAATAAGTTCAAAAGTAAGTTATGCAGGGGCCCCGGGGTGTGCGCATCGCGACTGCCAGTGCCCACCGATATAAAAGAACTAGCCCACCGCGAGGGTCGAACTCGCAGCCTTCAGATTGCGGGGGTACGCAAATCACCACACCTAAGAGTCTGACGCTCTATCCGATTGAGCTAGGCGGGCGATGACATGGTTTGAAAACTTAACATCCTGACTCGTCTTTGCGGTCCGGGTCCGCCCCAGGAAGATAGACGCCCGGAGGTGAATATCAGCCACATTGTGCCGGGGTCGGCCGAGAAACCGGCGAATGCCGTGATCTCTTCCAAACCTTATCCTCCGAGCCACTGTATAGGACAACACTGTTTTCGTCGTCACCACCAACGGCAAGTCGTCTCGCAGTACCAGCCCTAGGTGAGTGAACCGCCGTTCGTGCTTGATATACTTGTTCTTACGACCGTCGCGTCTGCCGTAGTGCATCTCGCCAGCACCCTCAAGCCCTCGTCAAAATGACCCACGACGCCGTTTGGTTCTCCCGCCCCCGCAAGTACGGCAAGGGCTCTCGCCAGTGGTGAGTATCCCTGGACGCCTGCAGTCAAGCAGCGGGGAAGCTGATATGCGGCGTGTCAAGCCGCCAATGCGCGCACCAGGCTGGTCTCATCCGCAAGTACGGCCTTGACCTCTGCCGCCAGTGCTTCCGCGAGAAGGCCGCCGCCATCGGGTTCCAGAAGGTATGTGCTCTTGTTTCTTGAACCAAAGCGAACTCGCATGCTCATCCAGCGGTGTTTGTAGACCCGGTGAGCTCTGATGCCCCCGTCGTCGTCCCGTCTTCTGTCCCTCGCATCGCATTCTCTCCCGGTTTCCTATTGTCGCACCGCCAAAACTGCGCACCCCCTTGTATGCATTGCTATGATATGCTGAGCAAGAGCCCTTTCCATGCCCCGGAAGCGTCTCTGCGTGTGACTTGCCGTGCTGCCATTACAATGCCTCGCAGCAGCGAGATTTACGAGTGCAAACAACCTAATAGATCCAACAATGTGTCAATGCAGAAAACACAGTATGGCTCGCATTCCGTGCAGTGCGATATTACAGTTTGGTCATGTCTATATGATAAAGTGGCGACCGTGATCCTTCCATGAATACAACCTCTAGAGCAACGTATCCAAGACCTCCAAAAGCAAGCAACATAAGATACAGCAGAGTACAGTGTCGTTGGTCGTGTATGTCGTCAAGATATACCTTCGTGACGGAGAGACGGCGACATCATCAGCTTTCCTGGTAGATCTTGACGCTCTTCACCTCCCAGTCTGAGCGACATGTCAGTATAAACGAACTGTCGCGAAAATTGACAGAGTACGCACAGGCATCCGCAAAGCCGTCGCCGTGGTTCGCAACATAGTCGGCGCAAGTGGACACGCCGGTCGTCGTCGCACAGCTCTGGCTCTGACCGGTACCAGTCGCACCCCAGGCAGTACCTGCCCATTGACCGCTACACATAACATCAGGCAACCACACTAGCCCTTAATGCACCCCTACTTACCAGAGCGTTGTGTCGAAGATCGCCTGGTGGTCGTAGAAGTACGTCGACATGTTGCAGTCCGTGCTCGGCCAGAATGACAGTGGCGTCCCCCATTTCGAAGAGTCAGGAGAGCCACTTGAGATGTCCGATGGGATGGAGGAGCGCGGGAAGAACCAGACCTTGATGCCATCGTTCGTCCATTGCACTAGAATCATGTAAGAGAGCGATAACTTCACAGATACGCTCGCATACGCACTTGTGTAGACACCTCCGCCGATGGAGTTGAAGCCGGCACCAAATGAATTGGTGCTACTCGACTGCACACCGCAGCCAGCATCGCCTGTCTCAGCGGCAGCGCAATTGGTGCCACCCACGACGGTTCCGCTGATGCCCAACGTGCTGCTGTCCCCTGACGGGAGATTGCAGCCGTGAGAGGTGTGGATGGAGGCCTGGTTGATAGTCAGGGTGTTCACGCCCTCAACGATGTCGATCTCGCCACCGTTCGGCCAGTTGGGGCCTGCGAGAGGATGTTCAGAACGAAGATTGGTACTAAGGGGAGAAGCAACGCACCGTCAGACCAAAAGGCGGGCCAGGTGCCACAGCCAGTAGGCACATGTACGGCGTCAAGAATAACCAGACCGCCGGAGAACGTGTAGTCGGTCGTGATACGCACGCTCTTGCGGTTGCCCGACACGGTCTGCGTCGTGTCGACACGCATGTATGCGTTTCCTGCGCTGTTGATACCTGTCAGGTTCCCCGATGACTGCGAAAGGGATCAGTGTGGCGTCCCGCTCCTCTAGTAGGGCTGTGACGTACAGCAGTACCGGAATCGACGTATTGCACATTGCCATCAGTGGGATCGGATTCGGTCCAGAATGTCCAGCCGCTGAAGAACGAGTTGCCCTCCTGCGCAACGGGTAAGGGCACGCTACTTCGGACAGTACAATACACGCACGTAGCTCTGCTTCAACTTCCACGGCGATGACGACGCGGTACCCGAACTGCTCGCAGTAGGTGCGGACGCTGACGCGGTACCCGATGCCTTCGCGGACGCGCTTCCGCTGCTACCGGAGCCCCCAGACGACCCAGACCCAGACGACCCGCCGCCACTCTCCGCGAGGCCATCTCCCGTCACGCAGTAGACACTTTGCGAGCTACTGTCCTGTGACACTAGGATCGGCGAGAATGCGCGTCGCAAGTCGCGAGCCAGATTGGAGCTGCGCTTCACCGCATGTCGGTGGGCAGAGTCAATACTGCGGAGGATGTGCTCCGAGCCTCGCGCGAAGATGTTGGCCTCGGACGGGGCGGCGCTGGCGAGCAGGAAGAGAATAAGAGGTACGTGGAAGTACATGGTGGTGGTCGCGGGTAGAGATTGCAACAGAGAGAGCACCTCGCGACGCCGAGAGTGAAAACTGCCGGACTAGGCTCAGCCTGGTGGCGGGAGTGGGAGAGAAGTCTAAGAGAAGATGGCTCGGGAAAAGGACCGGAGGGCGACTCGATCGCAGCAGCGGTGGTGGGCACGAATCACGAAGGTCCGTGCTTATCAGCGTCGAGGACGAGAAGGCAAGGGGTTTCTAGGACCCCCGAAAATTGGCTGAAAGGCCAGATCCGGGACTCCCAGATTTTGGCAAAAACGTCTGGACGTCCGAACGCCAAAATGTCTGGATTGCCATCCGGCATGTCGGTCATGATACCTTAATTGTCTGGATTACGAAATCATGCCTCAGATTTTACAATTTTGTCTGGATTGCTGGATCAGGCCTTCAAATTCGTATTTTTTGTCTGGATTGACGGATCAGGCCTCTATAAAACCGATTTTTTTTGTCTGTATTGCTCTTCTAGGGCTCTGGAGAGCATTCTCGACGGTGACAGTCAAACTACATAGTCTACTAATCCTCTTCCTAGGTTAATATTTGTATGTATTTCTGTGTCATTGAGTGAAAGGCATAGACTGTATCGAATTCTCCGGGACCATACAATCAATTCTAACCAACTGCGTGGCTGGCATTACATGGTGCTTCTCTTGGATGATGTCACCTTGCATTGAGTCCGTATGTTTGCTGAACTTAACAGACAGCAAGTCGCCAGTCAGGCATTGCCATACGGAGTTTGCTCGTAAATCGAAACACATATTACCAACATATTACACGTAAGGATGAATCATTTTAGGCACCGAATATTTACACATAAGACACCAGCGGCGCCATCGTGTATTTCTATGTACTTGTCTGGACAGGTATCCGACCAGATCTACTATCAGGGAAATGTCTGGACTAAGAGATCGGGCATGACCACCAAATGGAGCTTTTTGTCTGGATTCCGATCCGGCCAAGGCCTAAAATTATCCAAAATCTGTCTGGATTAGGCTCAGGCCTTTCAGCCAATTTTCGGGGGTCCTGGGTTTCTGCGGCGTGGTGGACGAGCGAGCGATGATGATGATGATGATGAATTCAGCATTTATTAACCGCAACAAGCAAACAACGTGCTAAGACGCGGCGGACGCCGGCCTGTACAAGTGCGGGCGTTTAAACGCGCCGCCCAGACCTGCGCCCCTTTCGAGGGTAGTGTAGTAGTATATACGCGTGAGGTGTGTACTGTAATGGATAGGCAATCAAGTCGGGTTATGCGGTAGTGTCTAGGGGAGCGTTCTGAGGTCGGGACGAAACGTGCATGGTGATAAATAGTGAATAAAGAAGAAAAAGTAGTGAGAAGCATACTGTCCATATTCGGCTCTGCGGCGTCCTTCTCCTAGGGGCGCAAGCCGGCATTGCCCCCCTAGTGCACGAGGTGTCGATGGTGTTGGATGGGGGAGGTGGGGACGGTACGTCGCCGTGCAGCTAGTACCGTTTTACTCTTCGTCGTCCTCGTTCTCGCTCTGCGCCTCTCCTTCGTCCTCCTCTCCGCTCTGGTCTCCCTCGTCTTCGTCTGCTGGGTCCTCCTCTCTCGCGTCTTGGTCCTGTTCTTCTTCGCCCCACCCTCCTGGCGGCTCTCCCGTCTTCGTGAATGCGGGACGAGCGAGCGAGGCGGAGAGAAGGAGAGACACTCGAGGGCCAATCAGCGCGGCATGCGGCACCACAAACACGAGGCCATTGTCCCCTCGTTTTGTCCTGCGTGATGCGCTGTGCTGTACTGCTTTCTTGTTCGACGGCTGTGGTGTGGCCATGGTTTCGGCGGCTGCGTTGGTGGCGATGGCGGAGGAAGAGATGCGCAGTGCCAATTTCCGGGTCGATGCCTGGCCAGTCCCGCGACGGAAGCTGTCATGACCAGCGTCTGTGGCCCAGTGTGGGGGCCAACTTGAAAGTTCGCAGACTTGTGAGTAACTCTGACTCTGACCCTCGCCTCGCGGATTCACCTCTTGCAGAGGGACGGCGGTGGCAGTCGATAGCTACTGCTCTCAAACTGCTCTGCACCATGTGGCGGACAAAGCACGGTTCCTGAAGCTGCCACTGCACGCAGCTGAAACTGAAAGCCGCTGGGAACCCGGTCCAGAGAAATGAGCCGTATATGGGCGTCATCCAGGAGCCTAACTTATTCACGAAACGGGAAGTACGCTCTGCGTGCAAGGTTCCTTGCGCGGGGCACTTGGCCCTCAGGCTATGATGACGGTATGATTGGCGAGGTGCGTAGATGAGCTGCTAAACTGAAGGCGAGTCTGCTCGGGAGCAGGCTAGGTTAGGCCCTCGCTCCAACCTAACTTACGTAGCCCCGGGATCCATTGACTGCAACACCCCCATGGATGGTATGCGGTCGGATGCCCTAGAATGGGCTCGGGACCGTCGGTGGGCATCGCATGGTCATCCTCCTGAGCGCCAACCTGGCCAGTTCACCCGAGGTACACATTCAACACCTGTTGATGCGCCGAAGGTCGGATATGCTCGACATCGGAGTCGGAGGAATAATACCGCGTGCTCATTCTTTACATTCATCGGAGATATTCAAGGTGGCTGGATGTTCTGTCAATCATCGTGACAAGCGCATCCATCCTGTCTATGCCCGATTTCTCCTGGCGGTGTGCCTTGATGCTGAACGCCCAGAACGTGCATTGCATACAGGTGAGGAAAGCCCTGCTTGAGAATATATAAAGGTCTTAGCCAAGTCCCACAGAATACCAGAAACACGAGCCTTTTCAATTCACCAGATGCAGCCTCTCTCACTTGCTATCCTCCTTTCGCTGGCCGCAGTCACAGCGGCCCAGACATCTTGCCCTTCAGCGATGCCGTTGTCGCTTTGCTGCGTCAGCCTAGGGCCTTTCAGTGATAACGAGTATGTTTGGGAGAATGTATGCGGGGTGACAGTCCCAGACACCAGTCTCTTGACTGCGTCTGGGTGTGAAAGCAATATACCGCAGTGGTAGGTCTACCTCTCCGTATCTGCGCTGGAAACTGCATCCCCATCTGACCTGTTGTCTATTAGCGGGAGTCAGGAGTACCAGAACATGTATGCGGCGTGCTGCCAGGAGTATCTGGGTGAGCCGCTCTAGCTTACGTTGTAGTTGTCACTCAACCTTTCTTCCGTTCAGACTGCCCGAGCGAGGACGGCGCCGTTGCGTACAATTGCACCGGAACACTCCTGCAGTGATTCTCAGCGCGAGCTACCGCGCCCATGACGCCTTTGTCGTATATTGAGATGCCAGACAGTGCGGCTAGGGGAGGATCCTTTGATTACTATGGCCCGTCGCATCCGCATGCGTATATATGAATTCCGTAGTGCTATGATACGTTTGTTCGTTGGTTATGTGGTTTCGTCGTCGCTCCGCTGTGTGTAAAGATTATTACCACAGATACCTGTACTATCCCAGTGCGAACATGCACCAGAGAGTACTAGTGTGTCCCTGGTGTATCGTTGATTTGATTCTCTTTGAACCACGTCAGCTGCCTAAACGGGTCACACGCGCGGACGTGTTCGCAGTGGCGCCCGGGCAGGGTAACTGAGCGCGTCTCGCGTCCCAAGCATTCATTTTCTATCGCATTCCTACCATGTCTCATCCCGACGGCTCAACCCAACAGACACGACGGAGACAAGCTTACCAAGATGACCCCGCAGGGCTTGCGAACGGAAAGAACTCGCGGCCAGACGCTCTCGCAACCTCGCTGGAGAGCATCTCGGTACGGCCTCGAACGCCCAAGACCGCGCGGGGTCGTCCGTGGGATGAAGATGGGCTCATGGACGATGTCGAATTGAGCCTATTGGACAAGGAAGAGCCTCGGGAGGCCGAGGCCGACGTGAAGGATGTAAAACGGCCCATGTCTACACGCGATAGACGGGCAATTATCCTACTCATCATTCTATGTGAGTGTGACACTACGCGGAAGCGCCATTCGAGTTGCTCATACTACGTGTTTGAAGACCTAATACAGGGCTTTCCTGTGAGTGATTGTTGTGCAAGAGGCGAGCTGATGCTGACGCCTGCACCTCAAGCTGGGCCTCGCACTAGGTGAGATTCGCCATAAGGTCACTCGGCTCGCTCGTTATTGACCACAGAGGACAGGCTCCCTCCCATTCCTTCTCAGAGAGCATCTATCATACTCACAGCTCGCCACTTTCTCTCTTGCGAGTTATCCTTATTCCTTGAAACTATTCTGGTCGCCCATAGTCGATGCTGTGTACACCCCCGCACTCGGCCGACGGAAATCCTGGATTATCCCCATGCAGATTCTCGTCGGCTCCATCATGACGATACTGTCTTTTTACGCGGATGAGATGATGCAAAACGTTTGTACGGCTAATATTAGGAAGTCCAGAGATCTAACGAGGCGCATATTAGCCTGCAGAATATATCAACGTGCTTACTGCCGCGTTCACCACGCTCGTGTTCTTGTCTGCCACTCAAGGTTCATTACCATATGTTTTTGTACGCCCGAAACCTGACTGACAAACCCACGTAGATATCGCGGTTGATGGTGAGGCAGAGGAGACATGTCCAAGCCAGCTGTGACCTAACCACCACCATTTGGACAGGCTGGGCACTTACGCTGCTCTCTGAAGAAAACCTGTCATTCGCGTCCACTTGCCAAACTATTGGTCTGAACACTGGGTACCTCCTGTCTTACACGGTGTTTTTGGCTCTCAACAGTCAGGCGTTTGCGTACGTGCTCCCTGTCACTACTACTTTTTCCGATTCTAAAGTCTCGTAAAATCAGGGAAAAGTGGGGTATACCGCGTCTCGAGCTGGGCAGATACTTGCTCTTCTGCAGCATGATATCATTCGGCACCACCATATGGTTGTTCTTTGAGAAAGAGGTATGTGGTCTTCCTGATACCCAAGCATAGTATATCAACATCCCGCAGGACGAAGATGCCGATGTCGACATGAGCATCAAGTCCGTCTACAAGACAATGTGGACCATATGCCGTCTAAAACGTCTGTATCCCGTTAACTCTACAGCAGTGATTGGCAAATTAACACCTCCTATGACAGACGTCCGAACGCTTCTAGCCGTGCACCTCTTCGCCAAGATAGCATTCCAAGCTCACGACGCTGTCACATCACTCAAGATGGTCGAAAAGGGTCTCGGACGAGAAGACATGGCGGTTGCTGTCCTAATCGACTTCCCGTTCTCGATCTTGGGTGGCTTATTAGCGGGACGCTGGTCCCGAGGCGATAAACCTCTCGATGCTTGGATCAACTCTTACTGGCCTCGCCTGATTCTAACACTCGCTTCTACTCTGACCGTTTACTGGTTCCCCACGCCGCCAATCTCCACGGCGTTTTTCGCGCTGATCATTATCGAGACTGTCGCTGCATCATTCGCTTCGTGAGTCTATTTGGCGTTGATCTATTGAGACAGATATTCTGATGCCCTATCGTAGAACGATACAATTTGGTGGTATGGCTGCATTCCATACACGAGTGTCTGACCCGATCGTTGGTGGTACCTACATGACAGTGCGTGTTCCGATGTTCAGCCATACTATCATGATGCTCACGTCTTCGCAGCTGTTTGCGACCTTTTCCAATCTTGGCGGAACGTGGCCAAGATACTTCGTTCTGAAGGGAGTCGACTTCTTCAGCGTCGCTACCTGTCAAATCGGGGATGACATCGCAGTACAAGGTCGGTGTATCGGCTGAGAAGCGTCTGTGATTTATAACTTACCATTAATTTATGACAGCCGCTGAATGTGTGTCCGAGCACGGAAAAGCGGTTTGTGCGCAGCTGGGTGGCAAGTGTGTAACAGAGCAAGATGGGTACTACACTGTATCTGGGATTTGTTTGGGTCTTGGTCTGTTGTCCGTTGTATTCTTTATGATCCCCACTGCTCGAAAACTACAAGGTGCGCACCGACACGTTATACATACGCTTTCTAATGACTCAACATTGACGATGTATGTCTATCCAGCTATTCCTCCGAGTAGGTGGCGAGTAATCTCGTCATGAGGGACTAGTCGTAAATGTTGGGATCTGTATTTATGTTGACGCGGAGCAGACCACGGAGACACTTTCAATGACTCTGTACGGAGCAGTCGTTGTACACGCGAGGAATAGAAGAGACAACAACACAGTAGTGGTCACCATGGCTCGGCCGAGAACAAGGCCACTGTGGTTTGTGGCTGAGGTGGATGGCGCCGGCCCTGAGGTTGGTCACGCTGGCCCTGAGCGCGGGAGGCCACACCAACTACACTTCGTGATTTTTCACATTACACTCGCGCTGCTTCGCTGCCTCTAAGCTCGCAATTCCCTACCACCCGCCAAGCGGTTTGCTCTCCGACTCCGAGTACTTCTGTTGTCAAAAATGACTACAACAATGCATTTTGGTCCCGAGTGGATGCGCACCAAGGGCTCTGCTCGTCCGGCACCCGAGCCACCCCTCACATCTGCTCCTGCCGGTACATCTACCTACTCTGCTCTGGTGGCCCCCACGACGAATGGGCCTCCTGAACGTCGAGACGACCCCAACCCGTTCCGCTACTCCAAGGACGAGATACTCCGCATCTACAAGGAGGGAGGTGGCCGAGGTGGCCTGGGCTTGGAAGTAGAAAGGTGGGAGGGCATTGTTCGCGAGGTGGGGTGCGAACCGGTTGGTCTTAAGGAGATGAGCGAGTCCGAGAAGAAGGTGCGGGCATGCGTTCACCGTGTGGATGGCAATGACCAACGCTACGCAGCTCTTCGCGGGTTCGCTTAACTCTGAGATTCGTCGCCGTCAGTCGACGGACGTATTATCACCGTTGACAACCACGCTCGGAGAAAGAACCAAGCTAGGCCACGCTGCGACTGCTGGCAGCCCGATGCGCGAACGGATAGGTAACTTGACGAGTCGAAGGCGTGATAGCACAGGTGATTGAGGATCAGCCCAACGTGTTCGGGCGGTTTGATTCACAATGCACTTCGCAGATCAACAGCCTCTCGGAATACCTCGGAAGCTTTCACTGTCCTCCATACAGATTGGTACATTTGCCCCACCTCCTCGTGAAACACCTTTACCTTCGCCTAGAACACGAGTCGGGGGCACGCCAGGATTTGAGGGAGTCCTAGGCGAGTCGTGGTCTTCACGCAGGCGAGGCGATAGTCTGTCAAAAACTGGTGGGGACACTGTTGGTCGGAGGGATCGAGAGGGCACCGATTCAGGGCGGGACTTGAAGGGTCCGGACATCAAGGAGGAGGACGAGGACATGGCCCGAAAAGCAGACCAAGATGGGCCTGCACGACCTGATGGTAGGGGCACCCAACCCCAACCCCGGCCACAAATGGCACCGGCAAGGTCGCTCCCGCAGAGAATGTCAGCAGTATCAATAACGGCGTGACGGACTTGAGTCTGGGAGTCCATGAACGAAGCGTAGGTCCTGACGCTTCTGGCTCTGAACAGTTAGGTGCTGCGCCCTCACCGAAACCTCCGGGGTTAATCGACCTGTCGAGCGTTGAATGGTGCTACCTGGACCCCCAAGGGAACGTACAAGGCAGGTCATCACGGCTGAGACGGGATGTAGTTGATCTAAATATCTGCTAATTGTAGGACCCTTCACTGCGGACATCATGCAACGCTGGCAAAACGAAGGTTACTTCGCTTCCGAACTCATGATGAAGCGCAGACATCTGGATACGGAGTGGACGTCGGTTGGCGAGATGACACGCCGTGCAGGCACCAAGCCTATTTTCCTCACACCGGGCGTAACGTCGGCGGCACCCCCGGGTTTACGGCGGCCCGACGTCCTCGCAGAAGGACCCAGTCTCGACAGGAGCTCCCCTCTGCAACCTGTTCCTACAGTTTCCAGGCGCGGTTCGACTTTGGATCCGTACCTTCACAACGGATCCAGCGCCTCTTCACCATCATCGTCCTTCGGGGGTGGCAGGTATCTCAATGGCTCCCCGGACCCGAGCAGTCTCGACGGACGGACAAGTACCAGCTTATACGGAGAACCTGCTGTCGGATCACGTCTAGCAGCGCTGGCGTCAATGCCGTCCCTGCACAGTCAGAGGCGACCAACTCTCAACGATCCGTTTGACTCGTCAGCGGGACTGCGACACTCATTCTCGCATACTGGGTTAGGCAGGGGATTGGACACCCAAGTTCTCAATGGTATGTCCCGTTGGCTCTACAGACACAACAACTCATTCTCCATGGTGCACTAGGTATGAACGGCTTCGGCTCGAGCACCAGCGCCCAATTTGGTCAGTATGCCACAGGCTTCGATGGGCCGAGGACAGATCTGGGAACAACGGGACTGGGAATGTACGGGAGCAGCCATGGCTTAGCCGGTTTGCGCAGTGCCCAAGACATGCCTTTGGGACAAGCTGATCAGAGCTCCATGCAAGACCTCAGAATTCCTCCGACGCCATCGCGAGTTGTCCATCGTGATATGTACGGCAAGCCTGTTGAGGACACGCAGTCCTCGTCTTTTGGTGTCGCCCCCTTGAACATCAATGATATCCCCTACTCTCCCAGCGTACAGTCTGCGACACAGGCACAGTCGATCCCCTACTCCTCGTCGCAAGACAATCGGTCGTTACACTCTCATACACATACACCTTTACTTGAGCGCCCGCCCGTTCCTCCAATAGCCACGTTCGGCTCGAATCAGCAATCGCACGGCGCATTCGTCTCTTCTCCCGTGCGCGCAGCGGCCGCCCCTCAATGGCCCCCGCAACCCGCTCCCGCTACACGCCGCCCCGGTCCTTTCGACCCTGACTATCCCACAGTCGGCAACACTGTGATAACCGGAATGTCCACTACGTCCGCGACATCTTACCCACGTTCAGTGCAACACATACCTTCGAACGTTCAGTCCCCATGGGGTCCTGCGATTCAGCAAGGCCGGCCGGTGAACGGATGGGGCAAAGACGCAAGCAGTTTGACTGTGGAAAATCTTGGGCAACATAACCAACAGCAGCACGATGTTCCCAGTCAGACGACCCGCGTTTCGGGTCATCGTGTCCCTGAAGTCCCGGTTGCGACACCTGAGCCCGCACCAATTGAGCCGGCCATCGGTGAACCTGTTCCTTCTGCTGCCGCGCCCTCGCTCGCAGAGCCTTCCCGCTCGCAGAAACCTCAACGCAAGTCTTCGACACAAGCCGCTGCTCCTTCGACAATCGTTCCGAAGACAGCGGTTGCACTTCCTGCGCCAATCAAGCCTCCATCTCCTTCACCTGCACCTGTCGCACCTACCTCTGCTTCCGAACCCAAGGCCGCATGGGCTACGGATGAAGAGGCGAAGAAAGTGAAACCGTCTGGCGCACCTCTGGGTTTGCGCGAAATTCAAGAAGCGGAGACGAAGAAGTTGGAAGCGCGCAAGGCTGCAGAACGTGAACGCGAGCGGGCCGCTCGCCTTGCTGGAGGTACCTCACAGGCCGAGAACTTCCAGCCGTTCACAGCGTCGTGGGGCCTTCCGACGTCGCAGGCGGGTGCAGCACGACCCGTCGCCACCCCGAAGGAGCCCGTTACTTCTCCCGGATCATCCGCAACCACTCCCGCGACGGCTGTATGGACCAACACTGCCAACCCGGTGACTAAGAAGACAATGAAGGAGATCCAAGAGGAAGAAGAGAAACGCAGGAAGTTGGCATCCAAAGAGAAGGAGACGGTGGCGGCAGCGGCGAAGAGAGCTCATGCAGATGCTACCACGAAGGTGAGGTGCAACGACACACGCTTAGGACCGTCTTCTTACATTCACTTCCTCTGACTAGCTTGCTACGCCTGCGGTTCAGCCGTCGGGGGGTGCGTGGACCACTGTCGGCTTAGGTGGCAAGGTGGCGGCAGCTGCTACGCCGGCGGCAGTACGGCCCACGGTCACTACGACTACTTCAGCGAAGGTCGTTTCAGGCGCGTCATCTCCAGCAGTGGCTCCCCCTACTGTTGCCGTTCGTGTTACCGCCACACCGGCAATCCCACCTCCTCGACCAGCGATGACCACTAAGGCGTCCTCGAGGGTGGATGACTTCCCCACGCCTCCTTCGCAGGATTTCATGAAGTGGATGGGCGATTCGTTGAAGGGACTCAATAGCAGCGTCAGCTGTACGTTCTTTCGTCCATCTGCGGCAATAAGATACTGATTGTCATTTGCAGTCGAGGAAATTACATCCATGTTGCTGTCATTCCCGCTGGATCCTGACCCATCGACGGTCGAGATCATTTCAGACCTTATCTACGCCAGTAGCACGACACTCGACGGTCGTCGCTTTGCGGCCGAATTCGTGAGCAGACGCAAGGCAGACGCGGCGACCCGCGCAAAGAACGGCACGCCCGCCGGGTCGTCCGCGAAGGGCGTGTCCATTGCTGACGTCGTTAAGGCGCAGCCCAAGCAAACGCAGCAGCCGGAATGGGGTGGATTCAAGGTGGTGAACAAGAAAAAGAAGGGCGGCCGTGCATAGTAGCAGGCTACCATAAAGAGGCTACGAGGACATGGGTGTGTACAGTATGTGCCTTGTACTCTCTGTCATAATGTTGCGTGCTGTAATATGTCGTCTCTCGTTGATGCTCTTGTCGTACCGTATAGCCTTTGGATAGTGCTAGTGACTAATAAGAACGATTTCACCCACTCTTGGCTGCGTCGAAGGCGATCGATGACAGCATCATGAAGCACAAAATCGGTACAGAAACGAAGCATCATGGCGCGGTACCTCCCTTGTTCTCCCCTGCCAGAGAATCGATGTTAAACAGATTCTCTACCTCCGACATGCTCATGGTCGGTTCCTGATGATGTTCACCGAACATATCCGCGCTGAAACTTGATAGATCAATCGAGTTTAGGTCGAATTGCGCATCGTTCGAGTGTCCTGACGGCCCCCCAGGGTGTTGCTGGGCAGCGTTGAAGGTCGCGAGGATTGAGCCAGGAGAAGGCGCTTTCATCGCGGTCGACCGTGGATGGGACGCGTCGCCGATGCTGTTCGGCTGTCCGCCTTGGTTGGAAGGGCCACCCAACGACGCCAGGATGTCTCCCATGTCACCGGAAGCGTTACTAGCATTGAGCGCGTCTGAGAAGAAGTCCTCCTCCTCTTGCTTGGGCTTCACGTCAGGCGCCATGTTGGCAGGGCCGCTACCCACAGATTGTCTGCCATGTTGGCTGAACATATGCGAGTTGCCGTTGCCAGCAGCTGCATCTGCGGCAGCACTGAACAGTTCAATGTCCATGTCTAAATCGAGCTCGATCGGCTTGTCCGCGGATGTCCCGGCGGTGGGGTCCAGCGATACCGACGTGGCTACACCCGTGGCCTGGTGCATCTCCATCTCTGGGTCGACGGTTAGGTCGATATCCACGGGTCTGTTCGCCGCTTCTGTCAGCGCAGCCATGACGAGCTCCTGAGGAATCGCGCGGTGCTGAGACTTTGGCGCCAGGGTGACTGGGGATGATAGTCCGCTCGGGATGCCGGCTAACAACTCGTCGGGGTTCATGCGCATGCTGGTTCCGGAGAGATCAAGCTTATGCTGGAAGTTGGGGCGCTGCAGCGATGAGAGTGAGACGGTAGACTGGCGACGCGCAGGGGTTGGGAGAGGCTTTGGGCCTGCGCTGTCGGGCGAGGACTCCAGGGGTTGGCCGGTGAAAGGGTTGGACAGAGAAGGCGATGTCGGGGAGACCATTGGTGACGAAGAGGACGTCGATGCCTCAGCCGCTGCTGCTGCTTTGGCGGCTTCCGCAGCGGCTGCATCGGCTTCAGCTTCAGCCTTCAGGCGTTGCTCTTCCCTGCGAATGTCGCGCTGCAGAACAGCTATGGCACGTTGCTGCAGCTTGTCAGCTAAAGTACACGAATGACTGGGGCATTACTTGCCAGCTGAGACTCAATCGCATCGCACAGTTGATCGTACTTCTCGACCTCGCGTCCGAGAGAGGCAGTGAGTGAACGGGGTGGTCGCGAAGCATACCGCTGTATGCCACTAAACGTGTTCAGGCACTGACAGTGAGTGACACAAAGATTCAATATGAGCTTTGAAACGTACAGTTTCTTAGCATCTGCGTAGAAACCGTAGACCTGACCGGTCTTGACTACGGCACTCTGAGATACGCATAGCTGAGACGCGCCCCGTGGCCCAAATGACAGGCTACTCACTCTTAGACAATTGGAAAGAGCGTCGACCTCGGGTTCCAAAATACCCTTTGGTGCAACAGGATCTGGTGGAGGCGGCATGGAGGTGTTCTGCGGTGCCTTTGGACCGCCAGTACTAGATGCAGAGTCGCGTCCAGACACAGAAGCTTTGCGGGGTGCTTTCGGTGCCATAATGCGATGATTTACCCAGTTCAAGGTACGAGTACGCGTGGTGGTGCCTCTTTCCGTCCGCAGATGTGCAAAAGAAGGTTGGAAGGGAGGTGCTGGTTGGCGAATGCCAGACGCGAGGACTCTTTGAGATTAAGGCTGGGCGCTGGGCGTTTGAGCGATGGTGGTCCCGGTTAGTCTCCCCAGGCAGACGTAGACAATTCCTTCATCCTTCGTGCCTCAGGATATCCTTGTCGTCCCGGTCAACTCTAGCTCAGGCCACCTTGAGAAGTGCGACCCCGAATCCGCGAACACCCATACTGAGATAATGTACTGACCACCGCGGTCAGCTGATACACATATTTCGTTGATACTCAGTGCAAGAGGGTATACAGGATATATGCCTAAGAGAATCTATCGTCCACTATTACACGAAAGCTACAACCGACCTTCCATGGTCCTAGCGAACACAAATTACAGAATAAATCAAAGGAGTGAAAGGAGCGACAATATATAGGGCGCCAGTACGGGCAACATTCTGCGTCTGCGTCAGAGTCCAAACCGCTTCAAAGGCTTTTCCTTGGCTTGCGAAGGAACTGATGTCCGTTCACCAGAAGCACCCAGAGGGACCGACCTAGGACCCATAGGAGAGGCCATCGAAGGATGGCGATTTGGCGCCAGGGAACCAGTGTGAGTGGTCCTCACGCTGCTCTGGCGTGAAGGTAGATCAACACTTGACTGTGTATCACTGTCACCGGGCTGGAGCATAGTCCCCAGCACTACACCGGGGTGCCGATTGGGCACCAATGGCAGCGCCCGGACAGAAGGCGTGCTTTCCGTAAGCACAGGAGAGCTCTGGGACCAGAACCTCGGTATGTTCATGTCCAGCGTCCGGGTCTGGAGGAGATTTGTACCAGCGGAATCAGTGCTGTTCTCGCGCGTCAAGACGGGTCTGCTCGAAACCGACGATGCCTCGCTCGGATCCGACTGTGACGACACGTCGGGACTCGGTGAGTGTGCGGAATCGTTCGTCTGTCGTGTGACCAGCGCAGGAGAACGTCCAAGGATAGACGAGACGTTCAAACGTTCGCCAACGGCGACTTCCGCATTGTCCACAGAATAATCCGAGGTCATTGAAGACGAGCTGGGCAGCCGATCGCTGTCAGACTGCATGACGGGTCGGGGAAGGGGCCTGAAGAAGCGCGGGCTGACAACATCTTCGGGGACAGTGTCGAGGCGCGTCGACAACGGTAGAGGAACCGGGGGGAGCTTCCGCAGTCTCTCTCCTTCTGTGCGAGGAATCGACAAGCTGGGTAAAGGGCCGTTGGATTCTGGCTGGGGAACGAAGCTTGGAATGTCAGGGACTGCTTGTGGGTGTGGCTCGTGTTGTTCTGCATGCGATGCATTCATGGCCGAAGGAGCGGCTGCGGCGTCGGACAGAGACGGAGTGGGCTCGGGTGGTGCATTCAAACTGGCTGCCTCAACACCTGAAGGAACCGTCTCTTGAGAGCCTGCGTTGATGAAAAGTTCAGGACTGCTCAGACGTAAGGTATCACTCGAGGGTGCGTCAATCTCCCCCGCAGATGCAGAGATAACCACGGACACTGCGGGGGCCGATGGGGGAGCACCCTCAGAATCGGCGACAGGTTGCGCTGGAGCTTGCTCTGCAGCGTCCTCGTGGGAGGGTCGAAGTGGAGTACGTGGAGGTACAGCACTGCCACTATACGTGCTTCTGCGCTCAGCAGCGTTCACGATCTGCAGGGTAGCCGCGAGCAGGGGGAGGTTCGGGCTGTTCGGCAGCGAGATCGGACTGTCGACGAGCGCCCTCCTAGTACTATCCACCACCGGCACAGGCGACAGCGCGTCCATAGCCCGCATCACCGTCGGCGAAGTCATACTCGGATTGCTCGCGGGCGAGGCGCTGCTCGTATACGCAGTGCCGGGACTCTGCGACGCGGTATCGCTCGACTTGCCCGTGTCCGAGCGCAGCGAGAAGTTCGACATGTCGGGCAGCGGGGTGGTGTCAATATAGACGTTCCCGAGGAGCCGGTCGCAGATCCGCCCCGTCATCGGCATCGTGTTGACCGTCTTCACGCTGTCCGCCCGCGCAGGGAGGTCGGGCGTGCTCATGTTGTCCATCCAGAACCCGCTCGGTGCGACGCTGTTCGGCGTGCTCGGCGTGGTCCGGTCGCTCGCGACCGTGCCGCTGATGCGCTGGCCCGTGCTCGGCGTCGCCCTCCCGTTCGCGGCGGAGCCCCGTTTGGCGGACGGCGGGCGCGGGAAGGACGCGCCGTCCGGCCTCGACGCGATCTCGGACTTCGGTCGTCTGCCTCTCTTCATTGGTGGAGTAGTCGGCGGCGTGTATGCGGTGGGCGGGGTCGAGTGATGTCCGGTGGGAGGGGCGGACCGTTGAGCAGCGGGGGGCCATTTCTTCTGAGCGCCAGCGGGGGGTGATCCTTTCGGAGGGAGGGGCGGGGGTGTCTTCGACGACGACGCGTTCTCTGCAACCACGTTGCGATCGGTAAGCTGAGGTATTGTGACGACAAGATGGGGAGCGGTGGGATGGGGGCCATATCGGGCCTGTGCAGATACGCCCCCATTGACCTCGACTGTCGACGCTTGCGAGGCAGCAGGCGGTGGGGTGGCTACAGGGTGCCCTGATTCCACGACGGGTTGCTTGCCTTCCACGGACATAGCAACGGAATGCTCATTCACGCTTGTCGTCGACCCTGTGCTGACCAGGGTGGGTGGCGGAGCTTGCAGCCGCGATGCGTGCCCCGGGCTCAACAAGCCCGTCCTCAGGCTGGACGTCGACCGCTGGTTCCGCGGCACCCGATCGTCCCAGCCGTCCCGGACAAGGTCCACGGGCGCTCGAGTAGCGTCGGTCCGACTTCTCCCACGTCCGCAGAAGAAGCCGTTCACTGGAGGCCCGTACCCCTTGTAAGGGCGCTTTCTGAAGTAAAACACGGTGGCGCCGAGCGCAAGCAGGACTACGACGCCCACAACCGTGACAGCAGCGACAACGGCAGTTGTTTTAGATTTCCGGCAGCTGGTTGCGACGTCCGTCGACGTCGACAGATCCACACGAGTACTGCGCGAATTAGCGATGAGAAGGCCGCTTGGACGCATGAAGAGATGCGACGCACGTATACACAATGTAGTCGAGGACTGCCAATGTACTCGCCTGGGCATCAGCGGTGGCCCCGCTCAACAGTGTGAACGTGTGTGTCCCCCAAGGGATTGTGTCGTTCGCATACACAAGGGTGTTGTATTGGACGATTCCGGCATCATAGGGATTCGCATTTTGCGTGTAAGTGCCCGCCGTGTCGCCATCAATGAAGAATGTCAAGTCCGTAGTGAGATTGGGGACCACAATACAGTAGACATAGAGCGCGGATCCTAAGTGCCACTTGAGTGCTCCAGATTCATCGTCGCATATGCCACAACACTCACCAGTGAAAGATATCTCGGCGCTAGGAAGCCCCCACCCAGGTTCGTACTCTGCACCGGCATGCCATGTTTTATCATAGGCATTTGCAACGTTCGGACAGACAGTCTGGATCTCTGACTCTGTGCAGTTCTGCTGGACACTCCAGAGTTCCGCAGGGTGATAAGAGAATTGTGCCCCAGTAGCCACATCCCCGTCCGTGTCGTCCACGGTGACATTGGTCAGGAACCACGCCGATGCAGACACGACATACCAAGAGACGAGCACGAGGACACGGATGATCAGCATAGGATCACGCAACGAGAGGCCGACACGACCGCTGGCCTAACCGGATGGGCCAAGACGGCAGAGGGCGACGACGGAGTGAGCGAGGGGGGGCGAAGACCGAGACGGCATGGGTGAGAGCAACTGGCGAGTATAGAAAGTCATCAGGCATCCCCGTCAAATAGATGTGATGAACGGAGACGATGGGCCGGACAGCCATATCCCGACAAGGCCACATCCCGGTATTCAGTATCCGTCCTGGGACCTGCCCAAGGGAGCGGTAAGACCACTATGCGTGGGCACGAAGACAGTGCAGGATGAACGGATTTGTCCGTTGCTAAGGTTGTCCAATGGGATGGCCTTGAGATGCGTCTATCAAGCTGTGCTGACGAAACAGTCATCAGCACTCGAGACTGCGATTGCGATGGGCCGATGGCGAAGCCTATCCGAGAGAACTTTGTTCGCAGGTGTATCCCTCACGAGGACAGCACGAGACGGTCTGAGTGGGAGTGTGGTCTGGAGGAGCCCCGCATTGTCTGTAACTGCATGTATCCCAGTAGGCGGGTCATGCGGTACCGCGCTCTTCGCGTTTGAAGTCTGGACGCTGCACGTCCAGCACGCTTCACCGCGACAGGTGAAGCGTAAGGATTAGGCAGTTCGACATTGACCAACTGTCAACGCGTCTCGAACAATCTGACAACGCATCTATCTTGCGGTGTATGATAGTACTTGAGTGTGTGGTGGCTGGTAGTTGAGGCGAGCAGTTACTGACCGCCTTCATACTGACCGGATTTTGGAGGTCGGAACATTGACACTCCACACAGTTCAGTGGTGCAAACTATCGATATAATATCATATATCAGCATCTGATGCAAAGTTCGCCCTGAGACTCACGAGGCTTGTCGCAACTTACGTTTGTGCACATTCCCACTGCCTCTAGCAGCGAGAAGTAAAGCGGGAGCAGTACAGAAGGCGGTATCACAAAAGAGTCAAGCCAGCTCGCATCCCCGTTTGCTAGCCGAACACGAAGAGGGGGGAGTATGATGGCGACTGGCAAATGAGAGTGTTGCATTGGCGGAACTTGAAGGGACTTGGACATTGGGCGCGCACGGTCCACGTAAACTGTAAATGAGTACATGGTCTCCCGAGTCTCGCAGGTACCGGTCCCGCAAGTCCCCGAAGCAGGCAGGAACGCGGTTCCCACCCACGTCCGAATGCGACTAGCGCGGCGCCCTCAAGTGACATCACCCTCTGATCACCCTCCCTGCCCGCCACCTGCGCCCGCGCATGCTCCCACCCGCCTACGTCATGGCCCGCCACCACCGACTACTTCAGCGCATCCTCCAGCCAGCTTGAACACACGCATCCCCATCTCTTTCTCCCTGAACCAGCATTCATAATATCACCTTCACTCAACACTTCACGACCTCCACGAACGACGACCACCATGTCCATGCTCCGCACCGCACTCGCATCCACCGCCCCCGCCGTCCGCGCCGGCACGCGCGCGTTCCGCGTCTCGCCCGTCGCGGGCAAGTCTGCGACGGAGAAAGTGAAGGAGGTTGCAAGCGACGTGCGTGCTCACTCCCAGGGTCAGCGCGTATAGATTGACTCACGTTGCGCATGCGCTCCCAGGTCAACATCAAGGTCGGGCGCTCGCTCGCATCCGCGATCGAGAAGGGCGAAGAGGCAACAGAAGCCACGAAGGAGACATTGAGTACGTCGAGCGCGCGGACCGGGCTGAACAGTCACTGACGGCGGGAGTAGCTCCGGCAGCGCAGAAAGCGAAGGAGGCAGCAGGTCAAGCAAGTCAGAAGGCGAACCAGGTGAGCAGACGCACTGTGCTTCCTGCCGTGCACCATCCTGACGCATATATGCTGCAAAAGACCTCCGCAGGCGTGAAGGAGGGCACACAAGACTTCAAAGAAGACGTCAAGAAGCAGGCACGCAAGTAGGCCTCCGCGTCGCTCCTGCACATCACCAGCATCGTGAGACCGCACCGGGGATAATGTCTGTACCTCACATCCTGTAGCATATCCACATTGTACTTGAATGCATTAACTTCATGTCGATCATTACACCATTTGGCGACTGCTGCTAAACGTAGGGTAGGGGTATTGGCCATGACCCTATGCGGAACCACAAAACGAAGGGAATTGCTAAATAAGAAGAATGTAAGTATGACAACCATCCGCGAGAGTCTCTAGTCTCAATGATGACGAGGCGAGAGTTTTAGGAGGCAACCATCCTGGGGGAACAGGGTCGCGATGATCCTGAGCGAAGAGAGGTCAGTCTTCGTCACGGGTGACATGACAATCACTACTCACTGGACTTTGTCGCTCTTCTCAGTGAGGACATGCTCGAAGTCCATGAGAACAGCGGCATCCGCGAGGACGATACCCATGTTCATCATAGCGTACTCAAGCCCAATGCACTTGTGCGGGCCGCTCCCGAATACGAGGTAATTCCGCGGGTTCTGGTTCGCGCTGCTGTTGGGGTCAAGCCAGCGCTCGGGCAGGAACTGGTCGGGCTCAGGGAACACCTCGGGGTCGTGGAGCGAGTTGTAGAACGATGGGATGAGCATGCTGTTCGCGGGGACGGTGTAGTCGGCCGAGATCGGGAACGCCTTCGTCGTCTTGTACGGCACCATCGTCACGGGCGGCTTCACGCGCAGGCTCTCCCTCACGACCGCACGGAGGTACGGCATGTTCTCGATCATCTCGAGCGTGATCGGCTTCTCGTAGTTGCCCTGACGCACGCGCTCCTGCTCCTCGCGCACTTTCGCGAGCACCTCCGGGTGGTCCGCCAGGTGCTGGAAGCCGTAGATCAGGCCGCTGCTCATGGCATCCTGGCTCGCGAACAGGAAGGAGAACACGACCATCGCCATCTCGAGGTTGCTGAAGTCGCGGCGGCCCTTGTACTCCGGGTCCGCGAGGTCGAGCACCCACTGGTCGATCATGCACTGCGGTTCGGCGCCGGCCGCCATGGCCTTCTTGCTCTCCGCGGCCGCGTACTCGAGCCAGCGCAGCGCGATCTTGCGGGCCTGGATCGCGCGGTAGACCTTGGTGCCGGGGATCGCGAGCGGGAAGTTGACGAGCTCGAGCGCGACGGTGATCATCCAGTACTTCTCTGCGATCTCCCTCGCGGCGTGGTCGGGGATGTGGGGGCCGCAGAAGACGCGGAGCGAGGTCTCCATGTTGAGGTCGCGCGCGGGCATCATGATCGGCTTGGGCGAGGGGTCCGCGGCGGCCTCCTCGAGCCATTGCTTGAAGTACTTGCGCGTGATCGAGTCCTGGATCCCCACGTACACGCTGGATAAAGCGGGGTCAGTTGCACGCTACTTGGCGGCTTCGATGCGGCGCATGACGCACCCCAGAGCCTTGCGCGTGAACAGGCCGTTCAGCACCCTCCGGTACTCGACGTGCACCTTTCCGGTAAGGAAGACCCTGGAGGGGAGGAAGGCGGTGATAAGTGAGATAGCATGTCATCGCGTGCGTCACTGCCGCGTACCAGTTATCCGGCCGCAGGATCTGCTTCGCGGAGTGGACGAGGCAGGGCTCGGCATGGGTGGGCGAGTTGAGGATCTTCCGCGAGAACTCGTTGGTCGAGGCCATGACAATGAAGCTACACGAATTAAGCTTTAGGCGTACGCGGATAAGACGGCGATTGCGGGCCTACATGTTGAACACGCTGAGCGCGCTGAGGGCACCGGAGTTCCACTGCTTCATGTATCCTTCCATGGTGGGCTTCAGGGAATCCGCGAACTTGCCAATGACGGGGATTGTCCAGCGATCACCGGGCAGGTGGCGCTTCTTGTAGCGGTAAACCGACTGCTCGAGAGCGAGTAGTGTCAGGACGACGGCCGCGGTGGTGTAAAGCCATGTCACAGCCTCGGACGACGAAGACAGGAAGGGGACGGTGGGGGTGCGGTGGGATGGGCCGCCGGTGTAGGACGGCATGGCCGCCTTCATCGACTCGTGGTCCTTGAAGAGGGACGCCATGGCTGCTGTCGTCGTCGTCGGGCGGTGAACAGGGGAGACCAAAGCGAACAGACGACGTCTCGTAAGTACTCGAGTCCGGTTCTGCGCAACCAACGGCGTCGCCAGCAATTCGGGAAGGTAGAAATGTTCGTTGCGCGCCCTCCCATTGGCTCCCCAGAAATCATTCGATACGGCGAATATCGTCCAAGCGCCGCAGCCTCCGCCGGTCCGCACGTCCAGCCCGGCCGAGTCGGCCTCCTCGCCGCCCAATCCTCCACCTCGCCCCGCCCCGCCCCGCCTCCATCCCGCCGTCGTCTCCGGGCCACAACTACCGCAGCACCTAGCGTACGGATGTGTATAGAAAATCACAAAAAAATCAAATCACGCAACACGCAGACTGCACGGCCATCAAATCAATAATCCGGGGCTGGACTGTCGGTCCTCGGGATTCCATAAGCCGCATGACGAGATGTCCGGAGTGTGCGGACAGCAGATCGCAACCGCCTTGCCTGCGTTGTACACCAGCTGTACAATCGCAACTTGAACATGGGAATTGTAAGGTAAAAATAGGGAGCTTCATTGACGATGCAGTAGACGTGTGAGTGGTCGAAGGGCGCAACCACGACCGTGTGGGATTCGAAGCGGCTGCCGCTTCCTGCAAATGGTCTTTACGGACTGACGTTGTGCAGCTGCGCAGTGTTGCTATGTGCGCCGTCTCATCCAGAACGGAGATGACCTGCGAGTTGCGAGGACGAGCAGCTTGCAGCTCGATGGAGAACTCCATGTTGTGTCCGTCTGTGTGTATTGCATATCCTCATGGGGACGTATGCCTATCACTGAAGTACTGACCAGTGGCAGCAACTCCGCAGGGATAGACAGGCTTGCGACAAGCGTTGGTCGTCGCCATCCAGTCCACGCGGTGCTACAGCATGGGGGAATCCTTGAAATGCTGTCGCGTCCACATATCGTTCTACCCCCGCCGAGATAGGATATGCAGGTGGGATTGGCCCGGGTAGCTCGTACAGGTATGTTCATCTGCGCCGTGCGGCCCTGCGCCGTTGGACCCCTTTCGAACGTCGAGGGTGGTGCTCTGAACCAGTCGATCGAAGGTACTGTATGCGTACTATGCGTAAGCCACAGCTTGCCTCCGCGCCCATGAAGGCGGTATCGCGTGCGTATGGACACATGCAAACCATATCGACGCAGGCAAGGAGGCCCGAGCAAGAACGCGACTGGTTAGGCCTTGGGTGGGATCAGACTCGCGTACGCGCAGATTGTGCGCCCCCTGTGTTCGTCGGGCAATATTGTGCATAACTTGGGTGGCTACGCAGGCCGTCATCTCCAAATTTGCACGATGCAGTGGCCGAAACCTGGTACGCATCAAATGCCAGTGACTCAGCGGCGTTCCCCAAGGACGAATTCTATGAAGATGTACGAATCAGCCCGAAATCAGCCCCTTGGCCATGAATAACATTGTCGTCAGTGAATCCTTCCCCTTTGATAGACCCTGTATACGACATCTTTGACGGGGGAGCATGGTAGTCAGTGGTGCTACTTTGACTCTGGCAACGGGTGGTCAACAGATGTAGATGCGAGCGTAGAAGCTTAAGACTTGTGCGCACATTGATATGTCTAGGACTAGATCCGAGTGTCTTCCTAACAGTTGTCAAGTCGAGTAATGCTGTTCGTGGCACGTTGATGCGTTGGTGGTCCTGGTGAGCGTGAACTTGTTTACATATGAGAATCTCCGAAGAGAACGGTAGGTGGTGGCCTTAGGATGATCAGTCGTGTTGGTCTGAGCGTGGCCCGACGCGTCGCTGCGACAAACTAGGAAGGTGGTGTAGTTCGCGCCGCTCGCCTGTCTATCACACACCATGATGGACAACTCGTAATGTATGCATAGTTACAGTAGTACTCAGTGTCCTAGTGTCCGTGCATTGTTTGAACCCGCAGTATCCGGAACTCCATCGTACTGTACGTAAATGAAGACAACAGTACTAGACATCGATATTTTTATTACTTACAGTGGCACACAGCCTAAGCACTCAACTGTTTGTCCAGGCAGTCCAGCTTCAAGCTCACCGGCACCATCCGGCACAGATATCGTAATCGAGGAAGAATTAAGAATATAGTAGGGGTATCAATAAACTGGGTATCTTGATAGTCGCGGCCTTCACCGCCTTGATGTCCCATTGACAGATGAGCTCCTTGCAGAATCGGTAATGTTCTGGGTGGACGGCCGCTAGGAGACGTCAAACTCAAGCTGCACCGGATAATTCGAGTATGACTCACTCTTCTCGGATGTTTCGGAGGGCTAGTGTGAGGTTTGTCAAGCGATCTTTCCGGCTCTATTGGCTGGAGGAACGATCATCAGTCGAGGGCTGGAGCGGTAGTGATGCTGAACACTTACCAGCTGGATGACATGCTCGACTAACGTGCTGGGGTACTCTATGGAGGTCGCCATCACCCTTTGGCGACCTGGAGGAGGATTTGAAGGTGGGGGTGGGGTGTTATCCTGTGTTTAATGAACAACGTATCATGCATGAGTTCGGATAACATCTGAGAGGATTTCTGGACTTTACCTTCGACTTTGTCAATGATTTCAATAACGAAGCCCCACGCATAATATCAAGCACGGTTACACTGTTACAGGTGGTAACGCAGGACGTAGCTAGTAGCACGACGCACGCCGCAGTGACATGGGCGGTCTTATATGAACTGCAGAAACGCCCCTGAGTCACCTCACCGCTCTAGCCGACCTACCGTCATCCGCGGCGCATCCTGAACGCCCGATGATGTGTCTACATAAGCACCGCGAGTGTCCAGAGACACCTGGCCAAAACTTTCGTCAGCGTGCCTTGAACACAGCGAAGATCTGGTATTCGATGCTTCCATATAGGTCGTCTAGTTCCACCCCTTGCATAAGCATGATGCTGAATCGACGGGTTCGTCGCGCCAACTTGTCGGAGCTTGTCTGCTTCTCGGCCTATGTTTCCGTATAGGCTTCCGTACGAGGTTGAATCCCGATCACTCTGGGGGCCGCCTTGAAGTCGCTTGGCTTCCCCGCCATGCCCAGAGTTCGCGCGACGCAGGTATTCATCCTCGCCTCGCCGCGAAAGACGTGAGGTGACCAACGCTCCGAGGAGACTCGGGGCAGACATGTCCTGCCCATCCGAAGCGGATGGCCGAAAACACCAGCTGCTAATTTTACCGGTCCGCAGCGATTGACCGACATTCAGTCGTGCACGATCATGTGCGTGCGCAAAGAATGCGATTGGTCAGGAATATATGCAGCTGCGTGGCCTATACGTAGCCTGATCGCTACCCATCCTGAACGACGCACCTGAAGAGGAACATGGAACGGCGCTTGGACGCAGCGCATTGGTCAGTCCACCTCGTGATGCTTACTGGTGCTGAGCAGCACGAGAGGTATACTTGCTTCAGGTGACGAGAAACGATCAGCGAGAGGACGGCACTTGAATAAGCAGAAGGGCCGCGCAATGTTCCTGGGTCTTCTCTACCCAATCGTCGTTCGAAATGGGATGCCCCGTGATCGTGCCTTGGCATCTGAAGTTTAAACTGTCGCGTACAGAGAGATCTTGTACAACAAAGGTCTACAGCCTTGGGAGAGTTGCGTACGAATCTGTCCGACTACACGTCAGTTGCGCTTCACTCGTAAAGGCTCACCGCTCATTCGCTAAGAGCACTCACAGAAAAGGTTCGAGCAGCGTAGTCGCCCGTGATAATCACGACCTATCCCAAGTCCACCCTTTCGCCGCCCATTCTGGCATTTCGGTCTCGAACGAACCCAAGCTAGTGGTATACCGCAAGGCATGCAAGAAGATGTACAGACGCTCCGGTTTTGGATCAGGGTGCAGCGGCAAGTAACATTCTGGGCAATATGAAGCTGCATCGACTTCGGCAGGCGCCTCTGCAGTCGGCGCGGGTACCGAGTCCGACAAAGAAGTAGGCAGCAGGGCGGGCGAGTCTGCTGGTGGACACAATACTGGTGACGGCGGTGGGATGCGGAAAGACTCGAGCTTCGCAAGCGCTTCTTCCACCGTCAGCTGAGGCGGCTGCTCCTCCACCTGAGGGGCCTCGTTGTCAGCAGCATCAGTGCTGTCATCCTTACCGCTCGGTGCATCCGCACTGTCCTCGTTGGAGATAGGCGTCTGCGCCGGCCCGCCTCTTTTCCGCCTGTTCTGCGGCGGCAAGGGCACATTGGCGCCGTAGGGCGATAGAGCACCCTTGGCACGGAAGACGACGTCCCGCCAGCGACTCCAATCTTCGTCTTCGTCCTTCAGAAGCACAGTAGAGAAGGGCGGATGAGTCAACATATGTCTAACATGCTCAGCGCAATGATTGGTACCTTCATATTGCGAAGCCTCGTGATGATTCCAACCATATCGGCGGACAGCGGGACGGGCGAACCCATTCCGATATCGTGACCGGTCTCGCGGGGCAGAAGCTTGGGAGTAGACGTCGGTGCATCAGAAGCCCCGCTGGTACTTTCGACTCCGTGGCCTTCGTCTTGCTCAGCAGTGGTACTTGAGTTGTCAGATGAGGAAGGACGGGTTTGCTGGGCAGAGAGGTTTTTTGTTAGGAGCTCTGGATTATCGGCGGCAGAAAAGCCAGACTCCTTCGGAGGGGCAGGAGCGGCACGCTCCTCACTAGGTGTCATATCGACACCTCCCTTGCCTAGTTGCTCGCCCTACGTCCAGGTTTGTCAACGATTTGTACCGTAAGGTCTCCCTGACAACCTACCCAAATTTTGGTCTCCGAGTATACGGGATCATTAGCGACAGGAAACCCAAGGTACTGAAGATGCACCCGTATTTGGTGGGCTGATGCATGAGTTAGCTCTTAGTACGGGCTAGCAGTAGTTTAGTACGAACAGCGACCTGTCAGTGGACGACCTGGTATACGAAGATGAGTGTACGTTGACTGTTGGTGGGTACTACTTACAATGCACGACGCTTGTGTCAGTGTTTGCGTCATAATGGAGACGTCTGAATATCGTTTTTGCTGGCTATTCATGGCTAGATGATGAACAAATAATTGACTAGGAAACGACATTTATCTGACCTTGCCCTCGGGATGAACGACGTTCAAGCCCATCTGCCTATCGATTGTGAGTAGTGGCTCGCCGCAAGTGACCTCGTTTCTAGAAAAGGCACATGAATGGGTATACACCAAAGCTAGCCAGACGGCAGCTCACTCTGGGAATTGACCTCTGCAGCGTGCTATGTATTCCTTCTGAACCTTGCCATCCGTGAACTCTTGTGTCAAGGTTTTTGCTAGTGACGCATTGAGAGGAATGATCATCATCCCAGAAGTGAGTCGGTCCAGCCTGTTGATTGCTACATAAACGGTGACGTGAAGATCAACAAACAGCACTGCGTTCAAAAAATCATTGTACATACTGTAAACTTTCTTCATGCCGAAGTCGTTTTTAAGGATCTCAGCCAAGCTGTTGCGCATATACCGCCCAGCCGCATGGACCGGCTACAAAGGGCTAGGGTCAGTGTGTTGGCGGGCCCAGAGTCATGATCAAGCTCACTATTGATCCAGGCTTGTCGATGATGATGAACCCGCGCTCTTCGTCGCGATGCACAATACGGACGGGCGTCGACGTGACCGGTGGCTCATGCCGATGCACTACATTCCTATACGTGGACGGTGGTCATGTCAGGGCAAAGTACGTTCGCGCACTCCTCTACAACGCACTCTATGCGGTCTCCATTTCTGATAATCGTTCCAGGCTTCGCTATCTTGCCATTGATCGTGGTGACTCCGGATTCTAGGGCGTATCTCTGACCTTGTCAGAAGACTGATCAAATGAACGAGCAGTAGACGAATTGGAACGCTTGCGTACATAGTATTCCATAGAGCGATCACGAAACTCGGTCGATACCATCTCTAGGAGCTCTCGACCCAACCAGCGGCCCTTCGCCATCGTAGTAAATGGGTACCAGTAAGGCGGTATTTTCTTCAAGCCTGGCCTTTCCGCACGGTGCTGCGTGGTCGCGTCATTACTGATGAGCGGCTCGGACGCCATGGTGGTTAGGAGGAAGCGTGCAAGGACGTGGCGGAAAAGCTCGTCGTCCGGAAGCGTAATGAGGGGATAGTGTACCCTGGAAGGCCGGGTAGACCGTCTCAGAAGCCAGGACGAAGATTGACGAATGTGGTGGGAATCCACTTTGCCCGCAAGTCTGCTCCGTCGTCACAACGAAAAGAGGGTCTTGCAGACCGTGTGTGTAGAACGGATTGAGAACAAGTGCGATGAGTCCGCGAAGAACTGAGGTGAAGTCGGACGGTCGTCGATCGAGATCACCGGCTTTCCCAATATGGAAGCAATATGCTACTGAACGCCATGTTGTGAGCGCCCGCCCCTTCATTTGCCACACGTTTCTCTATCGCTCAGTTCTTAGCTCTGAGCGAAACCACGACATCCACACGAGATACTGTTTATGTGCCATCACTGTTGCGAGCAGCCTGCTCAAGCAGTCATGCTACATCTTCGAGGAGAGGGACCTCAAGTATACTCTACTTGTGTGCGTCACAAAGGAAAATCTACGTGGTCCAAAAGCTCCTCCCACTTGAACTCCGCTGGGGTCTCGTGGAATGCCTGTAATAGCTTCGTTCGCGCGTCCCCTCCACCGGGCCACAAGTAAAACTTCTGAACCGAGAGACCAAGCATATGGGCATCCTCTTGGCCCAGCATGTAACGCCCGTCGTCGGCACCGTTACCCACAGATGCGCCGGAGGAAGAAGGCGTGATCTCGCCCCGCATGAGGACAATGCCGTGGGAGTGGGCCAAGTCAGTATAGTGCGTGAGAACCAGGTATGGCGTGGCAAAGGTCTGGCGAAGCTTGTACTCTTGCAAGGGTGTGAAGAGGACGGTGCTCGTCTGCGAATTGGACGAGGGCTTCGGAGGAGCGAAAGGGTTTGGATTCGCCAAGGGTTCCGGTGGCACCCCGTGGAATCCCCATTCCATGAAGTAGAACTCGTACGCGGACTTGTCCGAGGCCGGCACTTCGGTCTCGGGCTTGGGTCGTCGTATGGGCACGACAAAGCTGGAGTATTTTGAGGCGACATCGATCATCCTGTTGTATTTCGCAACAGGTATGCAGGCGGAGACGAAGCCTCTACCCGTACCTCCGGAACGTGAAGAATGATATACATTCCACAGGTCCGAAATATGTTGCGCATTCACCGGGCCCTTCAGAAGTTTGTCAAGCTTGATGATGCTGTCTAGAGGCTAAAGTGCAAGTCGTCGTGAACATTGTGATTGTTGTGAGATTTTTGGGGCAGACCTTGATGGGCGAGCTGTCCCTACGACCAGGAGAGGGAGCAGCAGATGATGATGACACAGATGTCGAAGTACCTGCAGCGCCAGCAAGTTTTGGCTGCTGTCGCTGTGCCTCTAGAGCCAAACTTTGCTTCCGCCTCTCCTTCTCCTGTTCCTTGCGCTCGTTCAGGAGTTCCTCTACCGATTTACCATGCCTGCGGTATCATGAACAAGAGCACTACAAACTGAAGCGGGTTACCGTACTCTTCCGCACGCTTCTGTAGCTTTTCGCTGTATTTTGTCCCGTAGTCAACACCACGCGTAGCCTCGCTATTGAGCTGTCGCACGAGAAGCGAAGTCCCACTGACATTGCATCTTGGGAGTGGTCGCCTGAGCGCGGATGAGGCGAGCGCGGCGCGACAGGAAGACAGCATGGTCGTTGGGCAGAGGCGCAGAGGACGCCCGTCAGTGTCACGTCCGGCGTGGAGGACCGTTAGGCGACCACGTGACTGCGTGCAGGGATACGGCCGAAGCGGCGACTCCGAGGGTTGGTGACTTCAACGCTACTTACCGACCTCCATCCCCGGTGCGGTCTTCTCTCCTGGCCAGCGAGCAGCAGCTCGCTCGGTCTCCTGAATCCGGCGTACCCCACCCAACATGGCTTCCTCGAGCAGAGCGCACGAAAAGAAACGCGAACGACCAGCGCCGGTGGATACCGCCCCCACATCGGTCTCGACCACCAGTAAGCTAGACGTGGTATCCAGAGCAATCATGGCACCGTTCACACATAGGAAGCATGACTCGACCAAGGTGCTCGCAGACCGTACGTGTCCATCCCACGTCTCCTTGTCCGTACGCGTGCAGACGGCCTTCACCTGCAGTGGCCCCCGTCATCATGACCCCTCGCATGATCAACGCTGCGACCGTGTCCGGGAAGCCACGCGCATCCGTCGGAGGGTCGAGTGCACGCATGGACTTTGCGACGCTCGGGCGTGCGCCCATGCAGCTTACGCTCGGCAGGCGGCGGGTCACCTCGCGCGACCTGGCGATTGTCGAAGCCGCGGAGGAGCTCCTGAACGAAGAGGTCCCGGAGCCGGATGGCGTCGCGCAGAATGTCAGTCTGTTGCGAGGGTTCAACGCGACAATACCTAGCGCAGACAAGAGTCGGGCGCGGCGGAGACAGACACGTAATGTGGAGACTCCACGGCTGGGCCTCAAGAGGCTAGGGATGAGTGCGCGAGGCTTGTTAGGCGACGAGGAGGATCATGAAGGAGAAAGTGTGGCCAGTGAGGAGGACATGGTGATGATCGGGAACACGGTGGGACGCGGGCGTAAAAGTAAAGCAAGACGGAGAGGCAGGGAAAGTCTGAGTGCAGGGAAGACGTTCGGGAGAGATGAGTTGGTACGACAAACGCAGGAGATCGAGCGTGACAAGGAGAACATTCACGTCCGAAGAGTAAGTATCCAACCCTAGCGTCCTTGCATCCTTGCTGAATTCACCCTTGCAGGCACTCGTGAACAGCGAAATTGCGGAGATAACCCACAAGATCGAGACACTGGACGCGATGCGGGCAAAGCTGGAGCAGGACTTGCTAAGGCTACAAGAAGACGAGCTTGAGCTTGATGATGAACGTGAGTTGGCTCGTTGTATCTGTCCTTTGTTGTACTCAGACATGCGCAGTCGAGGGCGTGAGGGAGAGACTTGAGCTCGAGACAAGTCGCACTCGCGGAGTTCATGCAGATCATGTAGTGCAGAGTTCACGCAGACGGAAAGGTGCGAGGCAGTCCGAGTTCCGACTCTGCACATTCAGTCTGACATCCCCTGTAGGTCTCACCTTCCTACCCTCAGAACATGACGAGCTGCCACCAGGGGTGGCATTCATGGTTGGTCGCATATTCCACACCCAAATTCATGCCACTCACGTCATTGCAGACGCTCGAGAGCCACACAACGCCAATCACCGCTCTAGACTTCTCGGAACCGTACGGCACGCTAGTGACCGCATCGCAAGAGGACTCGCAGCCGCGCGTCTGGGACTTGCTCACGGGCGAGGAAATCGGGCGGCTGCGCGGGCACCAGGGCACGGTGAAGTGCATGCAAGTCGAGGACCAAGTCTGCCTGACGGGCAGCGAGGACGGGACGGTGCGGGTGTGGGACCTGCGGCGCGTCGACGAGGACGAGGACTGGGAGGGCGAGACATTCAGCCTAAGCGACGTCGCGGAGGAGGACGAGAGCCATGACGGCGCTGAGTCCCATACGAACGGTGTCCGGTCGGTCTCGAGCAAGCCATCGAGCGTGGCGGAGCGCGAGGGACCATGCATCCGGTTGCTGGAGGGCCATACCAAGACCGTGTCTGCACTGTACTTCGAGGATGAGTGCCTTGTCACTGGTGCGTCTGACAAGACGATGCGGCAGTGGGATCTGAACACGGGCCAATGCGTCATGACCATGGACATCCTCTGGGCGATCTCGCACCCGCCTGTGACGACGCCCGGGAGTGCAATTCCCAGCCACTTGTTCGCTGGGGCAGCTGCAGCTGCAGGGACGTTCGCTGTGCCGACACCTCCGTACGCGGATGGGAGCTGGGATATGTACCAGGACTTCGTCGGCGCCGTGCAGTTCTGGGGCTACGCGCTTGTGAGCGGGAGTGGGGATGGGGCGGTTCGTATGTGGGACAGTGAGTGGCCTATGGCTATAGCAATCCCGCAGGCCCAGACTGACGATTGATGGCGTAGTGCGGACTGGCCAGCCTCACCGCACGCTCCTAGGCCATACGGGACCGGTTACGTGCCTGCAGTTCGACGAGCTGCATGTAGTCAGCGGTAGCTTAGACAAGTCCGTTCGCGTAAGCACGTCCCCTCGACTGCGCGTCCGCCAGATACTGACTCTCGGACACGCAGATATGGGACTGCGTACCGGAGGTATCTTCGAGACGCTCAAGTACGATCATGCTGTCACCGCGCTGCAGTTCGACACGCGCAAGATCGTGGCCGCCGCGGGCGAGAACGGCGTCAAGGTGCGCACCTCTGCACGCCCTCTGTGCGATGACCCTCGTCCGACTGACTGCACGCTCTAGATTTATAACCGCACGAGCATGCAACACTCCTCGCTCAACACGAACGGCCACACAAAACCGGTCGAGCGGTTGCGCTACATGGACCGGTACCTCGTCTCCGGCGCGCGCGACAGCACCGTCAAGGTCTGGGCTCTATGACACGTCTTGGCCGTGAATGTCTTCATGCAGATACGATAGCGGTAGATTCATGACATGCAATACGGACCCCCCAGATTTAATTGCTTTATCAAGTGTAGCATACATACAGCGTATTTCTCGGTCGTCCATGCAATAGAACGTTATATAGGCCCTGGGAAGGCTCTGATATCCTAGCTTCCGCGGTGTGACATGAGTCGAGCGGGTTACACATGGTTGTGGTATATAGGACATGGCCGTTCAGATCGAATGCTAGCGGTCTTATCTATACGTCGTCATCCTATCGTTGAATTCAGGACGGCCGACAGTCAAGCACGACTAAATCAACATTGGTTCACCTAACGTACATCGCTGCTGGCTGCAAGATAGGTTCGTGCACTGCGTTCTGACGTTACTGTCTACTACATGGTCCATGTCCAGATCATGACTTGGCAGGCTCAGCTCCTCCAATGGCGGCGGGCCGTCGTCGTCAGAGTCGTCGTCCTCTGCGCCTGCGCCAGAGGAGCCCTCGCCGAGGTCGCCCAAGTCCCCTGCGCCGCCGCCACCCATGCTCTTCATCATCTAGTGAGACGGACTAGTCAGCAGATGAGCACACGAACAAGCCGGCGAAAGACGTACCTGCTCGAAGTCGATACCGCCCATGCCGCCCATACCGCCCATACCACCCATTCCTGGCATGCCACCCATACCACCCATGCCACCCATTCCTGGCATACCACCATGCCCCATACCGCCCATACCGCCCATACCTGGCATCCCTGGCATACCGCCCATGCCACCCATGTCGGGCTCCTCTTCCACCGCAGGCGCCTCGCCGTCCTGCTCGTCCTCGTCGACCCACTTGCTGAAGTCAGTCTTGATGAACTGCGTCTTGATTTTCTCCTTCATGAGGCGCGGCCAGAACTCTGCCTTTTTCTCCTTCTTGCGGAGGACGGCCGCGATGTGGCGGCTCGTGAGGGTCTTCACGGACTCCTGCACGATGTGGGGGTGAGCGGGCTGATCACGGTGGATCGTGATGGACGACGCACTTCGGGGACAATCTCTGAGAAGAGGTCGAGCTTGAACTCGTAGTCTTTCTCCTCAATGCCCTTCGCCGCACTGATTTTGAAAATCAGTCGTGGCTCGGAAAAAGTGTATTCAGCAAGACGCACTTTCCCGCCTTGGCCTTGAATGATATTGATGTTGGAGTGAGGTCGTATGTCAGGGTGTCCGGCTGGATGTCGGGGAGGTTTATCGTGAGGTAGAGGACGTTCTGGAGACGCGTCGGGACGCGTCGATGGCCGATCGCGCCGGTCAGACATTTGGCCGTAAATAAGAGGGCGTGATGAGACTCACCTTCTTTTCGTCGACCTCCGAGCTGCGCTGCGCCCATAGCACTTCGGATGGATAGCCATTTTGTCGTGGACGTGTGATAGAGGGTGTTGTGTGTGCAAACGAGGGGTCTAATAAACGCACGCTGGGACGGAAAGATCCCGAAGTCTGAAGAACGCGTCTGCACCACTGCCCGGCGTCTACCGTCCTCCCCACGACGCGCGGCAGGAGCATCACGTGCGCTTCAGCTTCAGGGCAGGTGCGCTGTGTCTGCGGCGCGGGTGCGGTACGTACGATCGCACAGTGGTACAGTGCCGTTGTTGCCACCGCCGCCGTCCTCACCCCCCGTCGTGACGCCTCTAGCCCTCAGTGATGCGGTGAGTCATGCATACGATCTCCAAATGTTCGATCTGATACTCATCACCACCTCAGGTGCACCCGCTGGTATCTACCACTCGTGCTCTTGCCATTTCCCATAGCGTCACCATATTTCCTCTGGCTATTCATCTTCTCCACCACACTTCATGCGCGTCCATGGTGAGTAATGTGCCCTGCGCCTCTCTTCACCCAGGCTGACCGTGACCGATTTCGCCCCAGCTTCTACTGTATCGTCCTGCTCTCCGCGCTCTTCATGACATCATGTTACTGGCCCCCCGTTCCGCTCGAGAGCAGTCTGGCTGTTCCCTGGGCAGATAACATCACCACCTACGCAGACGCGCTCGCCTCACTCATGCCAGAGCTCCCAGAAGACTTGAAGCCAGCCGATGTACCCATGCTAGATCGCTGCTGGTGTGACTTCTCCGGCCCCGGCTTCTTCGAGCAGCTCAACGTGACGGACTGGGAGAGGCAGAGTGTCCTGCGGTTGAAGGATAGGCTGGAGCTTCAGGTGAAGGCGCGAGAGGCCGAGAGGCCACCTGAACCAGAACCGGAGCCAGAGGAAGTGCCTTCCACAGTAGCCGACGACCCCACCAAAACCCCGAGCGAAGGCACACCAGGCAACTCGACCGACGGGGTCGCTGATGGGGCCATGCGTTCCAAGCTCTCCGGAATTTGGAACAAAGTGGTCGCCTGGCCCTTCCCTCGAAAACCACAGCCCAGCGAGGTACCACCGGCTGAGGATCCGACGATCTTTATCAGGCCGACGCCTTCGAGCAGATGGCGCTGGTCCCGGAAGGACGACTACACGCCGCGCGTGCGGAGGCCAATACCCATCATCACGACCCACACGACGACAATTGAGCCCACACAGTCACTCCTCCGGAAGAAGTACGACTTGCGCCCGTACGGCTTCGCCGTTGTCCTCGACTTCGGTTGGGAGAAGAGCGATTCATCATGATCTCTTGACCCCCTCCCTTGTCTGTCGGGCGTTAGGCTCTGACCGGCATGTTCACGCGCACTGTAGGACTAGACACGAAAAGTATTGTATCTGTATAATGCATGCTGCGAGTGGTGGGGCAGCTCGGACGAGCCGTGTGCTGTATGTGCATACGGCTTCTGCGACCTTCCTCTCTATCTTGCTTTCCTTCGCTGCCCACTGTCCCGAGTTGCCGGGGACGATTCCTAGCTCTTGTTTTCTGCTTGCGCTGCAGTGGCGTCTCTCAATCCATGACAACGGACAGCGATCCGCGAAGCGGGTGCGACAACACGGCCGTGAATCGGACGGAACTCACGACCTCAGGCCTCATCGATCATCTCCCAGGCTCCAGCTAAGAGCTTCAGGCACTACGAGATGTACATACAGCCGTACGCCACACGCGAACTGCAAGGTTTGGTGAACAATGCTGCATTCGCGACCGTACTATAATGCTCCCTTCAGAGACGTCAAAACAAATGGTGCTCGGCTCGGGTATTCGGGCACAGATAATCGAAGTACAGTGCTGGGCCTACCTCCCAGCGCAATATATGGGCAAGGGGTCACCCATCCATATCAGCTTTTTGGACTTGACCGCCGCGGACGGCGTCCCCGACAAGTCCACCCTCGGCAGCGGCAACAGACTGGGAACGAAGGGGGCGGAGGACCCGATCGTCTGCGGCCCCGCAGGGACGTCTTTCCAGTACTCGTCATCGTCACTGTCGTCCCGTGGTGTGACGGGCCTGTCTGGTTCGGTTGAAGGCAGGTCCCTAGCGGTATTGATGCGCACTCGCACGTCGGCGTCGCTGCTGGGCCAGAAGAGACCTTGGCTCTGTGTGGTGGGCACGAAGGATAGACGGCGGCCTGCCGGTGGGGGTGGCGGCGGGAGGGTGGTAGACGAGGCCCGCGTGAGGCGCTCTGGGGGCTGGTTCGACGTGAGCTGGAGCGCGCGCGCACGCATCTGTGTGCGGTTGCGCTCGTACTCTTCCTCTTCGTCCGTGGGGATCTCGTTGCCGTCCTGGTCGAGCCGCGCTGAAGATTGAATGAGACAGATATAGGACATAGTCCAAAAGTGCACGCACCCCATCCCCGCCTGCGACGCCGCGCGCTACCCAAGTTCGTCGGTGCAACCTCTACTCTCCCGGAGACAGGCGCAGCAGCCCTCTGGCCCCCTCGGTCTCGCGGCGCTCTCCCTCCCTCAAAGACAGTCATATTCTCTGAGAATGGATAAGCACTAGTGCTCTGTGCCGCCCTCGTCGGCCAGATGGACCTGCTCGTCCGCCTCGGTTCTGGCTCGCGCGCGGGCGGCGTCCGGCTGGGCATGAGCCAGCTGAATGGATCCTCATCCTCGAGTCATTAGAACTCGTCATAACCTCTCGCGACGACATTGCGCGCAGCGTCTCGAAGCTTGAGCCGGGCCCGGGCGTCATGGCATTGATATTCTCCATAGCGTCCGCGAACCGAGCTTCTAACGCCGCCAGGCTTTCCGAGGTGCTGTCGTCGGGTGGGACACTCGGAAACGGGATGCCCCTTGCCTCGTCGCGAGTGCTCGTCGACGCGTCCTGGCGTGCGGAGATCGTTGCGAGGAGACGCCATTGCCTCTCGCGTTGCCTCTCCATCTCTGCGTCCAACTGGGCGATCCGCTCGTTGAAGGTTGGCTGCCTCTCCGACTCGCTTTGAATTGGCTGTGAAAACCCTTGAAAGATGCTCGCAGAGGTGCCCGGTGTATTAGTGCTGGTGGTGGTGGGTAGGGAGGTTGCCGCGCTAGACAGGAGCGCTGGATTTGGGGAGAACCATGACGAGGTGATTGGGCTGGGGAAGTCGATCGAAGCGGTTCGCTCAGTTGGTCTCTGTCCCACTGCTGGTATTTCAGAATCTAATGGTACGCCCAAAGCGCGGGCTTCCTGCACGAGGCTGTTGATACTTGAGTTTTGCTGGCTGATCCAATGGGCATCTGGTTCTCGCGCGTCCGGGGACTCCAGCGAATGGATCCGGTCCCATACGTGAGGGATGTCGCGTCGCAAGTCGTCCATGGCGCTGTCCAACAAAATGCTCGGCTCTGAGCTATCCGGCTGCGAAGCCGCAGCTCGGGCTGCTACGCGCCTACCAAGTGTAGTGGAGAGTCCGTTGAACTGCTACCCTCCCTCTGCGGACGCAGGTGGCTCCTGGGCACAGGACGGTGTTGTGGCAGACGCAACTGGCTCGCCGAGTTCTCAGACCGTGGACCGAAGCGAAGAGGAGCCGTGCTGGTCAAAGTAGACGTGCGGCGGGCTTGTGGTTGTGTGGGCGTGTCTCCAACGGCAGTACGCGGGCCCGCCTGATCGAGTGCTGCACGTCCCTCGCGTAAGGTGGTGAGCACGCTTTCGGGCCTCTGCGCCTCCAGCTGCGCGCGCAAATCCTCAATGAGAGTAATCGTCTCGGATATCGTGCGACGGCGCTCCGGTCCGGGTCGGACAGAACAATAGCATTGTGGTCGGGGCCCATGGACGCGTCCGCGGTCTGCGTACCTTCCGCACTCGCCGACGAACCATTTCTCCTGGCAGCTATGTGGTCACGCAGGATGCGGATCCTGGAGAAAGTCTCTTCCAAGGCCGAGGTTGCACGCAGAAGACTCGCCTGCGAGCTGGCCAAATTCCGGTAAGCGGCGGAGGATACGTCGTTTTCGTCTGCATCGGTAGGCCCGCTTTCACTGTGGCGGTTTGTAGACGAGGTGGGCGTTGTGGCTGAGGACCCGGAGGCGGTCGTGGTATCGAGGCGTGAGAGACGCGAACCCGTAGGACCGCGCTGATGGAGACAGTCATGGGAAGGCGGAGGTGCAAAACACTGGTATTAGAATCACTTCGAGGGCAACCACGGCTACTCATCTAACCGTTGGTGAGGGCTCCGAACGATGCGCTGACATCGATATCACGGGTGGCTTTCTTGCGACGAATATACTCTTGGGATTCGATCAGTGCAACACTTCCTGGCGATGTGTGGCTCTTTGACCAAAGGATGCTGTGAAACGAGAACGAACGATGTAAACAGGAAAGTGCTATGCGGCGGAGACTGAGTTGACAATGAATGGGAAGGATGCAAAGTTGGAAGTGGTCCGGGACCGTGACGGTAGTGGCCACAGGCCAAGCGAGTGGCAGCCACTGGTAGTTTAGCCGGTGGCGGGTATACTCATCCAATGGTGAGCGGTTCAATTCAACAAACTCTGACAAGTCTCACCATCAGCATGTCAAACGTCGACCATTTGGCACAACAAAAACAGAGTCCCCAATAATGCATTGACCAGCGAAAACAGCGTGCAAACTGGAGAATGCCTTATTCACTCTCATCATCATCATCATCCTCGCTGTACTCCTCTGCCTCATCATCAATAAACCCGTTTAGCTTCGGGCCATCCTCATCTTCCTCGTCGTCCTCATCCTCATCGTCCTCGCCATCCTCCGAATCCTCGTCGTCTTCTGCGTCTTCGTCGTCTTCGTCCTCATCGTCTCCACCGAGCTCGACGTCCTCCACACTTCCACTGTCGTCGCCACTCTCGACCTCAACGTCCATCTGATCGTCCTGTTGCTGTCCCTCTTCACCCTCACTTTCACCCTCTACATACTTTGTAGCCGGTCGTCTCCGCCGGTGCTTCCCGGCTCGTTTGGGCCCCGGTAATGTAGTGGGGCCAGCGGATGAGCGCATCTCGATTTGTGAGATGACCATGTCTAACCGCCCACTTAGCGCCAAGAGGCTCTCGTGCAGGGTCAATCGCATTGTAAGGGTAGCGTGCAGTCCCGACAAACGAGCCACCAAATCTGGCATCTGCGATGCAATAATGTCAGGGCAAAGCCAGCACAACGCGTACCGGACATACCGTCATCAGGTGTCCACTGTGCGCTGCGAGAACTGCCTTTATCCAGTTGATCATAGCATTTCCCCTTTGCGAGCTCGCACCTCCTCCTCGGCCTTTCATGGTCGCACCCCTGCTACCGCGCCCTAACCGTTCCACACACGCAGTGACCAACGGCACCGCGAGCTGCGGTGGAAGCCTTCGCACGGTATTCCGTATGAGCGTCGGGTCCGAGTGGGCAAGACACGTCTCGAGCAGGCGCGCATCGGATGAGTGCAGCGCCTGGATCAGTGTGCGGGTAAGCGACGCAGCGGGTACGGCCCCGTTCGTCCCGTCGCGTCTGCGCTGTCTTGAGGACTGGGGTCCGCTCCCTGAGGCGGGCGAGTCGTCTTCGTCGCTTGACTCGGACGACCGGCCTGCGCCCTCCGTGCCGTTCACCGCTGTGAGTCGCTGGCCAAGGCTGAGTTCTGCAAGGTCGACGTCAAGGTTTCCGTCCATATTCCGCGCTTCCGCGTCGTCCATTGAGGCATCCTGGCCTAGCTCGGCACCTGTGCGCACGGCTAGAGAAGCGGACTCGTTGTATCGTTTTGTTGAGGGACCCTAGATGTGGAAAGGGGTCTGTGAGATTCAGGCTTCAAGCAGAACTCACACGCAAACTGACAACTCACTGGATCAGGTCCGGATTCATCTGCCAGTGCTGGTCCAGCGTCCTCTGCTGCACCGTCCTCGTCGGCACCTTCTGGCTCATTGGCTTTTGACTAGCGTGTGCACCTGAGATAATCGCACCTCCGGTAAATAGGGTTCGCACTCACAGCAAGTTCATAGACTGGCTGCACTCCTTTCGGGAGTTTGGCAACCGCAGGTTGTGAGATGCTAGAAGTTGCTGCAGGTCGACTCCGCGGTGGTTTGGTGCGGGGCTTCTTCGCTTTTGGGGGTGCAGAGGACATCTTTTAAGTTTGGTACTACAGCAGAGAAACTAAGCCGTAAATGTGATGAGTACAACCTGCAGTTCGGTTTGTGCGACTGCTGCCTGGGGCTTGTTGCGTAGCTGCAAAGGGCGAGTGAGAGTTCACAGAAAAATCTCAGACGCGGCTTGCCATTGGTCGGTACGCGCCTGTATCACGTGCCGGCCCGACAGATCTCTGATCGCGTCCTGGTGAGAGGAGCGCCCATCGCCCGTCCTTTGCTCCCCATACTTGCGCTCCGGCCACTAGCTTCACATTGCTATTCTTTCTGATCATTGGCACCAGCACACTGCCGGGATATATAGTACATGTACCTCGCCGATGCCCCGGACCACCCCGAGCGCGACTCGGAGCTTCACAACGGCGGCATGGCACTGGCAGGGCAGCCCGCGATCTCGGACGTGGCTTGGATGTATTGTACCCACCGTGGTACGCGAGTCTGATTTGGCGAAAAAGTCTACTTTTCTTGTGGAGAGTGTCTCTATAGACTCGGCCGTTCACGGGGGCTTTTAGGGCTAGGCGGTATGTAATCGACGCTCGCATATGCAGTGTCAGTGATATAGCTGCGACCATGATGAAGAATTTGGACAACGGTTGGTCGTTCTCAACCTGGGATCCTCGTGAGTGATCAAGCTGAGACTTCCTGTTCCGCCCAGGAACCGGTGCGATCTTCCCACTGCAGCAGTGCAGCCACAGGTCCGCAAGCTGCGCGATGCTCCTCCTATTCAGTAGTTGCGCATATCGACAGCTCTCCTCTCTCTAAAGGACCCCGGCATGGTCACGATATCGATCAAATGCATCGCGCGTTGGTCTCATGTTCATCAGGATTGCGAGAGCAGACTGCTCAAGCAGAATGATCCAAAGTTTACGGAATACCTCAGTGGTCTGCATTCCACCAGTACGTACAGACCATCAGTATACCACCCCCGGCAAGATGCCGCAGGCCGCGATGAGCGCACACACATTGTCACTGCTCATTTAAAGCTGATACACAAGGGCTAGTACTGGTGTAGTTTCCTGGCTTCCGCCCACCCTCGATCGGTCGAAATGTTGTCTGCGAGGAACCCCCCATCAACAGTTGCAGACCTAATTCCTTTCTTGGACCGAATATACGTGACGTTCGCGTACAGCACTGGCATATGGGATACGCTTCCTCACAGCTACGACGCATAGCATTCCTCAGGCATACTGCCAACTCGCCGCGAGTCGTAAGTACTAATACTGTATTACCTAGCTAAGTATGCTTCTGACTCTGTCAGTACATCGGTCAGTATTGATCATCTATGAGCACTTAGCTCTCCTCGAACAAGAGGTCGAATACATGTGGAATTGGACATTTACGGGTGTCACGGTCTTGTTCCTCGTGCACCGATACGTCCTCCTCCTGTCTGCCGTATCAGGCATAATGTCTGTCCTTGACTGGAGAGATGCCACGGTGAGTAAGATCGTTCTAACTTAGGAGGACCTTGTCTGACGTCGTGTCCCAGAGGTAATGGTTGTCCCAACTTGTCTGGCCACTCCCGAATGACTCAGAACCCTTGCCCCAAGCTATGAATGGTTATACGACTTGCAATACGCACTAACCATCATCCTCATATTTGTCATTGCATGTGCGAACAGTCTCCATCTCCATCACACACGTTGATAGCTTACGATGCATCCGCAGGGTTCTCGGCTCTTCGTGTCTATGTTGTTAGCCATCTAAACCGGTGGCCAGCGGTTATAACCCTGGCCGCAGCGGTTGTCGCTATTCCTGTTTCATTAGTAGGCTCTCACTCGACCTCGATGGGAAGTGCTGAATGCTCACAAATTGACTAGTTTGCTGACATACGATCGTCGCGAGCCTATGTCATCTTTGTCGGCTCTGTTCCGATATGTACGAAAGCGCCGACTTTCTCGGGCGCCTTGAATACTCGGTGCGTGGTTGAGCGTGCAGCATGCTCAAGTCCGATCTAACCTAGGAGGGCATAGATGTAACCCATTAATTAGTGTTGCCCTCGCTCGTGTCTGATGCTAATGACTCGTGTCTTGCAGTGATGTATGCGGTTCGGCTCAGCGCCATCTTCTCGGATCTGGTCGTGCTCTGCTGCACTTGGTCGTTTTCCGGCATCGTGCTTGACCCAAGAGAACTCAGAGGAGAATTTGTCAAGTTGATCCTACAACAAGGTGAGACAACTACTTTGTACTGCTCACAGATGCTGACATGAGTTGTAAAGGGACAACGTATTTCATGGCCGGCGTCCCAGGTGAATTCCTATTATACTGCCACGTTCACCGGGCCGTCAGTATACACACCTGCAGCCTTGCGTTGTTACTGACCCTGTCCGGATAGAATCTCTTCAATTTTGATCACACGGTTCATGCTCGAGCTTCGCGCAGTCGACAGAGCTTTCGTGTCGGATTTGTCGGACCTTCCCGGCACATGGGGGGATACCAACGATTCGACGACGTCTATCGAACTAGCTAAATTCAACTTCTCCGACGAGCGTACGTGCTCAGCAGCGGTCTAATGAGCCGACTCAGCGCATGCGCCACCAAGTTGGCAGGGCGCTCGCTCGACCGTATGACACCACCTCTTGGACGCAATTTTGGGAGAACTTACCGGGCTAGTGGAGTTGCCGGTTATCTCGCTGCCTCCGGCGGTTTTCCGCGGCAGCTAATAGTATTAGTATGGCGTGTACGAGCACTCAAATCAATCTGACTCTCACGACGATTCATTATCGGCAGGAGACTGGGCTCGCAAGTGGAGTGTCCAAGGCGTAATTTATGTCGCCGCCTCGCCACAGACATAACTGAAAAGCGTACTTCGTACTCTCCAACCCGTGGGTGATATTAGACGTGATTCTAGTATGTCTCCTTCCGAGTCTTTATCGAAAGTGGGCGTTGACGTTGAACGTGAACGTTGAGTATTTTTTGACTCTTGATGGTCGGTATGTACGCGTTTTTGTCACGTGCTACCGGACAGATCTCTGATCGCGTCTCGATGACAGGACGCGCCCGTCCCATTGACCCAAACTTAAGCTTATCCTCCGACCACTGATACATTATCATAGCCTCACATCTTCATTCACAGTCTCTCTGCCTAGTTCACTCTTTTGTCTATCATTCTCATACTGTAAAGATACTGCTTGGATATAGTGCGTGTACCTTGCCGATGCCCTGGACCGCCCCGAGCTTCATAACGACCGCGGGTCCACCATTGAGGTATGGTACGCGAATCGGCTGTGGCGGAGAACTCTACATTTGTATTGGAGAGTGGCCCTATAGATTCCGCCAGTTACCAGGCGACAAGTACTCAATCCAGCGGCAAGGCGCATGAAACGACTCTTCACTACAACATTGCATCTGTCTCGTCGCTAAGTACTTCTTTGTGCTAGCTGCTACTTAACGGTGATCGGATTCTGCTGCCTATAGCTAGTCCCCGATCTCTCGCCCATAGTCCGTGATCTTTCTGCTCTACCCTACGTTGCGCTCATCGTCTCCGTTATGCATCCCGTTCCCAGGTCAGGGAAGTCAGAGGTGACAGCGCTTTTGTTGCCTTCCGAATCGACCGTAGCGAGCGGGTGCTTTGCTATGCATGTTCGAAAGGGTTCGCGATGGACCGATGCCCATGGGACCACCCGAGAGGAATTGCAGAGGACCAGACACGAGCCGCTGGGTATCGAGAACGACGCAAGGGCTCGTAAGGAGCCATTGGGGCATGGCATCTCTAGAACCTAAGGTCGCATCAGCACCTCCCTCTACGCAGGCACAAACCTATTACAAGTCGGTCTGATGTGTTGATGAAGACGCTGGAGCGCGAGGTGGCACTCGCAGTGCGTTCTTCCCGGCAATTGATCACCGTTGAGCGGGTAATGTGCGCTTCAGGCCTACAGGCAAGAAAATGGATACGAACAAACGAACGTAGGGTTGAGAAGGCCTCGTCGTCTCATTGGCAAGTAATTAAACCGAACGTTCCAGTGAGACACCCGCGTGCTGATGCTACCACTCCCTTTGATATGCAGCGAGTTGACCCTACTGACATTTGTCTGGAGTGACCCATATTGTCACCGGAACGCCTCCCGCTAGCGTCTGTCGTTGATTCGATTTCAGCTATCCGTCTAATACTACTGACTTAAGGTCTAGTATTCGGTCATCATCGGAGCCTTTAGGGCTTAGCCGTAATAACCCTCTGACAACCTTCGCATGTGCACAGTGTCGGTGATGGCTTGGTGATGGCCATGATGATGGGAAGACGTTGGTCGTTCTCAGCCTGGGCTAAGTTCAAGCTGGGGCTGTTCCGCGCCGGGAGGCGCGCAATCTTCCCACTGCAGCCAGCTGCGCGAAGCTTCCTCCGAAAGCTCTGCACTCTCGTACTACGTGAGCGATGTACAGTCCCGGTAGAACCTATTCAGCAGTTGCGCATATCGACAGCTCCCTGAGTCCGAAGAACTCCAGCATGGTCAGTATCAGATGCTTCGCGCATTGGTCCATATTTCCTGCAAGACGCTCCAGGCTGCTCGGGATGAACGATTCAGGGGTTTGGTTACGGAAACCCTTTTGAGAGATCTCCATTCCTCCAGTAGTAGCTCCCGACCATCAGCAGCCATCAGCACACTACTCCCGGCATCGAAGATGCCGCACGCGGCGATGAGCGCACACACCTTCAAGTTGTTAAAAGCTGATACACAAGGGATTGGTGTAGCTTCCTGGCTTCCGCCCACCCTCGATCGGACAACATGTTGTCTACGAGGAACGCCCCACCAACAGCTGCAGACCTGATCCCTTTCTTGGAGCAAACGTACGTGGCGCCTGTGTAGTAGTGCGTACTAGCATACTTTGGGATAAGCTTCGCTCACAGTGACAACGCATAGCGTTCCTCAGGCATACTGTCAGCTCGCCGCGAGTCGTGAGTACTACTACTTATTCCTGAGTAGCTAAGTATGCTTCTGACTCTGTACATCGTTCAGTATTGATCGTCTATGAGCACCTGGCTCTCCTCGAACAAGAAGTCGGATACATGTGGAATAGGACGTTTACGAGCATCACAATCTTGTTCCTCGTGAACCGATATATTCTCCTCCTGTCTGCCTTGTTGGGAGTACTGTCTATATTTGACTGGAGAGATGCCACGGTGAGTACAGTCGTCCTATTTTGGGAGAATCTTGTCTGACATCATGACACAGAGGTAATGGTTCTACCAACCAGTCTGTCCATTCGTAATGACTCAGAATTTCTGCCCCAAGCTGTGAATGGTTATACGACTTGCAATACGCACTAACCACCATCCTCATATTTGTCATTGCATGTGCGAACAATCTCCATTTCCATCACACACGTTGATAGTTTACGATGCATCTGCAGGGTTCTCGGTTCTTCGTGTCTATGCTGTTAGCCATCGAAATTGGTGGTCAGCAGTTATAACACTAGTAACAGCGGTCGTCGCCATTCCGGTTTCATTAGTAGGAGTTCACTCGCCCTCAATGGAAGTGCTGGTTGCTCACATATTGACCAGTTTGCTGACATACGATCGTCGCGAGCCTATGTTATGTTCGTCGGCTCTGTTCCGATATGTACGAAAGCGACGACTTTCTCGGACACCTTGAACACTCGGTGCGTGATTGGAACCTGTAACATACTTCAGTCCGATCTAACGTATGAGGCTATAGATGTAACGCACTTCCTAATGTTGCTCTCGCTCGTGTCTAACGACTCGTGCCTTGCAGTGATTTTTGCGGTCCGAGTCTGCGCCATCTTCTCGGATCTGGTCGTGCTCTGCTGCACTTGGTACTTCGCCAGCATCGTGCTCGATCCAAGAGAACTCAGAAGAAGGTTCATCAAGAAGATTCTACAACAAGGTGTGACAACTACTTTGTGCTTGCTCACAGACGCTGATATAGGCTGTGCAGGGACAATCTACTTCATGTATGATTCAGAAATTCTGGCGAATGATAGCTCCTCACTTCCCTGCCATATCAGATGTTTGCTGGTACTAAATGTCGTACAAATCGTGATTGAAACATCGCTCGGTACACAGACAGTGGGTAATCCCTGTGCATCTCACCGTATTGTTATCTGAACGATGGCCAAGGTGAATGCCTATTACACCGCCACGTTCACCGGGCCGTCAGTACTATACACACCTGCGACCTTGCGATGTTACTGACCCTGTCCGGATAGAATCTCTTCAATATTGATCACACGGTTCATGCTCGAGCTTCGCGCAGTCGACCGAGCTCTCGCATCGGATCTGTCGGACCTTTCCGGCACAGTAGGGAACACCGGCGATTCGACGACGTCTATGGAGCTGACCAGCGTCATCTTATCTGACGGACGTACGTGCTCGACAGTGGTCTAACGGCCGGCTCAGCGCATGCGCCTGCGCCTTCAATTTCTCAGGGCGTTCGCTCGACCGTATGACACCATCTCTTCGACACAATCTTGGGAGAACTTACCGGGCTAGCGGAGTTGTGGTTTACCTCGCTGCCTTAGACGGTTCTCCGCGGTCCTCCGGCAACTATGGCAGGTGGGGGCAGTCAAACCAATCTGACATCCACGATGATTCATCGTCGACAGGGGAATGGCTCGCTCACGAGTGGAGTACCCGAAGCGTATGTCCTTTAGGCTCTGTCGCGTCACATGAATAGCTGAAAAGTGGTCGTAGATGCCCGCAGTATAGGTTTCGTATTCTCAAATCCGCGGGCGATCTCCGATGTGGTTCTGTGTCCCGCCTCAGATATCGCGGTAGGGTCTGCTTCGCCACGCAATGTGACCGCGAACTTGCATACTGTAGCGATGTCTCAGCGACAGCCCAGACTTTGAGGCCCTCTTCGACGAAGCGCGGAATGCGTTGATAGGGTACTATAGAATTCGGGCAAAGCGGATGTTGTGGACTCGAGTAATTGTTTGTATCACCGAGTATCACAGCGGCTGCCATCTTCATGAAATGCATGTGGACATATAGCATACGGCAGCAGCGATGGTGGCGTCTCACATGGTGTATAGCGTCTCTTTCGCTCATCGGGACTGGACGATAATGGTCTCTCGAGCACGAGCGTCCCACTTCCGTCCCGAGGCAATCGGGCGTGTACTATCCTTAGACAAGAGCCGCTGTCGAGGGTCTGTACGGCCTGGGTCAGAAGACTTCCCGAGGGGCTCGTCGTGAGAGAAAGCATCCACACTCGGGGGCTCTACCTGTACATGCAAGCGTCAAGGACGCTGCAAGTCAGTGCAAGACCACCACTCAGATGGAGCCATGACACCTGTTCTTTACTTGGCTTGCTGCGCGGTGGACAACGTGTCTTCTGCGTTCCGGGATCATCCTCGTTGGGAGCGCCTCCAGCCTCATACTTAACTGCCAACGCTGGTTGAGTATACGTGATTGAACCGAGATCCCCAGTTCTCTTCATCATTGAACTACGACACGCACTTCTACGACTTGCACGTTACGACTTAGGTTAAGATCATGCCGCTCACAAAGCTCTCCATCAGTCTCTCGAACAAGGTTCGTGGGCGCATCGTCGTGGGTCCCAGTTGGTTAACATGATTACTGGTGCATAGCGGTTCAGTGAAAAGCCGGTGGACTCTTCAAAGCACTCTTTCAATACTTCGAATACAACACTGCACACTATAAAACTCGTAAGTCGAGTTCGTTCTGATACGGCAGAATAACAAAAACCGTGACTCACGTTTCATAGCCTTTCTCCTTGGATGCCGCCTCCATCACATCGAAAGGGTCTTCATCTTCGACTGCAACCTCCAGCAATAGTGTGGGCCCAGTAAGTTGCCCTATACCTATACCATTACCTCACGGGTAATGATGATATACACAGGCAGAGATGTTGGACGAGGACGACCTGGCATGGGGCTCACCGCCGAGGAGGAACAAGCACAAGAAACTCAGGGCATGGTGACCCTAGTCTCAAACGCACGAAGATGGGTTGAGAACCAATGCACTGGACGTTCTGATACAGACACTTCTTGGCACGCATTACACCTGTACGCCATAAAGGGATCATACTGCACTATCATTCAAGCGCCGTCACGCAATTCAACGCGCCACACCGTTGGCAGCACAGTCCGAGGCCCGAGTACAACGCCAGGCATCCAAAAGCAGACGAGACCGATACAGGTGGAGAGGCTGACATCCATCAGAGCCTCGCCCGCTCGAAGATGTACGGCGAGAACTTGACAGACTTGACCTTGTCTACATCCGCCTTCGTGACAGGCCTGCACTCGTGTGCGTGATTATAGCCGAGTCTACCATGCGTCGATCAGGATCTGCGTTGATGAGAAGACGCGCACGACATACCTTGATCGGCCATCTTGGCCTCCGGGGCGATAGAACTCCGGGCGGCGGAGGAGACTGCAGACCACCGCGCCGCCGATGCCGATGTTGTGGACGAGACCGTATTTGCCCCTTTCGTCGGCGACGCCAAACAGTCCAGGTGTTTGCATAGGTCCAGCCCCTAGAGTGGACGACAAGGTTCAATGCGTGAAGAAAGACGCGCGATCGACGTGCACGCTTACAGTCCCGTAGTTGCACTGGAGACATGACAACAATCAGCGTGGCAGACCGCAGTCGGTGTACGCAGACTTACTGGCTATATAGAAATGCATTCCGAGACCAGTCGCTCCTAGAGGGTGACCTTTGGCCTCTAGACCACCACTAGGGTTCACGACGTACTTGCCGCCATACTGCACAAACAAGAGTCAGCCCCCACAGCGACGAAGAGGTTCAGCTTCGACCTACCGTATTGTCGCCACTTTCAACCATCTTGTGAGCCTCACCAAGGCTGCACAGCCCCAATGCCTCGTATGTCACGAGCTATGTTTCTAGCTTCTATTTATGTACGATATTGCATGTATGGAGGCACTGACCTCGTTCGCGGAGAAGCAATCGTGCAGTTCAACGACGCCAACCTGGTCCCTGCCTTCGCCCTCCTTGAAACCTGCTTTCCGGAAGACCTTATTTGCACAGTTCTTGGTCATACCATAGCCGACGATCTCCATGGGGCTCTTGCTCTCAAATGCTGATGGTTCGTCAGTACAGAGGGCTTGAGCCACGATCTCGATGGCCTGATTCTCGAGGCCATGGGCGTGCACGAAGTCTTCGGAAGCAACGATGCAGCAGGCGGCTCCGTCCTACCGTGCGCAATGAGCAAACTGTAGAATCTGAACAATGAGTAGACGATCCACCGAAGTAGGACTACACATGAACTTGGTCAGTTGCTTGTTGATTTTGGGCGCAGCGAGCACCTGTTCCACACCCCACCCATTGCGGAACTGCGAGTACGGGTTGTTGACGGAGTGCTTATGGTTCTTCGCAGCTTACTCCGAAGTCAGCCAGCTGCCCCCGACAAAGATGCGAGGCTATGAACCTATTTGAGCCAGGTGCGTCACCGTCGCACCGTACTTGTCCATGTACTCCTGTGCGGCGTTAGCAAACATCCTTGGTGCATTCGGCCCGTGATTGAGACCGCTGCTCAGATTGTGTTCAGCTTCGGCCGTTGCGTCGCTGAATGGCTGAATAGGAGAAGGGCGGTCGGGGAAATTAGTCCCCAGGCTGCCCGGTGCCATACGCTCGAAGCCGAGCGCGAGCGCGCATTCCACCATACCAAAAGCCACCATGTTGTTCGCCTGGAACAGGGCGGTGCTTCCGGTCGAACAGTTGTTGTTCACGTTCGTGATGGGGATGCCAGTCATGCCGAGGTTATAGAGGGCTCTCTGACAGCGTGCGCGAGGGTCAGTTGGGCAAGCTAACACGACTGACAGACGATGTACTGTACCTGGCCGGAAGTAGAGTCTCCATAGCAGAATCCCACAAAAGCAGTCTCAACTGCGTCATATGTGATGCCTGCGCTGAGGATGTTATACGGAGACTGCGGCGACAAGGAGGATCGCCTGACCCGCGTCAAGGAGAGCTTTAGTGGCAGCTTCCAGCCCCATCTGCGAGTGAAGACTGTTCACTGGGCCAGGTACAGTACACGACGAATTTTACACACGTCCTCAGTTGTCCTCGCTCCCCTGGGCTGCGTGGAAGTAAGATCTCACAGTGTCGGAATGATCGTGACCGCTGGCAGCTCACTTTGATGAACGCAGTGCACCCTGCACCGATAATAAAGCTGCGTCTTTCTTTCGAAGACATGTTGTTCAAGAAGAATTCACTTTAGAGAGACGTCGGGGGCTAAGCACACACGCGAGACAGTTGGAGTCGAGATGCAGCTGGTCATGTTGCCCATGGCCAACACCAGAGTCTAGAGACCCCGACGTCGGGGAGAGCGATCATGAGACTCGGACAAGTCGTCTATGGTTGCCTGTGATATCCAAAATAATCATGTGTTAAGTATTGAGATTTGTCTGATTATTTGGTATTGGCGAGTCAATACTGTATTAGTAAGTCGGTAAGTAATATTTACAACAGGTCGGCAATTGACGGGAACGGCGATGAGTGAGACGACCGTCTCACAGGCGACTTGCAGGCGACTGTCATCATCCACCGCGGGTACTAACATACAGCCAGTGCTTCACAGTACACTCTAAACCTTCTGCGTCGCCTCACGTAGTCCTCTGCTGGAGTCTGGAGATCATGTCGCTTCCGCCGATTCTTTACCATTACTTTCAGCTACCTCTTCCATATGCGCGGACCTTGGCTCTTCAGGAACACATTCACCAGACCCAGCTTCTGCGCCGGCGCTCCGGGCAGCACCAGGACTACCTGCTTCTGCTCCAACACCGCCCCGTTTACACCGCAGGACGGAGGCAGCTGCTCACATCGCCAGAGGTCGAAGCTGAGGCTGCCCGGCTGACTCACATTGGCGCGGACTTCGTGGCGACTAAACGCGGCGGTCAGACAACCTACCATGGTCCCGGACAGATCGTCGGATATCCCCTCCTCGATCTCGGGCGCAGGACGCCGCCCCTCGGCATACGCGAATACATCTGCAAACTGCAGAAAACGATCGAGATGCATCTCACGGAGGCCCACGGAGTCCAGCACACGCCAAGCGAGCACACCGGCGTGTTCTTGGACGCGCAGACAAAAATCGCGAGCATTGGTGTGCAGGTGAGGCATAGATTGACGACGCACGGGTTCGCGATGAACGTTACTCGGGAACCTCGGGCGTGGTTTGACCAAATCATTGCGTGCGGATTGGCGGACGTCAAAGCCGGATGCATCGCCGACGCGTCCTCCACCGTGGAGGCAAGCAAGGTTACTGTGGACGGGGAGATAGACGGGCTTGTGAAGAGGTTCGGGAGGCTCTTTGAGAGAGACATGGTGAAGCTGGACATGAGCCCGGGGGAGGAGGTAGTTGATGCAATTCGCGCTGCGGAAGAGGAAGCACGCTTGTTGGGCGACTGGCCCTCGAGACCGTCAAAGCAGTTGTCATGAATGCCAGAGTATTGCCATGGCGTTGCGTGCTAAGGTACGCCTCCACAAGACCCCTCGTCGCGTCACTCATGTTGAACGGACGCGTTCCATATGCCATCGTTCGGACCCGCTTACTGCACATAGGTTCATGTGGCACTTGTATTGGATATTTCTACTCCCATGCGATTTGCACCATGGACTGGCCAGCAATGGGCCGCACCGTCTGTCTATATCCGCTCGGTTGGCCGTGTACTCAAGATACCGTAGCCGATTCGGACCGTGGACCGCATGGTGAAGGCTGTCACTGTATACACCGCATCTGCGATGGCTTCCCAGGCAGCCGGCAGCTCGTCCACAGTTTCTTGTCAGGTGAGTGGTTCGAAGTCAGGCTTCCCCGCTGCACGACTGAGCATGAGATTAAGAAGCAATGCATGCTCGGTGGTAGTGCCAGACAAAATTATGGCCCGGGGCACTGAGCATGTTGTCTGTAGCCTGGACGTCCTAGGGCTCCACAGATTGTGCAAAATGCAGCTCGCGCTGCATCTGATGAAAGTACTTGGCAAGCTGTCGGCGATCCAGATATCGTCGACCTCTTGCTGGCAAGGTTGTTCGCCATGGGCTGCCGGCAAGGACCGGGGTCTAGGCCATCTGACCGGAGGACGGTAACTATGCTGATTAGAGTCACCTCGCGCCTCCTCCTTCGTGGTTAGATCTGCAACGCTGCGAGTCCTGATTTGTTCCGTTCGGCGTTATCGTCTTTCACGTGTGGACGCATTCTCCATAGAGCTCCTCCCGGAGAAGTAATGAGAAGCTGAGCAGTCATCATGGGTTCCGTCGCAGGTGCTGTCATGTCGCTCTACTCTCCGTCGAGTCCTCGGAACGTTTCTCATTGTGCCGTCACATGCAGGACTCATGTACCTCGCACCCCCACACCCTCATGCGACCGTGACGCGCGTCCGTAACCTGTCCGTAACCTTATACTTGCGTCCTGAGCTCCATCACAACCTGATCGATCGTTACAACACTGTGCCTCTCAGGACGACGCTACATTGTCGTGTGGTGGCTTGATCATTCCTTCCCAGAAAGTATATATCCGCATTTGATAGGTAAGCACCACATGCAACGCGGCATGGGCGGAAGACAAACGAATTGCGGCGTGACGGGATGCATTTTTCGTAGAGGGCCCGGATTGGACGGGGATGTTGCTTCGACCTCCGAGGTAATGTAACTGGGAATGGTCATGGGTGCTTCCCTTCGCGCCTTGCGTGTTTTGAATCTCATGGGACGGGCGGCGCTGTGAGACGAGCTGGACGGACTCTCTTCCGGAGGCCCGGAACGCTGACGCTAGTGCACTAACTCGGAAATCGCAGATGCTCGCGCACACTGGTGTCCATATGCACCCGAAGCTTGCGTGTCGGATCGCGGACCCTTGTGACGATGCCACTAGGTCGATCGCAACCTCGCTGCGCGATAGTTAAAAAGGCCTCTGTGCACTCCAGCGACCCCCAAGCTCCCGCTCGGCTTCGCACCAGGTCCCTCTCATCGGCTCAGCTATGCAGTTCACACTCTCCTCTGTCCTCGTTATCTCTGCGGTCGTCCTCGAGACACTGGCAGGGACATGGTCGATCGGCGACACGTACATTGGACAGGACTTCATGAACTCCTGGGCGTTCGAGGCTGAGGCCGACCCTACGGGAGGCAGAGTGTAAGTATGCTTGCTAGCACGCCCTGACGCCGCCAAAACACTCGGCGTCTCTACATAGTATCATGCCGTGTCACGATGGGGCGCATGCTGACGCTGTGTTGTCCTTCCAGAACATACGTCGACCAGTCCACGGCTGTGGCCGACAACCTGACCTACGTATCGTCCGATACGCTGATCATGCGCGTCGACGATACGACAGTGCTGTCGAGCAGTGGCGCCGGGAGGAACAGTGTCCGCATCAAAAGTAACACGGCGTACGACTACCACGTTGTCACGTAAGTTATGGGGCATTGAGCTACAGTGCCCGTGTACATGCGCTCACTTCTCGATAGCATCGATGTGCGACATATGCCCGAGGGCTGTGCTACCTGGCCGGCATTCTGGGAAACAAACGACAGCGACTGGCCATCTGGTGGTGAAGTCGACATCGTGAGTGTGACCCCGAAAACATAGACCTATGATCCACCCGCTGAGCATTCTCATGCGCCGCTTCATACTGCGTTCACTTGATAAGTGAGTTGTGCTTCTGTCTCGGGCCGATCGACCACTGATCCGCCGCGATATACTAGGATCGAAGGTGTGAACTCCGTCTCTCCGAACTTGGTCTCCTTGCACGTAGGCAGCACCTGTTCGATGCCCTCGTCTCGGGCAGAGTCGGGGTAAGTATATCATCCTAAATAGGGCTCTATTCAGAGTCTCACCAATCTTTAGAACACCCCAGTCGAACGACTGCAACATTAACACCGACGGCAACTCTGGATGCGGCGTCGAAAACCCCACGACAAACAGCTTCGGTCCTGACTTCAACAGTGCTGGCGGAGGCTGGTATGCCATGGAGCGCACTTCGTCGGCGGTCAGTGTCTGGTTCTGGTCCCGCACCGACAGCAGCGTTCCCTCGGACCTTTCTAGCGGGGCAAGCTCAGTCAACACCGATAACTGGGTATGTCACCTCGCTTAACGCCAGTCTAGTGCGACATGAGTACTGACTAGAGACGATTCGATGGTCCAGGGCACTCCCGCGGCCTATTTCCCGAACACAGACTGCGATCTCTCCTCAGTCTTCAGCTCCAACAATATCATTTTCGACATCACGCTTTGTGAGCCTCCTGATGTTGCTCATGGCACGCACGTTTTACTGATCACTATCGCAGGCGGAGACTGGGCGGGTCAGAGCTCCGTCTACAGTAACGCTGGCTGTCCAGGCACCTGCGTCGGTGAGATCGCTTCGCAAAGTAGATCGGAGGGTCAGGACTGACAGCCTGTGGCAGACTACGTCAACTCGAACCCGTCGGACTTCTCCAACGCATACTGGGATGTGGCTGCAGTCCGCGTCTACACCACTGAGACGAGCTCGTGATTGCTGGGCCTCCACCAGCCATACGACCTCTCACGACCTCATGCCCGTTTATCTATCGCATTTATAACGCGCGGGTTGACTTGTAGCTTTCGATTGCACGCGTCGCGCCTGCTCGGGCTTATCATGAGCTCGCGCGGGCTTTGTCTGATACTGTACAGTATGTTGTAGCTCTCGACGTCCGGATTGGCTGTAGCACTTTAGCACACGCATGTCTGTATCACGAAACCATTATCACAACACACGGCACTATCACTAGTTCATCCGTAAGACTTCCATACTTCTGAAGCATGGCAGCTCAGCACATAGGGGTCGAAGGTTGAGTGAAAGCGATGGGCGAGATAAGCAGATAGTCTCCGAGCGGCCCTTACAGGTGAGGCGTTGCTTGGGTGTCACAAAGAAAACATCGCAACGCTCCACGACGTACTATAAAGGTTTGAAAGCACAAGATTGTGGTGCTACAGTGAGAACATGTCGCCGGTCGACACGACACACCAAAGATTCCTCCGAGACTTTACAACAGATAAGCCGAGAAATCAAATGCAGCTGGGGCGTTAAGTGCGTCTTGAGCAGCCTGTTGTAGGGTGGTCCAGGACGGGTCGTCAACGACCCCAATCTCGGAGTCGCCGTCCCACTGCCGGTGGACCAAGAGCCCCTTCTCAGCTTCGGGCGTTGTGCAGAAGACTTGTAGCGACTCACATGCGGGTCAGCGTTCGGGATAACCTCCCAGTAGAGCCAGGGCAGGCCAGCAGCCGTGATATTGGCAGCCCAACCCTGAATGTTAGCGTTGCGTGTGTCGGCGGGGAGGGCGCCGCCGTCCGAACAGTTGTTGTTCGACGTATTGTAATAGCACGTACCCCTGATGATGGCGCCGTCCGCAGTCAGCCTGAGAAGGGCGCGCTTCCATGGCACGAGGATTTGGACGTGAGAGAGGGGAGGCGGTGACTTACCATTCCTCCATAATCAACATTTTCCCTGCGTTGACCGCCTGCTGAACATAGCTGTCGATAGATGAGGTGTAGTAGTCCGTGACGGCGTAAGCGTGAATGGAGATGACGTCCAGAGAGGGGCATGTGAGATATTCAGGCTGGACGGACTCAGCCATCCACGATCCGCCACCGGTAAGGACGAGAAACCGACAGTGAGGGCGTGCCGCGGGGATCAGATCAAACGGAGTTGTACATGCGGGGATAGTAGAGAACGTACCCCAGTGTTGCCATTAAGCTCCGTTTTGATTGTGGTTGCGCGGTCGCATTGCCTAATAGAGGGACGCAAAGCTTCACGTCAGCTGCTAGTGACCCAAGTCTTCCCGGACCACTTACCATTGTTGATGATCTTCAATGGAGGCTTGACCCTGTTGGGGCGTAATGCATTGGTGTGTACTAGCAACGTTTTACAGGTCGTATATTGTACTCACGTTGCCTATCATAGCCTCGTTCTCCGCTTCGATGCCCAAATAGGTAATCGCTGAGTTCTTTCCAAGGTTGACCGAGGGTGTTGTGTACGTGATTTAAAACGTGTACCAGACGGGCGTCGAAGGCTTCCTGAGCTGTGGTGTTCGTGTAGAAATCCGCTATTCCGTATGCGGCCCCGTACACGTCGCCTGCTGAGAGCGCGTTGAAGCTATGCATGTCGATTAAGAGCTAAGACAGTCAGCATCTTCCCGTTCTTCCGTTGAGCTAGCCTAGCCTCGGTAGTCACCTTTATGCCGTAGCTATTTGCGAGGACCATGAAGTCGTCCAGACGATCTAGGACGGTGTCGTTGTAGCATGAGGCAACGCCGTTGCAAATTTGAACTGGCTCGAGGTTGGGAGACGGATTGATGTTAGTGCCCTAGAGTGGCGCAGCAGTCAGGGAACCGAGGATCAGGCATAACAAAGTTTGTGGACCTTACCTTTTGAGTCTCTGCCTCGCCGTCCAACCAAACCCTTAAGACCTTCATCCCAGCGCTTTGCAGGCCCCTTGAGGAAAAATGATAGGTTAACAAACGGGCGCCCTCCATCTGACATTCCAATCAAAGGTGCTTCACGCGTCGATCGCATGTTACCCTTACACTACTCACTCCAGCAATGTCACCGCGTCATCTTGATATAAACCTGCGGCATAATACAAGTTAGATCCGGCAAAAGAATTCGCTGCCAAACCGCCACGTCCGAGATAGATGAGAGTCGGTAGCACAAGGCAGAAGATTCTGGTTCCAAAGCGCATTTCGACGGTAGCATCCGTGGTACGAACACCGCGAATATCCCGCAGCGTCGTTTATATTGCATTGGGGAATGAAACACGGTCTCACGAACGTCAATGGGCTGTGAGTAATGTCCTTGCGCGTCAGCGGTAATCAATACGGATCTGTGAGAAGTTATCCCAGCGCAAGGTATCATCCGCGCGCCGTACGCTCCCATGCAACACTGTCAATGCAGCCGATACGGTATTGCTTCGTGTCAGGTATACGTTTCACTGGCCACTGAGCTGAGTGAACCTGAGCCGCATCGACATTGGTCGAACGGGTAAGCGTCAGGTAGCAAAGGACAAAAGGAAACTCAGTATAGCACTCACATGTCTACAGCGAAGTTACTCGCCCCGCATCCTGTCTGTAAGCATTAACTTCGAGCTCTAGATTGGACTGATGGCGCCGACTTACTTACCTTGCTCAGGTTCTTGAGTTGTGCGTTTGATTATGACATCGGTTGGCACGAGCGGGTTTCAGACGTACGGCGCGCAAGAATATCTTCTCAAGCATCATGCATTTACGATCATTCACTGACCAAAGTACTGTTGAATTCTCGCAAGATAGATCTTCGATCTCAAGCCTTTCCCTCACTGTCCGTCGAGTCCAGCGACTCCGACGCGTCCTCTTTGGCATACATACCCGTCTTCGCGTACGACCGGTTCTGCTCTGCCCACGCAGCAGCGTCTCGGCGACCTTTCTCCACATCCACGCCTAGTGGGTAACGTTAGCGAGAATAGTAGATGAGGGATGCAAGACACACCGAACCAAATGGCAAGACTAGCCACAGTGCACAGCGCGACGAGGAACGGGAAGCCTTCCCAGTTGTTCTGCGTTTCGTTGATGATGGCCTGAATAACGTTCGGTCCGATTATCGACGACACGCGATTCGAGAGGCCGAATAGTGCGAAGAACTGAAGAGAGACAGTGGGTCACTTCGATATATGCACTACTAGTAGTGATTCACAGACAAACCATGTTGTCGAAACCAGGCGGCGCGAGTTCTGCCATCATGGTCTGCGAGTAGGCGTAGTACGGGGCTTGGAACAGACCGAAAATAACATTGAACGCCCTACGTTGCAGTTCCAACTAAGCTGAAATTGAATGCAAAGTAAAGACATTCTCACCAGTACTCCCAAACTTGGTGGAAACCAAACCTCGTTGTCCACAGTCCAATCATACCCCAAATTGGGATGAGGACTGTGACGACGTTGGTGACTACGAACTGCGAAGGGTACCGCTCAGCGCCGTATGTTTCGTGATAGAAAATAGCCGCTGCTTACCATTTTCTTTGTCGAGATCTTCCAGTACTTTTGGATCCACCAGAAGCCGATCGTACTACCGAACCAATGGGTGTGAGCTCGTCAAGGCTACGTCAAGTCGTGTTGCGTACCTGACAACCCCAGTGAAAGCCTGCGCAATGCCAAGATAAGTGTTCTGGAGAAAGGAAAACTCAAACAGGTCATTCTGGCATATCGAAATGAGCGTGCCGGTGGTGTTCAGGCCCTACAGTTCATGGAAATCCTTAGTAAAACGCTGATTACAGCGCGTGGACCTACGTCAGAGAGCAGGAAAAACGCGAAGAGGTACACGAAAGTGAACGGCAGCTTCTTCCATTGCTTCAGAACCACCCAGATCTATAGCGAACCAGACGCGTTAATGCAGATACTGACTGGAAAAGGTAGCCAGACGGACTTGCTTCCAGCCGATAGTCAGGTAATGCTCGCCAGAGGGTAGCGGAGGTCCAGGTCGAGGCTGTTGGTAGATGACTGCAATTGATCAATACCCAAGGCCGGCAATGTACGGGGTATGGATGACTCACACCACCATACACCGAGGACCACCCAATACATGTTCGTTCTGGATCGAAGTGAGCTCTGCGTGATTTAGAGCATAAGTCATGAACACCCACATAACTATCGTATACTGGTCGACTAGGGGATTGTTCGCGAGCGGCAGCAAAGTGGCCAGGTCGAGTATTAGGGCAAAGAGAAATCCAATATTGCTATGCCACTGCATCTCTCGTGAGCACGCAGGGGTAAAGCTCCATCGTACCACCCACCGAGCTGATATTACTGATTCGGTTCTTCTCTAGGCTCTCTTCAACTTCGTACTCCTCTATGGAGATCTCTTGGTTCTTGAGCTTCTCGCGCAGATACCGAGCATGTGGAGTGTTGCGCGCAAGCCGCGGGAAGATTGCAGAAATAAGAACGAGGGATGCACCATATGAGACATAGGAAATGATGAAGATGGCCATCGCGGCTCCCCATCGCGAGGGTTCTACGAGAACGTATTCGGTTGATGAGAAGGGCTCCAGATAGGAGCATGAGAAGCGTACTCGTGAGGGCCATGCTTGCAAACTGGGCAACCCAACCGATGACAGTGATGCCGAGCAGAAACCACCGTCCCAAATTGCCGTAGTCGGCTGCTGAGCCAAACGTCGTGAACGAGATTGACATAATCTAAAGCAGCGTCAATTGGATTCCATCGTACCCAGCATTCGTGACAATCGCAACGCACTGCAAAGCTGAGACCGTTTGCGATAAGCACGACGGAGCTGACAGACTTGGTGCCGCTTCCCCATGGGACGACGCATGGCCCGGAGGTTGTGCACGTAGACCCGGGCCCTTGAGAAGGGTCCCAGCCAGCGGATGTTGCCAAACTCTGGAAGAGTGTCATGGACCAGTCTATGACCGGCTGTAATTGAGAATGAATTTTCGACATTGTGCACATACTTACTCATGGGCCCAACTCCCTGAATGCAAAGTTAAGAATGACTATTCGACGCGTACTTGAAATTCCTCACCATGTCTGCGTTGCAGTACACTGTGAAATGGGAAGTAAGCGCCTCTCATGTGTACGAACGCTCTGAGGAAATTGCACAGTAGTAGCTCCATAATTCCTACATGGGTCACTCAGTCGAAGCTCAAAGATGCGAAAGAGATGGTGCACGCACCTTCCGGGTCACAATAGGTTCTTCCGTCTCCAGCGGAGTAACAGCTGTTACTTCAACCTCCGTATCTGAAACTTTGCTGAGTTTGCACATTTCCACAGCGTCTGCATCCTGGACGGCGGACACTACCTCTCGCATGGGCTGGTACATGCTGTGCTATAACACAGGAGTCGAAGAAAACGAGGGGCGCAAGCAATGCAGAGAGGACCTTACGATGCATAAAGTGCCTATATTTGAGAAGCACCGAAGTTCACAGGACACGCCGGACGGCCTATCAGAAGGTCTGGCATAGAAGGAGAGTGGGTATGAAACGGCGATGTCAGTGCTTATTCGGTACGAAGTTGACGTCCCGGTGACATTTCAGACTCCAGGCCTTCAAGCGCAGGACGAACGCCAGCAACAGCTTGCATATCGGCCTCCTGTTCGGGAGGATACCTTCTGACTGGACAGGCGTCAGCCACGAACCAAGCATCCCAACTTGAACCGTCCACTCACCTGCCCGCGCCAATCGCACCATTCGATATCGCCGTATCTTACGCTGCGGATACACTCACCATCCACATCGATGCGTCTGTTCATACTCGACGGGACAGGTCCATGGGCAGTCGAAGAGGCGCTGGCAGCCTCTTGCGGGTCATCTATGTCTGGTCAGAATGATCCCCGACGCGATGGCTACATACCGATCCCGCTGTGGCCATATTCGAAGGGTAGCTCACCGACCGCGAAAAACTCACTGAGGTGATGCAGGGTGTCCATGGCCGTACTCTCTGCACTCCCGCCGGTGGGAGCCCTTCCGCCCTGGAGATACACCTCTCGCCCACGTATACAACGTTGCCATCGTGATCAATGTGGAAGAAGCAGAACGTCGGCCGCCAGGCGCCTCGTCGCGTTGGGCACATGAGGAGCGCGTTCATTTCAGCGCTGCCTTCTCTGCTTCCGTCAACGGGGTCGCTATCATCGCGCATAACGCTTGAAAGGCCGTGGTCGCCATCGCCGGAGTGATCAAGTCGGAGAGAATAGAGCTGGATGATTGCCAGGGTTCCGCTGCTGACCGACCTCAAAAGATATAGTAGCAGGATATGTCGGCGACAGGAAGACAAAGACGACGCTCGCCAGAGCTGGCTTCGCACAATCTGTTGTCACGGAGCTAGAGAAGGGACAATGGTGCCAGAAATCTGCTCTGATCTGACGAGTCTCGTCACGACTCACCACGCACCATCGCGTCACAACGAAACGGGCCTTCAAGGGTATGGACCATTTCCTGCCTTTCTGCTATCAATCGTCCATGGTGATACCACATTGTTTTTGGGACTTCTCCAAGGATTTACGATTCACATGAGTCGAGGTTCAGTAAACGTTCAGTCGTGCTCCAACCCGCGCTTAGCCGTCCACGCTGCGCATGTAACAGCATCACGAGATCTGTGACAGAACGTGTTCACGAGTGTCACACTGGAGTCTGGTTATTGCCAGACTTTGCTTTCGCCCTTCAAGTCATATTCCACAGTCACTCTATGCCTCGCAGCTGGGATGAATCATAGGCCGCAGTGACTTCCTAGCATCGGTGTTCCTCCGTTTCTTTCCAGGCCTCGTATCTTGCCAGTGAGTCCGTACCTTCCTCAGGCTTCTGGTGTCAAACCTAAGTGACGTTATCCCGACACTTGAGCTTGAGTGCTCGCGCTCCGGACTCGGGCATTACCTATTGAATAGAACGAAATGAACGCTTACACGAACACGTTGATAGGTGAACAAACGGTACCGGTGGGGCAAGGGCAATGAGTTCGGTGGGCGCGGTTCTCGACAGGGGTTACTAACTTGAGGAGTGTATAGAGTACAGCCATGCGCGGCTATGGATACAGTTGAACTGCAATAATGTTAGAGCTACACCAGAGCTCAAGTCAAGCAAATGCCCGCATCGTCGTGCAACGAGCGACGGGGTTGACTGAAAATATGTCGTCCAGTTCGTGAGTCGAGTGTCAAGCTCTTCATTCGACAGTGAAGCTAGTGGTGAGCCTGATCAGCGCGTGTTGCCCGAGTTATAACCGCAAAGACTCACTAGACCATGCCATCAAGCGAACCGTGCTACGCGACCGCCACGAGCACTGGCTGGTGACTCGCCACCGTGTTGATCTCGCCATTTTGTACGTGCCCTTCAGGGGGCCGTCGTTCACCGTCGTGGACAGCTGGCCGTTCTTCGCGACGGCGTTGAAGCCCGAGAAGAACGACGATATTCGCAGGTTTCAGACGTACAGCACGCAAGAACATCTTCCCAAGCATCATGCGGTTATAACCATTCATTGCCCAAGATTCTCGCAACATTGATCTCATGACTTCTCCCCACAGTCTTTCGAGTCCAGCGACTCCGACGCATCCTGCTTTGCATACATACCCGTCTCCGCGTACGACCGGTTCTGCTCCGCCCACGTGATCGCATCGCGACGACCTTTCTCCACATCCACTCCTTGTGTGACAAGTTAGACTGCGTGACACTAATAGTAGACGAAAGATGCAAGACACACCGAACCAAATGACAAGACTAGCCGCAGTGCACAGCGCGACGAGGAACGGGAAGCCTTTCCAGTTATTCTGTGTGTCATTGATGATGGCCTGGATGACGTTCGGTCCGATGATCGACGACGCGCGGTTCGAGAGGCCGAACAGTGCGAAGAACTGTAGAAGATCGGGCAAGGTTAGGTCGGTCTGGTCGCTGGTGATGAAATCAGAACCGACACACCATATTGTCGAAGCCAGGCGGCGCGAGTTCTGCCATCATGGTCTGCGAGTAGCAGTAGTACGGGGCCTGGAACAGACCGAAGATGGCATTCCACGCCCTACGTCGCAGTTCCAGCTAAACTGAGGTTAACTGCAAAGTAAAGACAGATCCTCACCAGTACTCCCAAACTTGGTGGAAACCAAATTTTGTTGTCCACAGTCCGATCATACCCCAGACAGGGATGAGGATTGTGAAGACATTGGTGACTATGAACTGTGAAGGGAACCGCTCAGTGCCCTTTTCGTTTCGAGATAGAAGTCAGTAGCTACTTGCCATTTTCTTCGTCGGGATTTTCCAGTGCTTTTGGATCCACCAGAAGCCGAGCGTGCTACCGGACCAACGGGTGAGCTCATTCCGGGTACGTGGAGTGGTATTGCGTACCTGGCAACGGAAGTGAAAGCCTGCGCAAGGCCAAGGTACGTGCTCTGAAGAAAGGAAAAGGAAAACTGGTCATTCTGACATATCGTGATGAGCGTGCCAGTGGTGTTCAGGCCCTACAGTATATGACAAGCTTTAGTAAAATGCTGACGGCAAAGCGCAGACCTACGTCAGAGAGCAGGAAAAACGCGAAGAGGTACATGAAGGTGAATGGCAATTTTTTCCACTGCTTCAGAACCAGCCAGACCTATAGCGAACCGGACGCGTCAATGCAGACACTGGTTAGGAAAGGTAGCCAGACGCACTTGCTTCCAGCCGATAGTCAGGTAATGCTCGCCCGAGGGTAGCGGAGGTCCAGGTCGAGGCTGTTGATAGATGACTGCAACTGGTTATCACCAAGACCAATTGTGAACGCGGGTTGCTCACACCACCATACACCGAGGACCACCCAATACATGTTCGTTCTGGATCGAAATGAGATTCGTGAAGTTGAACGTAGTTTATGGGCGCCTACAGAACTATCGTATAGTTGTCGACTAAGGCGTTGTTCGCGAGCGGCAGTAAGGTCGCCAGGTCGAGAAGTAGGACGAAGAGGTACCCAACGTTGCTATGACACTGCATCTACAGTGAGCAGGCAGAGGAAAGGGATTATCATAACACGCACCGAGCTGATATTGCTGATCCTGTTCTTCTCTAGACTCTCTTCAAGCTCGTACTCCTCTCTGGAGACCTCATGGTTCTCGAGCCTTTCGCGCAGGCGGCGAGCGTGTGGAGTGTTGCGCGCGAGCCGAGGGAAGATTGCGGAAACGAGAACGAGGGTTGCACCATATGAGACAAAGGAGATCACGTAGAGAGCCATCGCGGCTCCCCATCGTGAGGGTTCTATGAGAGGGTATACGGTTAATGAGAAGGGCCTCAAAGGAGAACGTGAGAAGCATACTCGTGAGGGTCATACTCGCAAACTGGGCAACCCAACAGATGACACTGGCGATGGGCAGCAACCAACGTCCCAATGTGCCGTAGTCAGCTGCTGAGCCAAACGTTGTGAACAGGATTGTCATGATCTGTAGCTGTGTCAAATGATTTCATCCAGCATTCGTAATAACCGTGACGCACTGCAAAGCTGAGACCGTTTGCGACGAGCACAACGGAGCTGACAGACTTGGTGCCGCCTCTTCCCCAAGGGACGACACATCGCTCAGATGTTGTGCATGTAGACCCGGGTCCCTGAGAAGGGTCCCAGCCCGCGGAGGTTGCCAAGCTCTGGAACAGTGTCATGGACCAGCCTATAAATGGCTGTGATTGAAGATGAATATTCGACATTGTGTACATACTTACTGACGGGCCCGACTCCCTGGATGCATTTTTAGAAATGACTGTTCAACGCGTACTCAAGGTTTCTCACCATGTCTGCATTGTTGTACACTGTGAATGGAATGTAAGCACCTCTGACGTACACGAACGCTCTGAGAAGAATGCACAGTAGTAGCTCCACAGTTCCTACATGGAGCACCTTCAGTTGGTATGGTTCAAATATATGAAAGAAATGGTGTACGCACCTTCCGGGTCACAATAGGATCTTCCCTCTTCAGCGGGGTAACAGCAGATACCACTACCTCCGTATCTGGAACTTTGTTGAGGTCGCTCATTTCCACTACGCCCGCATCCTGAATCGCGAACGCTACCTCTCGCGAGGGCTGGTACATCCTACGCCAGAAGACAGGATTCGAGTGAGACGAGGGGAGGCAGAGCAGGGAGGGCAACTTGGCCCCGCCTGGCGATGTATAAAGCGTCTACGTTTGAGAAGCACCGAAGTTCACAGGACTTGACAGACGACCTGTCAGAACGTGGATGTTCTGGCATAGAAGGAGGAGTGGGTATGAACAACGAGATAGGGGATTGCAGAGAACGGAGATGCGAGAGCGTATCAGGGACGAAGTGGACGGCCCTGTGACAGCTCATACCTCGAGGCCCTCAGGCTCACGAGTTAGGACCGAGTACCAGCAACTAAAGTATTGGATATCGGCTGCCTGTTCAAGACGATAACCTTTGACAGGACAGGCGTCAGCCACGAACCAAAGATCCCAACTTGAAATGTCCACTCACCTGCCCGCGCCAATCGCAACATTGCGACATTCGTTTGTACGTACATTCACCGCCCAGTCGTGTGTCTGTTCATACTCGGCACGACAGACCCCGCAGTAAGATGGTCGAAAGAGGCGCTCTCAGCCTCACCATCTATGTTTGTTCACCTGGGAAGCTCCCCGACGCGATCGCTACCGATCCAGTGGTGACCATAGTCGAGGGGAGTTCATCGAACTCACCAAAGCAGCCTTGCAGGAAAGCACGGTATCTGCACTCGGACCGTCGGGGCTCTTCCACAGTAGGGATACACCTCTCGCATACAGCCTTGTCATCAACGTGATGAAGCCGTGAAGGAAGAGCACGACAACTTGAGTGTCGTGTTCCCCGGTCTCGTCACCGGGACCGCTAACTTCGCCTATAACGTCTACAAGGACGTGGTCGCCAACGCCGAAGCTGCAGTGGGTGCCACTGCTGGCCGACCACAGTGACACAACCGGATAGGTCATGTAGGCAATAGGATGACAAAGGTAACAGTAAACAGAACTAGCTTGGCGCATTTTGTCGTCACAAAGCTGGGAAGAGGAGAGTGGTGCCAGAGCCCATCACCATCCGACTCAGGCCTGGCCCATCGAAACGAAACGGGCCTTCAGAGAGTTAAGTAGGAGCACATTGCGCCTATTTGTTCGCGAGTGCTCCAAGAAGTTTCAACAAGTTGAGGGTCAGTCATATACGAACCCTAGGAAGCAGGAAATGAGAGCAGAATGAGAGCGGAATGAAGTCCGATCGCGCGAGAGACCCAAGCCAGCGCTTCTCAGTCTACGATGCGTAACAGCGTCATGGGATTTGTGACAATACGCGTTCATTCACCTATTGACCCAGCCTCAGGTTTTGATGTAGTATTCACACTGTCACTCAGTCGTGTTCAGGACCTACTCTATATCTCGTCGGGATGACCCACACTGGTCCCTCAAGGCCTCAACTCTACAATTTACGTCAACGAGACTGCATCCTTCTCCTGAGGCTTACGATTGTCGGGCGATTGAACGAACGTCATTCAAGTTCCTATCTATTGCTTAACTGGCAGCGTTGAACGCTTCCACAGGCACTATCGCTAGAACTATGGCTTGCAGTCAGATACCGTGCGATGATGATGCGTGGAAAACCGCAGTCCGACGTTCCTCACGGTAGTAGCATTGCCTCCGAAACAACGCCGTGCGCAAACAGGTCTCAATCGCACCCACCACCCACATCCGACAGGCTCTTTATTCACAATATACAGCAATGTTCATCCTAATCCGAGCCGTCAGTTCGACCATCCAGACACTCTCAGGTGAGCCTGCTACCCAAATTCAATGAACACCGCGCGCGACGCGTGTTCGGCGCTCACACAATCTTCTGGCAGGTGTCTTGCGGTCGCAGAGCGGCAGCGCGTTATCGTCAGCGTCCACCGCCTCCTCGTCCAAGGATGCGCTATTTGAGCATATCCTCGTTCTGAACGTTCCCCTGCCCGACGCGCACCGCGTGCTCCTCGAGAAGCATGTCAAGACTGTCACGTATATACCCATGGCGCGTACGCCTGGGTCCGTCCCCGATGTGAGTCTCCGAATTATGTTGACATTCAATGCGGTCAGTGACATTGTGGCGCGAACTTGCAGGAAGCGTACCGGAAAGCGACTGCGATATACGGCTACCCCGTGGGGCTCGAGCGCTGGGAGCAAGTCCCGAACCTCAAGTTCGTCCAGCTTGGAAATGCGGGGGCAGACGATTTATCCGCGGGGCGATGTGGCATGAAGAGCAGGCAGAGAGAGTTGTGATGGCCACTGCCGCCGGAGTCCATATGGTACCGATATCGCAGGTATGTCCAATCGTGCCAACTTACTATCATGTGGAGGGTTAAAGCAGGGGATTGCGATTTGTAGCATTTCATCATGACCACGCTCGCGCTGTTCCATCGCTTGCAAGAGCAAATTCTCGTCTCGCAGGTGAGTTCGCACGCCCGCTCCATGCCATCGATGTTCCTCTGTTTCTTTCCAGGTCTCGTATCTTGGGTCCGTACCCTCCTTCTGCTGCCAAACCCTAACCTTATCCCGACACTTACGTGCTCGGAAGCATTGCTTATCGAAATGAGCGAAATGAACGCTTATACGAGCACGTTGACAGGTGGACAAACGATGGGGCAAGGGCGACGAGTTCGGTGGGCGGTTGTTCATCCAGGAGCTGAGGGGGAAGACCGTAGGCGTCCTGGGATACGGACATGTACGTGGTCATCGGCCTGGGACTGTCTCCAATTCATCTCCTGCATCCATGTCAGATCGGACGTGAATGCGCACGCCTGTCGGCAGCATTCGGTGCGAAGGTGCTCGCTGCAACGAGCGACGGCCAGAAGAAGCCGCAGACGGGCTATAACGAGGACGGTATGGGCGACCCGGACGGGAGTATCCCTGATGCGTGGTTCTCGACAAAGGACGAGAAGTCATTCCAGGAGTTCCTGTCGGGATGTGACGTGCTCCTGCTAGCATTGCCGTCAACAGGCGCGACGCACCACATCCTGTCGCCAACGACAATAGACCATCTGCCCTCACATGCGGTCATCGTGAACATTGGGAGAGGAGACACGATCGACACGTACGTTTCCCTGTATTATTATGCCCATATACATGGGTTGGGATGAACTACGTACAGAAACGCTTTGCTACAAGCGCTCGACGAGAAGAGGCTCGCGGGAGCCGCTCTTGACGTCGTCGAAGAGGAGCCGCTCCCAGATGGCCATCCACTCTTCGGTAGGAGAGACGTGCTCATAACGCCGCACCAGAGTGGACGAACGACCATGGTGCGTTATCTCTGGTCTTCTCAATCGTGTGTCATGTAGCTGAGGTCGTTGCAGTACTTCGAACGATGCATACAGATCTGCGTCGAGAACTTGCGGCGGCTGAGGGATGGCGAGGAGGTCTGGAATCGGGTTGAATTCAAGAGGGGATATTAGACGCACGTTGTGTTGTGCGTGTCGCATGCTTTTACGGCAAGAGGTAGAGATGACATAGATCTAGAATAAGCATGGGATAGATTCCCGCTCTGTATGACAGAAACTTGAGGTACTTACCTTGCGACATCACTAGGCATGCGACAAACCATGTTGACTTCATACCAATGTACGCGAAGCACCAAAGAAATCGCTATTCCAGAAGTCGGGTCGTTAGGGAGTGTAGAGTACAGCTATGCGCGGCTATGGATACAGTTGAAGTGCAATAATGTTAGAGCTACACCAGAGCGTCAAGTCAAGCGAATGCCCGCATCGTCGTGCAACGAGCGATAGGGTTGACTGAAAATGTGTCGTCCTGTTCGTGAGTCGAGCGTCAAGCTCTTCATTGGACCGTGAAGCTAGTGGCGCGGCTGGTCAGCGCGTGCCGCCCGACATAACCGCGAAAGACTCACTAGACCATATCATCGAGCGAACCGTGCTGCGCGACCGCTACGAGCACCGGCTGGTGGTTCGCCGCCGCGTTGATGCTCGCCATCCTGTACGTGCCCTTCGGGAGGCCGCCGCTCACCGTCGTCGACAGCTGCCCGTTCTCCGCGACCGCGTTCAGGCCCGAGAAGAACGCGAACTTCGTCGGGTCCGTCGGGTCCGTCTGGTTCATGCTCGTGATCGCCTCGATCACAACATGGCTGTGGCCCAGGATCTGGCCCGTGCTGGCGTTCACCTGCTGCGGCGCGGCGAAGTAGTTCGTGTTGGGGTTCACGAACCAGCCCGTCTCGAGGTTGCGGATGGCGAGGACGACGGTGAAGTTCGTGTTCGCGGGGACGGTCCCGAGGTTCGGCGGGTTGACGAACTTGGCGGAGGGCATCGCGGTTGTGGCGGCGATGGCACCCATCGGCGCGGCGTTGCACGAGCCCGCCTTGATCTGCGTGCCGTTCGTGAGCGGGAGGTTGACGGTGGAGCAGTAGTTGATGAAGTTATTGGAGGAGGTGATGGAGGCGATTTCGCCGGATCGGAGCTGAACCTGGGGCGTCGCATTAGGGAGGGCACACTGTCGCTCAAAGAGCGCACTTACTCGTTCGTGCCGTCATCCTCGAACCCGGTGTTGATCAGCGAGTCGAGGAGCGTGAGCGAGGACTGGGCGGCAGTGTCGTTTCCGCTGCCCGTAGCAGTGCTACTCGGCGCCGCAGCCGACGCGGACACGCTGGTCGCAGCACCTCCGGTAGCACTCGCCGCGACAGAGGACGCCGCAGAAGACGTCGAGTTCGAAGATGACGAGGCCCCGGTAGCAGCAATGCGTTGTTGAAGGTCATCCTGTGTCGTGCAGGTGATGCTCGTGCCCTGCGAGTTGACGAGCGGAAGCGCAGCGCAGCTACACGGATTGGTCAATGTCCCTGACTGCAGCGAAGATAGGACACAACGCACATCAGTCCGGTTCCGCACGACTGGAGTACGTATTTGCCGGCAAGGCATTGCGCGAAGGAGTTGTTGACGCATGCGTCAGTGCCAGTTGTGCAGGATGAGTCAGCCGTCAGGCTCGCGAACTGCGCGCTGAAAGAGGACCACATTGTCAGGCTTCGTACGCAGGATGTCACATGTGATCGTCACTCACTTTTGAGCCATCGCTTGCTGGCCATTCTGCAACGCGAAACCGCTGTCTCGGGACAGTATGTGGCGGGGCAGCGCCATGGTGGCGGTGGCCAGAGACAAAACCAAAACAGCAGAGAACTTCATTTTTTCAATCTAGTGATTCGGGAGTTGCGACGTGTGGAATGTGCAGTCGGGGCGTTGCTTGTAGGATGTGGAGGTCAGTCAGTCAGTCAGTCGTGAACTAAGACACCAGGTCAAGAGCAAAAGCGAGAGCGACCAGCACCGCAGACGTGAGCAAGAGCCGCGTAGGAGAGAGCGTAGGACAAGACCTGGAAGGCTTGGATGGGGAATCCAGCACTGGTCCTGAAGTAGTCTTTATACATGCCTGGCGCTGTTCCCACTCAGGCCCGGCATATTCATGCCGTTATTTGCAACAAAGCTTCACGTCTGCAGAACAATAACTTTGCAATGTTTGGCAGACCTGCGGCGGCGGGCCGAGCGCGGAATAGGCAGCTATTGTCCAGATGGGCGCTTTGAACAAAGGACAATGGCGAGTCGATGGTGAGTGCTATTTTTGGCACAAAGGCGGGCGTCTTTCCTTATTTGGGAAACGATCCGATCGGGCACTTCGGTACCGCGACTTTGGCGCTGGAGTTTGGGTAGCTTTTCTGATAGTCACTGATCATCCATTGTCTTATAACTGCGTAGCATACATCTAATTGTAAGTCTGGAGACCCCTCACATGCGTCTAGTACCCTCTTGCGAAGTCCACCCGATTCCAAACCTCGTCGCCCTCCCTCAGCCGTCGCAAGTTCTCGACGCAGATCTGTATGCTTCGTTCGAAGTACTATCAAACAACAAATGTCAGCGACATGAAACTGTTCAGGAAGAATGTAACGTACCATGGTTGTCCGACCACTCAAATGCGGCGTGATGAGGACATCTTTCCTACCGAAGAGTGGGTGGTTATCTGGGAGCGGTTCCTCCTCGACGACGTCAAGCGCAGCTCCCGCGAGATTTTTGTCATCAAGGGCTCGTAGCAAAGCATCACTGTGCACATATGTTACTCCCTGCCCATAGGTGTGACAATCATGGGAGACATACGTGTCAATCGCGTCGCCTCTCCCAATGTTCACAATAATTGCATGCGAGGGCAGGTAACCGATTGTCGTCGTCGACAGGATGTGGTGTGTCGCGCCTGTCGACGGCAGCGCGAGCAGGAGCACGTCGCACCCCGACAGGAACTCTTTGAAAGACACCTCGTCTTTCGTCGAGAACCACCGCTCCGGGATACCCCCGTCGGGATCCCCCGTCCCGTCTTCGACAAAGCCCGTTTGTGACTTCTTCTGGCCATCGCTTGTCGCGGCGAAGACCCTCGCGCCGAATGCTCCAGAGAGGCGTGCGCATTCGCGTCCGATCTAGCACGAGTGTGAGGTGAATGACGACGGCAAAGACAACGACGATCACGTACGTGTCCGTATCCCAGTACCCCTACGGTCTTACCTCTCAGTTCCTGGACGAACATCCGCCCACCGAATTCGACGTCCTTGCCCCAGCGTTTGTCCACCTGTAGATGCGCCCGTGTATAAGCTCAGCTCCTCTTCGCTTCATCGAATATGTAGGCGAATGCTTCGCGGCTCGCAAGTGTCGGAACAAGGTTAGGGTTTGGCGATAGAGGAGACGGGACGAGCGAGAAGTCCCGGAAGGAACAGAGGAACGCAAATATCAGTGACTATAAGTGCGCACTTACTTGCGAGACAATTATCTGTTCCTGCAGGTGGTGGAATAGCGCGAGCGTGGTCATGATGAAATGCTACATTCCGTAGCCTTCAGCACCATCACCCGCCCGACATGAAAGCAGCACGGATGGACGCACCTGCGAGATCGGCGCCATATGTACCCCCGCGACCGTGGCCATCACGACCCGCTCGGCCTGCTCATCGTGCCACATCGCCCCGCGGACGACGCTGTCCGCCCCAGCGCTATCGAGCTGGATGAACCTGAGGTTCGGGACCTGCGCCCAGTCCTTGAGCCCCGCGGGGTAGCCGTAAATAACAGTCGCTTTGCGGAACTCTTCCTGCAAGTTCGCGTCGCATCGTGAACAATCGCACGCAACATGGGCATGACTCGGAGCACTCACATCGGGGACAGACCCAGGCGTGCGCACTGCGGGTATATGCGTGATAGTTTTGGCATACTTCTCGAGGAGCGCGCGATGTGCGTCGGGGAGAGGGACGTTCAGCACGAGGATGTGCTCGAACAGCGCGTCGTTGGGCGAAGAGGCCATGGCGCGGACGATAACGCGCTGCTCTGCGACCGTAAGGCACCTGTCAGGAAGATCGTGTAAGCGCCCAGCATGTAGTTCACGTGTGCTCGGACAGTGCGCGCACCTGAGAGCGTTTGGATGGCTGAGCTGACGGGACGAAGTAGAGAGGACATTGCTATAGGCTGTGACGGAGGGACACAGCCAAAGTTGAGCGGTGGATGTGATTCAGAGGGCGGCGTGTGCGCGGCGTTGCTTCGGCGAGAGATTTAGTACTGTGGCCGCGAGGAACAGGGGCCTCCGTTCGGGTAGCCGTTTTCCGCACGACACCATCGACGCAATAATTGACTCAGAGTCATACATACCAGCGATAACTGTTTTGACAGCGGTCTTGTACATGTTGGGCGATATGACCAAGTAGAGAAGGCCGAAACGCTGCGACTGTCGTTCCCATCCGTTATGCCCGGTGCACCCTGCGCGATCGAGGCCGCCAACGAACATGTGTTCTTCATCTCGTCGCCGTTGAGGCTTTATGCCCGCGCAATCAGCCACGCCGATGTCGCTCAGATGTGTTCTGAAGCCTGCGGGACTGGCTGGCCCTTCCGCGAAGGAGGTCACAAAGTCGTAAATAGCGGAAGTTTGCGTACCGCCAGCGAGCTTCTATGACGGAGGAGGAGGAGGACATCTGCAAGTGTGCTCGTACATTCTGCGCTATGCCGTGTACTAGGACCGCGGCGAGCACACATTCACTGGCAAAGCCAGTAGATGTGAGACCAAGACCATCGCAATTTTTAGGGGTGGTATGTGCGTGCGTGCGGGGTTGAGAAGGAGACGGAGGGAGAGGTAAGATGCCTTATAATATGAATAAGTTACAACCAGCATGTGTCTTGACTCGTTTGCGACTCGTCGTCGAGTCTCGACGCGACGCGTTCTGTCACAGATCTCGTGACGTTGTTATGGCGTGGACGCTCTCATGAATTCCAATTCGGCGCAGGTCCCTCGTCTCTTCGTTTCGCTCTCATTCCCAATGTTCGTAGCTTGCTGCCCCTGGATGCCCCCTGGTGGTTTATATATGACTGCGCCTCGACTTGATCTCGAATCCTTGGGGAGTTCGCAAACAAAATACAAGAACAATGCATAATTTCCAGCGGCGAAGGAGAATGATGGCAGAGGAAAATGACCTGAAGGCCCGTTATGGTTCGTTCGATGCAACTCAAGGTGACGAAATCATAGGAATCTTCTGATACCATTCCCCTTTCTCCAGCTCCGTGACGACGAAATGCGCGAAGCCAGCTCTGGCGAGCGTCGTCTTCGTCTTCCCATCGCCGACATATCCTGCCACGACCTCCTTCGTATCGTGGTTGGTCAGCACGGGCACCCGTGCGATCGTCCACTGCAGCTCTGCCCCCTCCGACTTGATCACTTCGGCGATGGCGACGACGTCCTTGTAGGCGCCACGCGCGAAGATAGCGACCGAATTGACGAGAGCGGAGAAGGCGATGCTGAACCGATCGTGCTCGTCCTTCATGCTCGCCGTGCCCAGCGCAATGAGGCGGGCGACATTCTGCTTCTTCATCGCGTCGATGACGAGGCTGTACGCGTGGGCGAGAGGTGTGTCGCTGGGGTGGAAGGGCCCCAACGGTCCGAGCGCAGAGAGCACGGCATCGACACCCTGCATTGCCTCGGTGAGTTTCTCGCGGTCGGTGAGCTGCCCTTCGACTATGGTCACCGCAGGATCGGTGGCGATCGCGTCGGGTATCTTTCCAGGTGAGCGGGCATAGATGACCACTGTATGGGAGGCTGCTAGCGCCTCTTCGATCGTCTTAATGCCAGTGGGGCCGGTACCGCCGAGGATGAGAAGACGCATCGATATGGGCAATGAGTGTATATGCAGCGTGAGATATGGCAATACTGATTGTCACAACGTCGCGATTGGCGCGGGCAGGTGAGTGGACGGTTCAAGTTGGGATGTTTGGTTTGTGGCTGACGCCCGGTGCCATTGTGATGTTTATAGACTTCTGATAACAAGCCCCTTGTTAAGGTTGCCGCTGTCCGCGCAAGAGCTTGAGGACGAATACTTGTTACAGGACCATCAAGCCCATTCCGGACACGCAAGTGCATCTTCGTGCTCATGACACCGTCCTCTATCTCGTTATTCGCATCCACTCCTTCTGTGCCTGAAGCATCGAAACATCCATGCCTCGATAAGTCGTCCATCCAGCCCTGAAAGGGCCCGTACTCCTCGAACATTAGCGCTTTATGCAGCGTAAGACGGAGCGGGGTTGGCCCCTCCTACGCACTGTTGCTGCCCCTTGTTGAGGTGATCATTTGCCTCGACTCCCGTCTATTAGCGCAGGATGTCCCAACCCATGCGAGTGGAGACCGTCACCTCTGTCAGGGATCCAAACGGAGTGGAGGTAAACAACCTCAGCAAGAGTTCAGATATGGAGGTTGAGGTAGTAGCTGTTACTCCGATGAAGAGGGAAGAGCCTGTGGTGACCCGGAAGGTGCGTACATAATATGCTGTACCCCGTAAGATATCTCAACAAAGAGCAATCGGTGCAGGAGCTCTGGAGTTACTACCGTGCGTTGATCTTACTCATAACATTGGTGCACATTCAAAACCGATTATTTCCATTGTACAGTGTACTACAACGGAGATAACGTGAGCTATCTTCAGTATGCGTTGAATATCCCTTCCTAAATAAAAGATCAAGGGAGTTGGGCCCATCAGTAAGTCTGTTCATAACGTCGGAATACAAAATCGTTAATCACTGGCTATGCTAGTCTATTTCTTGACTCTTTTTCAGAGCCAGGCAACGTCTGCTGGGTGGGATCCTTCCCAAGGCCCGGGGTCTACATGCACAAACTCTGAGCAATGCGTTCTCCCTTGGGGAAGCGGTACCAAGTCTGTCAGCTCTGTCGTGCTGATCGCAAACGGTCTAAGCTTTGCGGTACGTAACGAATACTAGGTTGTGACGGATCCCCGCTTGACCCCTGTAGATCATGCCATCCTGTTCACAACGATCAGCTCAGCAGCCGACTACAGCACGTTTGGGCGGTGGTTGCTGCTCGTCGTTACCGTCATCGGTTGGGCTGCCCAGTTCGCCAGCATGGCCCTTACGAGTACGCTTCTCACAGTGTTCCTTGGAATCGTGCGCATTAACTGCGCACCCTCTCGCAGAACCCTCACGATGGGAAGCTGCGATGGCACTCTACATATTATCCTACGTCTCATACGGTGCGACCCTCGTTTCTACGCCGCAGTGTTCCCGCGGCTCGCGCGAACACTCCGCATGCTCGCAACCTGCGCGAACAGCTCGAGAACCGGGAGATCTCCAGAGAGGAGTACGAGCTCGAGGAGAGCCTAGAGAAAAACCGGGTCAGCAATATCAGCGCGGTGCGTGTCGTCATCGTGCTGCTTTGCCTATGTACGCTGATGAGCGATGCAGTGGCACAGTAACATCGGGTTTATCTTCGTCCTCTGTCTGAATCTGTCGGTCTTGCTGCCTCTCGCGAACAACGCCCTGGTCGACAACTATACGATAGTTCTGTGAGTGCTCATGGATTGCGCTCTCCACCGCATCGATCTCACCTCGATCTAGAACCAACATGTATGGGGTGATCCTCAGTGCATGGTGGTGTGAGTAAATCGCGTACCCTGATGCCCTCACTATGATGTTTACCAGTTGCAGTCATCTTCCAACAGCCTCGACCCGGACCTCCGCTTCCTCCGGGGGAGCATTACCTGACCATCGGGTGGAAGCAAGTGCGTCAGGCTGCCTTCCCTAACCGGTGCTTGCATCGACGCGTCCGATCCGCGATAGATCTGGCTCGTCCTGAGGCAATGGAGGAAGCTGCCGTACACCTTCATGTACCTCTTCGCGTTCTTCCTTTATCTGATGTAAGTCCGCTTGTCAACCTTAGCGTCGTCTCAGGCATCTCACCACACTGTAGGGCCTCAACACCACCGGCACGCTCATCTCCATTTGCCAGAACGACCAGTTCGATTCTCCTTCCTGGAGAGCACGTACCTTAGCTTTGCGCAGGCTTTCACTGCCACTGCCAGGTACGCAAAACAAGCGCACATACATATGTAGCCGGGATGAGCTCACACTTGTGGCATCGGCAGTACCATCGGCTTCTGGTGGATCCAGAGGTACTGGAAGATCTCGACGAAGAAGATGGCGAGTAGCCACCTCCAAGTCTGTCTCAGACGGACACAGCACTGAGCGGTGCCCTTCACAGTTCATGGCCACAAATGTCTTCACGATCTTGATTCCGGTTTGGGGCATGATCGGACTGTGGACCACGAGGTTTGGTTTCCACCAAGTCTGGGAGTACTGGTGAGAATCCGTGTCTTCTCTTCACATTATCGACTCACATGGAACTGCACCACAGGGCGTGGAACGCTGTCTTCGGTCTGTTCCAAGCCCCGTACTACTCCTACTCGCAGACCATGATGGCGGAACTCGCGCCGCCGGGCTTCGACAACATGGTACGCCCGTCCGCGTCATCGCTCCATGCCAGTGCCCAGGCTGACGCGACCCCCTGACGTCCCCCAGTTCTTCGGATTGTTCGGCCTGTCGAACCGCGCGTCGTCGATCATCGGGCCGAACGTCATCCAGGCCATCATCAACCGCACGCAGAACAACTGGGAAGGCTTCCCGTTCCTCGTCGCCATATGCACCGCAGCCAGTCTTGTCATCTGGTTCGGTGTGTCTCGCACCGCTCGTTTGCTCTCAGTGCCATGCACGCTAACTCGGTACACTAGGTGTGGACGTGGAGAAGGGTCGCCGGGACGCCGTTGCGTGGGCGGAGCAGAACCGGCCGTACGCAGAGACGGGCGTGCGTGTCAAGGGGGACGCGTCCGAGTCGTTGGACTCGGGGAACTATGAGAAGAAGCCTTGAGCTCGCTGGTTTACCTTGCGAGGGTTCAACATGAATCTTGGGGCATAAGTAGTCATGACCTTGTAGCATAGTAGAGAAAGGAATGTTGAGTGTATTCTTGCTAGAACACTACGCGTCATTGGACGCACAGCGCAAAAATATGTATACGTAACCTAGAGTTGCATCCAGATACCTCCTCCCTATCCCACCGTTTGTGCACCTGTCTATACTCCCGCAGTAGAGAAGCGCTTTAGCGGCCCGTAAGTATCGGGGCATGGTTGAGGGTTCGGCGATCGGAGGAGGGCGCGGAGCGATCGAGCTGAGTAGTTCGTGACGGAGGAACACCGATGTCGGGGAGAGACAGAAGGTGCGTACTGGTCTGCGAGACGAGGAATGAGCAACCGCTATCGCCCCCTTCCACTGTGATGTACCCTCGCCGACCACTCACGTCGAGGATAGACGGGCCCGGGCATGCATGCTGTTGGTATATGTGCGCGTGGTAGTCTCGCCAACGTGAGCATCCAGTACAGTCGATCTGTCCATAACTGACCTAGCGTGCCCGCAGGTCCAGCTTGTGCTATCAATAGGCCGCAGTAGGCCCCTGCAGACCTGTTGGTGATGCCGGTTCGTTGACCCATTCGGCCTCGCCATATGTCGCGCTCTGCAGAAGCCGGCGCCGTGCCGTGCCGTCCACCTCGGAGTCGCAAAACGCAATACAATTAAGAGGCCCGTGTAGGTAACACTGAGCCCTTCCTGTCTGATCCTACATATAGCGTCGAGTCAAACCGATCATGGCGAGCAACGACGAAGAGGCCCGGCGCATCCTCGAAGAGACGTGGGGCACGCTGGACGAAGAAGCGCGCGCGTTCCTCAGGTCGCGCACGGGGATCGAGGAGGAGGCGCGGCTGAAGGAACACATCCTGGAGGTGCAGGCGGGCGCGTTCGCGGTGCGTCGCTCACCTTCATTGGTAGACTGGCAGACTGCGCGGACGGCTGACGAGTTCCGCGCGCAGGTGCACAAGTACAGATGCGTCCAGAACTTTAGCTTCTTGAAGTAGGTGGGTCGGTCTGAGCTCGAGGGGCGCGCGTTGATGCGCTGCTTTGCGCTAGGCTGAAGATTTCGCGCATGCCTGCATATGAGCAGTTGTTGAAGCTGGGCCGTGAGCGCGAGGGCGCGCTCTTCCTGGACATAGGCTGCTGCTGTGCGTGCTTTAGGTTCACAGGGGCGTGCCGCCTGTTTGACGAATCACCCTCCCAGTCGGTAATGACATCCGCAAGGCTGTAGCGGACGGCTTTCCCGTGGCAAACGCCATCGGTTCAGACCTTTACGCTGGTAAGGGCCCGCTCCAATATCAACGCACTTCACTCACCCCAACCAGCGTTCTGGGACCTCGGCCACAAGCTCTTCAACGACAGCCCCGAGACGTTCCCAGTGCCCTTCCTCGCGGGTGACGCCTTCTCGCCCTCCTTCCTCCAGCAGAGCCCGCCCTCCCACTCGCCGCCCCCCACGCCCGCGCCCTCCCTGGAAGAGCGCGGCACCCTAACCCCGCTGCTGGGGCACGTCTCCGCCATCCACGCCTCGTCCTTCTTCCATCTCTTCAAGGAGGCCCAGCAGGCCGCGCTCGCACGGTCCCTCGCGGGGCTGCTCTCGCCTGCGCCGGGGTCGGTGATCTTCGGCGCGCACGGCGGGCGGTCGAGAAAGGGGCTGCGGGGCGAGGTCGCGCGGGGCCTGTGGCGGGCGGAGCCGATGTGGTGCCACGACCCGGAGAGCTGGAGGGCGCTGTGGGACGGGGATGTGTTTGAGAAGGGGACCGTGAGGGTGGAGGCGGTGCTGAAGGAGGGCCATGCGCGCTGGGAGGGGGTCAGCGAGGATGGGGGGAGGCCGGGCTCGTTGATATGGTCCGTCACTAGACTGTGAAGTTAGCACGGCGTGTATGCAGCGACGTAGCAAGATGTGGCAACATTGCAGTGTACAATTGTCTGTTCAGCAGATAAGTACATATTGCAGCTAATTTCAGAACGATAGTCACTCTCGAACGCGCGCGACATATGATGACTAAGCGCTCCGCGCTTCGGGAGCGGCGCGCACCGTTCTTCTGCACCACTGCAACCTGCGCGAGATCTTCCACACACAGCGACCTGTCCAGGACCAGCCCCTCGCAACGACATACACGACACGATCCCGTGAGCAATCAGGTTGATGCGAACCAATAATTATGCAGAATGTGTCTGGTCAGCCTTGCTCTACAACACCACTGACATTCCAGTGAATCCCATGCCTTGCCAGTCGCGAGCCATGTAGAAAGAGTTCAACTATTCGGACTCTGCGAGAGTCATGGTAGCTCTACACTACTACTGTAAATGGTAGAGAGACAGGTCCATAATTCAGATTTCAGATCATATATCATCTGTTGTGTCTGCTCGCGCAAAATTGACAGGAGACAATGAACGACAGTGGTGCAGAAGAGCGGTGCGCGCCGCCTTCTTGAAGGTTGGAGCGCTTAGTCATCGTCTGTCGCGCGCGTTTGCAAGTGACTATCGTTCTGAAATTAGCTGTGAGAGTGGATGCTTTCCGCCAGGCCATATAGGCATAAGTTTGTATGAAATCCCTGTAGTTAGCACAAAGGTATCATACATAAACACCTGTACTTACCAAAGCCTGTTCTCATCAGGGAATCCCCTTCAGAACGGTAAGTGAATGCAGCGTCTGTAGACTCTCACGATCATACATTTGATTGCAAGCGCTCTACAAGCGCATGTGATCGCAGGGCAGGATTGCGTGGCCCTACTATCTTTTAACGCTCTTATATACCTGTTAGACGTACGACGCCATCTTAGACGTGCTCACATCTTACCTGTAAGACGTCCGCGATGTTCCGCGCTCAATGCAACAATGCTCGTTTGAATGGTCCTGTTTGTCCACTGCCACGGCGACTCGAACGGGCGTCGCGTCGACCTTGAACTTGAAGTTCAACTTGAAGTCCAAGTACTGCCGCGGCGCTGTCCAACATTGCTGGCCGCCCCGCTCATTCAACTGCACCGTACATTTTACTGACCCTATCCACTCCTTTATCACGTTCTTTGCAGTCTGACCCAGTGGGTGCGAAGCCCCTCGCTCTTCCTTAATGCACCCCTACTAACTCATGTCGATCTAGTATGCCGACATGCCCAGGATGCGCCGAAGCCTTCTCCAATGAACGTGTGCTCACCAAGCACAAGAAGAAGTGCCGAGCAACATTAGATCAAGCACGCATCGCTTGGGAGACCGAGCAGCAGAGAGAAGCGAAGCGGAGACGAGTCAATGATGACACCGTGTCGGACTCTGGGTCCAATGTGGTATGTGCACATGTATTATCAACACCAACTACATACTGACTGATCTATTCTCTACAGGTTTTTCGTACTGCCAGGCCCGACTCGGCTTCAAACCCACCAAGGGGCGCACTCCTACCCGGGCAGGATCATCCTGTTCTTCAACCACACGTAAGTCCACGCTGCCTCGAGTCATCTCTTGACACTCACCAACCCGACTTACAGTATCTCGCGTCTGCGGATGCAGACACCGTCGCTCCGACTCTGGATCTCCCTATGTCGCCTGCCCATGAACCGGAGGCTGACCCGGCTCCGCGTCGATCGACACGAACACGGATCATGACGCAGAAAGTCCGGGACATGCTCCCTGAGTCGTCAGGCAGTGGACTCCTACCACTGGAGGAGTCTAGTGCCGAGGCGCCTGAGCCAGAGGTTCGCCTCCGCCCTCGGGTTCGCCTCATCGTCATGGAGAAGTTCCGCACGATCGCGAACCAATTCGGTCTCTCACGCTTGTACAAGGGTCGCCCGAGCACGGTTCCTGATGCCGAGCTCGATGTCACGTCTTGCCTGCCTGCTGACAAACCCTCTCGACATGCCAAAACACGTCGCACCATCAGCGAGATCATCGCTCCTCTCCCGAACCTGAGTGCATGGCGGCAGTACCACCACTTCTGGAGCTACCCGATGCAGACCCGTGCATCGCGTGCCGCGATGCAAGAGATTCAACGCCAACCAGACTTCTCTTCAGCTGATGCTGCAGCAGCCAATTACGACAAGGTCGATGCAATCCTCACAGCCAAGCAACCGTGGACCGATGCCGCGGAAGGCTGGAGACAGGCGAGCATCACGATCGGGATTCCGTCAGGTCATCGCTCCACGGAGGCATCACGGCGCAGCGAGTACACGGCGCGCCAGCGTATTCGTCGCCACGAACCAGTCGAGGAGGTTCCGGCGGAGCACTCAGTGGCGGGCGATCACTTCACTATCCCCGCATTCTTTTATCAGCCGCTGGTCCCACTCATCGACAAGGTCTTCGGCCAGTACAGCATCTCCCGGAACTTCCACTATCACCCCTTCAATCTCACGTACCTACCCCCTGATGCTCCCACAGGGTCATTGCCCGAGAACGTCCACGGCGAGCTCTATACATCGAAAGCATGGCTCAACGCAGAGTTTGAGCTTCAGAACTCTCCGCGCGTCGAAGGCTGCGATCTGCCACGTGCAATCGTTGCCATGATGTTTTATTCGGATTCAACAAACCTAGCACAGTTCGGAAACGCAAAAGCTTGGCCAATCTACATCTTCTTCGGCAACCAGTCCAAGTACGACCGTGCCCGACCTGCTACGGCTGCTGGATATCATATTGCATATCTTCCTTCAGTAAGTCTTTCGAAAGCTCCATCTGTTGTAGCTGCTGAATTGTTTCGTCAGCTCCCCGATAGTATCAAGGACTACATCCGAAAATTACATGACGGCAAATCTGCCAAAGGCCCGCTCTTGACGCACTTACGCCGTGAGCTGTTTCACGCCACCTGGGCGATCCTTATACAGGATCCCGAGTTCTTAAATGCGTACAAAACCGGGATTGTGGTTGATTGCACCGACGGTATCAAACGGCGTCTGTACCCACGTGTCTTCACATATTCAGCAGATTACCCTGAGAAGTATGGTCCCATCTCGTCTGTGTACATGTTACTAACAACTATTCCATTTCAGGGTGCTGGTCGCGACGATTCGTGACAAGGGCTTATGCCCATGCCCCCGATGCCTTGTCAAGATGGACGAAATCCCGGAGCTAGGGACTCCTGCCGATCGTGTTCGCAGGGAGGAAACTGCACGCCGTGATGATGCTACCCGACAAAGGAAGGTCGATGAGGCCATTTCTCTTATCTACGACAAGGGGTACGTCGTGAACAGCGACCGAGTGGAGAAGGAATTGAAGGGCGAGTCGCTTATACCAACACAGGTAAGTACACCAACAGCGAGATTCGTGTGGTACAGTTATTGACATGGCAGCGAAGAATGCATTCTCCGACATCGTGGAGAACTTCTTTGTCCTTCTAGTTGTCGATCTCCTGCATGAGTTCGAACTCGGCGTCTGGAAAGCAGTGTTCACGCACCTCATCCGCATTCTGGAGTCTCAGCCTGGAAACCTGGTTGATAAGCTGGACGAGAAGTCGGTAAAGGATGATTGCCAGTGATTTGACACAGACTGATTTGCTGTCGTGCAGTTTCCGACGTGTCCCTGGGTTCGGTACCTTCACGATCCGAAAATTTGCGGCGAATGTGTCCGAGATGAAGAAGCTCGCCGCCCGTGACTTCGAAGACATCCTTCAGGTAAGTAACATTGATTTTGTTGTCTCGGACGACAAGTACTAACTGCGACTTAGTGCGCTATACCGTGTTTCGAAGGACTTCTGCCAGAGCCGCACGACAGCAATGTCCGCATATTGCTCTTCACACTCGCATACTGGCATGGTCTCGCAAAACTCCGCATGCACACTGACTCTTCGTTGGCTTTACTCGACACAGCTACGACTGCACTTGGTGAGGCTCTGCGACAATTCGAAGCGGTAACTTGCCCTGCCTTTACTACCCAGGAGTCATCGGCTGAGTACAGCAAACGAATGCGCAATCATGCCCGGCTCGTAACCAGAGGTCTCGCCCCAGCCCAATCTGCTCCGTCTGGTCGGCGGCCGCGCACTTTCAATATGAAGACGCCGAAGACGCACTTCCTTGGCGATTATGTCGCAAACATCCGTGCAACCGGAACAACAGACTCTGGGTCAACACAGGCGGTGCGTATGGACTGCAATCCTCATAAATTACTCATCATTGATTTGTTCTAGGGCGAGTTCAAGCACCGTGATATCAAGAGGCGCTATGCTCGTACCAACAAGAAGGATGCGGATGAACAGCTCGTAGCGCAGGACGTCATTACCTCCAAACTGAACCACATGGCTGATGAGCTCCACGACATCGGTGTCGATGTTCCGAGTACACGCTCAACAGTCCAGCTTATCGATGACGAGGCCACAGACCCGTCTGCTGTGCAAGAGCATCATCGTATTGCCGTCGAGCAACGTAACACAGTCTATCTTAGTCAACTCATCGCTGACCACCCCGACGACCCTGCTCTGCACTCGTTTGTGCATGACCTCAGGACGCATCTCCATTCTCGGCTTCTGGCAACAGATCCCTCGTGGCCTGCAGATGCTGCCCTAATCCTGGATCGTAACTGTCTCTTCGCCCATGCTACAGCACGTGTCAACTTCACTACCTATGACTTACGTCGAGCACAGGACATCATTCATGTCGGGACCGATAAGTGCTTTGTCATGGTGCACACACCTGGGAGCGCTGACGGCTCACTCTATCCGTGGACATATGCGCAGGTCCTTGGCATATACCATGCTAACGTCCTTCGCCCAGGCTCAACTAGCAAGCTGCGGATGGAGCTCCTCTGGGTCCGGTGGCTCGAACACGACCAAACTTGGTCAAGCTCGGCAAACGACTTTAGGCTTCCCCGGGTCTCTTTCTTGCCGTCCACGTCCCCTGATGCATTTGGCTTCATAGATCCTGCTGATGTTCTTCGTGCGTCGCATCTGATTCCTGGTTTTCACTATGGCCGAACGTTCTCGCTGCTTGGCCCCTCTCTCGCTCGCAATGTGGCAGGAGACTGGCGTTATTATTATGTCAACAGGTTTGTTGACCGAGACATAGTCATGCGCTACGTGGGCCTAGGAGTTGGCCACCTGACATGTCGTGCTCAAACGGTGGACAAGCTCGATGTCGAAATTGTGTTCTCTGCATGCACTGCCGACTCGGAACCGCCATCGTCTCCCCAAGTCGGCAGTGCCGAGTCCGAGTCAGCAACTGATAGCAGCATGGTTGCATGCCCTCTGGATGAAGAAGACGAAACGAGCCAAGACGAGTATAGCTCCGATGAAGATCGACTACTCGCCGACCTGCAAGGCGATGAATCGGATGCTAGCGCCTTCGAAGACGACCTCTAGCATCCACGAGGTATGAGTCAAATACTCATATCCACGATAGGACATTCACATTCCTGGAATAGACTACACCCGGGCCGTTCTACCGGTGAGCAGCGTCTTCGAGCTTAAAAGCTGTCGAGTCTCACATAGGCCCGGGTATCTTTCCCTCGCTCTCATCGTAGGCTAACATTCGGTGTTGTTGGACGCCGAACGGCCACTTTCTGTTCTGTTCAACTGACAGCAACCCATTCTTTGCATCACACCTTCATTTCTCTCCTCGTCGCCTGCGATGTCCTCTGAATCTGCCCCACCTACCAGTACTACTGCCATCATCCCTCAGGGTACCGAACCAGCTGTGCCCGCGCCCTCGTCCCGGGAAGGAATCGTCAAAAAACTCGAGAAGAAGGGAGCTCGGTTTGGACTCGAGTACGACATGTTCCGATCTGTACAAGCGATCATTGATGCTGGCCGTGCTCGCGATCCCGAGGCTCCATCTAGCGTATACACATCTTGGTTTGTTCATACTGCCACTGCTCGCCTCTTACGACTGCTAACCAGAGTTATGCAAGGGAGCAGAAGCTTCACAAGCTCTATGACAGTCTGACTGCCATTGCCCCCGAACTGCGCGACGAGCTAACAATTCGTGGACCTACTGGTTCGCCAGAGGTCGCCGAGATGGTAATGTCAACATGCGAATTATGGACGGCTACTTACCAATATCAAATGTTTGTTGTAGATCGAACGTGGGCGCACCCGCGATCGGAACAACATCGTCAACACCTGTAAGGGGGTATACGCGATTGGATCACTTTCAATCCACCACTTCCCACAGAGAAGCAATTCCGTGGCTTCAGCTGCGAGTCCACAGGCCAGCTCCTCTGTCCTGTGATGTACGACTACGGCGATGCACGGTGAGTATAATTGGCAGACACATTTCTCCGGTTCTTTCTGACATCCTTGCAGAGTTCGTGTGGCACTTCTCGAATACCATGCCGATTATCCGCAAGGCGCAGACGACTACCCGGCTTTTCTGTGGCGTGACAACACCGCAGACAAGACGAATTTCTTCAGAGGCTTTTGCGAAGGGTTGCTGATTTGTAAGGTGTGTTCAAGGTATCAGTATCATGTCATTCTGCGAGAATCTGCTTCTGATCGGAGTCACTGGCACTACTTTGGCAGGGACTGCAACATATCCTTGTCGCCCCGTCTGTTGCTAAGTCGAACGACGGTGTCACATCGCGCTCGAACCGTAAGGGCCGCGCTCGGATCCATGGCATCCGCACTGTCACCCCTGCAATGATTGCCTACATCGCGTGCATTGTAAGTCTCCCAGATTCATCTCGAAGCTACTGATCTTGGTTCACATCCATGGGCAGGTTCATTTCTCTCTTTCGTCACAGGTCACATTCGGCGCCGGCTCCGAAGACGAACGAGGCAAGTTTTGGTACGAAGGATTCTATAATTCCCTTATACGAACTATCGAAGACGTCATGCCCGAGGAGCTCAGGACGGCACTTCTCTCATTCCATTCGATGTAAGCCCTGTTCTATTGACTGTAGGAAACTCCGAACTGACTTCTGGGTCAATTGAAGCCGGGTCTTGTCTGCAATCCAAGCAGATGCGGCTACTTCTGGTACACGTCGTATCAACAGTGTCGCGCACCACATGGCCCTTGCTCAAGCCTCGACATCGTCGGATGTGCCTTCGGTCTGATGCTGTAATCCTCGGTCATTCTTATACCCCAAGCCTCTATCCCCTTCCCTTCCTTTGTGCTTCCCTGATGTCTCCGTGAACTCATCCATTGGCAATAGTCGTGGATCGCGTGCATCGTGGACGAAGTGGTCTGCTTTCGAATATCTTACATTTTGTCTTACATCAGCCTGAAGTTCAATGTCAATTTGATACACATGGTGACGAATACAGTGATGAGTCGGTGAATGCATCGATGTGAGGACGGACGCAAGTGAGCCATTAGCTTAGTGTCGTATGCAACATCAGTACGAGCTTGCATTCATTGCGAAGTGATAGTATCAAAGGAGTGGCTTGCAACGAAGTTACATCAATGTTATATTGATGTTCTATCGAGTTGATGTAAAATTTCTAGCGCGATAGGACCTTGCACTGTATATAACGATTTCAGCCCTTGTCGTCGTATACAAGCATGTTGTAACTGCATGTATGATCAGCGCGGATTCCGTGATGCTCATACATGAGCTGCCACTCGCTCATGTATGAGCGAGGCGCCGTCATGTATGAACGAGGCGCCCTGGGTCGTTACCCGATATAGCAGCCACGCCGGGGCAGCCCGGTCCCTTCGTCCGCCGCGGGGTGGCGCGATGCGAGCTGCCCCATATGGACGCACATCGGGGTCAGCGCATCTGAGATCAGGTACGATCCCGCCCTGCCCGTTGCGTGGCGTCGGTTTCGGCCAACCCCGGGAGCTCGCAACGAGTCGAACGAGCGGCGAGCGCTTCCGCCGGCCGTTTGCAACCTCCTCTGCCACCATCCCGCGTCGGTCACCGACGTCATTAGAGCGCAGCGGGCACGACGACAGTGAACAGCTGACGCTGGCATCAAGGTAAGCGCAGACACATACGAGCGAGCGAGCTGACCGTGGCCACAGGATGCGGCGACGTGCAGTACAGCAGACTGGTCGACCGCGAGCGCGCAGGGCTGATGCCCCGCGTGAAAACACAGCCGACGGATGGACCACGGGCACGGGCGCGAGGGCACGCGGGCGAACGGACAAGCGGACAGGCGGATAGACGGGCAGGCGGACGGGCGGGCAGGAAGATGGGCGGGCAGGAGGACAGGCGAGCAGGAGGATGGGCGGGCAGGAAGGCGGGCGGGCAGGAAGACGGACAGATGAGTGGACGGGAAAGTGAGTAGGCGACCGCACACGCCCACCGCGAGCGCGCTGGGCCAATGCCCAGCACGCAGACACAGCTGACGGATGCACACGCAGGCAGGTGAGCAGGCGGGGAAATGGGCGCGCGGGCAGCAAGTGGGTGTACGAGCGGGAGGGCGGACAAGTGAGAGGGTGGACGAGCAGGAGGGCGGGCGGACGGGCGGATGTGCGGACAAGCGGGCGAGTATGCAAGGGGGCGAGCGAGCAAGGATACGAGTAGGTGGGTGAGTGGAAGAGAAGGTGAGCAGGAAATCGGGTGGGTGCGAGCGAGAGGGCAGGCGGGCAAGAGAGAAAACGAGCAAGAGGGAAAGTGGGCGCCACAGAGTGCGGACGAGCACTACACGCACGGCGACCGTGAGCGTGCCGGGCGAATGCCCAGCACGCAAGCACAGTCGACGAACGGAATGCAGGCGCGTGAGCGAAAAGCGGGTGACCATGACGGCGGGCAGAACAGGCCTATGTAGGGGCGCGCGCAACACACGGCAACCGCGAACGCATAGGGCGAGGGCCGACTGCTCTGCTGCTCCTGCATGCAGACACGGCCGACGTGTTCGTAAAGGATCGTAAATAGAGACCTTGTAAGATAGTAAGCATATACCCTAATACAAACGAGTTCAGTATAAATCACGCCGCAACACCCCTTATGACCGAGACTCGGAGAACCAGTTCAGTAGTGTAGGTAGACATTCCTATTGTACACGAGAACTTTGGCTTGTCTGCTCTACTACTGCACCTCATTTGTTGTATTTTATGCGACTACACATGTATCTAATCTCTACTAATCCCTAACATATGCACACACAGTGCGAAAATGCCCAGAAGGTGAGTTGCAGATATGTTGCGGTCCTAAGTAGGACCGTTAAACGCGTTGTGATTGGCCAGGAATAGGCCGAGCACATCGGGCTTGCCCAACTTGGTGAGACAACAAATAGAGACAAATGTTCGGTTTACGGGCGCCCGCACGGCTCGCCCAGGTGCTACCATACTGTAGCTCTACCATCTACATACCCACTTCAGACTGACCCTCGGACCAGCACGAACGGCGCATCGGCACATATGAATGGAGCCGCGTCAGTGAGTACGAACGGCGGTGTGTCGATAAAATACAAACGGTGCGTCACCGGGTACGAACAGCAGCGCGTCGACCAGCAGAGGCCCCTCGGACTACACAGGCAGCGTCATGCGTGCCGCGATTATCGACGACATCGACTGTAGCTCGTACGCCCCCTCTTCCTCTTCCCAAATCGCCCACTAACATGCTGATTTAGCAAAGACGAGTGCGTCGACCTCCGTGGGAGCATGCGTGCGTGCTGCACCCGCCCGCGAGCCGTTGCCATCCACGCCCGCGAGCCGTTGTCCACGCATGCGAGCCCGAGCTTGGCGAGCGCAGCGCCGTGGAGCGTGTCAGACACGGCCTGCATCGGCGTGGCCGCGCTGGCTCGATGGAGTCGACCTCGTGCAGGCGGATGAGGCCTACCCGACATCCTCGCTGCTGCGGCACGCCCACGCCCGCCATCCACTACCTCCAGCCGCGCGTCGTCCTGCACACAGAGTCGCGAGCACCCGTGAGCACGACCTCTGCTACTTCTTTGCGAGTCCGGGGCTGCTGTACCCCTTCGCTACCATGCACACTCCTTGCGCCGCAAGCCACGGGAATGCTCAGCTGCGGGCCACCGCAGGTTCCTGAGTGCGTCACGCAGGGCGTGAAGGAGCGCAAGCGTGGGACGAAGCGCATGGAGGACGTCGAGGCTGGGCTTGTAGGGTTGCTCGCGAGGGATGCTGTTAGCATCCCAAATTACTGTACATCATTAATACTCGCATGAATACATATAATCACTACGACTGCAGCGTTTGTTAGTGTATGACGAATTGTCGGGGCCTCGAACATACCAAATTGGGAAGGCTGCTGCTTTATGCCCTTTGTGTAAATTGCAGCAAGACCTATTACAGTGAATGACATTGCAAAGAACAAAGTCTCAGTGAAGTGTATGTTGCGGAGCGCAACACACGTAGTGTGTATGTCATGGAGCACGACATACACACTGCTATATATGGCACCATGCCTAGAACTAGAACACGTGAGATCTTGTAGATCACATTTCACGATCGCGTTCGCCCGATCCGGGACGCGCGATAGGACCTATATTTGGGTTGGGGCCGCCGGCGCGAGCTCACCCCGGCGCCGGGTGACCTGGGCTGTCCCTAAAGGGCAGCTGCCCATTTGGGTAGCGAGCGGGGCGCTCGCTGCAGTCACTACAGTGCCTTTATACATAAAGGCTCACTGTAAGCTCTGGAGTTTATGTATGATCCATTTGTGCTAACCACAGGGATTCATACATGAGCATGCCGGCATCTGGTGTTTCCGCAGGATTTACGGGCGTTGGTAAAGCTAGAGCGGGCGTCGAACATCGCCTGTGGCGCAAGGATAGCGAGGGTCACTAAACCACCTATAATCTGTGATGTAAATTCATAACACAGCGTCGGAGGCAACTGAAGTGATGGAATGGGTCGAACACCGACAGCATGCTTATGCTTTGCAACCTAGAAGCGGGGGACCGACCCCCCTTCCAGATTAAGGTTTAGAACGGGGGTGCCGGAGTTCGAGAGGACGACAAGCGAGATAGCCCGACGTGCTGGGGAGGTTTAGAGCGTGAAGTTAACATAGAACACACTGTAACCCTCTGCGGGAAGGCATCCAGTGGTGGTCTCCGGCGCACGTCAAGGTCGTCTGCGGGATTCATTCTACGCATCGTTGATCTCTACCGAGCTACCGCCTACTACGGACAACAGCTTCCAGTCGACCTCGACGCCTTTCTCCCGGAAGATAGCGCGTGCGTCCTCAGCGATAGACTCGAACCCGCTCGTCGCGAGGGCGAGTATGGTGGGTCCCGCACCCGAGAGGCATATGCCCAGGAGTCCGGGATGGCTCGCGGGCGTCATTCGCGAGGTGACTTCGGGGAGGCCAGGGATCTGGGACGCGCACGAGGGGTTAGATTCGGCGGTGAGATTCGTGTGGGTCGACTCACGAGCTCTTTGCGGTAGGGCTGGTGTATCTTGTCCTTCATCGCCTCGTAGATGAGCTCGGGATCGGGCGGCGTTTGCGCGAGCGCAGTGGTCAGCACCGCCAATCGCTGGAGGTTGAAGACCTGCCAAAGTGTCAGGGTCACCCACAGTCCATCAGCCTAGCACGGAGCGCGACGCACCACGTCCTTCCGCGGATAGCTCGCAGGCAGCACCTCGCGCGCCCTCGCGGTGCTCAGCTCGAAGCGCGGGATGATCGCGACGGCCTTGATGCTCTCCGACCAGCCGAACCGTACAAAGTGGCCGATGCCGCGCGGGGGCTGCGGGGGGTCGGTGCCCCAGGCCTCACCGGCGTCGGGCGGGTACTCGGGGAGGACCTCGCTGAGGGGGACGCTGGCGGCCTCGGTGGCAGCGGGGTCGAGCTCGCGGAGGTAGCTGCCGACGAAGCCGCCGACGAGGGCTGCGGTGACGTTGTCGGGGTGGTGTTGAACTTCCGACTTTCCAGTGTTATCTTATCTTATCAGTTACGTACATATATGGACTTGTGTTCTGCGATGTAGTATTACATACATTCTTTTGATGGACTCTGTCTGGACTCATCTTGTGACTCGCTCCAGACCGATCTACACTGTTCCAGACTTATTCTGGATCATTCCACTCCCTTCCGGCATGTTCCATGACCTTCCAGTACATTCCTTGATCACATGGACGCTTATGCATATCCCTATCTCTGGAGTTAAGGCTTACTCATTTCCCTAAAACTCGGACTTAGTGATTACTGATCTGCTTACTGATGTAGCATGTGATCAGTCCCAGACATGTATATATACTAGGGTGATTCCCCCCTAATGGATAACGATCTCTCCTCTCTTCTGCCTGCCTAGCATCAGAGTCTTCCCTCTGGGATAGGTCTGTTCACTCCACTCTACTGTCCTTCACTTCCACTGGCCTAACAAGCCCTTCTAAACCTCTTTCACTTCAACAGGTTATTAGCCCCGCGCTCTGATCGTTTATATCACCTGTACCTTTTGCGCAACCAAAGCCCAACTCTTGAAAGAGTGAGTTGGCATATTTTGTCCTTATTTGGACTACTGTTTAGCCGCTCTGTGACAAGTGCCCAAAGCCTTGTCCAAGCGCATTTCCAGGGTAGCTCGCAAGAGCAATTACGAAGTTTTTCCACCGTCTCGTCGTGAGAGATACGACGTAGGCGACGCCGACACTAGCGCTGTTGCTGAGCGTCATCAGCGTTTATACGGTCATCTACCCATCGATCGCCAGATCGATATCATCCTCACTCCTACCCCGCGCCCTCGCCGTCCCACCTATCGTCGCCCTGACACCTCTCGTCCCCCGAAGGCGTCCTGTCGCAAGACCCTTGAGCAGCAGCTTGAGGAGCTCCAGTTGAAGGCAGACGACTCTAGGGCACTCCTTGAAGCTCGACGTGCGGAGTACGCTGCTACGCTTGCCGCTGAAACCGCCGCCAAAGAAGCTGCCAAGGCTTCCCTTATCGCACGCATCGAAGGCGTACCTCTTCCCCTTCCTATCACAGCCCTTAAGCCGTTTGACGCCGACTTCAAGAAGAAGTCTCAGACGGAGAAGGCCGCCATCCTCACGAAGCGTCTCTTCGCCGTTCAGAAGCGCCTTCACCCTCTCTTCACCCACAAGCTGCGCGACACTGTTCGCTGGTCACTCACCGACAACCTCAACGCTTTTGGACGTCGGTTCAATTGGGTCTGTTCTCACTTTGAGACAGAGGGTCATTCGTGGTCGCACGACGCGCTCAACGACGTCAAGCTTGTCTGCGAGCTGATTGGGAAGATCTCCTTCAAGGAGCTTAGCAAGAACCTTTCTAAGGTTACTAGGGAAGTTGGGGACTTGCACAAGGGCAATCACTTGGCTTGGGTAGACAAGTATTTGTAGTCGCGTCACAAATTTTATCTTTGTTCCTGGAATATTTTTCAGTGAAGCATCACAACTGTGGCAACGTCTCAAGAGGAGACATTTGCAGAGACTCAGGTCTCTTCAGGCGAAGAGTCAGACGACTCATACGATTGTTCAAACCACTACCATCTATACGACTACGAGGAGGTTTGCGACGCTCATTATAGAGACGACGATCAAACCTGGTGGAACTGTGATAACACTCATTGTCCAAACCGTTACCACACACCATCTGGTGATTTTCCTCGAGGCTTCAAAGCTGGTATCGCTGTCGAAGCTTGGCAAGACAATTTCCTATTCGCCAACGAATTTTCGGAGTCACCTCCAAAACCTGAACATTTAATCTCGCTCCCTGAGTCGAGATCTCAAACACCTGAACCGGAGGAATTACCCTTCGAGTTATTTACACCAGAACCTCCTTCTTCGCCCGACACACAAGGCGAATTTATCCTCTTATCCGCAACCATGGGTGACGTCAAGCCAGACAATATCCCTAAGCTCTCTTCAGCGTCTCAATACGCTGACTGGTCTGCCGCTATGCGCGGTTATTTAATATTCATAGAGGCCTGGCCCGCTGTTATTGCAACAGTAACTACCGACACAGAGTACAAGAAACAGAATGCCCGTGCTCAGGGTGTTCTATTTATGCGGACTGATCGCTCGATGCATCATTTGCTCGAGGGATCTAGTGGTGAACTCAAGACCGCTAAGGAAATGTGGGCGGCCCTTAAGACAGCCTTTGGTACACCCGACACGGCATTCGTCTGGAGTCTCTTCCAGTCGGTGATCAAGTCTCCGGAGATGTCTGATTCCAAACCTCTGCAGGATCAGATCAACAAGCTGGTTACTCGGCTTAAGGAGATTACGGCTGGTGGCATAACTCTCGGTGAATCGACCCAGGCTCTTCTCCTTCTGTCGAAGGTGCCTGAATCCTATCAATCGATGATCTCTGCGCTCATGGCGACGCAGAACATCAAGGATCTCAAGGTCGACTCTGTTCAGTCGAAGATTCTTGCCGAAGAATCTCTCCGCCGGTCTGGTATGGGACAGTCTGCGTCCAAGACATCCCAGGTCAAGCACAAGTCATCGGGTCCCTGTGGTCACTGCGGTGGAAATCACGGCAGTGAGAATTGTTGGACAAAGTACCCGCATTTGCGCCCCCAAAATAAGGGTGGCGGCAAGGGGAAAAAGGACAACAAGGGCAAAGGCAAAGGGAAGAATAAGGGCAAGGGCAATGGTAACGGACAATCTGGTTCTGGTTCCTCCAACGCTGCTACTACTTCAGACTCCACAAATGTTGTAACTGTAGAATCCTCCGTGTCGTCTTCAGCTAATACTATGACTGCTTCCTGGTATACTGCGGGTCACTCCGCTTCTGGAAGAATGACTGACTGGATTATGGATTCTGGTGCGTCGAAGACAATCACCAACGACATGGCTGATTTTTGGGACTATACTCCTTACGAGGAACCCATGATTTTTGGTACAGCCGGCAAGTCTAAGATTGCAGCTTATGGAGAAGGGACCATCAAAGGTGTTGTGCACGTTGAAGGGAAACATGTTAAAGCAACTATTACAAATGTTGCTTACATCCCTGCCGCATCTGGTCGCCTATTTTCTACTGGTGTTATTGAGCAATCAGGTTTTACCCTAGTTCAGGGAGGAGGTCGTATGGTCATCTATGACCAACCTATTTCGCAAGGTCGAGTCTGTGGTAACATGATCATGGAGGCACACCATAAGCCCTTCAATAATCTCTATATGTTGTACCTAGACATTTTGACACCGCAATCGGCAAAGTCTACAGACAAGTCGAATTTTCGTCTCTGGCATGAACGCTTCGGACATTCGTCTGAAGATGTTATTCGTCAGATTCCCAAGCACACTAAGGGTGTGGATTCCATTGGTGCCAAGGATACTTCTTCTCCTTGTGCAGGGTGTCAGTGGGGCAAGTCTCATCGCGCTCCATTTCCCCCATCGGCTAAACGTGCTACAAAGCCCCTTGAGCTCATTCATACTGATGAGGACGGTCCTATGCGTACCACTGCAATAGGTGGATGGCGTTATTTCATCAGCTTTCTTGACGACTATACTGGTCTTGGTCGTGCCTATTATCTCAAGCACAAGAACGATTCGATCCAAGCGTTCGATGACTTCAAGGCATGGGCTGAGAACCAAACAGATGAAAAAATCAAGGCTGTACGCTCGGATCGTGGGGGGGAATATACGTCTGCTGCTTTTACCGAACATTTGCGCAAATTTGGTATTGAACATCAGTTCACAATGCCGTACTCTCCTCAACAGAATGGGAGAGCTGAGCGCTGGAATCGGACCATTGTTGAGAAGGCTATGTCTATGCTGCATCATGCTGGACTAAGCCATGGTTTTTGGCAATTGGCTGTGGACACTGCGGTTCATATTTATAATCGGCAACCTATGCGACGCCTTAACTGGCAATGCCCCATTACTCTCTGGAATGGCACAATTCCGGACATTTCATACTTTAGGATTTTTGGGTGCAAGGCATTTGTGCATGTGCAGAAAGAACAGAGATCTGGGAAGCTCGACAAGAAGGCTGTTGAGATGATCTTTGTAGGCTATGAAGTTGGTTCCAAAGGGTATCGTTTCTGGAACCCGGCTACTCGAAGTATTGTTGTGTCTCGTGATGTGACCTTCGATGAAGAGACATTTCCTGCACGAAAGGACTTAGGCAATAATCCGAAATCCCTGGATGAGCCGTTTGATGAACCTCCTGAGGATGCCAACTCAGAGGATTTAGATTTTGAGGATATTCCTATCCCTGTTCCTGTCCCGCCGGAACATGAACCTGAAGAACATCAGGAGCCAGTGGGAGATAATCCGCAACAGCAACCTGATCCAGTAGCTCCTCCGCAACCTCAGTATGAGCGTCCTCGCCGTCAAGGTGCTGGACAGAACCCTCAGAGGAATAGAGACAATGCCTATGGTGACGAGCCACCAGCAAGTATTGACCGTCGTACTGATAGTCAAGGCCGTCAACAACCTGAGGCTGAAACTGCTCAATTTATACGGATGCTGGCGGAAGCAAACCATGGTCTTCCCCAAAGTCATAAGGAAGCCATGGAATCTCACGACCATGATAAATGGCTCGCTGCTGAAGGTTCTGAGTACAAGTCACTCATGGACAATAAGACTTGGGTTCTAGTTCCACGGCCTAAAAACCGGAAGGTTGTCAAGTGCCGTTGGGTTTATGCGATTAAGCACGATGGTCGCTATAAAGCACGTGTTGTCGCAAAGGGATTTACCCAAGTATGGGGTCAAGATTATACTGAGACTTTCTCTCCGGTTGCACGGTTTGAATCTGTACGCTACTTGTTGGCACATGCAGCCCTTGAAGATTGGGAGATAGAGTCTATGGATGTCAAGACGGCATTCCTTAACGGTGACCTTGACGAGGAAATCTACATGGAACAACCCGAAGGATGGGTTGTACCTGGCAAGGAGAACTTTGTCTGTCTTCTCAAGAAGGCAATTTATGGATTAAAGCAAGCTTCTCGTCAATGGAATGCTAAGATCCACAAGTCTCTCCTAGACTTAGGGTTTAAACGGACTTATTCGGATGCTGGAATTTATGTCTTCTCCCGGGACTCTGACGGACACACCTGCCTAATCATATTGTATGTCGACGACTTGCTCATCATGGGTGACTCGAAATTGTTTATCGACAACATCAAGCAGAAGTTGTCCTTAGAGTATCAGATGACAGATCTGGGTGCTGTTCAGCGATTCCTTGGTCTTAGAATACGTCGAGAGCGTACTACACGTCTCATCTACGTTGATCAGGAAGACTATATTGAGTCAGTTTTGGAGAGGTTTCAGATGTCCAACTGCAAGCCTGCACGGACACCTCTTCCCGCTGGAGCAGACCTAGAGAAGAATCCAGACACAGCATCTGAGGTTTTCCGTACCCGCTACCAGAGCATTATTGGCAGCATCATGTATGCTATGCTCGGTACTCGTCCAGACATTTCTTTCGCGGTCACACGTCTGGCAAAGTATTCTTCAAACCCATCCAAAGAGCATATGCGGTTAGCCTACTATGTCCTAAGATATCTTCAAGGGACTAAGGAACTCGCTCTCTGTTATGACGGAGGCTCGAATTCTGGTCTGATTGCCTATTCAGACTCTGACTGGGGTGAAGATCACGATGATAGGCACTCTACAAGTGGCTTTACTTTCCTTATGGCCAATTGTGTCGTTTCTTGGGTGTCAAGACGTCAACCGACGGTATCTTTGTCTTCAACTGAAGCAGAGTATAAGGCCAGCTCTGACTGCTGTCGTCAGATGGCCTGGCTACGTCATTTTGGAGAAGAACTGGGAGATAATATGTCTCATCCAACTCCGCTTTGTCTTGACAACCAAGGCAACATTTTCCTTGCGGTGAACCCTGCTGTGGATCGCCGCACCAAGCATATAGAAATCCGTTATCACTATATTCGGGAGTTCTACGAACGTGGAGAAATGGAGATCTACTACGTCGCAAGTGAAGACCAACTTGCTGATGCCTTGACCAAGAATGTTCCATTCAGTGGAATTGAGAAATTCAGGTCTTCAGTTGGCATGATGAGATACTTGACATCTTGAACAAGTGGGAGTGTTGAACTTCCGACTTTCCAGTGTTATCTTATCTTATCAGTTACGTACATATATGGACTTGTGTTCTGCGATGTAGTATTACATACATTCTTTTGATGGACTCTGTCTGGACTCATCTTGTGACTCGCTCCAGACCGATCTACACTGTTCCAGACTTATTCTGGATCATTCCACTCCCTTCCGGCATGTTCCATGACCTTCCAGTACATTCCTTGATCACATGGACGCTTATGCATATCCCTATCTCTGGAGTTAAGGCTTACTCATTTCCCTAAAACTCGGACTTAGTGATTACTGATCTGCTTACTGATGTAGCATGTGATCAGTCCCAGACATGTATATATACTAGGGTGATTCCCCCCTAATGGATAACGATCTCTCCTCTCTTCTGCCTGCCTAGCATCAGAGTCTTCCCTCTGGGATAGGTCTGTTCACTCCACTCTACTGTCCTTCACTTCCACTGGCCTAACAAGCCCTTCTAAACCTCTTTCACTTCAACAGGTGGCGCTCAACCATGAGGGCGAAGTCGAGGACGCGGGCGGGGGGAAGGCGCAGGCGGGCGAGGGCGTCGCCGAGGAGGACGCCCGCGACGACGGCGGCGCCGGACGAGCCGAGCCCGCGTCCGAAGGGGATCTCGTTGTGCGCGTGCACGGCGAGCCCCGGCGGGAAGGAGGGCACGCCGTGGCAGCGCAGGACGTAGAGCGCGACACGGGTGGTGAGGTTTTTGTAGGCGTCGAGGGGCACCTCGTCGGCGCCCTCGCCGGTGTAGCGGATGGACGGGGGCGTGGGGTGGGAGGCCGGCGGGGGCGGGGCGAGGGTCACGGAGAGGGTGAGGTAGAGCGAGAGGGAGAGGCCGACGACGTCGAAGCCGGGCCCGATGTTGGCGGACGTCGCAGGGACGCGAATGGTGAACGAGCGCGACATGCTCGCTGGGGGCGTGCGCGGAGACTGAGAGTCCGTGCGAGACGGCGAGGTCGTGTGCGAGGCCGGTGCAGACGGTGGTCGATAGCGAAGAGGGCGCGGGACGTGCGCCCCGAAGTGACTCACCTCAGTCAAAGCGTCGACCTCGTGTCGACAACAGTCTCCTTCCAAAGTGTTTGCAGAGCAAGCCCGGCAGGGTACATGGCGAGCTTGCTGGCTGTAGCAGACTCGTCGGTGTCCATAGTGTTGTGGTGGAGTGATCAAGAGGGCATTGCGGTCGCAATTCCAAACGGGCGCCCGATCGCACGTCCGATCGAGTGCGGTCCGCGCATCCTCGCACGCTGATTGGCTGGAGAACGGAAAAAAGTTGCCTTCTTTCGAACGTCCATCTCTCTTTCTTTATGCACGACCATACGTCCGCCTCCCCGCGGGGACACTCGGATGACGAAACAGCAGCCCCTCTCAGTCAGCGCGCACGCACCTTCTCCACGTCGCAGCCGACGCATCGCGCCTGTCGCTGACGCGGCATACCAGTTGATAACGCGGCAGACGAGTTCCCGCCAGCAGCTCGTGTCGCCGTCCATACCGCGTCTTCCAGTAGCAAGTGAGTCTTCCTCGTGTCTCGTAGGTGCACAGACTCACCGCGCTCGCCATCACCCATCTCCTGCCAGACTCCCTGCACGAGCCGAGTTCGTCACGGCTGCATCCGCGACATCTACCGCGCCCACCAGTTGATAACGCGGCAGCCGAGAGTTTGTGAGCGACACGTCTTGCGGCCTTGTACAGCAATTCACCCACCCGCGACGACTGGCTGTCCGCCGACAGTTGATATTGCGGCAGACAAGAGCTCGCCAGCGGCGTGTCTCCCCACGTCGACGCCGCGCTCCAGGATACCGGTCCCACTCCTCGCGTCCATTGCCACACACCGCGTCTCCCATGCCGACCGCTTGACAACGCAACAGTGAGTCTTCGTCAGCTGCAACTGTACGTGCCCGCACTGCTCACCTCTTCAGAGCACCCTCCGCCTCCCACCGACTCGCTCGTCCCGGTCGCGTACGCGACTGCCCACCGCTTGTTAGTGCGGCACACAAACATTCAACTGTGCTATGCACTCACCTCGTCGCGCGCTGTACTCGACGGACACTGGACGACATGCCACACCTCGGGGAATCTGCCGACGAGCCCGACATGTGAGTACTGCTCTACTGCTCAATGCACCACACTCACTTGCGCAATACCTCTCCCGCAACACCCAGCGTGTCCCCTCCAGCGTCGGCAGTGCCCCGTTCGAACCGCCAGCCTTCCGCCGGAACCCGGTGCGTCGTTTCTATGCCGTGCTGTGCACAGCCCGCCATCATTCCATGACCCCGCTCGCCGGAATTCGATACGTCGTGTCTTCGTTGAACGAGAGACGAGACACGTGCGGAGCAGGCGGGGTCAACGGCCGGGGTGAGTGGCGGACGTCAGAGGTCAGTTCGCCGGACGACAATATGTCGTGTCTTTGAAGGTCGGGATGCAGTCGACGACGTGCGAGGGAGTGTAGGTGGCGATGCGCTCGCTGACCGAGTTTCTCGTGGCAGCGAGATGTGTCATGGCGCTGCGACAGCCTGCTCCTCCGACCCCCGCTCGCCGGAATTTCGTACGTCGTGTCTTTGTTGACCGGGGGACGAGCGCCGCGCAGAGCAGGCGAGGCTGGCGGTGGGCTATGGCGGACCATCGGCAGCCGTCGGACGACGATATGTCATGTCTTTGAAGATCGGGACGCCGTGTGAGTTGCGTGTATAGGCGATGACGTGCTCGCCGACCGTGTTCCTCGCGGACTGACATTGGACGTGCGAGGAGCCCGTTCGCCGGACGGCGATACGTCGTGTCGACGATGTTTTCAGCGGGCGGCGAGCGAGGATGGTGCCAGGAAACGAGAGTGAAGACGGCACAAGGAGGAGAGACGTGCCGAAGTAGCCCTACCAGCCGTCCTCGTTGACAGCGTGGACGTGGATGCCGCATCCCACACCTTGCCTCGCTCGGACACAGCCCCCGAGTGCTACGACTAGACCTGGGCCTTGGGCGGACCGGAAATGTTCCACATGAGCCGGGCGCGGGTGAGAGATGGACACGGGGACATCGGTACGTGACGAGCGGATTGACAGACAGTACCATGGCATACAGACTGTGGACATTTCGTGCGCATTGAAGCAGTCCAGCCCTGTGTGTCTGCTCTGCAGACGGATGAGTACATCACCGAGGAACAGTGGAAGATCGGTGTACCTCTCATTGCAACCTGCTCGCTGCGCCTGCGGCGCGCGTGCAATGTGCATGTGCGTATAACTGTTGTATGACCGAGCATCAGGACCTCGACGGGGCTATGGACAGGTGCGAGGGCATACCCTCGCTCGTGTGTGTTGCATGGTCCCGGGTGATCATGTACGGCCCTTGAGAATGTGTCTGTTGGTCATGAAAAGGTAGGTCGGGCTCCGTTTGCTGTCGTGCGAGACACGAGGTCAGTGTTTTGACGAGTAGCAATGGCTCATCGAGTAACGTACCGGCCACCTCGTTTGGTACCATCGAATAGGATGCCCGTATACACAGCAGGCACGGATAGTTGTCCGTGACGATCGCTGTCGCATGATGACCTGTATAGTGGAAAGACCACGAGTGCGGCTCGAGGGCAGGGGCTGTCCGGGATCCTCACCTGGTTCGCCCTTCGACCCAGCGAGCCCAGAGTGCTTGACTCGGACGGTACGAAGAGATACCCACTTGTGCTGTGTGCTGTCCACTCAATCTCGTGAGATGCCTGTCAGTCTGTGTGATGAACATTAGACTCACTAATGGATATGCTGCCTGTACGGGGTGGCTTATTGATACTAATGGCTCTGTGCTGGTAATGTATATGTTAGTGTGAGCTGTAAGATGAGAGAGCCATGTCACTCACCACATAGTACTGGCATAGCTTCCGCTCTATGAGGAGAGGCCAGCCCGAGCCCCTATATATACTGGAATTCTGTGGGCTGGCCTCGGCCTCGGGCTATGCCCGGTGGTTCTTCCATCCATTGTCTGCCCGAATTAGCCACCACCGGGTGGATGAGACCGCGTAGTGCTGATGGCGGCTATCCTCTGTATGGTACGACTCCTCACTCAGACTCAGTAGGTCAGTTTTTCTCAGCCTCAGCCTCAAGATAAAACTCATTGTCTGTCTGTCTGTACCTTGGAATATATAAAAGCATGAGTCTCTTAAATCTCACGTCCTCAGCTGCTCTGGATCTGTCTGTCCAAAAAAGGAAAGATCTGGGCATCTCGCTTCAGGGATAGGATAGCTTCAAGAACCATGGCCTCGTCCATCAGACACAATCCCGGACAGATCCCAGACAACCACGGACAATCCCTGTCCCCAGTTTCTAACAGCAAGGACTTTGTCTGCCCAAGGCTGCCAGCCAGTCCTGGATTTCCAGTATTGGCTGGTACCCTTGAGTAGACTATGTCCTAGAATGCTCCATGCAACAATCCTAGCTACTGGTACGTACATGAGACTGATTATATCCGCAGCCACCGGCACACGGAATGACACATCGTGCGGGTGCGGCCTTCCGAGGCTCCGAGGCCCTCGGGCAAGTGCCCGCTGCTTCGGCGGGCGAAGCTAATCACAGTAGAACACCGGCCTGATCCCGAAATGGAAGGTCTACACAATGTCCTGTCGGTCTGCACGTGCATATTTTTGGATGCAAGGCGAGCGGAGTCCCGGACAGTGTCCAAGTGCGAATCACTGGCACTCACCTCAACTGGCCTATTGCGGCAGCAGCAACTCGCGCCGCGCCGTACCTGTAGGTGCAGGCACAAGGTCTGCATTGAATGGCATTAGCATTGTCTACGCGTGGTGAATAATGGACACACACTGTGCTTGGAGAGCTGTGAACGCATCACAGAGATGAAGATCGCTCGCGGTGCGGCCCAGAAAGGCATGAGATCACCCAAGCCGATCTCAGAACACGAGGCTCTCAACCGCTGCACACGGGCGCTTATTATCGTGCCTCTGCGCGATCGTCCTTCCTGCTGCTCCTGCGCTGGTACTTGCCTCTCGCTCTTGACTGACGCTGACGCCAGACCTTGTATGCTGTTCAAACTAGTGCCGAGCACATGCATTTTGAGAAGCCGGGAGCAAGCACGCACGAGATGTAGTCCACTTGACTCGCCTCCGCAAGTGGGCTACGCACAGAATCTCTACGAGAAAGCCGTCACTCGCATGAAATTTCCGAGCGGTGCTCCGTATAGCGCCCGTACGTGATGCATCAATCAGAAGACACGCGTTGCCTCCCGACGATCGGAAAGTCGCCAGGCAGCAAGAAAATGTGATTGTGCGTGCCCGAAGGGTTGGAAGCGACGCCAGGGCACGGCGGCCACGCGAGACCGCTTTGGGGTGGTACCGAGGCATGGTACGATATGCGCTGGGCGCCTGTCGACGCACGGACCACTTGCGTGGAAGGTGCGAGCTATAAAACCCGGTCCTGCCTACCCTGTGCTCCGCATCCCTTCCCCCGCTTTCTACCTTTGCACCGTTCGTTCTCCCTTTCCATTCTATTCAAGTGCCCTTTCATTACCTGCAATACCTCGCTTAAGATGCATTGGCACGCGGCCCTGCTCTCCTTCGACCGTTCTATGCCACCGAGCAATTCTTGTGCACTGCAACACTCTCCTCGATGTGTTATCTTCGTCACTGGTATGTTTCCTTGTACGATGCAAGAGATCACAACTAATTACTCGTCAGTTTAAATCAAAGAGAACACGTCCACGACGCTACAAGGTGAACCACAGACTACAGTCTCTTCCTGTTCGTACCATTCTGACCGGCTCGGATATTATGACAGCCTGCTTGGTTCACACGACATCGACTCGGCTTGGGACGAGGCAGCTCCGCACTGTTCGCCGTACGAGTGGTTGATAGGCTAATGAGCGTAAGTCTGCTGTTTTCTTTGAATCTGCCGCTTTGAGTTAGGTTGACCATTGCCTGGGACAGTGACCGTGACGGCGGCATCAGACAGCGAGTTCCCACTGTGGGATGAAAACCTACTCTGTGAGTCATCACGTCTCGTTCTGCGAGTCTAGCCAGACTAGGGGTCATGGTCTTACAGTGCCATACGACACTGGATGGCTTCATTGTCCGATCTCACGATGGAAGGCTACGCGCGGTTTCTAACATCTCATGATACGGCTCGAGTGTTACTCTTGTCGACTCCATTCACACAGCAGACCCGGTACGTCTTTGACCTCAGGCAGCATTCGACTCATGCATTGCGAACAGCACGCATTGTGTTCCATAAGGGAATTGTACATGGTGAAGTTTGGTCATGAAATGACCCGGAGCACTGCACACGCCTTGGTGCTCCCCATATGGTGAGTACTCGTCGTCACAGTGCAGTTGCATTAATATTGGATCCTATCTACCAGCTCTGCCCCGCTGAAGTTGAACATGCCATCATTAGACGATCACCACCCCACATATGTCATTCCACGCAGTGTACGTCCCTGGTGTTATCTGTGTTTCACCGATGCTACAGTCACTTCTAGGCTGTGTGCTATCCTCATTGATCGGTGCCCGCGGCCCACTTCGTCCGACTCCATCTCTCACCCATTCCTTTCCCCCCATCTCTATGTCCCGCCCGTCTCCTCCCGCTCCTCTCTCGAAGTGACCGGCGTCGTCAGCGTAGGTGCAAGTGCAACGCTAAGAGATACGTAAAGGGCATGCATAACTCACCAACGAGACCAGTGACATATCGTGTTTTCTGCGTGTCACGCGACATTCCGGTTCGAGAATTATGTCTTACCTGATGAACGAGACCCAGATCGCACGCAACGCAGACTTGGCCGGTACCGTCTGTTGCGTACCGGGCGGTATTCAAATGGGATCCTGGACATGCGACGTCACTCGAGTCATCGTGTTTGTCTTTGCGGTCATAAACGCGAGGTACGTGCCATCGCGCCTCGCATTTCTGCGTGTTTTCGTTCACGGCTGACTTGCACCTCGAGGTGTACACGCTCAGGTCGTCCGGTGCGTCATGGGAACCACTGACGTGGGACACTCTGCGCAGCAAAATCAGTATGTCTCTGTTTCTCGGCATATTGCCTAGCTGACCGTACGCACCTTGTAGTTCCCCCGTGCTCGATAACTGACTCGCTTCTCCTGCAGCTTGGGGCTGCCTGAGGCAGTGGGTCTGCACGTTCGAGTGTTTACAATCCAGAGCAAAGTGTCTGTCGGCGGACGAGCAGGAGTGTACGTACCCGGTTGCCCTTGCTATTATTACACTCGCTGACATCCGAGTCTACACTTCTCCTGTCGCGTCACACTTCCCGTCATGTACCTCGCTAGCCGTATTGCACGTGAGACGGTGATACGACCGTGCCGTCATTTGGTGCAGTTGGCTGCCCGTGGTGTCGAGGACACCCGCCGGAGTCCCGCTAGAGTGGTTCTTGCCTCGATGTCGGGTTCAAAGGTGCGTGCCAGCGAGTATACAAGCGAACAGAGGTCCTGCCGGTCAAACTCGGACCCAGCTTTGTGTACAGAAACTTGAAAGGACGTGCACAGCGGGACGGGCAGGTGGGAGGGCCTCGACGTCGTCCGTGCATGATGGAACATCCCGAGCCGAGACGGGCTCAACGAGACTTGTGAGTGATGATCGAGTCGGGAATGCTGGCGAGACGAGCAGGCCGGACTGGGCGGATGAATGGATGGAGACCGGGCAAGCGGTCGCCGACGTGGCGGAGTCGTCGCGGTCGTCGTCATTGCCAGCACAGTAGGAATGAGGCAGGAGAGACGTGTGTGCAGCAAACAAGCAAGAAGGCGAAGGCGCGGCAGACGAAAGGGGACAGTGAGCGCGTGCGGCGGCGAAGCCCGCTCGGTGCAAGACAAGACAGCGGATGGAGAACCCACCGGCGCCCAGGACAGCGGCATCGGCGCGCGCATGCACGTGGCCGCGTACCTCCAACTTCACGGAAACCAACTCACCGAGTCCACCGTGCCGTACTCAACAGCTGACGGGCATGTTTCGCAAGAGCAGGTGAAGCGGCCTGGGGCGTTCGCTGTCCGACTCATCTGCATCGTGCGACCACCCGCCTTGCACCCGCCATCCACCTCTCTCAACTCGCCCCGCCCAGTCTATCCGCCAGCCAGTGCTCCGACCCCGCCGCTGCGCCCAATGTGAGTCGAGTGATGCTATTGGTGCGTGTGGCTCCTCTGCGCGCAACACGCTCAGGCTCACATCTCCAAGCCTCGGAACGAAGTCCTGCACCTCCGACACACATGATCCAGTCCGTCGTCGTCAGACACTGATGACGTGTACTCTCTCCATCTCAACGTACCCGCGCCGTCCATCCGGGTCGACGTGGCACACTGCCAACGTCCGACTGCTCACAAGGCCGTACGGGACGGGGCGAGTGCGTCGTTCGTTACCCCTGGCTTGGACCGACAGCTGCACGATCCGATGACCTACATAGGCCTGGGAAGACAGTGGTGAATGTGGGGGCGACGGAACGTCTGCGTCTGCTGGACGCGACGGGCTGGGTGAGATATGGGCACCGCGGTGAGGTCCGGTGAGTCATTTGGTTTCGGGTGATGGGCCATTGCTACACCGTGCAGGGCCTGTCACGGATGGATGGCTGGCGAGGCTCCACGCGCACATATCCAAGCCCAGACGTACCGACGTACGTCTGGAATGTCTTGCGAGGTTCAACAGGGCTGCGGACAGGATCACGCGGAGCTGCACGCGTTAGCAACAGGGCAATGCCCTGTGTGCTCGAACAGCCGTAGACCCGTTCTCGTTGTGTGCTCACACGACCGTGCATAATGCTCGGTACGAGACTCGCGGCTCCTATTGCCTGAACAGAAGCTTACCTTATGACAGACATGGCCGAGGTGAGCACGCATTGATATGTTGCAGCATGACTGCGGCCCAGATGTGGACAGTATGATGCAGGTGCGTGCAGTATTGTACAAGGGAACAGCAGCCGCTACGAACGATCGGACAACGCATGCGATACATGACCTCCGCCGCTTGCTGCTTTCCGTAGCAGCACGCATCGTCGGACAAGACGGCCGGTGCTCAGGCGAGTTGCACATTGCACGGTCGTCGCGGCCTGCAGCTGACATTGTGTTTGTACAGCGGGACGTACGCGAAGACTCCGGGCATCGGTTGTCGGAGACGTATCAATCGAACCGACGGGGGCGACAGGCTCGGTGCAGAGACCAGGGCAGGCAGTCATGCAGTGCACAGGCCGTCTCGAGACTCGGGCATGCAAGTCCTGGCATCGGTCGTGCGAGGGGTGCGTGCGGCGTGTCTGTTTGAGCCCCATGTACAGAAGCTCGATGGAGCTCGCGCAGGTCTGCAAGTGGCCAAGAGTGTGCGGGTTGGCTCGCAGGGCTCGTGCTGGAGGGTGCCAAGTGGGACACGGACCAGCTGGGAGACGGTGCGGCTGAACCCGTCGCAGATCCGGTGGGTGCAGGCGGACGACGCAGCGGCGGGGGCATGGTGAACCTGCCCGTGTACCTGAACAGCATCAGGAGCCACGTCCTCTTCACGGTCGACCTGCCGTTCGACAGCACCGCGGGCGCGCTGGTCGCGACGCGCGTGGTGTACCTCACTGCGAGGGGCTAGAAGCGCGCGTACACGGCTCGATGTGTGAGGGGGGTTTAAAGTGCGCTGGAATGGCATTGGATGGGCTTTGGGATGATACCCGCATATGCTTACGAGATGATGATATCTTACGATGCTATTGAGTTGCTCGAGATGTACATAGCTTGCTTTTTCTAATGACAGTTTCAGGATTCCACAACGTATTCATGAGGGGGTGCACCGACAGCGTCGAGCAGGGACACGCGACCCTTGGCCGCTTGTTGCGACCATAGCGGACGGCTTTCCCGTGGAGAACGCCAGCGGCCAGACTTATACGCTGGTAAGGCCCGCTACCAGATGCTCCAGTACCACGCACTTCACTCACCTCGACCAGCGTTCTGGACCTCGGCCACAAACACTTCAACGACAGCCCGAGACGTTCCCAGTGCCCTTCCTCGCGGGTGACGCCTTCTCGCCCTCCTTCCTCCAGCAGAGCCCGCCCTCCCACTCGCCGCCCCCACGCCCGCGCCCTCCTGGAAGAGCGCGGCACCCTAACCCCGCTGCTGGGGCACGTCTCCGCCATCCACGCCTCGTCCTTCTTCCATCTCTTCAAGGAGGCCCAGCAGGCCGCGCTCGCACGGTCCCTCGCGGGGCTGCTCTCGCCTGCGCCGGGTCGGTGATCTTCGGCGCGCACGGCGGGCGGTCGAGAAAGGGGCTGCGGGGCGAGGTCGCGCGGGGCCTGTGGCGGCGGAGCCGATGTGGTGCCACGACCCGGAGAGCTGGAGGGCGCTGTGGGACGGGGATGTGTTTGAGAAGGGGACCGTGAGGGTGGAGGCGGTGCTGAAGGAGGGCCATGCGCGCTGGGAGGGGGTCAGCGAGGATGGGGGGAGGCCGGGCTCGTTGATATGGTCCGTCACTAGACTGTGAAGTTAGCACGGCGTGTATGCAGCGACGTAGCAAGATGTGGCAACATTGCAGTGTACAATTGTCTGTTCAGCAGATAAGTACATATTGAGAGTGGATGCTTTCCGCAGGAATTACGGGCGTTGGTAAAGCTAGAGCGGGCGTCGAACATCGCCTGTGGCGCAAGGATAGCGAGGGTCACTAAACCACCTATAATCTGTGATGTAAATTCATAACACAGCGTCGGAGGCAACTGAAGTGATGGAATGGGTCGAACACCGACAGCATGCTTATGCTTTGCAACCTAGAAGCGGGGGACCGACCCCCCTTCCAGATTAAGGTTTAGAACGGGGGTGCCGGAGTTCGAGAGGACGACAAGCGAGATAGCCCGACGTGCTGGGGAGGTTTAGAGCGCGAAGTTAACATAGAACACGCTGTAACCCTCTGCGGGAAGGCATCCAGTGGTGGTCTCCGGCGCACGTCAAGGTCGTCTGCGGGATTCATTCTACGCATCGTTGATCTCTACCGAGCTACCGCCTACTACGGACAACAGCTTCCAGTCGACCTCGACGCCTTTCTCCCGGAAGATAGCGCGTGCGTCCTCAGCGATAGACTCGAACCCGCTCGTCGCGAGGGCGAGTATGGTGGGTCCCGCACCCGAGAGGCATATGCCCAGGAGTCCGGGATGGCTCGCGGGCGTCATTCGCGAGGTGACTTCGGGGAGGCCAGGGATCTGGGACGCGCACGAGGGGTGAGATTCGGCGGTGAGATTCGCGAGGGTCGACTCACGAGCTCTTTGCGGTAGGGCTGGTGTATCTTGTCCTTCATCGCCTCGTAGATGAGCTCGGGATCGGGCGGCGTTTGCGCGAGCGCAGTGGTCAGCACCGCCAATCGCTGGAGGTTGAAGACCTACCAAAGTGTCAGGGTCACCCACAGTCCATCAGCCTAGCACGGAGCGCGACGCACCACGTCCTTCCGCGAGTAGCTCGCAGGCAGCACCTCGCGCGCCCTCGCGGTGCTCAGCTCGAAGCGCGGGATGATCGCGACGGCCTTGATGCTCTCCGACCAGCCGAACCGCACAAAGTGGCCGATGCCGCGCGGGGGCTGCGGGGGGTCGGTGCCCCAGGCCTCGCCGGCGTCGGGCGGGTACTCGGGGAGGACCTCGCTGAGGGGGACGCTGGCGGCCTCGGTCGCGGCGGGGTCGAGCTCGCGGAGGTAGCTGCCGACGAAGCCGCCGACGAGGGCGGCGGTGACATTGTCCGGGTGGCGCTCGACCATGAGGGCGAAGTCGAGGACGCGGGCGGGGGGGAGGCGCAGGCGGGCGAGGGCGTCGCCGAGGAGGACGCCCGCGACGACGGCGGCGCCGGACGACCCGAGCCCGCGTCCGAAGGGGATCTCGTTGTGCGCGTGCACGGCGAGCCCGGGCGGGAAGGAGGCGACGCCGTGGCAGCGCAGGACGTAGAGCGCAACGCGGGTGGTGAGGTTTTTGTAGGCGTCGAGGGGCACCTCGTCGGCGCCCTCGCCGGTGTAGCGGATGGACGGGGGCGTGGGGTGGGAGGCCGGCGGGGGCGGGGTGAGGGTCACGGAGAGGGTGAGGTAGAGCGAGAGGGAGAGGCCGACGACGTCGAAGCCGGGCCCGATGTTGGCGGACGTCGCGGGGACGCGGATGGTGAACGAGCGCGACATGCTCGCTGGGGGGCGTGCGCGACGATTAAGAGCCCTTGCGAGACGGCGAGGTCGTGTGCGAGGCCAGTGCAGACGGTGGTCGATAGCGAAGAGGGCGCGGGACGTGCGTCCCGAAGTGACTCACCTCAGTCAAAGCGTCGACCTCGTGTCGACAACAGTCTCCTTCCAAAGTGTTTCCAGAGCAAGCCCAGCAGGGTACATAGCGAGCTTGCTGGCTGTAGTAGACTCGTCGGTGTCCATAGTGTTGTGGGGGAAAGTGATCAAGAGCGCGAAGCCGGCGGATTCGATCACCGACGACCTCCACGAACACGTCGAATCTCACGGGGCCGTCCCAGCAAGCGGCCGAGGACATCGTGTCCCTGCTCGAGGCTGATGATAAGCCAGTCGGTGCACCTCCCTCAGGAATATATCGTGAAATTGTGAAAATGTCATTAGAAAGCAAGCTACATCTCGAGCAATTCAATAGCATCATAAGGTATCATCATCTCGTAAGCGTATGCGGGTATCATCCAAAGGCCCATCCATGTCATCCCAGCGCACTCTAAATCCCCCTCTACACATCCAACCGTCTACGCGCGCATCTAGCCCCCTGCAGTGAGGCACACCGCGCGGGTCGCGACCAGCGCGCCCGCGGTGCTGTCGAACGGCAGGTCGACCGTGAAGAGGACGTGGCTTCTGTCGCTGTTCAGGTACACGGGCAGGTTCACCGTGCCCCCGCCGCCGCGTCGTCCGCCTGTACCCACCGGATCTGCGACGGGTTCAGCCGCACCGTCTCCCCGTTGTTCAGCGTCAGCTGGTCCGTGTCCCACTTCGCGCCCTCCAGCACGAGCCCTGCGGTACGACATACATTCAGTACCGGCGCATACGGTCAGCTGCGGAACGGACGCACCATCCACAATGTAGGCCCCGGGGTCGTTCACCCGGTCGATGTCGAGCTTCAGGTGCAGCGTCTCGAGGGACCACTTTTTGCGGTGCGCGACCGCCTGGCGCGTCGCGGTGATGTACGCCTCCGGGAAGAACAGCCCGCCGAGCCACACCTCGACGTTGTTCAGGTTGTCCAGCGTCGCGATCTGGTCGAGCTGCGCGAGCCGCCGCGCAAAGTCCGAGATCCAGCCCGAGACCGCCAGCGTCCTGTGCACCTTGTAGCGCCGCCAGTGATCCGGGATGGTACCTGCGAGCGAGGGTCAGCGGCGGGTGCATGCTATCCGTGATAGCGGTACGTACCCTTCGTTAGCGAGCTCATGAGCGTGCGGAGGTGGTTGGTCTGCTTGAGGGCGCCCTCGCAGACCTTGACGATGTCTGCGAGGTCTCTGCGGACTTGCGAGAGGAGCTTGCTGCCGATGGTACCTTCGCGGTAGAACAGACGATACAGCGGATCCTGGTTGTCGCTGCTCTGCTTCTCGAGTGTATGGAAAGTCTAAGACAAGGTCAGTACTGCGATCGATATCGCGTTTGCGTCAAGTGAACTGACCGACGGGAGTTGTTCGAGCCACTCCTTGCACCGCTCGTGCAGTTGTCGCATCCAAGCGGGCTGCTGTGAAGCCTGTCCCTTGGACGGGCCCGAGCTGGCAGCCGCTACATCGTCGTCATCGTCAGTGAGCATCCGCATCTTCCTGAGCTTGCCGAGGAGTTCGTTTCCTGTATGTCGTCAGCACCTCATATGACAAGCTGACAAACTACCAGCGTACCTTGTGCGACGGCAATGACGCGCTCCGCCGTAGGGGGGAGGCTGAGCCAAGCCGGAGGCTCCCGCTCCGGAAGACCTTGGACCCACGACATGAAGTGGTCGAGCTTCGTTCCTTCAGGTACGCTGAGCACTCTCGCACCAGTAGCACTGGGCACGAGGTCAAAGTCCACGTTATACGCCGCCGGCGTGAACAGACCATCCACGAAGGCGTCGATGATCTTTTGGTCGAAGTCGCTGTCAACACGCCCACCGTAAACACACTGCTTGACGAGCGTCCTCAGAGCATCCCATGGAATCACTGCGGGGTCGATATTTGCACGACCCTTCGACACGGAGTTGATCCACGTGTCGATCGTGGTGAACGCGGAGGCCATATCTGAGTCGTTGAAGTCGTAGAGCTTGCTCCACCCAAGCGGGACGTAGCGTAGACGTTCTTGAACTACTGCGTGGAGCCAGGCCAACAGGAAGTACAGTCGAGCCTTCTCCGCAGGACCTTGGGACAAGCGCGAGCCCGAGATACCGCGCAGCGAGTCGGTGAGATTGGCCTTGATACCCGGTGGAGGCTCGTTCATGAGGATTCTCGACTGGCGGAGGATGTTGACAGGAATGCTGGGGTTGGCCTCCATGGTGAGGAAGAGACGGAAGTTGCGGTGCGGGTTGAGAGTCTGCAGTTTCTTCTCGAGCTGACCGAGCCATGACGGAGCCAGGTGAACGTTCTTGAGCAGGACCCATGAGCCTTGGCGCGCTGCTGACGCGATAGCTTGATCCGCAAGAGTAAAGCCTTCCTGAGAGCCCATAGCAACGGAGGCGCAACGAGCACCCGTGTCGCGAATCAGATTGTCGACTCGGTAGCTGGCGTCATACCCAGTCACAGACACCAGCGATAGAGGTGTGGAGGGTAAGATTTCGTCAGCGACCATCGACCCGAGGTTGTACGCAGACTCGGCGTTCATATCAGCCTCAAAGACGGTGCGCACGAAGGCTGCTGTTGCTTGCAACAATCGATCCGGTCGGAGACACTTGATGACAAGCATCCGACGTGTGCCCTCCAGAGCAGCTGTGATATATTTAGTCAATGTCTGAAACGACAGGCGAATATTTGTGGCGCGACTTACGTGTGCCGGGGCCCCATGCAGAAGGAACCGATTGTTCCGGAACGTTTGATTCCAGGAGTGCAGCCCACTCGCTTTCGTGCTGCACAATGTGCTCGAGAACAGGCTTGAAGATGGGCTGTCTCCCATAACTCTCCAGTCGTTGCTTCTGATCGATAGACAGGAACGTGAGGCTCTGTATGTCGGCATTACCACCACCAGTGGCCACAGCACTGTCACCACTCTCGAGAAGGAATTCGAGTTCGTCAGTGATCTCTTCGACTCCCCGTAGCTTCACCTGAGCCAACAGCACGGCGAGCATGACGTGATCGCGATGAAGGAGCGCGCGAGATGTCCGCTTGTATGCCATCAGGAAGAGATCCTTGAGCAGGATTTCTCTCCGACGATGATAGTCGGATACGCCCTTCAAATTTGGATTCTGGTGGAGAACATAGTCGAAGATGTCCAGGAAGAAGCGCAGGGAGAACTGATAGAAGTGGTTGACGAGGTTGAGCTGCTCGAGAATGAAGAATACGGCGCTGCATGCTTGCGCCAGAGGCAGGTATTCGGCAGTAACTTGCTCCACCTCTCGCATGACGAGATCCGTCTCCTCCACTTTGTGTGTGATCTCTGCCGCCTCCCGCTTTAGCGTCTCGAGAGTATTGATGACCTTGTCATCATCAAGAATGTTTCCGGACGACTCGTTCAACGCCTGCAAGAGCAGCTTCTCCAATGTGCGCAAACGCAGGCGGAATTCACCCTGCATCTTCATCAAGTCGGTTCGCTTCTTTTCCGTGTCTGGTCGCTCGACTTTCAGGACTTGGTCAAGCGATTGACTTTGCAGGCTGCTCCTCGTCATGGTGAAGTTGACAAAGGTGACGCGACTGCATATGTCAGGAGAGAACTCGACCGAGGGGTCCCGGGTAGCCAAGAACATTGTGAAGGAAGGTGAGAAGTCGATATCCTGGCTACCGAGCCGGATGAGAACTCGACCACCGGTACGGCGAATCTCTTTGTTGAGCACGGGGTTCAAGATGGGGTCAAGGTGCTCGACATCCTGAATGAGGAGTGTGTTGCCGAAACGCAGCGCGCTTTCCAAAACCTTCAGGAACGCTTCATCCAGGAAACTCGTCACTGTGATCTTGCGATCCTTGTACTCTTTGAGCAAGAAGTTGGTGGCTTGGCCGGTCGGGTCAATGATCAGAGGATACCGGCTGAAGCGCTTGATCATGATGGCGTTCTCGGTGCATAGGTTGTCGGAGGGCAGCCCTTTGGATTGCCAGCTGAGACGATCATCTGCAGTCGACAGGTAGTCTGGCATGGAGAGCTCAGTCTTGAACTTGATGTTCGCCTCCGCAAGATGCGACGACCACTCTTGCCACATCTGTTCACGGTACTGTTGATCGAAGAATCCACCGTAGGCCAAGAAAGCTGCGGAGAGTAGTACGTCGCCCACAATGGTGCCCATCTCTGTGTCGAATGTGCGACTGCCAGACTCCCAACGGGTCTTCTCTGACGATAGACTGTCCAACAGCGTCATGCTGCGGTTGACCTTGCTCTCAACGCGCTCCATCTCTCCCTTGATAGCTTCGGTTTCTCGGATCAGAGCTGCATACTCCTGTTTGTATCGCTCGATGCTGGCTTCCAGCTCGGCTACCATCGTCACCATCATCTTCGCCTGCTCTTTGGTACGTTCCGCTTGATCCTCTAGCGACTGCACCTCATTGCGCAGAGGCTCCACCTTGTCCAGAATCTCGGAAAAGCGGACTTGTGCAATGGCCCACTTGACGAGAGGCCCGCAAGCTTTACTGGCACGGTTCACGTTCTCGTAGGTGTAGGAAGGCCGGCTGACGAAATCCCTCTTCATGATTTCGCGCAGATGTTTCGTCATCTGGGTCGTGGTATCGAAGTTCACGATTCGCTGAATGAAGTCATCGCGCCGAATGATACCCTGGACCGTACGCCAGCTGTCGATCTTGTGCCCTAGGATCGTACACACAGACTCCATAGCCAGCTTGACAGCCTCCGGAGGATTGGCCATAGTACGAACTTCCTGCAAGTGCTGCCGCTTGATGTTGCTCACAGCTGCTTGAGCATCCAGGACAGCTGGTTCGGCGTCTGCCAAATCCGCCATGACGACGGCACGACGTTGCTCGATGTGCTTGTCCTGTGCCGCTAGAGCAGCCTGGATATCGATCGATGCCGCTTTCTTCTGCTCCGCTTCCTGTTGATCCGCGACCATGCGCTTCAGCTTCCTATCGGCTTCCTCGTTTTTCGCCTCGAGCTGTGTGCGTTTGATAGCGAGACTCTTGCGAAGCTCCTCGACCTGCGTTACTGTTTCACGCAATTTATCCAGTCCTACATGGAGATGGCGCTGTTGCTCTTCCAACTCCTCGCGCTTCTCGTTGTGCAGGCGAACGTAGTGGTTGATGCTGAAGAGTTATCAACGAACCATTCGTGAAATCAAAACTGTGAACTCACAAGTCCAGGTAATGCCGTGGCGTAACGTAGTTGTATCGTCCTTGCCGGCGACTAAGGCGTAGGTTGATCTGATGCAGCGATTGGTGCACATACACCAGCGCATTGACGACAGCGGCACGATGGATCGGAGGCATCGACAGTTCGCGATATGCGATGGGGAACATGGCCGGTGGGTTGTATGAAGGTAGATCGAGATCCAGTGTGTTGGTGAACTCCATTCCAACTTGGTAGAAGGCCTGATCAGACCAATCTCCGAACCAATCCAAGACGCAACGATTGAACAAAGCCGGCGAGGTAGCAGCGCGCGAGGCGAGTCCGTTCTCGGGAGGATTCATGGTGAAAACGACATGCAAGTTCTTGGCCACTTGTTGCGTGAACCAGCGGTATAGTTCTTCATGCGAGTCCAGCATCAAACCGTCCCGCTGCGAACCTTCCTTGCAGGCGGTCATCAGGGCTGCGTGCTCGTCGCCCTCGAAGAGACCAGGAACCTCAGCGTTCGCAAGAAGGGTATTCATCCGTTCCAGGAACCCAGAGTCGAGGACATTTGATTCATCCATGATGAAGCATATCTTCTCCCCCTTGCATCCGGCACGTCGCAAGACCGTTCTGAGGTCCTCGTCGAAATCATCGCCCGTGTACTTGTTCGAGACCTTGATCTGGAAGATGTTCAAGCCATTCATCCAGGCGACAAATCGAGACAACGTCGTCTACACAAACAGTCAGCGCCCGCAAGTGACGCAAGGATATTAATTAGACTTACTTTGCCGCTACCGCTGACACCAATCAACAGCAGGTGGCCCTGTATTTGCCTGAAGACTCGATCGATACGCAATACATGATCTAGGACATCATTGAATAGCACAAGTGGCACATCGAGCTCTTCTTCGTAGAACACCCGAAGCCGCGCTTTGGTGTACTCGCGCAATGCTTCACGATCGACAGAGACGTAGTTTTTCGACGTCCAGTTGGAGAATAGGATGGGACGTGCTAGCGCCTCGTCGCGGTCGATGGTCGGGAAGTTCTCAATTGCGACATTATCGATGCTCTCATCTGTCCACCGCTTCTCTTCTTCATTGACAAGACGATCAGAGAACAGGCGAAGCGCTTCGTGGGCCCAAACCCGTACAAGTCCTTCCACAGACAAGGTCTCCAGCGGCTTGATGGCCTCGTAGATGCCACGTACCCAGCGGGTTAGCTCACGCGGGCTGTAAACGTAGTGAGCCTGGTTATCGGTGGTGAATCGTTTCTGCGATGCGAGGTAGAGCGCGACCATAGCATCCGTGAGTGGCTCGGCGTATGTCCGAAGGTTAGGAAGGACCTTGAGGGCGGCGCGGTTGTAGGTGCCATAGATTTGCTTCAAGGACAATTCCCCAGGGTAGTCTACCATGACCAATGGGGCATGTCGGAGGAAACGATGACTGAGAGGGACACGGCCAGGGTCCGTAGGGGGATTGCAAGCACCGACGAACTGGATACGCTCCAGCTTGACCCATGCCATGTCGGTGGTTCGCCAATAACCGTTGGCTTCGACGAGCTGTCGGATGAACGAGATGACCCGCTGAGTACCGTATTTGTCGGTCGCGGGCAGATTGATTTCGTCACAGAAGACTACTAGCCAGCGACCAATCTGGGCGGGCGCAAGGATCACGCCATTGGGTGTCTTCCGATATTCGCAGTACTGTTCGAACGTCTTCAGGATGAGCTCCGGCGTAGTAGCACTGGAGAAGTTCAGGCCGACGACCTCCATGTCTGGGAGTTTCCGTAGGGCACTAAAGAGTGTCATGGTCTTCCCGGACCCAGGAGGACCGCACAGCATGAGAGGTTTGTGCTCAGAGAGCCACGAGTAGAGAACTTCTTCATGTCGGACAGTATCAATCGTCGGAACGACAACATCGGACGCAGTTACCGCATGAGACTCGATGTCGATGACTGGAACCCTCGAAGCCCACGGGAACCAGTCGCCATTGGCGACTTGGACATCATAGTCGAGCAACGAGCTTCCCGGACCCAACGGCGGCAAATCCACTCCGGTCTGCTTGCGCAAGAATTCGCCCAATTCGGAACGCAGCTCCAAACGTGCGTCACCCGAGAAAGCCCAGATGATGCTGACCAAGAGCCGCTTCTCGACGTATTGTTCGACGCGCTCGGGTGCCAGAGGGAAATCGGAATGCTGGATGTTGTACTCGATGATGTTACGGACCGTCTTGTTGATCAAGGAGAACAAGGTGTTCAGCGCACGGGTGATAGTGAAGTCCATGATGTGCTCCAAGGACTCTGCAAAGTTGAGCGCGCCGAGAACCAATCCGTCTTCTTCGAAGAAGTTCCTCAGAACATCCGCGATTTGCTTCTGAGTGACAAGGTGCGGGGAGGATGTCGTCTCAGCAGCGAGCGCGTCCGTACGACGACCCGGTATCTCGACCTCCTCATCTTCTGCGTCCAAAGGCGCGGTGGAAAGAGTCTCGAGGTAATGTTTGAATACCATACTCGGCTCAACGATGTCCTCGCTGAACCAGATCATACCGCAGCGACTGACGGTAGCCAGGGTCGCATAACGCAGGTGTTCGACTTCGAACATGATGCGGACGTTCGACGGCAAGTTGAGTCGCTCTCCGTTTGGCAGCGTGAGCAATTTGTTATCGTCGAGTACACTACGGATAGATCAGTATGGCCCCTGCGCGGATAGTGATATGTCAAACCTGTTCAAGTTCTCGACCCACTCAGGATCTACGTCACCATCAAAGATGATCCAGTGTCGCTTGCCACTCTCGCCACGAACATCGTCCACGATCTTACGGAGGGTATGTGTGAAGAGACCATCGTTCCATTCGCGCGTAGTCGGATCGAGAGTGCCGTACAAGGCGTCCTTGTGCATCGCCTTGGGATCGATCACGTATGCGATACCTTCGACTCCGTCGAGCCGTTCGAGAGCGGCCAGCAACACCTGCCACGCGTTCGTCTTGCCGCTACCAGATGACCCGACCATCATCAAACCGTGCTGAATCTTCTGGATCTGGTAGAGCTGGAGAATCTTGCTGATCCACCTCTCGCCCTCCACCAGGCGACGTTCGGCACAGACCTTGCTGATTTGCTCCCGCAGCGCATCGAGATTCACGGGGATATAATCTGTGCCTGGGAACACGTCTGCTAGGAGGCTGTACCAATGAATGTCAACAAGCTGCAAGACCCATAAACTGCTACGCTTGCTCACCTCGTCAGGAGTGGAACATCCTCCGCAACCAACTTCGGCACGATAGTTTCGGTGACACTCTGGATCAGGATGACCTGCTCCGACACAGCATCGGAGAGGCCTACAGCGGTTTCGCCCTCGCCTGCATTTTGCAAACGTTCACGCTTGAGGATACCTGCGCTCGCAAGCACGGCCTTGAGCGCACGCAGACCAAAGTCGTAATGAGGCTGAGGAGACAGCTGTTCATCGCATAGGTTGAAGAACGGCACAATCTTGGAGGCAAGGGACTCAGCGGTCCGGAAGCCTTGAGAGAACAACATGACTTGAGCAATGAGTTCTCGGTCGGGGCGGGTCATGGCCATCCTGGATGCCGATAAGTAATTGGGAGAGCTCGAAGATATGAACACGTACGGTCTGAACAGCTTCGTCAAGTTGGGAGGCAACTGCGATCGTCCAGCGTAGTTAGGGTTCGTTGTGATGAAGATACCTGAATTTTTATCTTCAGCAGACGCCACAGACTATTGTCACGAATACATACCCATGTTCTGGTTAAGCTTGACATTCTTCCCAACCAGCTCGATCTCGGTGTTCGGATTCTTGACGAGAGTGGCGAGACCCTGCTGGATGCTCTGCACTTGCTGCGAAACGGCACTGAGGATACGTTCTTCGAGACGGTTGAACTCATCGAAGCATCCCCAGGCGCCGACTTGACAAAGACCGACGAAGATACGACCCATCGCCTGGAAGTCAAACGTCTCGTCACAGCAGAACACGAGAACGAAGCGGCCGAGTTGCACGCCCAACGCTTTAACCGACTCCGTCTTGCCCGTCCCGGCAGGACCGAAAGGAGCTCCGCCCAATTGATTGTCTAGAGCCTGCATCAACGTCAGGTAACACCTGTCCGTCAACGGCGTCTGGACGAGACGGTCAGGGACGCCAAGGTACTCCCACCCGTACGGGAAGGATGCATCCGCCACTCGGATGGCGAGCCTGTCCAAGGGGTTCTCGAGACTCTGGTCGAGGTAGAAGCGCATCTGATACAGCCAGGAGAACGCGCGGTTGTCGACGACCTTCTTTTGAATCAAATCGCGAACGACGTCCCGCTGGTGGACAAGCTCAGTGATGAGATGCTCGCACTTGCGCCGGGTCACGGGGCTGAGCTCGGTGAGCACAACATCGGCGAGGAGGTCCAGACCTTGCCGTATGGTGTCCAAAGGTCCTTCGAGGCCTATTTGATTCTCTAGTGCAGACTCGGTGGAGGCGGTCCACGCGACTTGAATGGCGAGAGTGACGAGCTGTGCAGGGTACTTCTCCAGCCACGCCATGAATAGGTCCTTGGGCAACGGAGAGGCCGAGCCGTAGAAGGACTGCAGTTCCGTGACTGCGTCGCAAAGGAGGAGGGATAACGACACCCTCATCTCCGACTCCAGCTTGGTCAACCAGTCATTGATCTTCGGGAAGTCTTTGAGAAGGATGGGCGTTTTGAAGTGCACTTCCTCGCCCTCCCGAGAAGACATACCCTCGATCTGCGTCAGCTGCTCATCAAGCGCGATCGTCGAGATACCAGCGAACATCTTCTTGAGATGCTTCATGATGCGAAGGATCTCTTTGCTGTTACCAATGATTTCCAGCAGGTCTTCGTCGCCGACGAAGTAGAAGCGAGGGAACGAAGCGCGCTCGCGCTCGAGGTACTCTCCGAGGGCCTTCTGGATCTTGTTGAGTAAGTCTGCGAGGCGCTCGAGACTCTTCTGAATACCCGGAATGTTCATGACGTCGAGTACGAACGGTGACTTGTACACCTTCTTCATGACCGCGAGGAACTCGGTGTTGATGTTCTGGAAACGGGCGGTCTCGACCGGCAAGAGATGCTTGATGTCTGCGCTACCGGAGAAGATACCTTCGAGGTAGACCCACTGACGCTGCACGTCAATCCAAACGTCGAAGAGGACGTGAATCCGGTTAAGCTTCTCCTCCCAAGAGCCAGCCTCCTCCTCGAAGACTTTGTAGTACGGCGAGAGCTTCATGGCTGTCAGCGAATTCAGGTTCTCACTGCACTTGTTGAAGAGATCGTCCCAGCCACGAATGAGGCGGCACTTGTTCTGGTAGTTGACCAGGTCGAGTGTGTAGTTCGTCCAGACCTCCTTCACTTGGCGAATATACTCCTCCAGAGCCATCTCACCCTGCGCTTGGATGATGACCTCCTTGATGGTGTTCTCGTTCCTCCGCAGGTCCATGTCGTAGACGTGACCTAGGGTCAGCCTGCGCGTAGACGGTTAGGCAATGCGTACAGGATTTGTCAAAGCACGTACAGAGGCAGGCTGACTTGCGTTGGCACGCGCAGCACTTTGAAGAGCTGCTTCCAATGCCTATCTTTCAAGGCTTCCGACTTCAGCTCAGACACGAGCGTGTTCGACTTCAGCAAACCCCGGAGGACATCTTGCACGTACTCGAACGCGGCGTACTGCCGCATCCTCGTTGGCATATCCTTCGTCGACGACAGTAGCCCGTCGATCTGCTGTCGCAGCTTCCTTGGCTGCACAGTGGCCCACGCCATCTCCTTCAATTCGCCCATCTGGTTCCATATGCCGGACAGCGCGGTCCAGACGGCCTTCAGGTCGCGCAACTCCTCGAAGATTGGGTCGAGACGCGTGTGCCGAATTAACTCGAGGTCAAGCGCTTCTTTGGCTTTGCAGACGAGGTCGTATTCCTCTTGTATCCGATTGAGCTTGCCTCGAACACGTTGATAGTGTTTAGCGCAGTGTCGGAGCGCATGCTACCCTGCACGGGGCGGGTCTGCTCCCACTCCTGTATGATGTCGTTGATCTTGTTCTCGACAATCTTGTCCTCCGCGACAATCTTCAGTTGTAGCCCGGCTGCCGGAAGTCATCGTACCCACCCGTGTCTTACTAAGGTAACGTAGACTCACCAAGTTGCTCCTGGATGGAGTCGTTCTTGCGCTTCAGAATTCGTTGAATGCGCTCCACTCTCCTTGTAGTTGGTCGCTATAGAGCCAGTCATCTGGAAACTGGTAGCGGAATCGTTCCAGTGTCTTCTCGCCGCTGGCGCACAGCTCGATCATAGGTCCCCATTGTTTCGTCTTCTTCTTGAGGTCTTGTACGAAGGTGATGAACGTGACGGCCGCCGCCGTCGACGAGTTGGACGAAACCAGCAGCTTGATACGACTTCAGCATCTCCCAGTGTGCAGAAAGGGCCAACGCTTACCTCCATCCTTGCTGACTTCAGTCCAAGTTGTACGAGTAAGCGCTCGCGACGCGTCGCGTCTCCCTCGTTGCACTTTCGGAGCGTCGGCATTCGCCGAAGGCACGCACACATCCTCAGATCGTCTCCTCCGCCACCGACCGGAAGCATCCTCCCTCTAGCCCAGATCCTTCGCCTCACCTCAATTCAGCAGTCATGTCGGGTCGTCAACAGCGTGTGATGGTGCAGCCCATCGTAAGTCATCATTCCATTTTTGTTTTGTTCACCGGATAGCTGAAGTCTCCCAGAATGTGATCTTCAAAAACCTCCACAGGTATGTTGCATCTTCGACGTATTTCGACGTCCGCTGACTTTTCCTCAGCGAGCAAAGTTGTGATCTGGCTGTACGACAACATTGAGATGCGTATTGAGGGAGAATCATTGTGCGTGTTTGGAACAACATCGTTGAACCCACCCTGCGTTAAACGTCGGAACCAAGGAGGCGTCGACCTCTTGTTGGCCTTGCGATTCAGGACTGCTGCTGCACTCCTGGTCAACCACATCCGTGTCCCTCCCGTTTTCACTTGACTGTCTTCCGATTCTGAGGCATTGCTCACGCATCTCTTCACCGCAGGGTTTCGATGAGTTCATGAATGTTGTCGTGGATGAGGCCGCTGAAGTATACGTCAAGGATGCCAAGCCGCGACGTGACCTAGGTACGTATCTGCCTTGATCGCTCCTTGCTTCCATCTCATTATGACTCCCAGGCCGCATATTGCTCAAGGGGATAACATCACTCTATTCAACAAGTGGTATAGTGACACTTTGCGCATGGATCGACGCTGTATCCAAAACACCCAACCGTAAGTTTCGAATGGGTGCGGAGTCCGCCAGGGCGGCTGGGCCTGCATACGGGATGTATGTATAGTGTATCATAAACTATTGTGATGCTACAGGTTGTAAATCGGTAGCAAAGACGTCAGGTTGAGCGACTGGCGACAGAGCGGGCACTCAGCCTAGCTCTATGTTAGCTTGCTTGTTTCCCATCCAACATCACTACGCACCTTCTCCCTGCCCCAACCCACGATGCAATCCCAGCAGAACAGATGTCCACACTCTGTGGATGTCGTCGCCGTCCGCTCCTCCAAACAGAGCGTGCAGTTTCGGCTTCCTCGTACAGTAGGGGGCATTTGAGAGAAGTCGAGAACCGTCCGTTCATCCTCTTCAGCAGTCAAGGGAGGAACCTCATCAGGATCGACACGCCCAATCATTGTGGAAATGGGTCTATCGTCAATGTAGATCTCCTCATGGTCATCCACTGGTCGTTTGCCTTTCCGTTCAGTTGCTTCTACGTCCGCCTTGTAAGACGACCGGATGAAGCTGACGAGACGATGTAGCAGCCTCACGGCTAGAAGATACCCAGAAGAGAATACGAAGGCGGCCTCGTATTTGGGTCGCGAGGAGTTGCCGAGATCTGGTATGTTCAGTGTCTAGGTAGCCCACGCGCGATCTGGGCTACTCACATAACGAATCCCAAGCATCCTCTTCACCAGGTCATAGTACGTGCCTCGGAAGTAGAACATAGCCAAGTTGACCTCGCTTATGATCTCCAGCAGTGTTGGTAGCTTGCGTACCAGCGACGTCAGCCTGGACGTCGGCGCAAGGTACGAACCCCATCTAGCAAGCGCATACGAGGGCAGCGTCGGTAAGAGGACAAGAGCGGCCCTAGCACGCCAAGGCGGTACGCCTTCGGAATGCATGGAGTGTATCCATATGTCGGTGTACTCTTCTCCGAGAGTTTGGGTAGCTACAGCAGACAGAGCCCTTGAGCAAGAGCACGACTCATGGTGGGGGCGACGTACCGCGCCCGACGGTCAGCCCGAAGTACAGCAGCTTCGTACAGAGTTCAACCTCTTTGTCCCATCGAGATAGCCATCTCGTCCCTTCGCTCATTCAGTGAGGCGAAGTTGCAGACTCTGGGTCTACGCACCCAGCCAAGCTCTCAGCACACCATCGGCTTGTTCTCGCAGCGCCGAGACCTGGAAGAAGTCGCGTTGATGCGAGCGGACTGAATAATATGCAGTGTTACAATTGGAACGGCACAACAAACAGTCAGTACACACTGATCTGAGGCTGCTGAGCCGGAGGGAACGAGAGCAGCTCGAGGGGCATGGCCGTTGCGTGTTCCGACGGTGCCGGCGCTAGCGCGCGACGATCGCTTTCATTCAGACGACCACTTCACCACCTGGCTCACCCACTCCCAAACCTTCTCTTCCCTTGCCTCCATCATGGCGTCGATGCAGCGAACACCTCAAGGGCCGACGATATGGCAGAAACGTAAGTCAGGCAGCCTTCTCTAGCTTATGTTCACAACTGAAGTGTAGACGGCGCACAGTGAAGTAGGCGGTTCCATAGAGTTAATCGGGAAACATGCTGAAGACCTCTGCCCAATCCAGGATGGGTGCAGCGATGGGCTGTGGTGTGGGACTCACTATTGGATTCCTATTTGGCGGCTTCAGCATCTTGAGGTACGCTCACGCAGGCTAACTCGTGTACGTGAGGCTGACTGCTATTCCAGGGGCGGCGCAGGTCCTCGCGGAGTCCTCCCCACTCTCTCGCAGTACATGCTGACTAGCGCAGCTACTTTCGGTTTCTTCCTTGCTATCGGTTCAGTGAGTGCGCATCCGGACGACCAGCTGAGGGTACTGAGTGCCCGTCCAGGTGATCCGCAATGACAGCCATCTCCCTCCGCACCTCGAAGCCGCACGTTTGCAGATGGCGTCACCTTTGCTGCGTACCAGAGCAGATGGCCTCGCCCTCATGAGAAGTCGATGGGACGCTGAGAGACGTCGCGATCAGCAGTAACCCTCTCCCCGTCGTCTACGCCCGACGTCACAGCCGAGCCGTTCTATCGCAGCGACGTGCAACGAGTGCATGCAGGAGCTCCTTTAGGCCTTAGGGTTTGCCTGCTATGAATTGGGCATCCTGCGGCAGTGCAAACAGGCTTCCATAGTCTCGTGAGCTGTCGTATTACTACTGTGCTGTACAAAACCACTGTCCTAATCTTCAGTCAAAGCTCAATCTGCGATATCAAATCTGAGAGCACATGCGAAGGGAACGGCGTAAGTAATGCGCTTGGCCATATAGCAGTCCATCGAAAACGGAGAGTCCCGCATGATCATAGTAAAGAACACTTGAGACGTAAAGCCCGCATGGAAGGGGGTCGCAGAAAGTACCCTACATCCCACAATTCGTCAGTTTGGTCCAGGAATACCGCCGAAGCCCAAAAACTACACACGTACCAGCTATGAAACCAGTTCATAGTTCTTTCCCAGTCACCCTGCCCCAATATGTATGCAGCCTGCTGCTACACGATCGAATGGACCGGAGGCTGCCGTTCGACTTCATCGAGCGCAAACTTGGCGCTCCAGACTTCATCGAACGCACACTCGGTGTGCCGCCGCTGTGCGTACGGCGCGGTGGTGTCTCCCACAGTGGGAACGGTCCAGAGATCGTCGGTCGCTCTTCCGCCGGTTGAGCCTTCTTGCTTGCACCCCGGATCCATTTCAGAAAGCTCCGCTTTCCGCTGTCCTCAGAGACGGACCGAGCGTGGCCCCGGGCGTGCTCGAATTCGTCCTCTTCGTAATGGATCGTGGGCATGTCAAGAAACTTGACGGATGGCGGCGACCGTGCCGTCGTCCTGGTTCTCGTGGACGAGCTGGAGGACAGGATGGACTTGGCGGGGGCAGGCCGTGACCGGGACGATGCCGTCGAGGAGATGGACGGAGCGCGCTGACGGCTGGGCGCCACGCTGCGCTCGCTCATCTGCCCGAGGACGGGCATGCTCTTGTCTGACGACCGCGAGGCTGTGGGCCGGATGACCGAGGCCCAGAAGGTCCGCTCGCAGTGGCTGTCGTCACTCCCCCGGCTTGAACAACCCTCCATCGGATTCCAACCACTGTCGAATCGTGACGGCGAAGAGGATACGAATGGAATCTCCGGTAGCTCATCGTAGCCGGAATCCGCCGCCGATACTACGGACAGCTGAGATGACGAAGGCGCACTCAGCGGCGAGTCTAGCGGGGAAGGCAACTATCACGGAATGAGCTTTCTGGTCTCGCAATGCTATCGTATGGGGCAGAGTATGCTCACGAATGAGGTATAACACAGAGGCATCGCATCGTCAATATCGTCTTTCAATTGGTGGCGGCTCTGACGGAAAATGTCACCTCGCGCGCGGGCGCAGGCATCAGCGATCGACTTACGATATGATCTTCAATAGTTGCAGATGCCGAGCTACTATATGACGACTGAGCAAGACGTGAGGCGGTCACTCAGGTACAAAGGGGGTGGCCACATACATTGGCTAGACGCTCGGAGTGCAGCCAGTCGGTCCATACTTGGCTTTCGCACCTCGAGAAGGCATAGTAAGAGCTTGGTCTCTGCATCGTCTATAGTTGATGAGATCGACTGTCAACCTCGCCACGTCAGAAAGAGCGGAAATTCACTCACGAAGCTGATGGAAGGGTGTGGGATGGGTTCAAGGAGGAGGGTGAGCACAGGCGCACTCGCCCGGCGAGTCCCAGTTTTCTACACGTGTAAGAACCTACGTTTACCGCGCGTCACGATTGAGTCAGTAGATAATCCTGAGGACTAATCCTCAGGGCAGCATGTAGCAAGCGTGTATCATCCGGACATGAGGCACGCTTTCCAGAATTGGACTTCCCATGAGGCGCTTCCGACCTGGGTTCAACACAGCTTTACGGCTGAACGCTACTGAATATCAATGATTGGACCCGCAGAGATATGAACCGCGAGTCTGGCAATTCCCTAAGGTGCACAGAGTCCGGAGGACATCCATATTTGGGGCTGAACTCTATCCCGGCACGTCACAGACTCACAATGACAAAAGAGGGCACTCATGGACGCATTGTGGTAGCGAGTGTAATATATCGGTAATAGGTTACAGTCATCTAGCAGACATCTCCATTAGTCGTGTCCGTATTGCGTGAACGCAGCTACCAGGAGATGTAGCGCGGGGAAGAGGTGGTACTACATACCAGCCACTGTATCGTGTATGGTCGCGAAAGTGCGCTGCTGTGTGATCCATTCCCAGCGACCCCGGAAGCTCCGGATGTGTTATATTTTGAAGGGTTGGTCATGAAGACCGCTCCAGATGCCCCTCGCTGCCTCTGTCGTACTCTCGACAGTGCGTCTCTTGAGCGGTTTGATCTTCGCGCCTGACGAGTCGAGCAGAAGTTTCACTTTCTGCTGGATACCGGTGACTTCGAAATCCTTCAGCGGGATGACTTTATCTCGGTCATTAACTAAGGGACCATAAGCAACATGTCGAAGCGGAATATAAGCACACACATACGATAGAATCCTCGAATGATGGGCTCCCTCTGTGTCCGTTGCTTTACCACGAACTCGACGTGAGGGTTTGCGCGAGCGAGTTCCTCCAAGTGGTTGTGGATGTATGTCCGCGTGTTAGCGGATGTGGCCATTTGTTGCAGTATTCGAACACAACTTCCGGACCTGTGGAATGAAGGCAACGTGCCCGTTCGCAGGCCGGGATGAAAGCTGCCCTCGCAGCAGCGGTCGAGCAGCAGGAGCAAACTTGGAGCTGGTGGCCATAGCGAAGACGGCGCAGACGACCGAAGTCGTCGTCGCCAGTGAGCAGCGGAGTTTCAACAATGCGTTACCTGAGTACGAAAAAGTAAGAAAGCTGGAAGGGCCGCTGTGGCTGAGTGACTGAGACTTTCTGCAGCTGCTCCCATCGGGCAAGCGTCGAGGAGACGACTCTGGTCATTCGCCACGGGACGCGTCGAGACGGACGCGACTCAAGCTCTCCTGCTCTCGCCACAGGCGCGTCTTCCACCCTCCCTCAGCGTCTCTTCCACAACACGTACAATGGCCCGCGCAACTCGCTCAGCAGGTCAACCGGACAAGGACAAGGCCAGGACACCGCCCCTGCGCCGCGCAAGGGCGGCTCCAAAAAGCGCAAGCGCATCTCGAACGCCGACACTGGCGAACAACCTGCTACCAAGCAACAACGCACTTCGGAGAGTCAGGAGCCACCGGAGATTCCGTCAGAGCAACCAGATACCGACACACCAACCGACGCACTGGGGAGCGGTGATGTTCCATTGACTCTGCAGACGCGGAAAAGATACTGCTCGTACTAGAATCGTGCGCCCCACATACTTTCGATCCGATTCAAACCACTGAATTTCGTGCTTTCATAGAATCGACACCCAAGGTCTGCTCGACCGTGTGTTTCCGCTGCCAACTGAGTCCGCGGAACCATCGTCAGGCGAATCCACATCCACTCCGACTCCCTCTACGTCTACGCAGACATTCTCGTTCCGCACGCTACTCAAAGACTCCCCTCAATATCCCCTACGCGTTCTCCGGGTACGTTCTCTACGTGTATTACTGTGTTCGGCGATACAGCGTGTTGATACGTCATATGTCAGTCTGCGGTCCAACACCTGTTCCCAATCTCTTCACATCCACGATCTCGCCCTTCAGAGCCTGCCGCACAGCAGCTGCGCTTCTGCAACCTCGCCCTTGCCCTCCTCGACCAGGCCTCCTTTCACTCAGTACCTTCGCCTCTCGAAGCGCAGAGTATCTTCCCGACGCTCTTCCAACCTCCCTCCACTGATGAAGAAGCCGCCGAAGAAGCGAAGCCAGCTCCTTCACCACCCCAGCAACCCGAAGACGAAAGTATGCACTCGTACAGCACCTTCCCACAGGCGACTGGTGGACGTCGCTCAACTCTGACTTTACGCCCCCTCCGACGGCAAGGCGCTGACAGATCTGCCCACTGGCCATGCGGAACTCGCCGCTATCCTTCCGTCGGCGTCAACCTCCTCGTCCATTATGGCGAAAACACTGGCGGACTATGTCAGGCCGAGAACCACCGCCGCCACGCTCCAGATGCCGGGGCTGCGACACGTCAGCTGCGGCAAATTCCTTGACTATGGGCCCTACGCGAGTTTTGCTCCGACCTTCGACCAGGATGGGACGGAGGTCGGTAGGTATGCCCTTGGTGAAGTTATCTGGAGACAGCGCCAGGAGGCCAGTCTCCGGGAAAGACGAGGGGCAAGCGGAAAGCTATGGAGTCCTTGCAAGCAGCGGATGGCGATGAAGTGGTGCTGGTGGGCGAGGAGCCGCATAACGCCGGGGTGTCGGAGCCGGAGAAAGAGACGAGAACGCGGAGGAGCTGGATAAGGCTCTGCAGAGCCTGGTACCGGCTGAGGAAGTAGCGAGGATCAAGGCTGCGCTCGGGAGTTTGGAGATGGAACAAGCCGTGCAGGAGTTACTTGACAAGAACGCGAGAGCGTTGCTTAGGCTACAACGACTGCAGCGATTGCGACTCGGAGCGGAGGGTGGCGGTTCGAGCAAGGTAGAGGAGGAGTCCGAGGAGTGGGACACAGGTATGCACAGCTCAACTACCTGTATTGCGTTCAATCTGCTAATGGAGGGCTTCGGTCATAGCCCAGGCCATCTTGGACTCGTTAACGTTGCTGGCCTCCTTGAGACCACGGACATTGCCGATCAAGCCTCGAACCCTCCACTCGTTCCACCTGCATCTGTGCTGCGCACCTTACAACGCAGCCTGCCGCTCGAGGGCACAGAGGGTTGGGGTGGAACGTTGCCCCCCGCTCGCGCTACTGCGTTAGGGATGACACGACTGTACACGTCAAACCCGGCGGCGAAGCGGCCACAGTTCCAACTACCACTCCCACTACAGTCATTCCTGTGACTCCAGCTAAGCCCGCTGCTACCTCTACGGCTCCTTACACGCCGTATAGCTACAACTATCAAACGCCTCAATACCGAGGGTCTTATCAATACACTCCTGGGCAGGGTGGATCTTACTATCCGAACACACCAGCACCAATACGAGCAGTTACTACCCCAACTCGCAGTACAACACCAGGGCCAGTACTCTTACCCGTCGTACTACCAGTACCAACAGAAGCTTCAACACAGGCGCAAGCTACCGCTTCCGGAGGTGCGACCCAGGACGGGTGACGCCCCAGCCTAGCGTCACGCCGACAACGATGCCGACGAACTACGCGAGTTTCTTTGCGTCGTCTACCCAGGCACAGCAACCCCAGCGCGCCGTCGCCAACACAGTCACCGGACCAGCTGCAAAACCGTACCAACCGGGAACGTGGACCGGCGCACAAGGTGGTTCAGGTTTCATCGCTCCGCTCCCTGCCCATCTTCGCAGCGCGGCAGCCGGCGCAGGGGCAAGTCAGCCTGCGACTCCTGGTGCGTCCACACCGTACCCATACTATGGCAATTACCAGTCCACGACGTCTGCGGCTCGATGATCGCATTTTCTTTGTTTGCAAAATTTTGATATGGTACGTTAGTAATGGCAGCTATGGACCTCGGGCCCAATAATCCTGGAGCTATCATTGTCGAATGATGAGGGTGTTGCACGTGTAAAATGCATTGGAATCGGTCAATGTCGTGCTAGCGTAGACGGGGCATTGTAACCCAATACATTGTACAAGTATCTCCGCAGCGGAGGGGATCCGCGTAACGAATCGCAGCATCAAGATTTGCAAATACAGATGTTTGATGCCGTCTAGACTCTACGAACTCAGAAGGAGGAGCAAGAGAGTTGACAACCCAGCATCAAGACGTCGCGCCTCGATCTCACGCGTCAAACCACCCCCTCATCTCCTCGAGCACCCATGGGGGTACCCTGGTTGAAGGGGAAAGTGTCCGGTCGCAAACCTCGACCACCCATAGGTTGGAAGTAGAGACCAGCGAGGCAGGACAAGAGAGCGCGTTGGGAAAAGCCTTCGGAGTGGAGTGCTTTTTTATGCCAGCCATTCGGCATCTGCCGAGAGCTAGGTGGTTAAATAACGCCACAGTTTGAATGTCCTTAACATAGAACGAGATCTCGAGACATATGCGAACACATACCGTGGTAACGATTGGCAACGCAGAGGGAATACTAGGCTTTCATGTGTTGGCTATTGATACAGTGGTAAGTACTTACTTGCCACGACGCGACTGTAGTGGCTGAATAAGCGCTCAAACGCCACATGTCGTGAGGAGGAGGAGGAGAAGGGAAAAGAGAAATCACCTAAAGCCCTTGTCGATGTTGGTCAATCTGTCACGTATCTCCACGGCGGCACTAGCTTGGAGGACCGGTCACATATATAATCTGCCTCTGTCAGACATTTGAATTCTGCAGCTCAAGTCGACCACCCGCAACATATCAAGAGAAACAACTACGGTACAAGTACAACAATAGGCGATCAGGGTGACAGTCAACATGGACTTGACATTCAATTGGGGAAGTATTTCGGCGGTATAACGCTGTCCGGGGTGAACTTCCTGCCCCTTATGTCCTTCTTCATCTTCCGTTCGAACTGCAAGTCCTTCTCTATCAGCTGACGCATGACTCTTCCACGTCCCGCATCCTTAGTATCAAAGGAGTATTCCCAGATCTTCCTCGCCTCCGGTACGTCTTGTCGGAGCTGTTCCATGATGCGGAGGGCAACCCTGAATCGGGTTCCTACACACATTTTCAGTCCGTGTAACGCAAGATGTAGATACCCTTGGGTAGAAACATTTGCGTTCAGACAGCAGATCACGTATGACCAGTATTGATAGAGACATACAGATGTGTTGTTCATCATCCCGAGGGAATAGCATGGCCGCCTGATACCAAGCCCCCTGCGACTCGGAGAAATGATTGAGCGCCGCGGCGGAATTGTTCTCCATGTTCCGACATGCCATGTTTTCGTGGTAGAAGCCGACATCGCTAGAGCATATAGAGAGCGTGAAGATGAGGTGCTGCAGAAATGGCGTAGGCAGCCTACTTACGCCAATGCGTAGGCCTTGGGATAGACGCCGAACGCCGACAGGAAACCACGGACATCCCCGTAGTCCTGGTGTCCCCCTGGAAATGCTGCTTGTCCGATCTCTGGCATCTCGCGAATGATGCTCTGCGCCTCTTCATACAGGGCTTCCAAAGGGGCTATCGGGCTCTGAGGGGTTAAGTCTGTGATTTTGCAACTTGAAGCCTAGATAAGATTATATATCAGTCGACTGGGTAACTTGAAGTATGGTGGTGGATGGCATGCACGTACAACCCTCAATGCTTCTAGTCTCAGCCTACGAAGACCCCTCATCCAATGTAACTCGAAGATCTCGCCTTTGTCTTCGCGAGGGACATCTTTCCACGGGCCCGTCCGTCCCCATTCAAGCAATTCCAGCGCCGCGTTATAGTGAGTAAGGCTTCTTGTGGGCCTTTCTGGGTGTGCATAGCGAAATACCCTCGCATGATCCTTACGCTAAAACAAAAAGGGTGAACCGCCAGCAGATCCCGGCAGCCACACAGCATACTTACCGGATAGTGGTATCAATCGAACGGCGAACTGAATCCCAGCCTCCCTGCTGTTGGCGTATCAATGCTTCTCTTTTGACTTGTTGCGCCGGGACGTCGTCACTCCATGCGCCAGTGACCCTCTCTTCCATTGCCACTTTTTGACACCCGCCTTTAAGTTACGCTGATCGCAATCCTTCGAATGCCATACCTTGTAGAGGCCACTTGTCCGCCAACTGTGGCGTGCGGATGTTGAATACACGATCATCGACGAGTATGGCGTTCGTGAGACAGGCCACGACCTACAGCACATCACTATAAACACTGAGGAAGGGCACTGTGAAACCCACGTCTTGGCAGACAAAAACTCCTATTCCGCGGATTGTTGGCTGCTGCCTGAATTGGGTCAAAGTAAAGATGCCCCTGTCCCAGAACTGGCGAAGAGTCCGCAAATATGAAGTAACCTGCGTAATGGTCAGCGTGGCACACGTACCTCAGAAGCCCGCAGCAGAACCCAGGCCTTTGCAACAAAGTTAGCACGGCATGTATGAAACAGATCTCTGGTCACTCACGCTACTGCTTGCGCTCTCGGGCAAACGAGCCTGGAGCTCATCTTTCATCGCTTTGGCACGATCCGGAGGCCAATTGCTTCTCATCTCCCTGGTCTCCGCAGAGACTTTCGCTGCATGGTCCTGCGCGGTCTTCATTGCGACCTCCCACTGCTCCTTCTGCTTCAATATCGCGGCAGTGAGATCTTGCTTCCGAGTCGGCATGGAAGCTATTGCTTTCTTGTAATACTCGGCACTCTTCTCATATTCTCGCAAACCCTGTCCATGATGGGGACATGATGAGAGGAGAGAGAGCCACAAAAGCGGAAGCGCACTTTGCATGCCGCAGCGAGACGACCCCAACCCTTCGCATACGTCGGGTCTAATTCTGTAGCCTACATTCAGAGTCACGATGACCCGAGTCAGTGCGATCCGTTTGGCATCGGCAGAGACAGGGCAGAGCTGAACCTTCTGCGCATCAGATTTTGCCTCCGGGAACCTGTACAGACATTACTCGGGCGTGCATACAGCATATACACAGTGACTTACATTTCCAAGTGGATCAAGGCCGCCGCGCGATTGGCATATAGGATCGCATTCTGATCATCGTGCGAGATGGCCTGCCCATACTTGAGCCACGCAGAATAGTATTCGCCACTTGCGAACAGTGAATTGCCTTCATCTTTTAGCTGAAGCGCAGGCGCGGAATCAGCCATGGCGATGTGCAGTACAGGCGGCCGCGGTAGAGCAGATGGCTGTATGCAGCTACTCAGGCTAGTGCCTGCGAGCCTGAGGCTATCAAGACCGATATCGTCAGTTTGGGCAGAGATACTGAAGCAAATAAATGCAAATACCATAAGGTTCTTCGCTCCCAGGGATGAGCGGAATCACACTCTTGGGGTGATTCGGGCCTGGTCGAGAAGTTCTTCAGTAAGTTCACGGTATGCCAGAAGCAGCCTGAGTGACGCATGTGACGATCCCATCGCGACAGTCGTCCATTGATATCTGCCGCATTTGTGAGTAGCACATACATGTTATCTATCGTTAAGAGAGCAGAGCGAAGGTTTATGGGCATGCCCTTGCAGTACGAAGCAATAATTTGCATTGAAACAGCGCGCTCTATGCCACTTATACAGTTGCCCGATTGGTCTGTGCGCCGCAGAGGCGCCTATATTGCTTCCATCCTCGCTCAAGCGCTCATGAGCGATCCCACAGCTTATCAGAAACATGGCGTCAGTTCATCAAATCGTATTGCAGCGTGTGATCAGGAATGTATGTTTTGCAACACGGTCACTAGTAAATTGTGCACAAGTATCAGCCTCGATGCACGACGACCACTGATACGACCTGGACTCACCGAGACTACAACTCAAATCGCAACACTTCGGGGCCACAGCGTTCACGAGGACATTGCATAGTCTGGAACTTGAAGCATATCATCCTCCAAGGTGATTTTGCCGTCCGCCAGATCCTTCTCTATCTGTCGCTCTAGCTTCAGAACCTCTTCCAAACCGTTGTCTCCACCTTGTGTCGCGGCCTGCGAGAATTCCCAAACCCTCTTGGTATAGGGCAAAGCCACGCGAATTTGTTCCGTCACACGCAGAACAGACTTGAATGGACAGCCGCACATCCGTAGCATGTTGAACGCAACATGTAGGAACCCTTGCATACAGTGCAGATCAGCCACGGTACATGGGATAGGCAGTGTCAGTGTACAACGTACATACACGCTTCTCTTCGTCCTGTGGAAACAGTGTGGCTGCTTCCTCGTAAGCCCGAGACGCCTCGAGATAGTGCTTCCTCGCTGCCCCATGCTTGTCTTGCTTTGAGCATCGACTAGCCATCTTCTGATGGTAGAACCCGACCATGCTATACTCGGAACCGAGTCAGCTCGCGATACTGAGGGAGGTGTACAACAGCTTACGTGAGTGCGTGACCCCTCAAATACATGCCAAAAGCCGATACAAAGCCAGGTCCACGTTCTCTGTCAATAAGCACTACTGCCTCGGGCTTTGGTATCTCGCGAACCATACTCTGTGCCTCTTCATACAAGGCCTGCAGAGCGGCTTCGGGATGGGGCGGATCTCGACAATCCTGAGGGGCAAGGCGCGCGTCAGACAATAAAGACATGCGGCACGGATCACTCATGCACGCACAGCTACTAGTGCCTCTAGTCTCAATCCGCGGACAGCCTCACGAAGTAGTCTTCGAAGATATCTCCTCTGTCTCGCGCTGAAGCATTCCTCCACGACGCCGTCCGTCCCCAATTGAGCAATTCCAACGTTGCGTTGAAGTGCTGGAGGGCTACTTGCGTATTCATGTTCGTATTGCTGGCGATGAACCCCTGCATAATCCATATACTGGAGCGACGAGAAATGAATGGCAGTCAGAACAGTGTCTCTAAGTTTGTGTCATACCGGACAGTGACATCAACGGCATTACGAGCGGCCTCCCAGCCTTCTTGCTGTTGCCGCTTCACTGCCTCTGCTTGTATCCTTTCCACAGAGAAGCTGGGCCATGCGCCTGTTTTCATCGCTTCTAACTTCGCTGTGTGGTGCGCACTGTCAGATCCGACAGCCCCGACATTGAGTGCAACATACCTTGTTTATTGTACATCTCCAACCATTGCGGTCCTTCTATGCGAAAGATCCGCACATCAGTGAGAATCGCGTCCGTGAGACTGGCCAAAACCTGAACCCTGTCAGCCAATGCGGATGACATAGAATCGGGGAGGCTCACGCCATCGCACCCGCCCCATTGTAGTCCGGCGGGGGTCATACGCGTCTTCATTTGCGTCATGCCATGATTACCTCTGTCCCACAGCTGACGGAACGCTCTGAGCCCAACGACCTTTCTGCGCATCTCACGCTGCGACGTACCTTGACAGCACGCAGAAAACCCAGGCCTTCGTACCGAGCTGGATCAGCACTCGCACCATAGACTGCAGACATTGCTCACGCTACTGTCAGCATTCTTGGGGTAACCAGCCTGCAATTCGTCTTCCATCGCTGCGACACGATCCCACGGCCACTTGCCTTTCATAGAATCGCCGTCGACAAGTATGCCGGTAGCTTTAGCCAATTTGGTGAGCGCATCTTTCTCACCGGCTTCGCACTGCTCCTTCTGTTTCAATTCTGCGGCGGTGAGATCCCGTTGAGGCAAGGCGGCCAATGCCCTCCTCCAGCATATCGCGCTCTTCTCGTACTCTTGTAGCCCTTTCCATACGAGACTATGATCAGAGGAGACACGGTATCAGAGAAACGGAGACGCACATCGCATGCAGCGGCCAAACGTCCCCAGCCTTTCGCGTACCCCGGATCCAGCTCTACAGCCTGGACAAACAGGCGACTCCAGTCAGTGTGGCTCATTCGTCGGGAGGTGCACTGTGACCTTCTCAGCGTCGACTTTGGCTTCATCGAACTGCGCGCACGAGTCAGACACACCATGAACAGTGGTACAGCGGGCGTAGTACTTACTTGCGCAAATGCAACGAGCAAGCCGCGCGATTGGCATACAGGATCGCACTTTGGTCGTCATGCTGAAGGGCCTCTGCGTACTTCGCGGACGCAGTGGTATACTCGCCTTGACCAAACAGTGTGTTCCCCTCGGCTTTCAGTTCTTGCGCTCGTGCAGCATTAGACATTATTGACGTGAACTTGCAGTGCTACAGGTCGAGGTTCAAGCTCAAGTTCAGGGAAATTCGGTTGAGGATCCGCGTGTGTTCAACGAAAGAGCTGAATGATACGCGAAGCGTGATGATACGGCACGAGGCCGGATAATGCAAGCCATGGTCGGCTACGAACTGGTTACGTTCAGCGCCGTCGCACTGAGTCACGTAGCGCATCAAGGATTCATTGTCGCAGCTCACAATTGTCCACATACCTCCTTGTACCTCGCCACGACACTCCAATCATTACCGTCTGTTGAATCCGAGACGCTGTGCAAGGACAAGGGTGCTCGATTCAGAATACTTGTGCATCGACAGGTTTCGTACTGTTGCCACTGAGTTGGACGCGTTTGTGGCGCCGCTGTCGCCGTCGGACGCTGGAAGCGCCGGAGATCGCCGATGGCGGGTTCTACAGGAGTTGCCTGATTTGGAATAGTAGCACGCATTGACTGGATGTATCACGAAGGGTGGCTCTCCTCGACTCCCTTCCCTCCAGCGCTCCGTTCGACGTTGGCTCGCGCGATAAGGATTGAGTACAGCGTCATGGCTTCGGGTGAGCGCGTTCAATTCTCTCAGTTGACCTCGAGGACCGTGGGCTGACTCGGTCCGCCTAAGCTGTGGGCCCGGTCCCCTGAGGCTGGTGCGGATGCCGGGACAAGGCGGGCAGCACGAAAATCGAGAGCCAGGCTCGAGCACCAAACGCCCGGATTTCGATACACACGCGCGACGATTGGAGAGTTGGAGCCCGGCGAGGATTGGGACCGCCGTGGGACACCTGGACTCCGCAGATTTTGCCAGCCGCGGTAGCCTGACGTATTTGTCCGTCTGACCTCCTTTATATACGTCTCGCCTTCGGACGGGCGCGAGTTCTTTTCCTACCAGCCGTAACGCCATGCCCGCCGTAGTCGACGCTGCCGTTCCCGAGGACGTGCAGGAGAGCCTCGCGTCCCATTTGGACGGGGCGATCTACTCGGACGTGAGTTATTTCTCGTGGTCTTGCGAATTTGTCGTGTTGATGTGCTCTCGTAGGTGCCTCCAGCTCGTAAGTACGCGGTGGAGCCATGTCGCTGGCCCACCTTCATTTACTTAGCGGGATCAATCTCAATGGCGAAATTGCAGGTTCGATGGCGGGGACATAGCGTTCATTGCAGTGGCTGGCATCCTCGTATTCTTCATGGTACCTGGGCTGGGTAGGTGCAAATTTGCAGGTCGCGCGGCTCGCGTAACTATCCTGATCTTGTGACTTAGCCTTTCTGTATTCGGGGCTGGCCAGGCGGAAGAGTGCTCTCACTCTGGTGTGGGCAGTAGCGGCGAGCAATGCCGTCGTGATCTTCCAGTGGTGGTTCTGGGGCTACTCGCTAGCGTTCTCGCCGACTGCGACGAACGGTTTCATCGGCAACCTGCGGAGCTTCGCCCTTCGGAAGGTCTTGGACGACCCCAGTCCCGGCTCGCCGCTCATCCCGGAGCTGCTGTACAGTTTCTACCAGATGGAGTTCGCGTGTGTCACGGTTGGCATCCTCATGGGTGCACTCGTGGACCGTGGCCGCGTGATGCCTGCCATGATCTTCACGTTCGTCTGGGTGACTCTCGTGTACTGTCCGCTCGCCTGCTGGGCCTGGAATCCGAATGGCTGGGGATATACTTGGGGTGTTCTCGACTACGCCGGTATGTAACTTGCCGTACGGTTCTCTTCCTATCGGCGCTCATGACTGGACCCTACGCCACGCAGGTGGAGGTCCCGTCGAGATCGGTAGCGGTGTCTCCGGGATCGCCTACGCGTGGGTGCTCGGCCGGCGGAGCGAGCGCGAGCTGCTCAACTTCCGGCCGCACAATGTCTCGTTCGTCTATCTCGGCACGGCGATGCTCTGGTTCGGTTGGCTGGGCTTCAACGGCGGCAGCGCGTTCGGCGCGAACCTTCGCGCCATTCTTGCGATTTGGAACTCGATGCTCGCGGCGGCGATGGCTGGCATTGTCTGGTGCGCGCTGGATTTCCGTCTTGAGCGCAAGTTTACGATGGTCGGCTTTTGCTCTGGGACGATTGCGGGTCTGGTCGCTGCTACCCCGGCCTCGGGGTACATTCCGCAGTGGGCTGCCTTTGTGATGGGTATTGTTGTCGGTGCTGTAGCCAACTATGCCACGAAGAGTACGTTCTCGTTTCGATCGCGGCGGTGTCCCATCGTGTTCATTTTATCTGGCAGTCAAATTCCTTCTCCGCATCGACGATGCCCTTGGTTCGTATTCACTCTGCCTTCATGATGTCGTGCACTGAAAAGATCAATGATAGATCTCTATGCTGAGCATGCCATTGGCGGTGTCGTCGGTCTCATTTTCAACGCTCTTTTCGCCGACAGCGCGCTCATCGCGCTCGACGGCGTCAACACGTCTGTTCCGGGAGGGTGGATCGAGGGCAACTGGAAGCAGCTCTACATCCAGGTCGCCTACATCTTCGCAACATGCGGCTACGCCTTCGTCGTGACCGCTCTCATCGCCAAGGCCATCGATGTTATCCCTGGTCTGGCCCTGCGCACGAACCCAGAGATGGAGGCGATTGGTATGGATGACGCCCAGGTGCGCTTCCTTGTTCTTCTTCCCCGGCAGCTGATGCATGCGAGTGGTACTCACGCGACTACCCCGTGGCAGATTGGTGAGTTCGCGACGGACTACATCGAAGTTCGCCGGCACTACTCGGACTGGACGCCGTCGGCCAACGGAAAGGGTTCTGACACGAAGGTGTCTGAGACGGACTCTCGCACGCCACTCGCTGCGGGCGACCGGCATGGGCGACCGGATCTATCTGCCGAGGGGCCTAAGGAGGGCGGGAGGAGCCATACACCATCGAGAGAACGGAGTCTGGAGAGGGGTGTGGATGCCCTGCGCTGGGGCCGAAAGAGCTCTGACGAGGGACGGGCGCACTTCACAGCGGGCGACCGACATGGGTCGACTGAGCTGGCACCCCGGAGTAGGAGTCGAGGAAGGGCTGGCACGAAACCTGACCTCGAACCAATCACCGAGAAGGAGAATGGGGCGCCAGAGAAGCATGAATGAATGGGTGGTGTCACGAATATCACGACGACGAAGGCCTGCACGGATGTTAGATCTTCTTCGAGTCCCTTCGGCGTGCCTGCCGCGTCGAGCACAGCGTTTGTAAAAGTACTCAACATAACATTGTCTAACATCTGCATACAGTACGCCGTTTTGTATCGTAACCTATGGGTCAGCCTAGATGCCGATACCTGTACTAGGCTCCGTCGATTTTTTGCATTAATATTGCTGTCAACTTGCATGGCTCAGACCACTCCTACCCGGGCTGTCGAGTTGTCAGTACTATTAGTACTAGTAGTGGTAGTACTTGTGCGCTTGTACGTGGCGTCCCACAGCTGACCTCTTGACAGAAAGAGGGGGCGATGTCGACACGCCAGGCGGCTGTTGTGGGCGCAACATACGACGTCATCGTGATAAGTACAGGCATGGCCGCGATGAGCGTGACTGGAAAGCTGGCTCGCCCTGCCGCTGCCATGTTCGTCCGCCTTCGTGCTATCGCCCACCATCTCGCCCCCTCCTACAGCCTAGCCCACGCAAGAATGTCCACCGTCGTCCACAACGACAACGCTGCCTGCTGCAGCATCCCGCCAGTCAAGTCCGACTACACGCCCAAGGGCTCCTTCAAGGCCTACGCCGGATTCAACAAGGTATGAATCGTCGCCCCGAGCATCGAGCGATCTACCTCCGCAGGAAGTCGAGCCGTGTTTCCCACCCGGAATGCCCAAACGCGTGCATATAACTCCCTTGAACGCGTGTAGGCGTTCTGGGTGGCGCGTCGACGCAGCAGCAGGCCGGTCCTCGGACGTCTGCATTATGTCAACTTTTAAGTGACGGGACCAAGCCTTGAATGCGGCCCCGAAGCTTACCATAGACGTTGAACGTGAACGCGTGAACGCTCGCCCCGGGACACAACCGGGACACAATCGGTGAGCTGCCGGTACTATGAGCGGCGCATCTACCGGACTACCTCGACCGGTGGTGTGTTCGGTGACTCTTGACCTCGCATGCGGAATCAAGTTTGATCGTTAGCTGCAGTCTCGTCTATTCTGAGCAGGGTGGACAAGCTTCCACCCGATAGACAGTGTATGCGCTTTCTTTAACTCCGCAAGGACCGTTTCCGTCGACACAATCACTCTGAACATCACATTGGCTGCACATTCCATACACACGCTTAGTGACACTGGGACAAGCACTCAAACTACACCCACAGGTCTATGTCACCGGCCAGCCACAGCCCAGCGGTAACGTCGCGCTGATCTGCGTTTACGACATCTTCGGGTAAGCCATTCCATCCGTTCTTCAACTCAAATACGCATTAAAACGACACCCCGCCGCACAGCTTCAAGCCCCAGACGCAGCAAGGCGCTGACATCCTTGCCGACAAGTTGAACGCGCACGTCATCATGCCCGACTTCTTCGAGCCCGCGGACGCGTGGCCCGTCGACAAGTTCCCGCCGTCGACGGACGAGGAGAAGACGAAGCTCCAGCAGTTCTTTGGCGGGCCCGCGAACCCGCAGGCGAGCGTCGCGAAGCTGCTGAAGGCCGGCGAGGCGCTCAAGCAGGACGGCGCCAAGTTCGTCGGCGCATTCGGATTCTGCTGGGGCGAGTTGCGGACATGTGAGGTTGGATGACGGTGAGCTGATGAAGAGGTATAGGTGGCAAGGTCACGATCCTGGCTGGTTCGGCTCCGTCGACAGCTCTGGATGCAGTCAGTGCTACGCACCCTGCGTAAGTGCGACAATTTGGATGCCGGGGCTCCAGTTTAACTGGAATCGCGTTCAGTATGCTCTCCTCCGCCGATGTGAACGAGCTCAGGGTCCCTCTTGGTCTCTATCCGAGTAACGATGAGCCTCAGGACGAGGTAAGACCTCAACCATGAGCAGCAATGACGCCAGAATAACCTCTGTTACGGGACGCAGTACAAGAAGATCGTCGAAATCGTCTCCAAGAAGCCGTTCGCCGACAAGAACGACGACAAGTTCTATGATACGTAAGTCAAGCATTTATACACGGAGGCAACCGAGAGACTGACCGTATATACCCAGTTTCCATGGGTTTGCCGCTGCTCGGGCTGACCTGACTGACTCCAAGCAGCAGCAGGAGTAAGCATTGAAGACCTGTCACATCCACAACGTACTGACTACGCTTCATTAGCTTCCAGGACCTGTACGCGAGGCTTGTGGGATTCTTCGGCAAGGCGAGCGGCACGCATGTGCACTGAGAAGAGAATGCCGGATAGGATAGAAGCATGTAAGAATACAACTGGTGTACAACAGCCTACGAACCAACAGAGTGTTGCTGATCGATGGTCCCCGAACGGCGATGAATAGCTCCTTCACATACGTCCAAGTCGTTTCCCATAACGGACGGTACAACTACGATGCTCGTCATGCGTTGAATCCGGGTTCGAGAGCTGACGGCATCTTCCACATCCAGAACGGCCCTGAAATCACGCGCGAAGTCAATTAATGCCCGCGAGCAGAAGAGAAACGGAGGGGTGCATACCGGCCGGATCCGCTGCGTCAGAATGGCGTGAGACTGGTATGGCAGGGGGTGAGACCGCGCATACTCACCGTCCTCATGAAACGCACCCGTCCAGATGCCGCCGACACCGGCGGCGCTGCATATGTTACCGATCTGAAGGCCTTCCGCACTGCACGAGACGATAGCGATGAGCCGCCGAGCTTCCGTGCGACACAAGATAGACGGAGACACACCTCCACTGCGTAAGCCCATCATATTTGGTGACCTTGCCCGAGGCATCAGCATGAACGGAACGGAGCACGAACCGCAGCGGGTCCAGTCAGACTCACGAAGCTCCATCGGACACTACCGTCGGCGAGCACGCGCACGGAGCCCTCTACGGCCGCGTCCGCGCTGTGCGCGCCGCGCGACAGGCCCTTGAAGAAGAGCGGCGGGTACCGCGCGGCGTGCGACGGCGGCTCGGAGGGCTCCGTGGACGACTCGGACGTGGATGGGTCGAGCACGTCGAGGTGCAGCTCGACCGGGCGGATCGCCTCTTGGTAGTCGTCATCGAAGAAGGTGCGTTCGCGGGGACCCGTGCCGGAGACGGAGAACTGCGGCGGGTGAGCGGAGACGGATGAATGGATGCGGAGACTTACGTTGAAGGCTGAAGCGAGCAGAGGCAGTTAGACACGCGAAGATAGCACACATGAATACGCACCGAATAGATCCCTGTCCGGGTGTGAGTGTCCGGGGCCGAGAGCACCATAACACATTACTTACCGATAGTCCATGAAGCAGACGAAACGCCGCCACGTCCCAGCGACGCCGGCCCAGTCATGCGGCTTACGTTCGTGCGCGAAGGGCGCAGAGTACGCCTGCGTCGCACTAATCCCGGCGCGGGGCTTGTTGTAAATCTGCAGCGCGAGGCCCGGCAGCTCGTGCAGCTTCATCGCCACGACGTTTACGATGTGTTGCATATGCACCCAGTTCGCGCGTAGCTCCCCTTTCTCGCCGCGCATAAATGGGCCCCAAAGCGTGTCCTCCTTGTACCGGCGGAGGTCGTACACATAGCACCGGCTCGTCCGCCGCATCTCGTTCCGAGTCAACCGCAGTTGCGGGGTCTCGGCAGTCCTCGACTCGCCCGACTCGTATGTCAACGCGAGGTACGACATGAGCCGGCCGAGGAGCTGCTGCTCATGCAGGGGGAGAGACTCTTCATCGAAGGTGGCGGAGCGCAGGAGGGTATCGAGCCACTTCAGGTTCTCCGACTCGTCCGCACCCGGGCCATCGCTGACAGGAAGGGCGGTCTCTACCGCGGCCACAAGCGTCTCGAGTGCGCGGTGCAGGCGCGGACCAGTGGTACCATTGCGCACGACCGCATCCGCGCTGACCCTACGCTGGAGCCCCGTCTTCCAATCGGGTTGCAAGGCCGGCTTCTGGGTGGTCAGCGGCGGGGGCGCCTTGCGAAGATCGTCGAAGGGCCTGCTCAGGAAGAGCTCACGCCAGAAGTACTGATCCTCCGACTGGTAGATGAGCCTGCGAACTGTGCGGCTTGTCAGTGCGAGATTCTGGAGATGATCGCAGGTGTGAGCGATCTGGTGCTCAGCGTATCTCGAGATCGCGACTCACGGCTGCATCGTAGACGTCGCAAAAGAGCAGGATGCGCTCAATGAGCTCGGAGGGGAGGGTGTCGAATGGTGCGGGAGGCATGGGGATGGGAAAGACGGGGAGAAAGTGAGACCCAAGGTATATATGCCGACCACTGGCATGCTCGTCGGAAGTCCGTGAGGGAAGCACGCTGTATGATGTCAGCATACCGAGTCTTACCAGTCAATGAAGCGTCATTGAACTTTGTTATCGGGATTTCAGCGGCATTATACAGTGGTTGTTACGCCATAATAAACGGCCGGCATCTCGCCAACCCCTTCCGATAAGGGCACTGGCAACAGGGTATCCAAGTGAGCTAGACCGTTTACCGGGTGAGACCAACCAAGACAGCTTCATTCCCGTAGTGTTTCTCAGGTCGCGGAGAGAAAGACAGGTAACCGAGTGAAGAAATCGATCCGACATTTGTTAGAAAGCTGGATCCAGGGTACCGGTACTTTCATTCGACTTTGGAGTGCCGGTGAGCGCGCAATGAGGGAAGCATTGCGTGCCAAACCTTACACCATGATGCTGTGACTTCCTTCTCTGCTCGTCTCGTGCCTCGCCTCAATGCGATGTTTGGTAAGAGGAAGCTCTCCAGTAACACCAATATGATACATACTGAGTCCCTCAGACGTCAGTGCATGCTAAACAAAACTTACCACCGCACATGAAAGTTATCTCTCCTGTCTCTCCTATCCTTCTCATCCCACCTTCGTTCCCGGTGCTTACGTGCCTCGTCGACTTCTCTTCTGTTGAACACGTCCCGATAGCCTTCCTCGACCCCACCATGCACGGTGCTCGGTGTCTCACTCCCAGCCGTCTCACGCTTCTTCCTCCGTATGAGTTCGAGGGCCCTTTGCCTCTCTGCGGACTCGCGATTCATGCGCGCCGCTTCCGCACTACGAGGCTCGGAAGAGGAGGGCGGTGGTCTATCGGGACGCGATGGACGAGAGCGAAAGGTGGACCGTGTGGACTGTGTGCCAGGGCGCGCGGAGAGTTGATGGTTGATGGATGTCAAAGGGTCGTTCACAGATTTACGGGCGAGCTCCCGGGACCTGTTGAGGTGTTCAGCAGTACACAAATAAACCTGTCGTGCAGCTGACATACTCTCGTGCTTCATCGCGATCCTTGCCCTTTCCGCTGTTGTGATCGGAATACCATGGCTTAAGGTCCTTCTCCAAAGGCGCGAGCGGTATCCCTTTCTCAGTCTCTGGGGCGGCTTTCTTGGTGGATCGCCCATGGACGGGCACCATTTGCTGACGGGGCCGGAAGGCATTAAGTTGCTGAACGATGAATGGCACAAGGATGACCTACTCACCCGCTCAACGTCCTCGAACAGGTTAATGTGGCCACCGGACATGATGCTCGACGGACCAGCCTCATTCCTCTCAGCTTCATGGCCTTCCTCGTCCCCTTCTTCTCTTTGCTGGGTGATCCGCTGACTTGCCAGCCCGGCCCTCTGCCTGAGCAAGTCTATCCGAGCCTCAGAGTCCTGCGATACGACATCACATCACCGTACATAAGGGGAACCAGAGGTGAAAGAGAGTTACACACTGCCAGCATCATCCTGCCCTCCTGCACCGCTTCCTTCAGGCGCGCCTCTTCCTCATCTTGTCGGACCCGTTCGATGTTGTCTCGTCGGTATGGGTGGTAGGATTTATGATGGGCAATGTTAAGTTTCCCCATTTGGCGGATAGGAAACGCAAAGAAAAGGTAGAAGGCTAGGAGATGGCTATGGTCGTCCTACGATAGGGCAGGAGTGTCGTCTGTGGCAAGAGGAGGGATTCAGGGAAGAGGGCGAGCTGAATGCGAGCCGAATGCATGCGCCCATGAGCGCCTCTCATCGGCACTTTCCGCCCACATACAAGCGCGCAAGTTCCGATTTCTCTTTCAACACGAACCCTCATCATCGCTGCTCGTCTATCGTGCAGCAACTCTTCGTCTCGCATCTGCAATGGCCTGGGGTACTGCGCGTGAAGAGGGAAGAGCAAACCTTCATATGGGCCCAATTAAGCCGGAGCGCTTCCTAGCTGTCTACGGACAGGGTGGGATGTGCTTGACTATGAGGCTCGGACATCTTTATTTTGTTGTTGTTCTGTATTGTATATGCTATGAGATGATTTGTTCACCGTTCCAGACCTTGTCGTTGGATGTCTGCTTATGTAGTGCGGTGCGTGCCGTCCGCTCGTATACACACCGACTTGCATGACCAGGCCTCCGGTGCGTGTAGTTCTCAGAACTGAGGACATCTGCTTGCACATCGCAGCTCCCTGCTGTGTAGGCTTGGCTCAACATCCATCGAATGTCAAATAACGTTCAAAGAACAAGCATGAACAACGATGAGTGCAGCTGTTTCAACGCGGCCAGCTCGCCACCAGCGTCCCCGACAGCGGCGGCACTACGACACCTTTCGATGCCCTTGAACATAATTGGGATCGAGTATACCCTTGTCCTTGCACAACGTCTTCGGCTTCAAACGACGGTAAATAATTGGTAGAGGCGTCGTGATGAGGTATCAAAGAGGTATGTGGACAATTCTGAGGGGCCTGGGACAATTGAATATTGAATCCTTGGTGGCGCTAAGTACTGCGCATGGCGTTGAACATAACCAGTTCGTAGCCGACCATGACTTGCATCCTCGTGCCCTACTATCATCACGCATTCCGGTATCAATTCAGCTCTTTCGTTGAACACACGCGGATCCTCAAACCGCTTTCCCCTGAACTTGAGCTTGAACCTCGACCTGTAGGACTGCAAGTTCACGTCAATAATGTCCAATACTGCACGAGCGCAAGAACTGAAAGCCGAGGGGAACACACTGTTTGGTCAAGGCGAGTATACCACTGCGTCCGCGAAGTACGCAGAGGCCCTTCAGCATGACGACCAAAGTGCGATCCTGTACGCCAATCGCGCGGCTTGCTCGCTTCATTTGCGCAAGTAAGTGGTATGACCGCTGTACCACTGTTCGTGGTGTCTCTAACTCGTGCGCACAGATTCGATGAAGCCAAAGTCGACGCTGAGAAGGTCGCGCTGCAGCTCCCAAAGAATGAATCACACTGACCTGGACTATTTGTGTAGGCTGTAGAGCTGGATCCGGGGTACGCGAAAGGCTGGGGACGTTTGGCCGCTGCATGCGATGTGCGTCTCCGTTTTCTCTGATATCGTCTCTCCTTCAATCACAGTCTCGTATGGAAAGGGTTTACAAGAGTACGAGAAGAGCGCGGTATGCTGGAGGAGGGCATTGGCCGCCTTGCCTCAACGGGATGTCACCGCCGCAGAGTTGAATCAGAAGGAGCAGTGCGAAGCCGGTGAGAAAGATGCGCTCACCAAATTAGCTAAGGCTACCGGCATACTTGTCGACGGTGATTCTATGAAAGGCAAGTGGCCGTGGGATCGTGTCGCAGCGATGGAAGACGAATTGCAGGCTGGTTACCCCAAGAATGCTGACAGCAGCGTGAGTGATGCCTACAGTCTGTGGTGCGCGTGCTGACCCAGCTCGGTATGTAGGCGTGGGTTATGCTGCGTGCTGTCAGGGTGCGTCATAGCGTAAGATGGGCAGAAAGATTGTTGGGCTCAGAGTGTTCCGTCAGCTGTGGGACAGAGGTAGTCGCGGCATGACGCAAGTGAAGACGCGTATGACCCCCGCCGGACTACAATGGGGCGGGTGCGATGGCGTGAGCCTCCCCGATTTTCTGTCATCCGCGTCGGCTGACAGGTTTCAGGTTTTGGCTAGTCTTACGGACGCGATTCTCACTGATGTGCGAGTCTTTCGCATAGAAGGGTTCCAATGGTTGGAGATGTTCAACAAACAAGGTATGTTGCAATAAATGTCAGAGCCATAATCTGACAGTGGGCACCACATAGCGAAGTTGGAAGCGAGAAGAACAGGCGCATGGCCTAGCTTAACGGTAGAAAGGATACAAGCAGAGGCAGTGAAGCGGCAACAGCAAGAAGGCTGGGACGCCGCTCGTAATGCCGTTGATGTCACTGTCCGGTATGGCACACACGCGGAGACACTGTTCTGACTGCTTATCCAGTTCCCGTTACTCCAGTATATGGGTTATGCAGGGGTTCCTCGCCACCCATGTGAACGCGAATACACAAGTAGCCCTCCAGCATTTCAACGCAGCATTGGACTTGCTCAATTGGGGACGGACGGCGTCGTGGCGGGATGCTTCTGCGCGAGACAGAGGAGATGTCTTTGAAGACTATTTCGTGAGGGCTGTCCGCGGATTGAGACTAGAGGTACTGAGGGCTGTGCGTGCACGAAATTGTGATGTGCCGTATATACTTGTTATCTGACGCGCGCCTTCCTCTCAGGATTGTGCGATTCTGCCCCATCCCGAGGCCGCTCTGCAGACCTTATATGAAGAGGTACAGAGTATGATTAGCGAAATACCTGAGGTCGAGACAGTAGTGCTTACTGAAGGAGGACGTGGACCCGGTTTTGTGTCGGCCTTTAGCATCTATCTCAAGGCTCATGCACTCACGTAGGCTGTTCTATGCCTCCCTCTGTATCACGAGCTCACTCGTGTCCCTGTATAGCACGGTCGGGTTCTATCACCAGAAGATAGTTGATCAATACCCACCGCGAGAGGAGGATGGGGCAACGATAGTGAAGCATTACCTCGAGGCGCATGTGGCTTACTTGGAAGCAGCCATGCTCTATCCAAAGGACGACGAGAAGCATGCATGTACGTCGTGCACTGTCCCATGTACTGTGGCTGATCTGCACTGTACGCAAGGGTTCCTGCATGTTGCGTTTGACGCGCTACGGATGTGCGGCGGTCCCTTTGGATTAGCTCTGAATGTGACGAAACAAATGCGCTTGGCTTTGCCCCATATCATGAAGATCTGGCAATTCTCGCAGGCCGCGAAACAAGGTGCATACGTGTGCTGTGAAGAGGTACTGAAGATAGGGCGAAAGATAGAGAAGGATCTGGCGGACGGCAAAATCACATTGGAGGATCCTATGCTTCCAAACTATGCACCGTGGACCCCATGAATGCTGTGGCCACGAAGTGTTGCGATTCGAGTTGTAGTCCCGGTGAGTCCACTGGCTCGTATCAGTAGTCGTGGATTGAAATTTCATGCATCGAAACTGATACTTGTGCACGTTTGCCAGTGACCATGGTGCAAAATATACATTCCTGATTACACGCTACAATCCGTATTGACGACAAGTTTCCGCCGCTGATGAGCGCTTGAGCGAGGATGGAAACAAGGCGGGCGCCTCTGTGGAGGAGGAGGAGGAGGAGGGTATTCCATTTAGTCACGACATCTAGACGCCTCGGCGTTTTCGATGTGTGAAGCACAGGCCAATCGGGCAACTGTGTAAATGGAATCGGTGCCCGCTGTTTCAATGCTACCTATGTATTGCTTTGTACCGCAAGGGCATGCCGATAAACCTTTGCTCTCCGCTCTCGGGTGCTCATTTTCGATAGACGACATATACGTGCTACTCACAGATCGGCGGCAAAGATTAATGGACAACTGTCGCGATGGGATCGTCACATGCGTCACTCAAGCTGCTTCTGGCATACCGTGAAGTTCTTAAGAACGATCGCCCCGGGTCCGCTATCCCTGGGAGTGAAGGGGAACCCTATACTGTATTTGCATGTATTTGCTTGCGTATCTGTGCCCAAACTGACCGTATCGATCTTAGTAGCCTCAAGCTCGCAAGCATAGCTGCATACAACCATCTCTAGTCTGCGGTGGCCGCCTGAGCTGCACGTCATCAGCCATGTCTGATTCTACGCTTGCGCTGCAGCTTAAATCCGAAGGGAACTCGTTGTTCGCAAGTGGCGAATATTACTCCGCGTGGCTCAAGTACGGGCAGGCCATCTCGCACGATGATCAGAACGCGATCCTATATGCCAATCGCGCGGCGGCCTTGATCCACTTGGACATGTAAGTTGCCGGCGTGTATATGCTGTATGCGCGCTCAAGTAATGTCTGTACAGGTTCCCGGAGGCAAAATCTGATGCGCAGAAGGTTCAGCTCTGCCCTCTCTCTGCCGATGCCAAACGGATCGCACTGACCCGGGTCATCATGAATTTGAATGTAGGCTACAGAACTAGACCCAACGTATGCGAAGGGTTGGGGTCGTCTCGCTGCGGCATGCAAAGTGCGCTTCCGTTTTTGTGGCTCTCTCTCCTCTCATCATGTCCCCATCGTGGATAGGGTTTGCGAGAATATGAGAAGAGTGCCGAATATTTCAAGAAAGCAATAGCATCCATGCCGACTCGGAAGCAAGATCTCACTGCCGCGATATTGAAGCAGAAGGAGCAGTGGGAGGTCGACATGAAGACCGCGCAGGACCAAGCAGCGAAAGTCTCAGCGGGGATCAGGGAGATGAAAGGCAGGTGGCCTCCGGATCGTGCCAAAGCGATGAAAGAAGAGCTCCAGGCTCGTTTGCCCGAGAGTGCAAGCAGCAGTGTGAGTGATCAGAGATCTGTTTCTCACATGCCGTGCTAACTTTGTTGCAAAGGCCTGGGTTCTGTTGCGAGCTTCTGAGGTACGTATGTGCCTCGTTGACAATTTCGCAGTCGTGGACTACTTCGCTAGTTCTGGGACAGGGGCATCTTTACTTTGACCCAATTCAGGAAGTGGCCAACGATCCGTGGAATAGAAGTCTTTGTTTGCCAAGACGTGGGTCTCACAGTGTCTTTCCTCAGTGTTTGTAGTGATGCGCTGTAGGTCGTGGCCTGTATCACGAACGCCATACTCATCGATGATCGTGTATTTAACATGCACTCGCCAATTTTGTCGGACAAATGGCCTCAACAAGGTATGATGTTCGAAGAGTCGCGATTAGCATAACCTGAAGGCGGGTGTCAAAATAGTGGCAATGGAAGAGAAGGCCACTGGTGCATGGCGCGACGACGTCCCGGTGCAAGAAGTCATAAGAGAAGCGTTGATACGTCAAGAGCAAGGAGGCTGGGATTCAGTTCGCCGTTCGATTGATACCACTATCCGGTAAGTATGCTGTGCGGTTGCCATAATCTGCTGGCGGCTCATATACCCTGTTTGTTTTAGTGTTAGGATCATGCGAGGGTATTTCGCTATGCACACCCAGAAAGGCACACAAGAGGCCCTCACTCACTATAACGCGGCGCTGGAATTGCTTGAATGGGGACGGACGGGCCCGTGGAAAGGTGTCCCTCGCGAAGACAAAGGCGAGATCTTCGAGTTACATTGGATGAGGGGTCTTCGTAGGCTGAGACTAGAAGCATTGAGGGTTGTACGTGCATGCCATTCACCACCGTACTTCAAGTTGCCTACACCGCCAATTTCTGCCCACGTAGTCACCAGAGCTACGCCACACGTGGGAGTCGGCCGACGGGTTATAGAGCACCCATGTAGCTGCCACCCGTAATTTACCTTTTTGGGACATGTGGTTCCCCGCCGCACCGATGTATGGATTCCAGCCGGCTGCCATGTCCCCTTTAGATAATTATGCAGGCAGTAGAGACCCGCTCGTATTGCAAGCACCAATGTATTTAAGGGCATCTCGCCCGATGTGGATCATGTGGATGGTATACAACAATATATTGATCTCTATCCCACATGTCCACTACGTCGTGAGTAGACCTAAATTGGGCTGGTAGACATCACTCGCTCAGGCTGATTACTGGCTTCATTCTATACACTTACCACATCGCACAGCGGCGGTTTGACGTAGCGCAACTTGAACTTCAGTCAAAAGTGGCCTGCAAACCATCGCAAATGTAGATGTATTCAAGTTCGCGGCCCATCGCGGTGATAAATTGCTACGTTGACTAATATGCATACCACTACATGTCGAATGCGCGGGCATGCCATCAAGGCTTTTCACATATATGAATTGCGACGAGTTGCCATTGCTGGCCCATATGATCATGCAGCATACCCCGATTGAACAAGAGTGGTCAGACTCGGAGTGCATTGTCATCCTCGGCGCCAGGGTCGTCCAGAACCGTGTCGGAACTGCTCGTCGTAACGGAGCTCGACAGGGAGAGGGCAGGAACTATTGAGTCATGGACGAGCCCCCATGGGACGCGGGCGTCGGCCTCCGAGCTCCAGTCCAGACTTGAAGTTAAAAGCGCCCGCCTCGGAGTTTCCCGATCGGCGTGCTGAGCTGACGCTTTCTTCCTCCCTTGTCTGAGTCTCCACCGCCATGACGGACTCCTGCGCTCGTGTATGAATCGAAGTCCCGCAAACCATTCGCCTTCGCATGGCTCTTCCAAGACGTAACACAATCACCAGCGGGCGATTTCGGACACATGCAATGTCCGTGAAAAGTCGCCTCCATGGCAACAAGGCTGCAGAAACCCGACGAGGGCAAGACGAGAGGAAGGAGCAGGCAGCTTCAAAGAAAGCACGAAGGCTTTAAGCTGAGCTCATTACTTGCTTGCCTGCTCATCTACGTGTCTCTACTTCCGCCCGCCCGCTCGCTCAACTAGCTGTCAGCTGGCTCTGGCATCAGCCGTATGGCGCACCCACATGCTCGCTCTCTCAGTGTGGGCCTGCTTCCTCGTATATCCGCCGGCCGTCTGTGTGCTTATCTGCTCGTCCGCGCACCCGACTGCTTGTCTACCTGTCTGACTGCTCGTCTGCTCGTCTGCTCGCCCGACTGCTCGTATGTCCGCCTGACTGCTCTCCCATCCACATGCATGTCTTCCCCCAGCCCGTCCGGCGCAGGCAATCAGGACCACGCACCAAAAGCATTCGGGCCGCACCATACCCGAACACGATGAATCTGAGCACCTGCGCTCAAGCTCGAGTGCAACAAGCGCAGAGAAAGCAAGAGAGGCGTATACAAGGAGACCATCTGTTGCTAGTCACCATGGTCCGCCAGTCCGCGCATCCTACTTGCGCATCCTCTCGCCCAACTGCTTGCCCTCTCGCGCCTGCTCCCGCGCCTGCCTGTCCTTGCCCGCTCGCGCTCGTCCATTCGTCCGCCCGTGCTCGGCTCATTGCCCGCCCACTTGCTAGCCCGTTCTCTTGCTTGCCCGTTCTTGGCCACGCACCCGCCGGTTCTTGCTCGCCTGCTCGCCCTCTCCTACCCATCCGTCCACCGGTTCTTGTCCGCTTGCACTAGCGTCTGTGAACTTGTCGCCCGCTCTTGCCTGCCTACCTGTCCGGCTTTCTGCTTACCTCCTCGTCCGCTTGCTTGCTCGCACGCTCGTACTCCTTCTTGCCCACGGCCTCTCGCATGCACCCCCTTGTGCGCCCACTCGGCCGGCCGGCACCCACGCGATCGCCCACTCATCCACGCACCCACAGGCCCGAAGTTCGAGCCCTCTGCAGTACGTATCCACGCCTCGGTGAATGTGCCTGTGCTATCCAAATCTGCCGGCCACCTCTCGACAGGTCTTGTGAGTAGATGGAAGAGCATCAAGCCGTACATAGGTATGGGAGTTGAGAATGGTGGACGAAAGTAGTGGTGTATATAATATACATGTAAATCGCCGTGAATTGAAGTGTATGGTTGAGCTTGCATTTCCCTGCATTTCACAGCCATTGAATGTGTATTTGCGCAAATGGCATCCGGATGGAGACTCGCAGTACGAACAGACGGATGGTATAGATTCGCACAGGTGACAGTCGACGGGCTGACTGAACGAAATCCAGGAAGGTTTGCCAGGTGGCCACCATATGGCGATGCAGGCAATGGGAAGGAGGACGAGCGTGTGTACTATATATGGGTTTACAATGTGACCTATGCCCGACCTGGAATCGGTCCGGAGCCATCCCCGATGAAGTCTGGCATCCACATGGTGGTGATGCCAGCGACACATAGCCTTGAGGTGGGCTCCTCAAGACGGCGACTACCTAGCCACCACCTGTCGAAATTTTGGCGGTGTAGTCGACTGATACATAATCTTATCCAGGCTTCAAGTCGCAAAATCACAGAAATAACCCCGCAGAGCCCGATAGCCCCTTTGGAAGCCCTGTATGAAGAGGCACAAAGCATCATTCGTGAGATGCCAGAGATCGGACAAGCATCATTTCCAGGGGGACATCAGGACTACGGGGATGTCCGTGGTTTCGTGTCGGCGTTCGGCGTCTATCCCAAGGCTCACGCATTGGCGTTAGTTTAACTGCTCTTCATCTCTGTGACACCTCGTATTGATTCGCATAATAATTTCTAGCGCGACTGGGTTCTACCACGAACACATGGCGATTCGAAACATCGACGATGATTTCGCCGCCACAGTCAATCATTTCTCCGAGTCGCAGCGGGCTTTCTATCAGGCAGCCATGCTATTACCTCGGGATGACGAGCAGCACATCTGTACGTCTTTCTCAATACAGGTCACCCGCATTCTGTTATCTGACACCCAAATGTTTCTGAACAAGGGTATCTGCATACTGCGCTACACGCACTGGAAACGTGTGTAGTTCAATTCAGGGTTCCCCTCCGCATCATGAAACAGCTCCGACTTGATGCACCGGGAGCGAGGAAGATCTGGGAATACGCGTTCGATACTAAGGGGGCGGGGCAGGGGATATTCATGAATCGGCTGATAGAGAAGGACTCGCGGTTCGAACGGAAGATGAGGCAGGACATAGCGGACGGGAAGTTCACTCCGGACAGTGTTATACCGCTGGACTACTTCAAAGAGAATGCCAAGTAAGACTGACTGGCCGACTGTCACCCTGATTCCCCAGTGTTGTACTTGTACCGTAGTTGTTTCTGTTGATATGTTACTACCGATCGACTTGAACCGCAGAATCCAAATTTCAGACATCGGAGGTAGACGATAGATGTGACCGCGGAGGCTCTGGTCCTCCGAGCGGGTGCCGCCGTGAAGATGCGTGACAGACCGACTGACATCGACATGGGCTTTAGACGATTCCTCTTTTCCCTCCTCCTGCTCCTGCTCCCGACAAGTGACGCTTGAGCTTGAGCGCCTATCCAACCACTACAGTCACGGGTGACGGTCGTGGCAAGTATCAACTTATGTAATAAGTACTGTATCGGGCCGGGATCTCGGCCGGACAGGGTACTCGGTCAGTCGACCACCGTGGGCTCGATCTCAAAGTTGATCACAAGAAAACTATACCAGGAGGTAGAGGAGGATTCTGAGAGTCGACTGGTATGCATAATTTGTTGTAAGACTGGGAATTGAGCCTACGGCACTCGACTGACCGAGTACCATGTCCGGCCGAGATCCCGGCCCGATACAGTATGTAGGTTTGGCTCAACGCCCATAGCATTAAAGTCAAATAACGTAAAAATATAGAAAGCGAGTATGAACAACAATGATCTCAACGCGGCCAGCCCGCCACAGGTCTCCGCTCCGCCGTCATTCTGTACCGCTCCTCGTCGTAGTCAACCGTCGCGCTCTTAACATAGTCCGTATCGTCCTGCAACCGAATCCGCGTCCCCGCAACCAAGTACACCATGACCGCCGCATACTCCATGAGGACGCTCATGACCAAGTAGATGACCCAGCTGCCGGTGGTCGCGCTGAACTTGGCCAGAGTTGAGTCAGACGTTGTGCTGCTGACCACGCCAGAGGCAGAAATGGATTGTGTGGAGGGGGCGAACGCGGAGAGTACGGTGTAGACCACGCGGACAAGAAGGAAGGGGAGAGCAAGGCTGATGCTCTTGAGCAACTGGTATTTACGGTTCGTTCAGCTCGTTTGTAACGGCATAATAACAACTCACCGTCCTCCTAGCTTTCATGATATTACTCATCTCGCTCCAGCAGCGCATGTGCAATAGGAAGATCGACCCGAAGAGCACCGCGAAGAGGATGGCGCCGGCGTGCCGGAGGTCTGCCCCCTTGTTCAAGTCAGCTGCCGTCTTCGCGTTGCCTATGTCGACGCCGCCAACGATGGCAAGAATCAAGGCAATCGTGCAGATGAGCGACATGATCCTGAGGCCCCGTGAGATGAGCGGGTCATCGCTGAGGGTGCGCTGACACCTGACAGCAACAATGAAGGTCAGCATAATCTATCATGTTGGGAGCAGATCGACAGTACTGACACTGTTGCGAGGAACCCGATCGTTGCGAGTAAGAGAGGTGACACGCCGGCAGACGTCAGCGTGTAGGACACGATGTCCAATGTTATGTTCGACGGATTCTGCTCCGCGGCGACTTGCGTGGCACCGCCGACGATACGGACTGAGGGCCAGTGGACAGGTAAGCGTGGTATCACTGTATGGTCGTCTGACAACACGTACCAATTGACAGGATAAGTAGGAAGATCCATCCTGCCCTCCTGGTAATACCGTGCTTGGCTACGAGAGAGCCCGAGACGAAGAGCACGGGTAGGTACATGACAATCTCTGCTACAGCGATGTCGCCACGGGGATCCAAGTGGATAGTCATAGTCACGGGCAATAATACGAAGAAGTTAAGAAAAGACGAGTGCGATGAATGAAGTCACAGAAAGATAGTCAAAAGCTCTGATATTCCCGAATGTCGAAGTAGAAAGGGGAGGGGGAATGTCGGTATGCACCCTTCTTCATGCTTTATATCAGCTGCGCCAAATGAGATTGCTACATTCTAGACTCGGAGGATCTCAACCTGAACTGTGCAGTGCTGCCGTACCATCTGCGGGGATTCTAGCTTGCTATTGGCTGTACACCGGCGCTCGCAGCGCCGCTGTCACTTACGAATACTGGGATCATATTCAGTACGGACCGCGCAGGCTCGGTACGTCAAGTACGTCTGCGCCGGCAGTCTCAGGGTCTTTCGCCTGTGCGTGCACATCTCCTGTCACAAACATATGCGATCTACCTGAGGCCCTCTCTTTCTCCTTGTTCCTCCCAATTTGGCATCTACTAGCAAGTCTTTCAAGACCCTCTAAACCCTTCTCAACCATCCGACTCGTCTCACCCTCAGTGCGCTTCGCCTGTCATCAACGTTGCACTCGGACTGCACTCGGAGCATCCGAATATGGGATCGTCGCCGAAGGCGCCCAGTGCACCTCCGAGGCTATCATCACAGTGGGCGCTGTGGCAGAATGCGATGCGTACTCTAAAAATACCACAGTCCATCCAGCCTCATGCGACGGATCGTCTGTTGCTGTCGGGGAGTGCATATCCTCCACTGTAATCTGACGTCCGTAAATCGTGATTGACAATAAATTACAGAGGCTAGTAAGTACTGTTATCGCATACAACGTCCTAGCGTCTCCCGGGCCAACCAACGGGCTGAGCGGCAGGGAGAGGCTGTTCCACTGACCACTTGTACCGCTCGTCCTCATAATCAGCTGCTGCGCTGCGTGCGTAGTCCGTCTCGTTGTCCTTCAGCGGTGTTCGCGTTCCCGCGACTACATAGATCAACACTGCGCAGTACTCCGGAAGGACGCCCATGAGCAGGTAGACGAGCCAGCTACCGGTGGACGGGCTGAACTTCATCAATGGTGAGTTTGGCGTCACGGTCGTGACCACGCCAGCATCAGAGATGGAGAGCGTGGAGGGCGCAAATGCGGAGAGGACCGAGTAGGCCACTCGGACGCCAAGGAAGGGGAGAGCCGCGCTGATCCCCTTGAGCAGCTGCAGGGCATTCGCCGGTCAGTAACTACGTCGATAGCAGCGACGACCTCGTCGACTCACTGTCCGTCGGCTTCTCAGGATCCGTCTCATGTTGGACCAGCAGAACAAGTGCACCAGGAAGATCAGTACGAAGAGCACTGCGAGGAGGGCGCCTCCGATGTGTCTGAGAGTAAGGGCGTTGTTCAGGTCGGATGCCGTCTTCGCACTGCCCAAGTGGACGCCGCCGATGATACCGAGCACAAGCGCGGCGGTAGCGAGAAGTTGTAGGACCTTGAGGCCCATCGCGAAGGGTGGGTCCTCGCCGAGTGTATTTTCACACCTAGGTGAAAGGTAAGAACTCCCTTATATGTCAGAGACGAAGGAATGGTACTGACACTGTCCCAAGGAAACCGAGGGTAGCCATCAAGAGAGGCGACAATCCAGCCGATACCAATGCGGCGGCGATGGTGTCCAATTGAACATCCGATGGGTTCTGCTGCGAGGCAATTTGTAAACCACCCCCCACGATACGAGCTGGGTGATCGCGGTCAAGTGAGTCTGCTGTTGCTCCGAAGATGTCTGACGACACGTACTGAGCGAAAGGGTGAGCAGGAGGACCCATCCTGCCTTCCTCGAAGCGCCATGCTTGGCAACAAGAAAACCTGCCGTGACGAGGATTGGTATGTAAAGAATAATCTCAGCAACGGCGATGTCACCGCGCTGGTTCAGGTGAATAGCCATGGTGATGAGAGAATAGATGAAAGTAAGTGATAAATAGTAATCAGAGTTGTAGGAAGAACAAGTGGGATCCTCAGAAGACGGATGAAGGGGGAGTGGAGGCGACTGGCAGTCTTCCTTGTGAGTTTTATAGTGACTTTGCCGTACATTCATTCAGCAAGCGAGCGCACCTGAGGCACGGCTGTGCAAGTTCTAGCGTAATTCTTCCATCGGCTGTTCAACGTTGCAACATCGGCGCTGCCGCTTTCACTCCGAGTCCCGACTGTCGATACGGCGTAGTCCTTACCCTCCAATGACTGTGTGCAGTCAGATTGTACCGTCCAGTGCCAATTATGATATTCTGTAAAATTTCAGCCGGACTGTGTGCACTCGTTCATAGTCCTGAATGAATTATACGTCTGTCGAGTCGTCCTTGTTCTCGACGTCCTGTACCCGGACGCACTGTTCTGATCGCCTGTCGATCGACCGTCCTTCCTAATATGGCATGACTGACAGCGCTCGAGGAGCCCTGTGAGTGACCGGTTGCAGATTTGCACAGCGCGCCCTCATCAAGCTCTCACTCGGTCTCCACCCAGAGACTCACGCGTCGCGGGGGTCATTGCTTTGCGCTCATATAGTACAAAACTTGATAGCTCACTGGTTCTAGGATGAGACTGCCGCGCCGCGTACCGTGGGCCCACATCGGCGAGCTCGAACAAGTATGCTCGTGGATATACACGGACGAAAATGATCTTGACGCGAAGGAGCTCGCTGTCAACAAAGTAAGTGGCCTACAGCGTTGTCCTAGCTGTGCGTCTGACGATCCGAAAGCTTGCGGCATGGAAGGCCGTGACATCGCTTCCTCACGCTCTCGAGTCCGCGCATGCGCTGCTCACGGTCACACTGCACGACATGGCGCTGCAAAGTCAAGGGTCCTCTTCGTACTTGTCGTTGAGGCAGGGCTACTCCACCGCGGTCATTCGACTCGTGAATGGCCTCGTCGACCCGCTACAACTCGGCGCGTACGCTCGCTCGATTAACAGCATCGCAGCACAGCTAGGACTCCCTCAATGGCTCGTAGAACTCCGGCACGCCGCGACGCACGAAGACCTGCCTAGCATCGAAGTCCTCAGAGAAGCAGCGCGGCAGGCGATGGCCTGGCTCCTCAACAATTATTTCCTGCCCACGCTCAACCCGTCGGCACCTTATGCGTCTCAACTTCAGCGACCGGCTCTCCGGCCCATCGCACCGCTATTGAAACAATACAAGGCGCTGGCAAAGGCGACTGCCCGGGATGCGAGCCTTGCCACCAAGTTTAGGCACGACATGGCGCGTTTATTAAGAGACGTAGAACGGTGGATTGCGGAGGCGAAGGTCGCAGCGCCTGTTGCGGCGACTGCCTGGGACGACATCGACAGCGAAGAGGGAGAGGGAAGCGACCCTAGAGAACGCTGGGCCTTGGACAGATTAGCCGAGGCATTGCTGGAGAAAGGGGCACTAGTTCCGGTATCCAAGAAGTGCGACTCTTCAAATTTGGGAATCGTTGCAGGACGCTCACCATCACTCACAGGAAGCGAATGCTATCTTCTACAGCGTTTCACCCTTCTCCATTCATTCTCAACATCTGGACACCCCTCTTGGCTCATCTTCAATCGCTCCACCCAAGTCTACCGGTTGCTCTGATTTCTAATGCTGTCTCACACCTTAGCAGTCAAGAGCAAATTGCGCAGACACCTGACGCAGACGTGGTAATGCTGGACGCAGAACAGGAAAAGCAGAAACAGGACGCCACCCACGACCGCTGCATCGCTGGCTGGGTGAATTGGCTTGTGGACACCTATGGCAGGAAGGAGGACGACGCGTATGGGGATGACGATATTTACGTCAGTAGGGCAGACGTCGTCTCGAAGCTGGTTGCAGCTCTGGGGCCCACCAGGGCTTTCTCGGGTACCAGAGAAAAAAGGTGAGCCTGTGCTGCGTTCTTGATACCGACGTGTTACTTACGGAACGTGCTCAACAGAGTACAGGAGCTTCTACGAGCACTCAGCGAGGGTCATCCTACGCTTGAGAAGGCAGCCTCGCTCGTGCTCAATATGCCACGTCCTGTTCCATCCAGCGTATGCCTCTCCCGTATGTAATAGCGCGCTCCCAGCTCACCTACTTCCTCCTAGCAGACCTGGCAGGAGGCTGACATGCTGCTCATGCACGAGCGCCTCTCCACCCTCCTCTCCCTGCAAACAGAGGCGCCATCTCTCGAACCCAACGGACGCGCCGAGGCTGTCGAAACACAGCCTGTAGGGGAGCCGATCGTGAGCCCCGCCTCTCGGCTCCCTCCAGGCTGGAGAAGGGTTTCGAGGGACGACGGCTGGAAACCCTCGCCCATCGGCGTCTTCGTCCCCTGCGTGGCAGCTTAGTCCATCGCACGCGCCTTTAGTTCGCCGTTGCGCTCGGAGCATGATAGCACCACTTCTCACGTCTGCGTAGGGTAGGTATCAAATTGAATGTCTGACTTAGACAGCCGGCGAGCCGCTTGACGGCGACGACCCTCAAATTGGATCCTACACCCGTGGCAGGCGATGTCCCATGATGCGCAGATCGCAGAGAAGGCTCGGCGGTGATCAGTGGAGGGCGCTGAGCTGTGGTGTTGTATAGCGATGCGATGCAATGTACATCCTACCTACTAGTATAATACAGAAATAGTGCAACGACTGAGATGCAGCTACGAAGCAAGTGCGCGTGTCCGTGAAGATACAGTGTCCTTTACTTAAGACTAGATCTACTCAGCCCGCCGTGTCAGCACGGGGCGGTGGTTTCCCTCTTTTCCAGCGAGGTTTCCTCTGGCCGTGGGACTGACCCTCTTCCCTCTCCCCGTCTCCGCGGCGCTCATGAGTGCTCGGGCCTCCGTACAAGCCTGAGTGATCACGACTGCCGGGCTGTCGTGGGGCGTATTGCGCGTTGTTCGACTGTCCTGAGTCGTAGAACCCTTGCTGCGCGTCCTGTCTTAGGCCATACGGTGCGTGGTGGATGTGTGGCTGTCCTCGGCCGTTATGCGCATACTGGAAGTGTGGCTGCCCCCGACCATTATGCGCATACTGGGAGTGTGGCTGCCCTCGACCGTTATGCGCGTACTGGTTGGGTGGCTGCCCTCGACCGTTTTGCGCATACTGGGTGTTCGCTTGGCCTCGACCGTTTTGCGCATACTGCACGTTCGCGTGGCCTCGACCGTACTGCCCACGACGCGCATCGAACTGTCCCCGACCACGATGGGTGTGTGGTACGAGTAGAGGAACGTCTGGTCGTGCAAAGGAGCCTATGGCCATTACATGCCTAGGCGGTCCATCATACGGTCTGGGCGCTGGTAACGACCGGGATGGGCCAGGGACGATCACGTCGCCATCGTCTTCCAGCAGCAAGGATGGCTGTGGGTGCATGACAGAGACCTCGGACGCACGCGGGAGGTCATCGGTCTCCCGACGGCGGTTGCGACGCTTGCTTCGAGCGTAATCGGGGACTCCATCTTTTGGCAGGGATGGAACTGGGGGAGGTGGACCAGGGTCGTAGTTAGGGTTCTCCGCGACCCACGCCATGCCCGTCTCTGAGTCGAGTGGTCTCCCGATGTAGTCGAACGTGTACCAGGTATTCATGGGCGCGGAAGACATGGCGTTCGCCATCGCGGCGAGTCGGCGGTAGAGTGCGTACCCAGAGTGACTATCGTTGGCAGCGTCTTGGCGGGGGATGAATTGACATTAGGATGCATCTTTGATGTTCAGTAAAGAGGCGACTTACATTCCTGCTGGGCCTCCGAGAGCATAAGTTCCCAGTTACTCCTCGTGATCTTTCCCTTCACCAATGACAGTTCTTCGTATGCCTCGCACAGACGGTTCAGACCTATGCTCTGCCGATATCCTCCTTTCCAGCGGTCGTTGTCCACGGTGCGTGCAAGGAGAGATAAATCGACGCAGTTGCGACAAATGAGCGAGAAATCTCGATATATCTTCATACAATCACCTGTGAATGATGCTCAGCACACGAGTTGCTGGGATTTGCAAGGATGACCTACCCTTGATGGCGACGCCGGCCTTGACATACAGCGAACTACCCAACACCTCTCGCAGCTTCTCCGGGAATGCTAGACATGGCATCATTCAACATTAACATACTGGTGGGATGATACGACTCACTTGTCATAGCGCTCACTTGTATGAGCAGAACGACCTCATCATTTGCCAGCTGGACGAGAGCGACGGGGTTCTCAGGTTCGCCCGCGTAGAAGCAAGGCTTCCATTCCATATCCAGCCCCAGAGGACCTGGTTCCAGCTTGGAGAGCTCAGCGTTCGCCTCGTCAACGTCCCGTGTGTATATGAGGCGTGCATTTGGCGACTTTGTCCTCCACGAGTAAAGGGGCCACTCCGGGGCCTTGATGGCCTTGACGACGGTGCTGGATTGCAGGTCAAGAGTAGCAGCCATCACCGGGAATTTCAGGAGGGTGAGGGCAGACGACCAGTAAGCGTATGCAAGTCGTTGTTTGCTGCGTGCGATGCGTTCAGCGAATGTGGGACGCCAGAGCCACGCTGGTGAGAGTGTGGTTACTTTGGCTTTGGCGGAGAGTTTGGACGGCTTGCGGCTGTGGCTGTCGGATTGCCCTTCCGACGACTTGCCTACTTGATTGGAATCCGAGAGGCTACCGTCGTCGCTCGGATTTGAGAGATTGTGACGTCTGATTATGTCCGCCAATTGTTTTACGAGCCGATTAGGTTCGTGGTCGTCGCGGAGATGAGTTGTAGGGAGTTTGCGTCGGGCGGGCTGTACAGAACGTATAACGGCACCTGGCATCAAGCTCAACAGCGGTAAGACGTCCTCTGCTTCGTCCACCGACACTGAGAGATCCCAGAGCCTAAGAAGGAATGGACAGAGCCTCCAGCTTCAGGCCACAGTCAACTGAAGAAGTAAAGCCGATCGGTGGCTGGCAGAGGCTGGAGGAGGAGGGCTGGCACTGGCAGCCTCCAGATCCTGGGAATGTAGCCGCAGCGGCCCTGTAGACGCCGGTCACGTAGTACCGTGACAATAAGTTATGCACTTCGGACTCGAACTGGACTCGAATAACTCATGCAGCAATAGTCGACAAGCAGGCTAGAATCTCTGCCTCAACAGATCATCGTTCTCCAGAAAACACCACTGAATCTCGCGAAGGTGAATTGAGATTGAGCGCAACAACTATAACGCCAACGACACGCCAGTGAGTTACCAAGTCGACGTCAACATGAGTAACAATCACACGCGCATGTCTGAAAACTGGTGATATCTTGCAATGAATGGTATCAAAAAAGGCTACACGGTGAAAGGAGCAAATAAGTTATAATCCATTGTCCCACAGTAACCTGCTCCAAGGACAAGGCTCATGCGATGGCCAGAACGTCGCCCTCAGATTTCTACAGATAAATCTCAGCCTCACGGTCGTACGGGACAGATCTGCTACGCACCTGCTCGTTGAACGAATTGACCTCGTAGCCCTTGTGGTACGACGGTAGCTCGTATGATCCACTAATAGGGTGAGAGACGGCACTGATCGTTCCCCTCGAAGTGGCAGCGTTTGAACTCTCCATACCGCGACGGTTCAGAGACACCTTCGGAAGGCCCTCTTGCATATGCGCCCGGCTGTTAAGGTTCGTAAGGAATGTGTTCGCGTATCTGGTGAAGCAGTTCAGATTATTCAGTCTGGCACGGTCTACGCGAGTCGCACTTACACCTTGGTGATAGTGAGCGAGCTATTGAGTCGAAGGTCAGGCGCGAGCCTCTGTGCAAGGTGGCAAGTAAACTCACAGGGCTTCGTATAGCAAGGTATTCTTCGTCTGTAAGATGCTCTTAGCAATCGTCTTGAGAATGTCACCTCTCTACCTACCTGAGGGGCCTTCGCCAGGACCAGCATGATCACGGCGCAGCCCGCTAAATGATCGCGTCAATACAAGTACCACGCACGCATGACAACACAGTTACTTGCCTGTAAGCATGCCAGTCTCTACGACGAGCTGGATCATCCGGTTGATCAAAGCCTCAGTTCGCGGCAAGCCGTTTTTGCTCTTGAGCAGCTACAGACCCCGATGGTTAAGGCTTCAACGTGATCGCGGGCGACAAAACGTACCAAAACAGTCATGAGAATGGCGATGATGATATCTGCTGCGGCTGTGACGGATAACCATACCTATCGCACGTCAGCACACGCCTGACGGAGGATGGAAGAGCTACACACAAGGATGGCAGGGAAGATACTGCCATGAGCAATATCCTGAGCAGCCTTCAAGGGCTCCATCTACAACCGAGCAGCGCAGGTCAGAAACATCGGGGTTTGGTGTGGATCGATGGATCTTACCATCCCACCGGCCACGAGAGCAGAGATGCCTTGCGTAAGGGACAGCTACAGAAAACATCAGCAAGGTGCCAGTTTCACCAAAGAGACGCTACGCACCGTAGCGACACCGCCAGCCAGCAAGTACGAGTTGGAGAACTTATATATCCGCCATGCGAAGAACATTTGCACGAACACGGAGACGATGGCACACATGACCGGTACGGCGAACCAGGAATTGTGCAACGATACCAGAGACTCAACATTGCCGTAGTTGTAGACATAGATATCCATGCAGCCGGAGGTGACCAGGCCAGTGTGGACCCACTCGAAGGCGAGGATGCCATAGACTAGCACGTACGCGAATGAGACTAAGTTGGTGAGGGCTCAAGCGGAGCACCTACCCATCAACTTGAAAGGCCATCGGTCCTTGGGGAAGTAAGTGTGGTATAAATCTGTCAAGCGAAGACATTGAGTATAGCTGCGATCGAGCAGTATAAACTCTTACGTACAAACTTGAATATTGAGGACACCGAGCAACGCCCAGTTGAAGAATGCCCCGATGAGCTGCACAGGATCTCAACATCTGCCCAGGGACGACGCGGACTTTATCTCACCTGGGGGCCGGCACTACGCGACGTATGTGAGCGTGCAGGTAGCGAGGCGTATGACAAGGACTCACATAAGGTTCAAGTTGAGTGACTCCGACATCTCGAGGCGATGGAATGGGAAAGGAGCACTGAAGAACAACGAGAAGAAAGGAAAGACTAAAAACTGGTCCTGTCGACCGCTACAGGTCCAGATGCACCAGGTCGTGAACGTTCGTGAGAGAAAGTGCAGGAGCACGACCGCGTCAGCCCTCGCTGAGCGGGCCCCTTGGGCTGATCGCGCAGGATGTGATGGCCCGACTTGCACGTCAATCTAGATGCATCTTGGGGCAAGACCGAGTGGCGATGCGAGGTTTCATCTCATCACCTTCTGACTAGCCCAAATTGAAATAATTTCAGAAGCGCTACGATGATTCTGAGATCCGCAGAAGTTGAGTTACATAACGAAGACTTTGGGGTGTTCAGACATACGTACCGCTCACGACGTGAAGTTAGTTTCTACGCGGCCACAGCGGGGCGCCGCGATGAGATGAACAGTAGCGTACGTTTGGATTCCTGCCGTTGTCTCGGAGGTATACATTACCGCGGTTTTCAGAGCCGGGCCCGGTCGCGCAGGTATACAGGTGACTAAAACAAATCAACCAATGCGAGCCGCATGGCCGTATTCCTTCCATCATGCCTCTAGCTGTTTGGGCTCCTGCAGATAGAGTTGCCAGTGAAGTCAAAGGGCAATTCAAGGGCAATCAATGGGGAAGCATTTGCATCAGCGTGATCTAAGTTGACGGAATGATTGCCCAAAAAAGTCAAGATAACGTCCGCTCCGCCTTGCAACAGATCCCATCAATGTATATGACCGTACTTGGGCATCCGTCGACAACGCGGTTCCGGGTCACCGCGCTCTGGTCTCTCAGGCACGTCAAGGCGGGCGCACTTTGACGGGACGCACAGGCTCAGTTTCCGGATCGGGCTTGCTAATCGTATCGCCGAATGTCAACTTGCGTGACAGTGAAGATGAATGAGCACCGTACCATGATGGACCGATTGAGGCTGCAGGAAACCCAGTGAGCAGACGAATGACCATCGGTTTGTTTACTAGTCAGATGCAGTCGTCGAGGTCAGGCATGGTGGTTGTCGCGCCTTCAGCTTGACTGGACTCGAAGCTTCACACACGCTTCAGAAGGATAATTGAGCTGGCGAAACGCGTACCGCAGAGGTTTGGGGCTGTATTGGCGGCATCACGTTGAACGCCAACTTGCCCGTTTACATCATGTACGGAATAGAGTGCAAGCGGTGATATGACGAGAATATTGAGATCAGACCCAAAAACATGCCATCCTTGATTCTTGGTTGGTCTGGACTTGTGCGCGTGAGATGTTGAGAGGCATATCAAGTTAGCAGTGGGCCTATTCGATACAGACAGCAAGGCAGATGCTTTGTCGTCGCGCTGGTGGTTGGCAACGTCGGGATTCGGGCAGGGTGTCCGGGATCGGGAAGCCATCAAAGTTGCATCAACGCATCGAGATCGTCGAATTGTGGCTGAGCACGTCGCTTTGGGCGGCCCCGGGCCAGTGGGATCACGAAGACATGCTCAGACAGTTCCCGCGCTGGACACCGGATCTGTCCACAAGGCTCGACTCTGCCATGTATCACGGACATTTGCCTCCTTTCGCCCCCACCTTCATTGCAGTCGCTTTCGAGCCGCCAAGGGTCCGACTGACATGATTTTCTTCACCCAGCTGACGAGTCTTGCTTTCCTTCTTTCCCTCGCAGCTGCTCTAATTATACTATGGATTCTGGCGCGTCTCGTATACCAGTCGCGCAACTCTACGATACGCGACCTTCCGGGACCTCCCAACGCGAGTTGGCTGTTTGGTAACCTCCAGGAGATCTACAGCGCCGAGAATGCGGTCATGCAAGAGCGGTGGACTGCACAGTACGGCAACACCATCAAGTACAAGGGATGGCTGGGCGTGCGTTCGAACATCTAATACATCAATTATCAGGCCTGATTTTGCTCCTGTAGCGGGATAGACTCTACACCGTCGACTTGAAGGCCCTGGGTCACATCTTGAATCGGTCCATGGAGTACTACAAGCCCGAGGCTGTCAAGTTCTACCTCATGCAGACACTCGGTGGAGGTTAGTTGTCACCATAAGCGCCCCTAGGACGTACTAAACCACATTGTACGATACTAGGGATGCTCTTTGTGGAAGGTGCGTACTCACGAGTGGTAGCCTGAGATCAGGGATTGACAGCTTTGCAGGCGAGAAGCACCGTCAACAGGTATGACTTTGCGTGTTCAACCCTGAGAGTGCTCACTCACCGATCTTCGCACGTGCGATCAGCGCAAGGTCATGGTAAGGATATGCAATGTACATCGCTGTTCTGCCATTTGATACTGATAAACGCTGTGAAGAACCCTGCCTTTGGGCCTTCTCAGATCCGCGACCTGACAGAGACGTTCGTGGCAAAGGCGCTCGAGGTAGGAAATCCACTCGCTTAGCGTGTCAGTGTGGCTCACGTAGCTGGATCAGCTGCGCGACGTGTGGCTTGACGCCATGTCGAGTGATGAGAAGCCGGCGCGTCTTGATGTCATGAGCGGATTGGGAAAGACGACGCTCGATGGCATTGGACTTGCCGGTAAGCCACCTCTTCCTCGAATATTCTGAGCTTTGCTTAGCAGCACCTTGTGTGTAGGCTTCAACTACAGTTTCGACTCGCTCAAGCCGAATAGCAAGTCTAATGAGTTGAACAATGCTTTCCAGGTCATCTTCGGCTCCGCCTCCGCGAAGCCCTCCATCTGGACGATGTTGACTTTCTTCATATCGCCGCTGCGCTTGATTGTATGTTCCTCGCGGGACTACATTCTCTGCTATCTACTGACGTACTTTTTTCCAGCCGACATGGCGCAGCAGACAGATTGCCGTTGCGATGAGTGCGATGCGGCGCATGGGCAAGCAGTTGCTCATCGAAAAGAAGGCAGACATCAAACAGGCCGCGGAAGCCGCCGGTGGGAAGGTCGACGGGAAGTTGGAGGGGCTGCGTAGTCGCGACCTCCTGACACTCCTCATCAAGGCAAACATGGCTACAGACATCCCTGAGCATCAAAGAATGTCTGATGCAGACGTGCTTGCCCGTACGTGGTGTTATGTTGCTTTGTCACTGACACTGACGTACTTGCTCATCCACAGAGGTCCCGACGTGAGTATGCTGCTCTCGCTGTGCAGCGGCGCGGATCCTGAGTATGTTGCAGGTTCCTAGTCGCCGGGCATGAGACGACAAGTACCGTCACTGCTTACTGCCTCTTCGCTCTGAGCCAAGCTCCAGAGGTTCAGCAAAGACTGCGCGAGGAGCTTTGGAATGTCCCAACTGAAAATCCTACCATGGATGAACTCCAAGAGCTCCCGTACCTCGATGCTATCGTCCGGGAAACGATGCGCGTACACGCGCCCGTTCCGGTCACTCTGAGGGTCGCGGTCCAGGATGATGTCGTCCCGCTCAGCACGCCCTACGCCGATCCCCAAGGTAATCTCCATGACACAGTACAGTATGCCCGCGCCGACCTTCGCGATCCACTATGAGTCGACTGATGTTGTTCCATTTCCTCAGTATCAGCAAGGGCACTATCATTGATGTCCCCATCACGGCCTTGAACCGATCAAAGGCATTATGGGGGAAGATGCATCAGAGTTCAAGTGTGTTGCGTTTTGTCCTAGTTGGGCTGCTCTCGTTGTGCTGACTTCACCCTTCAGGCCCGAACGGTGGGAGTCCCTCCCGGAAACCGTGCAGAACATCCCAGGTGTGTGGGGCAACATGATGACGTTCCTCGGCGGCCCGCGTGCATGCATCGGCTGGCGGTTCTCCGTTATCGAGTGAGTCGCGCTCCTTCAAGATGTTCTAGTGCGTTTGTTAATGACGGACGCTTCTTGTGATGGATGCGTTGTCAGGATGAAGGCTTTGGTGTTCACCCTCGTTAGGACGTTCGAGTTCGAGCTGGCGGTATCTCCGGACATGATCGTGAAGCACTCAGCGATCGTGCAGCGGCCCCTCATTCGCGGAGAGGAGTCGAAGGGCGGACAGATGCCCTTGCTCGTGAAGCCGCACAAGCGCCTTTGAGTTCCACCGGCGAGGGCATGTACTTATTTTATTTTAACTTATGGTTTCTGCTACCGTCGTTCTTTATCTCTCCGCTTCCCCTTTTGCTACAGCCATGAGGACCACAATGCAGTCACAATATCTGCTTTCAATCGCGACCGGCCCACTGAGCGTCGCGCTCGTTAACACAGCGGAACGCCCGACTCATACGAGTCACGACGGCCATGCCGGCATGTAGTACGCGTACAATGGTGGAAGCTCGCGGCCCCATCTCTTACGTTGTGTGGTTTGATTGTCTCGTCATGGAATTTTCGCCCCGTGCAACGCCCACTCATATGTACGTGTCTGTGGTCCGTGGACCGTGACGACAGCGTCACCTTAGCCGTGGCGCACATGTCCTTGCATGCGCAGGTTCCGCTTCTGTCATGGGATTGCACAATTCTAACTCCTGAACTGAGCTTGGCTCGTTTGCGGTGCTCAGACAGCGGACAGCGGGCTATCTTCAACGATGTCAGATCGTATTGGTCCTCCGAGGGCTGTGCTGTGCGGAACATGTACTTACCAGTACAGCTCACGGGCGCTGAGCGCTCGGTGGCTTCGGCGACCGACTCCCGCTGCTGTTCCCAACATAGAATGGAGGTTGTTCGCATCAATCGTACCTTTGATGTGACGGTCATATTATTCTGCGACTCCGATCTACCGGGAGTACATTGCAGTGAGACGTCCCAGGCCAAGGACAGCACATGTTCCTGTCAAAGCGGACATGGCTAGCAAACCAGTCTCGTCGGATAGTGGCATTATTGTTTTGTCCCGCGCGTTCCGGGCACCCTCCTTCTCGAGGTGGACTCGTTGGTCGGGTCCACGCTGTGGCAACCCCCCTCTTGTTTCTATACTTCTCCCGTTTCTTTCTAGGATGTCGTCCCAAGTGGTTGTAGACGGCCTGGTGAAGCCAACGCCAGGTGCAATTCTTCTTGGCTCCGTTCTCAGTGCGATGTAGGTTGCCATTGCTCTCTGCAAGGATGTATCCACGCCTCATCAACATGCGTTTCGCAGGTTCTTTGGCATGATAATGATACAGAATCGTAGATACTATGAGAACTGCTGGGACGAGTCGATGCGCCTGAAGTTGTTTGTACGTCCATCGCTCTTGCCTCGCGTTCAGTTGCATCTGAAGTCGACTCACACCCTTATTCACGGCACAGGTTGCGTTGATAGGGTTGGTAGCCTTGCATTCTTGTGGAGCTCAAGCCCGGCTCACTTCTGAGTAGTGCTTTAAATACGGCGCAAATGGTCACTGTCACAGACTGCGACTGGTGGAGGTTGATTAACAACTACCGCGTACCAGCAACGTCAAGCAGCATGGCGTGGAATTTAGCAGTACGTATAGCTGCGGTTCAGCTAGACGAATCGCTCACGAGGCATACGCTCCCCTCTAGCTCGGTGTCGGTTTAACGGTAGGATGGACCACATTGCGCCCGTCTTCCTGCTGGGACGTGAAGCTGATCCGACTTTGACAGGCTACAATCGCCCTCATGGTCCAGAGGTCGGTCCACATTCACTCCGTCCGCCGGACGTCGTACTTACTTGCGCCTTGACCTCAGTTTCTTCGCACTGCGCGTTTGGATCAGTAAGTGTCAAATGTCATGCCGTCATCTGCACCCTTCTCACTATGCGGTTCTCGGGCAGTCTGTCGGAACAATCGAGTGATCACGCTTTCCATCGTATGTATTCCCGGTTCACACACACCGAGGTACCCGGAAGCTGATACATTCCGATCATGCTAGGCCATGCTAGCGCTGCTGCAGCTAGGCAAGACGTCTTTCTTTCTTCAGTACCTCAGAGCCGCATGTGAGGAGCTCTCTAGCTCTAGGACAGTGCACGCATAGAGTGGAACACGGCCTCACATTTATTTACTTATTTACTCACGGAATCCGCTCATTGCACGCGACCTATTTATTATGCAAGATAGTACATACCCATCACACAATGTAGCTGTAGACGTTCGCCTCGCAGGTACAGGCCACACATATAAGTTATCCCGATGCTTCGTTGGTACACGCCGCCCAATTGTGCACTAGACTGGCTCCAGTTCTCAATAAGTATGGACGGTCGATAACATGAGGTCGTGGGGTTGCGGTGTGCCGCAAGGGTAATAAATACAATGGATATCTTGGTCTACCAGTATCTACGTCCACTGTGTGCCCTTCACTCTCACAAAGAGATGCCGGCCGACAGCCAGGAATCCAGCCCCAGCAATGATTACGACCTGGAGGCAATGCTGTCAAATTCCGAAGTGCACGAGGCGTCAGGCAGTACTTACGCCGCTGAAGACGATAGGCTTGGACCAGTTTAGAATGAGCCCGTGTCCAAGTAGCGCGCCGTCTATCGGTGTGCCAGTCAGCATCGCGAACGATGTGGCAAAGTATCCGAGACCAATCCGGACGCTGCATCCGGCTTCAGTAACTCTGTATCATAATCAAATGAGTGGGTTGAGACCTACCCGATCTCGTTAGTATCCTTGGCCATGATGGCAAGTGTGCTAGGCACCAGTGCGATGTCTACAGAGCGCCGATAAGTTGGAGGACCGAACGAATGAGGGGGCATTGCTTACACGATCCGGAGAAGAACCCGTACAAGATGGTGAAGACGATGACAGCACCCGTAGTCGTCGAGGCGAACATGACGAAGACGAGGGCACCCGTGATAGCCGACACAGGCACCACGACGTTAAATTGTCCAAATCGATCTGCGAGCATGTTCGGAATGATACGGCCAAAAATGGACGCTGCGTTCAGGATGGCGATCTGGACGGGGCATAATGTCATTAACGCAGCATGGTTGGAGAAGAGCGAGACATACCGTGTAGAAAGCAAGTGTACTTGAGAGACCGTGCAAGTTGACCCACAACTGGAGATAGAAGTCTGCTTGGACTGAGTGCATCAATCTCAACGGAGTCACAGCTCTACTTACAGGGCATGAACAACCCCCAAACAACCATGAACCCTCTGCAGCAGCAATTAATATCATCGTCGGCCTCATGTGCGGTATGGTATAGCTCACCCAAACAAAGAGAACGCAAACGGCGGGTCCGTGAAAATAGCAAGGATGTTGGGCTTGGGCTGTGGAGGACGGTCCTTTGCGCTGGGTAGCCGAGTGCGCATGACGAACTGAGCGAGCACGAGGAGCCCCAGTGTCAGGAATGCGGATGCTCGCACACCCCAGTGAAAGCCGGTCGAGCCATTGAATAGATGGTTTAGCATAATCGGATAGATGATGCCGCCACAGCCCGAGCCTGTCAGAACGAGGCCCAACGCCATTCCTCGCCGCCTCTTCCAGTAGTGTCCTTGCAAGGAAAGGGCAGGTACAAGCATGAGCCCGCCACCAATACCCATCCCAATCCCTTGCGCCAAGATGATCTGGTAGTACTTTGTGGGATCCGCGAGGGAGAGCATAAATAGACTGCGAGCGGCGTTAAGTATCGTCGTGCGGCCGGCATGCGATGTGTCACTGACCAGAACAGGTAGAGAACGCTACCGCCGAGGGTCAGCGCGCGGAAGTAGCCTGCGTCGAAGAGTCTGCCGGCAGGCAAGCCTAGGAAGAACAGGAAGAAGAGTTGCAAAGAACCAATCCAGCTGATATTGGACGATGTTGAGGCTCCCGCAAGCACATAGTAGTCCTGGTAGATACCGAACGAACTCGCATAGCCAAAGGTGCAGAATGAAATGAGCCAACTGCACAGATACGTGAGCTTGGTGTAGGCTCGATGATTCCAAATACGCACCCGCCAAGTATAGCCCCCCAGGCTTGTAGCCCGCCATCTGGAATGTCGTATACTGGCTGCGGAATCCCGACCTGGCTCTCAGCTTTTTCTTCCGCCAGCGCCATCGCTGAGTCGAGTTGGTCAATACGGGATGACTCTGTCGAAGCGCGGCTGTCATCTAAAGACACATGTATGTTCGTCGCTACATCCGAAGACATGGCACTCCAAGAAGAAAGGAGGGATTTTCAGAGAGTGCAGCTTCAACCTGAGCGATCCACTGGCAGTATTTGAGCCCTGCAAGGCAGTCTGGCGGACTACAGGAAAAGGGACAGAGCAGAATGAGAATGCAGGGGTTTCGGCGGCTCGCCGTGTTTGATACGGTGACCCCGACGTGCCCGTTATCCAGTGCAATTAAGTCTGGATCTGTTATAAAGACAATAGACATCATTCCGCATTGCGCGTTCTTGATCCACGGGTAGAGCTATGACAGCAAGCGCTCAAGAACAAGACACAGAGACACAGGCTCGGTTCGGCGGCTGATTGTCCGCCACTCGGACATGCATGATGATCAAAGCTGCGATGACAGCAGCGGCCACCCACCGAAGGCGCACCTTCTTGATACTTACCACCTTGATACGTACCACCTTCCCTGCAGCAATGAGGGAGTGCGCGAAGAAAACGCTGACATCGCATCACTTAGCCACTTCCCACCGGAGGGATGTTCTTGATACTTACCAGATTCGTCAAGGAAAATGTCACAGTGACCGCGATCGTGATCATAACACGCCGATGCGAGATTGGCCAGACAATTGGTACGCTCACAACGCACGGGGTTCTACATATCTAAGTGCGTTAACAACTTGACAGGAAGGTAGATTGTCTCCTCGCGGAGGTATGACCTCCACCAGCGTTGTTGCTATCGGGTGCCTGTGAACACTTGGTTGTATTTCCCCGAGGCCGGGACGCCCATACTAATCCTTCGTTTCCGCCGGTGGTTCCATTCAACGCAGCATCGTGGTCACGAGCAGAAAACTGTTCAGTGGTACTGTATTGTCCTGATCACCGAGGCATCCGAGCGATGGCTGCCGAGCAGTGGTCGAAAACAAAATGCATCGCCGGCGGCAGGTCTGCCTCAGCGCCTTGTTACTGCACATCTGCGGGCTGTGGTGTCTGGATGGATCGAGCACATGTTACAACGACGATGGTGAGTGAACCGGTGACGACCTGGACGCCGGCAGAAGGTACATAGTTAGGGCTGAAGAGGAGTGTAACGTACATCCATTAACTCGTACAAACGTGTAACATACCGTTAAATAATCATTGCAAAGTCATTACTTCAAGTCCATCTCCACTTCTTCGAAGACGAACACCTGCTGCGAGCCGGTAACAGTCTTCCATCCTTTCCGAGCATCCACTTCGACTTGTTTCAATGTCAGATAGAGTCGGAAGCTCAGAATCCCGTCCAGCGCCCACGTAATCCTAAGCACCCGTCAGAGAGATGTGATGATGCATGAAAATGTCTGGGACGTACAAAGGGGTAAGCAATGTCTGCGCCGTCTGATCCACGATGACGTTAGGTCTGTCTTTACAAGCGAATGGCTGGACACGCACCCCTCCAAAGATCGCAGGCATCAACCGCGCTAGCTGGAGAACTGCACCACCCCTCGTCAGCACAGCAGCCATCAGGTGTGTCACTCGACACACGAACCTGTGAAGACCTGGGCGAGGACACATAAGCGACATTCTCGTCATAAGAGCGCTCGCACACATACCAGCAGTGTCCACACTCCATCGCGGTATAGATTCTTGATGATCTCGAAATCGCGTTTCCGAGGCCTGTTCAAAGAGTTGATGACCAGGAGAATCATGACATAAATATAATACGCGAGCTGCATCATGACCGTCAGCTTCGCTTCTTCATGTCCCAGGCGCAAAGGAAAGCTTACCGTTCCTGCATATGCGCCTATGAGATACAGCGGTCTATGCGGCACTCCACACGCGTGGTAGACCTCGTTATATTGTGCGGTCGCTGCGAGGCATAGATGTCAGTTCGACTGACGGAAGAATCACAACAAATAGCGGTACCAGATGTTTGAATTGTAGAGACGACGGCAAACGCCACTGTGATGCCGTAAAATACGACAAACCCGCCTACTAGAGCTATAGTGATGATGCGCCGGTTGTCCCAGAGACCATAAATACGAAGAACCAATACAACTGAGGGTGTTCAGCACACACTGTGAGCGAGAACATAGCGGGTAGAACTGACATTGAATCGAAGCAGTGCTCAACAGTCCGTATGTCGCGATAAATCGGTTGAAGGCCTGACATCTGGGGGGACGAGTCAGAACGGGGGCAAGCAGGTCCAGATTTACTAACAACTGGAATGCCGAATCAGTCAGCATTTGCACTCAAAATTCAAAGGGAGACGCAGCTCACAGAGTCACTGATGTTGGTCGAGATGCCGCTTACCACTGACAAGTAGCGTAAGAGTCGAACTGCAACCTGCGCATTGAAGATGTACGCACCGTATGCGATGAACAGCATACTGGCCTGCCTTCCGTACATATCAAGGAGGACGAGTATAGGCAGCGCTGACCATGGCTGTCGCCATATCAACTCGACCTCCTTCTCGAATACAAGTAGGCGTTCATAGAGCGTCAGTGTAACCGCGACCGCTAGGAATTGTCAAATGAGGAAACGCAATGAATTGCGGCGGTGGAAAGCAAACGACAGAGAACTCACCCGATAAATATTGGGTGGCCACCAAAGAATTGAGGTCGACCGCAGGAAGGGACATGAAGTCGAGATCGACAGGCGGCGGAGGAGCAGCTCACGCGCCTCTGCATTCCTATGTACTTAGGTGTATCCTCCCCATGTTAGCGCCGCGATGGTCAGTAATCACTGTGGTCAGATCCACCCGCATGGGCGGGCTACTTAGTATCCGAGGGGATGAGTGACAGAGCCAATGGTGACATGTGAGAGGCGCTGAAACGCGTCGATTCTCGGCGTAGGCTGTGATGCGCAACGATATGTAAGTTGGCTGTGCGCTTCAAGTTTCGCCACTGGTGCGGCCATGGCTAGGCACATTGAACCGGTCCGAGTCCGGGGTGGCAGGCGATGCTGTACTAGCAGCGCATGTCGGGCATGCAACAGACCAATCACTTTAAAGATGGCGCCCAGTGCGCGCTCTGGTGGTGCTCCTCGTGCATCGCTGTCCGCATCATGCGTCGACGTCAGTACTCGAACAACATAGGGTTCGATGATGTTGCCGTGACTCACATGAAAGGCGTACGTCGCTCAATAGACTTGCTGGGGCTTTGATAGTGTGCTGGAGCAGCATTGATACCACTCTGGTTATCGGTGTCAAGTAGTAGTAGTGGCGGGAGAAGTTGTCGGGGTGGCGAAGCCCGCCGCGCCGCGTGTCCTGAACTAGAAAACGGCGCCCAGACTCTTGACACGTGTTTCGTTTCCTGCTTCAGACTGACCGTGGAACATTGAACGCGGCGGACAGCGTCCTTTCTCGTCCCCGCCCTCACAGAGGCTCTCATGCTGCTGACTACGCTTGGACCACGCAGCAATGAAGTTTATCGGCGAAACTCGGGCGTGGTTCAATTAATGAGGACAAGCATTCGGAGTAGCTCAGTTCTGTATGCGTGGGTGATTCACTGCAATTACTTCCGAAGTTGCGGTCGAAGTCGACAAGCAAAGCTAATCCCATGTAAGTACACGTAGTTTAACATATCCTCCGAATCATGAGTGCTCATGAGCTTACTCGCAGATATGATTTTGCACATCCGGGCCATGAATTGGCAGAGCTTATCGGCCTTAGGCCGGGTGTTCTTACTGCTGGCACTGCTGTATGTCAGATAATAATGTCACCGATTGTCAACAGGTTCAAGCCCTTTGTCAATCATTGCCTGTGAGTATTCAGGGGAGATGCATACGGGCTAAGTAGTATCGGATTGAAGTAGATCAATCTACCGCAGATAGTGGCGTTCCGCAAGTCGGGCTGTGCGGCCTGAGTGTGTGGCCCTTTGATGACAGTCTCATGGCAGTGGGTCAAATCTCCATGACTGGAATTACACGCTAACGCGGCGATTGAATTGAATTGATAAATTCATGTGAAGTTCATCCGTATACCATGTCTACAGATACAGTTCATCCAGAATATCGCGACTTGGTCGTGAGGCCGTCTCGACGTAAGTGTTCTGCTAGTGCCATCAACCTCGCCGGATGATTTTGCATGACGTTCTTCAGCAGAGCCCAGATGACAGTGTACGGAGCCGCATGACGGCTGAGATGCGGTCTCATACGTTTTTGCTGAGGCATAGGCTCCGGCGACCAGAACACTTGGGGATGCGGTATGGGGATGCGGCACAAAACACATGCCACCCACTGCTAGGTATGCCTTGCTTCTCCGCGACCCGGCTGTCGATTTGATACTGTTTTCTCGGCCGACATTCAAGTTGATTCACTGTGCCCTCTGCCCCGCCATGCTTGGACGTCACGCGTCAGCGCCGCCGTCTGAAAGTCTGACGCCTCTGGCACTGAAACCCGCATTCAGGCCAGTGAACTCTTCTGAGTGCCCGATTCTAATCCGTACCCAGTTACATTTAGGACTGGGCGTGCCATACAAGTTCCATCCGTCGTGTTACGCTACCCTGCCCGCAACTCCCCCAGGGGGTCCTTGCCGGCGTTTCCTACTAGCCATTGCTTCGCGGAGCTGTATGACATTCCCGCGGATCGCAGTGGTAGATCAATTGTACAATCACTGAGGATTTGAAGCCTGAGCCGACAGCTGTTCGTCACGACTACAATGATACCACGTAATACTTGCGCCGCCAGCAACTCGTCTTGGTCCTGATCACGGCCCGTCAATATTCTCACTATCAAGATCTGCGTTCTAATTTCTGGCACTTGCGCTGGAACTGAGACGGCTTCAAATGTTCGGATTCACGAGCATCGTTCGCCGCAAATTCTCGAGAACGACGTAAGCAACGGGTGCCACTGGCGGTACATACTGCATCTAGGTTTCGTTTTTTTCTCATATTTCAGACCCTGGCTTCTACGGCCAAAAGCGATGAGTTCCCGCTACGAGATACGCAAAGATTGGAAGTGAACCGGAGGAGGGCCTGCAAGTCAATTACGATATTGCCATATGAGGCAATGATGGGGCTTGGATCACCATCACGTGAAACCAGCGCGCGACGCGTCTTCTCGCGTGTCCTCAGGCGAGTTGTGGCACGCTGTGGCAACATGCCACCGGACATCAGACCTCGAGACTTCAAACTCCTTCGACGAAGCTAACCCATGGCGAAAAGTCAAGCCAAGTTCTACGCCGTGAAGAAAGGTAGACAAGGCCCTCAGATTTATACGTCCTGGGAAGAGGTAAGAAGGAAACGTACGTTCAACTTGTCCGGTTTGCATAGCTCAATATTCCCAATGTGCACAGACGAAGGAGAATGTAACTTTACGTCTCCGTGGCAATGGCAAGTCTGGTCTGATGATTTCGGTTATAAAGGTCTCCAGGTATCCGGGTGCAATCCACAAGAGCTTCAAGAGTCTCTCCCAGGCACAGGCGTGGCTTGGTACTGTCCCCGTCCCGCGGGAAGATACGGGTGAGGGTGATTACTCTTCAGCCCTTAGGAAAGGTTTCCATTATGCTCATGCTCGGTTTTAAGGCCAAATCAATAAGGTCACACCACAATTCTTTCCGGACCATGGTTTCGCCTCGAACAGCAAGACTGCTACAGTCGCTGACATAAATGAGGCCCGGGATGAATCGTCCGCGTCAACTACAGCAGACTTAGAGATTACTGTTTCCAAGACCGCGCTTGAGCCTAAGATTGTCCTATCACCCGAGCAGCGAGCAGTACTTGATCTCGTCAAGTCCGGACGGAATGTGTTCTTCACCGGTTCCGCCGGTACGTCCAGTACCTGTACACCACCTGTTATTGCACGTCTCACATGACATCCTAAATAGGTACAGGAAAGTCTGTTCTTTTGCGGGAGATTATCGAGCATTGCGGCGGTCGTCACTCAAACCCATTAGCCATTACTGCCGCCACAGGAATCGCGTCAGTCAACATCGGCGGTTGCACGTTACATTCGTGGGCCGGTATAGGACTTGGGAAGGAGAGTCAGGAGCAGATACTCGGAAAGCTCCTAGGTCAAGACAAATACTTGAGGCACAAGGAGCGGTTTATGCCTGATGGGCAACAGAGTCAAAACAGAGTCGTCTCAAGGTGGAAACAAGTCAGAACGCTCATCATTGACGAGAGTGAGTACAGATGCCTACCAATCTAATTCTGCGTCGCTCATAGTCTAGTATGTAGTCTCGATGATAGATGGCGACCTCTTTGACAAGTTGGTGTGTATCATGCATTCATGGCGATGTCAACGTGCATAACGATGGCCCCAGGAATTTATCGCCCGCGAATTGCGGAATAATTCTCGTCCCTTTGGCGGGATACAGGTATGCTCGTCGACACAGAGACAAGTATAGTAAACTGCTAAATTTTTATCAGTTGGTGCTGTCCGGTGACTTTTGCCAGCTCCCACCAGTTCCCGACAGGGATAAACAATCAGCCAAGTTTGCCTTCGACGCCAACTCATGGGATGCTTGCGTCGGACGGCCCGTCGTCCTCCACCGCGTCTTCCGACAGAAAGACCAGGGTAAGCGAGATTTTACTTTCTTCCCCAGTTTGGTCGCAGAGAAATGATGCTTCTCCGTAGCCTTCGTCGACATGTTGAATTCCATGCGATTCGGACACCTTACTCCACAGACGGTCACCGAGTTCAGGAAGCTCTCTCGCAAGGTTACATACACTGACGGTATCGATCCAACAGACCTGTAAGTAGCGGTTCCGTTCTCGGTTGGGTTCTATCACATCATTGACATTGGACTGCGAGGTTCCCGACACGAATAGAAGTCGACAACGCCAATAGCGCGCGCCTCGCACAGCTTCCTGACCCACATCCTCACACGTATCTCGCCATTGACAGACCAGGAAGGGACGAGAGAGGCAATGAGATCCCTTCAGAGAGGGCGAGAACGCTGCTAGATCGGCTGGTCGCGCCGAAGGAGCTTGTACTCAAGGTACTCCCTCGTTATAGTCTCAGCTCCACGGGAATCATGACGGCCCTTCTAGATCGGTGCTCAGGTTATGTTGATCAAGGTCAGTTGGCCTCGCAGGTATCCGTATCGAGTGAATGCATAATCAGCTTGTCAGAATCTCATTCAAGGCGAGCTGGTAAACGGGTCTGTCGGGCGAGTTGTTGCGTTTAGCACTCCTGGGGACGCCCGCGCCCGAGGCATGGACATCGCCCGGACGCAGCTCACAGACGGCAGTCGCGAGAAGATACCTGAAGAAGTGCTCGAGATCAAGCACCCGCTTCCGGTCGTCGAGTTCCCGGGCAAGCGGCGTACGCTTTGCGTCCCTGCGTCCTTTGAGGTCATCAACGCGGAGGGCAGAATAGAGGCCACGCGTGACCAGGTACGACTCCGCAATGTGCAGTCTGATTGATGAGCACGGGTGATTCATGGCTGTTCATGGGACAGATTCCGCTCATTCTGGCTTGGGCATTGAGCATTCACAAGTCTCAGGGACAAACACTACAACGTGTTCGCGTCAACCTCGGGCGTATCTTCGAGAAGGGACAAGGTCCGTCGTGAACTGATTCTTCGATGCTCGCTGAATTGACATCATGTGTAGCCTACGTCGCACTCTCCAGAGCGACAAGCATGGAGACCCTGGAAGTGCATGGGTTTGAGCCAACTAAGTCAGTCTTTTACGCCGTTCTGTCGTTGTCGTGCTGGCCAGTAAACTAACGACCTCGCAGGGTCATGGCGCATCCAAGGGTGCTTCAATGGACGAACCAAATGACGGGAGTCAACACAAGTCCACCAGAGGAGCTTGACGATGACAGAGAGTACTGGGATGAGTTCGGTTACGACTGAGGGCGACAGATGACCGCCACATTGTCTCAAGCATCCCGGATACAAGGGAGTCCATGGCACCGGGCCGCAATAAGACCCTGTAGTGTCACCCTCTGAGCTCCCACGGATCGACGACACAGTGAAGACGATGGTTTTTGTTATATCATTGCGCCGCTAGCTCTTCAAGTCGTCGTCTGTGGGACATCATACATCTTGCTTTACACAATTCAATGAGAAACCGCGGCTCTCCTTCGGCTACGGCGAAATAAAGATACAGTTCGTCTATGTCCATGATGAGTGCTCCCGACACCCACTAAAGCCAGATCACGACCTCTTTTCATGACGCGGAAGCGGTCCCTTCCGCCATGGCATACAGAGCCTCCTTGTCTCCGCTTTCATCTACTAATGCCTTGAGCAGGCCCTTCGGTTTCTTGAGCAATTCCCAGGACTGCCAAATTCAACCTGAAATTCTCATGTTAGACTCACATAGCATAGTAGTAAGCATCGTGTCGACTCACAACACGGCCGGCATCTAAGACCATCTACATAGACGTTGTCAGATATGATGGTCATATATTGATACAAAGAAGACATACGATTTTGTCTGCGTCCATGATCGTTTGTAAACGGTGAGCAATCGTGAGCAGTGTGACACCCTTATCCAATTCTCTCCGTAGAGATTCTTGATTACAGTATCCGTCGCATAATCTAGAACAGACATCAGTGCGCTGTCCTAGTCCCATGAGCATTGAGACGTACCGATCGCAGAAGTTGCTGCAATAGAGTAAATGAGTGAAGAAACGTCGAGAACAGAAGTGGAACTACGCACCTTCATCAAGGATCAACAGCTTGCTCTGACGTACGATAGCTCTTGCCAACGCAAGGATCTGTCGTTGACCAACTGATAAATTGCTCCCGCCACTCGAAATCTGACTGTCAAGAGTGATACGTCCTTCATCCATTTCACTCTGTAGGTTGAAGAGCCCGGCGGCACGTAGGGCTCATTCAGACGGCGTCATCATGCTGGTCAAAGGGGTCGAGGTTTGACGGGCGTGCCACTGAGTAGCTCAGGCTAGTCGAGCACAACAAGTGAGTTTCGTCCGATCATGCGAGACCAGGACATACACACCACTGAGGAATGATCGTAATGTTTGAACGCAACGCATCGAGATTGATCTCATCGGTTGCAAGCCCATCGTAGTAGACTTTGCCTTCCGTGAGGATGCATCGCAATAGCGAGAGTGTCAGTGAGCTCTATGTCTGCGCGTCAGTGTGGTGCGTTTCTCGGCCAGCGTAGCCCACTAACCTTGCCGCTACCTGTGCGACCCACTACAACCACCATGAGCACTGCACGCATCATACGTTGATGCAACACTTACCGATGCCTACACGCTCGCCTGACTTCACTTCGAAAGATAGCTCGTGTAAGACGCGAGGGCCATCCTGCAATCCGTAAGACACTGATCTATTGACAAGTCATCTAGCTCACCGAAGAATAGCGAGAGGACAGTCTGTCCACCTTCAGTCCACCACTTGCTGGCCAGTATGCAGGGGGAACACCGTCAGCAGTTGGTTTTGGTTCTTGCTCTATGTGTACATATTGTTCGATGCGCTCCAAACTGGATAATAGTTCAGAGATTAATCGTGCACAGGTCATGAAGAGTTACCTGTTGCCTGTGGATCATGGACAAGCTCCAGCGAAAGAAATGACGACTTGATGTGCAGGCTCACCTGACACCTCGAATTCGTTGAAGATACGGACCCACCCAATATCATACCACTGAATCCAACTGCAACGGTGATCAATAATGATATGTGTCTCCGGAAACACAGGATACCGACCTGCCATGTTCAGTGAGAAACCAGTATTGGACGCATTGAAGGTGCTCCCGTACACAAGTAGGCAGCAAGACCTGTGGAGAACAGAGCACCCAAAGCATCTATGCGAATGCAGATCCACCTGACACTGGTTTAGTCAAATGACGCGATCCTGGAAAAACCCACAGACCGATTGAGATTATAAAATGTACGGGCAGCAATAGTCCATCGGTCGCTACGCGCGTATGACTCCTTCCGACCCTTCCTGCGCTCCGTACGCCCGAATGGAAGCTACACGCCGTATTAGAACAGAATGGATGACAAATGAAAAGCCGCGTACTCACCAGCGATAGCAGCACCAAATTGCCCAAGCACGGGAGCTCGTGCATTGCTCATTTCGCGCTTCACCGATAACTGTGCCTTCATGTAGACCTGCCCGAGCCATCCACCGAGGATAGCAACAAACGCTCCGGGAAAGAGGAAGATGGGAGACATGATGATAACCGCTTGCAAGTTTGCACAACATTGCCACGGTCAGTTCGACGACCGACCGGAAGTAGTCAGTGATAGGTCCGTCGCTGCAACCGTCATAAGCCTACACGCCTATGCTTGATGAAGAATATTCAGTACCTGCTGCTATATCTTGCGTTGCACCGTGTGATAATTCGAGATGTCGGTGTTTGTCAAGCACCTAGGGATTATCTATAAGTCAAAGACGGGATTCGGGTGAGTGACCCTCGCTTACCTCAGAGTCGTACCGAGGACAGACTGGATGAGTGATACATGTATGGAGCGCGAGGCTCTCAGTGCGCCGTAGACATAGACGATGTAACCAATGCCGTAGAGGGTTGCCGCACAAAGCAGTAGGACACTATAGCCAGTCAAGTAGCTGTTGAGCCCACGATGTTAGCGAACTGGGTCGTATGAGGCAACAGACAAACCACTAACAATGGCACATTGACCTCGGAAGGATCATGTTCCTCGTACTGTTGGGCCCAGTGACCGAGGAACCATATCTGGACAGTGTCACATAGCTGGGACAACACGAGCGTGCCGACACAAAGTAGCCAGAACGTGAATTGATGCCCACCGCCAAGACTGGAGAAGAACATTCTCACTGCTCGCCGTTAATGATGCTGCTGTAGGTAGTGATAGGATGGAACGCACATGCTGGCCAGCTCACATGCCCGACAGAAACTTCCTCGGAAAGGATGAGTTTTCCGTCCGACTTCTTGGGTTCCTCATTTGGTTGTTGATCGTCGACGGTGTGCTCAGCCTTCTCGATCTCCTTGTTCTCCTCTTCGATTTCCTTCGACAGTTCCTTGTCCTTAGCCAACACTTTCGACAACGTACCCTGACTGGCAATTCGGCCATCCGTACCAAGGGACACGACGAAGTCGGCGATTGGGCTGGCCATTGCCACATTATGCGTCTGAGAGCGTCTTTAGGCAGACTGTAGTTGTAGAAGACGACAACACTCACCACCAACAGCACAGTCCGACCACGAACGAGGTCTCCTTTGAAGCATTTGTCCACGATCCACTTGGCTGTATGCACGTCGAGAGCGGCCAAGACGTCATCAAGCAGCAGAATCTCTGCAGACGAATACACAGCGCGAGCGAGTGTAATGCGAGCCTAGACAAGGATGAGTCGCGTACATTGTTTGATCACAGACCTCATTACCTTTCTGACCACCACTGAACAACAATCTAATTAGCAATGAGGCAAACGCGTTAAGCGAGTAACTTTACCTCAGTGTCAGCCCCTTCTCGCCAACTTCAGTCTGGTCTCCGGCATCGAAAAGCGTAAGATCTCGTTTCAAGCCGCATTGGTCGATGACTGCCTAGTTGTCAATCCACCGTCAGAAAGTGAGTCCGAGTGTCTTACCCTTGTTGTAACGTTCCTTGTCATACGGGGCGCCAAACAGAATGTTATCCTGCGAAAATAGTCAACACGGTGTACCATCTTCTGTGATGAGCTTACTCTAATGGTCTCGTTCTGTACCCATGACTCCTGCGCCGCATACGCAACACCGCCGGTACGAGGCAGATGATAGTACGAGTCGGGTCCTGATGGGATGTAGTGCATCTCGCCTGTACAAACGTCAATGTCTCTTTGACATCTATGCATCGATCTTGAACTCACCGAGTAGAGCCATCAAGAACGAAGTCTTCCCTGAGCCAGTAGGCCCAACAATGAGGTTGAAATGGCCACGTCTGAGCTGTAACTCGTCTTCAATTCGCAGCATGAAATTCCTTCGCGATCTACCAGGTGTGCCTGGTGATACCGGTGTTGATAGGCCATAATTCTCGTTCGCCCACGTGAACGAAGCATTGCGGATGCCGATGATGTCGCGAGTGACGAGCGTCTTAGGGATCAGGGCTTCGGCTTCATGCGAATCCGGAGAGAACTCATCGAGCAGCTCGGTCTGAAGAAAGGACACAGGTTTCGTCTACGGTGAGGAGGCTATGACGGGACTAGAGAACGCACCTTCTTCAGGAACTCATCTACACGATCGAGAGACACTTTCGCTATTGAACGGAGTTAGCGTGCATATGAAGGTACAATTGGTGTTCTTACCTCGAATCATGGCAGGAACCAAGGCGAAGACGCCGCTCAAGGTCTGTCTGAGCATATCGAAGACTGCACGTCCCCGTGAGCAAAATCGCGCATAGAGTAGTCTCACAGATTTACCTGACATAGTTGAGAACACCGCCGACGCTGTCAGCTCTTTCTTCATGATCAAGGTCTACAAGTATCATATATCAGTGCGGTTGTCGGGGGGGGGACTGTACTTTACTTACGTATGCGATGAACGTGGCTATCATCGTAATCAAGGGAATGGCATAACTATATGCAAGGTCACCTCGCGATCACTAGGAGAGTGCAGAAAGGTGACGTACTTAAGGTTCGCATTGATGAGCCCCAACATCCTATACCTCCACTGGTAGTACAGCTCGTCCTCACGCTTCTCCGAGAGCTGCTGCACGACACGAGGCTCCCATCCAAACAGCTTGATCATGCGGATGACGTTCATAGCTAATTAATACATGAGATTAAAAGGCTCGGAACAAACCTTCGAGGAATAGAACGCTTACATTCAGTGACACTCTGCACGCGGAGATCCGTCTTCTTCATCTTTTCAATCTGGACGTTCTGGATCTTGCCGGCGACGTAGCCAGGGATCGGGAACAGGAGCACCATCGTCGCCATACCAGCAAATGCACTATGTGAGCATGTCTCAACACTCATGTCCGGCGCAGACCTTGAGATGTGACTGACCTCCAACCGAGAATAGAATACAAGAACCATATGCAGAGAGCGAGCTGCAAGGGGATCTCAATAACTTTCGTGCGGTCAGTCAAGCCATTCAATTGCCGCTCTTTTCAAACAGCTTACCGATGAACAAGAAGTCGCGTCCGTTGATAAGGTTGTCCAAGTCTGTTGTGACCAAGTTGTTAATCTTCCCAACGAGGTTACCGCCCGTCGCTTCTTCGCTCTTCTTCGGTTCCTCCTTCTTACCCTCCCCGATCGGGAGGGCACCTTGGATTTGCTCTTGCCTTTGTTGTTGGTCGACGTGGAACCAACGCTGATGGTGCTCGCGCGTACCGTCTCGTCTTCGCTGCTCGTCGGACTGTGGTTCTCGCCTTCAGTGGGGCCCAGCGAATCCACGCCTTCCGTCTCAGCGATAGATCCATTGTCCGGGGTGCCGACAGCAGTAGTGACAGTGCTATTTGCGGGCGAGTCGGCTACCTCGGCCTTCATCCGGATACGCAGCGAGTGCTCGAAGAGGAGCTGCGTGATGATACTCGTCGTGCGCACGAGCATACGCGTGGTCGTGAAGATGTAAACCTGGAGGGCGATCGAGCCAACCATTGGGCCGACGAACAGCCACGAGATCCACACCCACGGACGCACGACCGCGCCCTCGCCGTCCGTCTCGAGGTAGTGCAGGAGGTTCCTGATCCCGAGCGGGCTCGCGAAGGATGTAACCACCTGGATGGTCAGCGTGATCGCAAGCACAATGTACTCCGTGCGAACACGGCCATCAGCCCGAAGAACATATGCCGCTGCTTCGTCACTTGGAACGGGTCGAGCCGCTTGAAGCTGCGCTTGACGAGATGCTTCGCGCTGTCGTAGTCGGCGAGCGGCGGGAGCTTCTCGATGGCAGGTGCGGGACCTTGTACGCCTCGAAGACGGTCGGGTCTAGCCACAGGAAAGCATCGTCGAGAGCAGCGACGCCGTTTGCTCGGGATCGGCTTCCAGGCATCCTTGGGTCAGCGGGTGTGTACTGCCGAGGGACAAGCAGCGGCACCACTACGCCCGCAACAGTGAGTAGAGCAAACTTTCCCCATAGGAGTGCGCCTTCCGCTCCGTCTATCGGCTGAAGAGTGTAGGTGGCAAGAGGCCAAACGTCGCGGTAGACGAACACGATCCATGTGAAAGCCAGCACTAGGGCCAAGTGATGCGTTGCGAGCTTAGCGGATCTCGCGTTGACTGCGACAGAGAGTATGCCGAGAAGCGACGAGTAGCCCTGAAGGTGTGCGCGTCAGCTAGAACATATGCACTTTCGCTCGGGGCACTCACATATGTCAAGCAGAGTGCAACGTGCGGCAAGACCTTGGAGTTCAAAGGCGAGGAGACTTGGCGAGAAGTAAAGACCGCGGTGAGGATGGATAAGGCAAGGAGGGCAAGCGTGCACAGGAGACGCAGAACACGGTAAGCGAATATGACCGGTCCACCGTATTGAGCCATATGTTGTGAGACAACGGACAAATGCTGTTGTTCCCCAACAGCATCGTCTACGTTTTCATCCTCTATCTCGTCTGCTGAGTCGTTCTCCGAGGTCGCAAGCCTCTTGTACAACTTCTTCACGGGTTCCGAGTGCGCGATTAGCTGGAGGAGCAATACGAGCAGCGAGGCTGTCGCCGCATATCCGGGGAAGACGAGGGTGTTGGCGAAGACCGTTCTGCGCTCGTTGTACATTAGACTTGTCTCGACAACGACGAATATGCCACGTACTTTGCATCCTCTATCTGCAGCACACTCAGGCTTGCCGAAGTGAATGGCCTACTAAAGCTCGATCCCTGTTCCAGGTAGAGCTGAGACGAGTCCCAAGTCGACTGCCAGAGGCTGGCCAGATATCTCTGGCTTTCCATTGCCGCCTACGAGAGGACTGAAGCTCAGGGTATGGAACGGCCTTGCGTGTGCGCCTGGCCCTGAGTGGGGTACATGAACGGGCGCTTCGAGTCAACGGCAGCGGCAGCGGCGGGCAAGCGGCGGACCTGATTTGACAATTGAGAAAATCATTACCCTGGCAGTTGCACGCGGTTCGTTATCGCCGCTCTGAGATCCGCGGGCATTATGGTTGTGATGCCGGGTGTCTTCTGCAATGAGATGGTGGGGTTCCCTACGCAAATTAAAATATATTCGAAGGAGTATTGGGTGCAAGAGTACGCTGCAGTACTGAGAAGCCGGCTCCTGGGCCTCGATGGCAGGTAGTTTGGATGCAGTGTGCCCGATCTTATCGGAGAACTGCTCAGATCCTTTGTCCCGATCTCATCATGTGCCTTGCCGCCCTCGGGAGCAACTCCGATTGAGATCGGGCAGGGATCGGGAGTCGCACTGTCGCACGCGTCGTTTCCTCACTCGGCTCACTGTGACCCAGTCGAAACGCAGTGTATACAAGACACCGTTTCATACGTCCAAGTAGGTCAATGCCGCGTTACCACAGGTGTGCAACCTCTGACCCCGCCTGCTTATGCATAGCATGCTTCCCGGGCTACCGGTAGAATTGCACGAACGCATACTCGAACACCTCCAGGACGAGCGGCGAACCCTACGGATGTGTAGCTTGACTTGCCGTGCATGGGTTTTCTTCGCACAACGCCACCTTTTCCGCAAGGTCCGCATCGAGAGGCGTCCTGACTCCTCCGCATTCTTAGCGGTTTTGCAAGCATCGACCACCGGAATCGCAGACCATGTCCGCGAGCTCAACTTGCTGGGCGTTCTCTTCACTACCAACGGTCTTCCCCCTCCCGAATTGCAACATATCATCCGCCTCCTCGTGAATCTTGAGACCCTATCTATCGAAGCCGTCGATTGGCCTCGCGCGATGGACATCATGGAGTATTCACGTATCGCGTCGCATTCCCTCAGCGACGCGGTTGCTTTCCTATTTCCAGCGCCGACTCTCAAAGCCCTACGACTATGGAATGTTCACTTCGAATCAGCCAATGATCTACTTCATCTGCTCGTCGCCTTTCCTTCCCTGTCCAGTGTCCGACTGGTGAACGTGAGCTTGAACAACGTCCCGGAGAGGCTTGCTCAGAGTGATGGTGATGCACATCGCCTTCGTATCGAAGGTTTGTATGTAGAAAATTACACGACCGACGGCATACTGGTGCTGTTCGTGGATAGGCTGTTGAAGCCTCCCTTCGAGACGCATCTCCGGAGGATCGATGGGACATCGACTACCGCGTGGGTCCGTATGATGCCGGCGCGCCTGTTCTGCTAGAGGCGGTGCGTGTCTCAGTAGGCTCCTTGGAGTCATGCGACGTCAAGTTCGACGATGACAGTAAGTCGGCTGCTCAATATGTCTGCTCGTGTGGCTCTGACACTAGTTTTTGTAGCTTGGCTGCGGGATCTAGATATATCGAGACACCGCAAGCTGGCCAGCCTTGTCCTCGGCCTGCGTTGTACTGACGGGCTCTTCGGCGCGACACTCGTCGACAAGTACACCAACTTGCCAGAATTTCTGACTACGCTCAACGCCCCTTACCTGCGCCGTCTGCAACTGTCTTTCACGCTCCTGAGCACGCGGCCTTCTTGGAACCATCTTCCTTGGCAGCGCATCGATGACGCCCTTGTCTCATTGCATAAGAAATACCCGTCCCTCGCGCTCAAATTCCGGGTTACTATCTTGATGCAGCCATGCGAACGAGGCGGTGTCATCCCGTTGTTCGTTGGACGGTTCCCGGCTACAGTAGCCAACTCAGTTCCAGTGAGCGTGGATGTCTGTCCGATCGATTGGGATAATAGCACTGGGCATCTAACGTATGTAGAGCAACCTATGTGGTCCGAACCGCTGCAGTAACTACCTTTGTGGTATAACTTCGAGTCACCAACTGCGACAGAAGTCGTAGTGTGCTACGAATGGTAATAGTAGTACTTATGTTGATGTCGAAGTGCTTATGCATTGCAATTATGTCAACAACTTGCACCTATGTACTACGGAGCAATTGCCATTCACGTGGATTGAGCGAGATCTGTATGGGAGGCCGGCTCCATCGCAGCGTCGCTGTTTAGCTGAGGATGGCCCTAGTACCTACGTTCAAACGTTCAAGTTGTACCGGTACCTGCTCGACGTTTAACGTTTAGATTCAACGCTTTATAGCGGAGTCGATCGACGGTCCCGCGCGCTGCGATATACATATCGGGCCGAGATCTCGGCCATCTTAGCACTCGACGAGCCCTCCCAAACTTAGACTTGACCTCGACTATGCCACTACCATCGCATTTGCAGCTACCGCTCGAGCTACACGAATACATAATCGACTATCTCCACGATGACCAGCGCGCACTCAGGGCTTGCAGCCTTGCGTACCGAGGCTTGCTCCGCACCACTAGACACCACCTCTTCGAGTCTATCGTCCTCCGACGGGTCGCGGACTGTCTTCGCTTCCTCGACGCCCTGGAATCCTCTGCGCAGACTCCAGTCAGGATCGCAGATTATGTCCGGGATATCCAGCTTCCCTACATGGCGCTCGTGAGAGGGAATCGAGGGGAACGAAAGGGGTGGCGTTTCGAGCTGTTGCGTCGGATACTCCGCGACCTGCGCAACCTCGCCTGTCTACGAATGCACGCTTTCGATTGGTTGGGATTCTTTGACCTCTTAACTATGGAGACTTTCGCTGCGAGGAGCCTGACGGAAGCGATGGCCGCGTTCTTCCCTTTCCCAAACCTCAAGAAACTGCACATCGACCACTGCGTCCTCCGTTCGTCACGCGAGCTGACACGGCTCATGTCTGTCTTTCCTCGACTCTCATGGCTGGACCTGCAGCTGATCGTGGAGCCTTCGATACCGGGCGAATCGTCTCCAGAGCCCTCTGACGACCTCAGGGATCTGCAATGCGTTGAACTCGGTACGAACATGAGGACGCTCGTGGCGGATTTCAATTATAGCTCGCAAGCTATGCTCGCGTGTATCGTGGAATCACTGCTCGGACCTCCGTTCGAAGTGAATCTCAGTCGAGTTGTATGGGATGCAGGCCCCCTTGAGAGGCGTCAGGTAGATGATATGTCCCTGTTGAAAGAAGTGATACGGAGGTCGGAGGCCACCTTGGAGTCGTTCAAGGCAACATTCCCTGAAGACGGTGAGTCGCTTCCGCAGTTGCTAATCAGTGTCACTCACCTGTATGTCGGGATGGTAGCGTGGCTGACAGACCTTGATCTGTCTCGTCATCAACAGCTCACGACGTTCACTCTCGCTCTCCGCTTCGACGTCGAGAACCCCTTCTTCTCTGCATTACCCGTCTTCTTCTCTGGGCTCACATCCGAACGGCTGCGCGATGTCCACCTGCACTTCGAGCTTGTCGACATTGCTGCTGAATGGGCCTACGTCGACTGGCCTCGTCTGGACCAAGCCTTTGCTTCTCTCCACAGAAGATGTCCCTTGTTGAGTATCACCTTCCACGTCCACAGTATCGTGGTAACGGGTAGCGAGAGACCCCATGTCTTCCATCCTCTCAAGGAGCGACTGTCGCAAACTATAGAAGCGGGGATGCGCGTCGCATTAGTGCTTACCAAGACCGTCTTCCGCCCCCGGGATGATAGCAACGAGCCGTTGCACATGGAGTTTACCACTGAAATTGAAGAACGCTGCTGGTTGTCATGAAGGACCTCAGTGAGGATATAATGCTGACATCGTGTAGACACTGGTGAGTTTTTCCGCCCTTCACTGACTATACGTACGGGTCACTGGTGCCTAACGGAACCACTCGTGTAGGCATGGTCATCTGCCTTCGTGTCTACAGGTATGTAGCACCGACTTCTGCCCACACAACGTGTGAAAAAGGTCTGACTTTTGATGACGCTAGGTGCTGGAGTTCCCTTTTCGCAAAGCAAGAGGTTTCGACAGAGAGAGCTCGATGAGCTTGTAAAATACATTCCGTGTACCACAGTCTACCACTTCAGCTATTTGGTGATACACAATCATACACCTGAGTTCAATTGAATTACATCACGATGTCGAGAGCGACATTGTTGGATGCGAACTTCGATTTCTGAGATTCTTCATCTTTCACGTCAAACATTGTGCGATCGGGTCGAAGCAGGAAACTACAACATTGTGTCGGCAGAAATCCAAGAACTTGAGTAGAACCACTGGGCGCGCCAAGGGCGCGCGTCGACGGTGCGTCACCCAGTTGCGGTGGGTGCCATATATGGTGCACGTGGTCGTTCTCCCGTTCCAGTTTCGCGTCTGTGTGCTTCCTCCCCATCCCCTCCACAGTCTGTCCTCGAGTTCTTCGTGCTTGACTGGTCCAGCTCTATGTCTTCGTCACAAGAGAGCCAGCCTTCTAGCCGTCAGTCCACGTCTGACCCACCTCAGCAAGACGCGATAACGCTCTTCGACCTCCATCTCAGGTTCCTGTCCGAGTCATACCTCAGCTTCTTTCTGGAACGGTACGCCCGCAAGTCTTCTTCCAATCAGGTTTACCTCAGACATCGTATGACTTGTAGCCGGAGAATCGAGGAGCATTAGTGAGTGCGTACACGAGAGGACCGCGCCGTCTGGGCTGACGGGAAGTCCAGTGTGGAGGCGTTGCTTCGGCTACACCGGAAAGTCAAGGCTGCAGATACAGTATTGGACGACCCGGGTCGTGGCGACGTCAGCACGACGAGGGCTGCCTGGAACGAGATCAGGGATAACGTGGCGAGAGGTGCGTCCCCAAGCGATGTTCGGTCGTACATCAGTTGAACCTTTGGCGTTGCTACAGAGGCCGATACGCGTGTGGCGTTTCTTGGTGCTCTGACTGGGGATGTCATCAACCCTCTCATAGTACTTAGGGTAAGTCTGCAGGTTATCATTTGTACCAGACCCCATATGGACACCAGCGCAGGAAACCCAAGACCGTATTCGCAAGCGGATCAAGGAGGACCTAAAGGACGCAGTGGCTGCACATACAGACTACTCTGAGAATGTGCTGCCGCGTTATAAACGCAACTATCTCAGGAAGTGTCAGGAAGCAGAGGTTCGTACCCGTTCGGCGGAAGCGGTCCAGTGCCTCTGACATTACGATTGAATAGGAATACAAGGCCGCCATCACACTAAATACCCAATCCCCTCTCTCACCCAACGAGGGGCACTTCGCCATACCCCCACAATCCGCAGGTGCCAAACCGAACCCCGGCCTCTCGGCGCGCCCCGCGATCATCACCGCCCCGCAGCCTCTCCGTCCCCTTGACCGCCGACCGTCAGTCGGCGGAACGTCAAACCATGTCCGCTCGCCCTCCACGAGCACGTCATCAGCGCTACAGGACCTGGCCCACCAAGGTGATTGACCATCCTATCCGCGCGTGACGATATGATGCGATATAAAGTGCTACAGGAAAGAAGCAGCTCAACCAGCTCATGACCTTCCTGGACACGGGCGGTAACATGAAGGACCTCGCGGGACGGTCGGACAATGCGCTCAGGAGTGTGAGAGCAAAGCGCGAAGCGGACGAAGCAGGTGTGTTGCCCTTTGATGTTTTATATCTGTGTACAGGACTTGATGTTCCGATGCAAGACAAGGAATATCGGAAGGGCGTGCACTGGCTGGAGACGCTACGTCTTCGGAGAGTCAAGATTCTCGAGTCTGGATACAAGGTCAGTCCGGAATCGCCACAACGACGTGTGCGATACTAAAGGTCACACTGGCAGAGCTTGGAAGCGTTCGTTCGCGAGAATGCGGAGACAGTGAAGTCCGTGCTGCAGAAATACACTGACAACATGGTGTAGGTTGCTCGCTGGGATTTCTCCTTGTCCGCTCACCACGTACCCTATACAGTGCCACCTGCGCCACGCAGTCGCAGATCTGCGAGCACGGCAGACGCTCAGTCGCGCGGATATCTTCAGCACGAGACAGCGCCATCGTCGGATACAACATACCTCGCCAACTCGCGGCGGCTATCCCCAAGCCTGCATATTATTACAACTACAATGTCGGGGAATGCAAAGACCTGATTTTCGGCGTAAGCTTGGTTGATTATGCCACAGCGAGGAACCTGCATGGCGCCGAAGGTGAACAAGGGGTGCCGAAGATCGTGCGGATCTGTGTGAAGGAGATCGACAAGAGAGGAGTGGAATGCGAAGGGATCTATCGGGTGCGTGGTGTGCGGATCGTTGATGTAGTTGGTTCTGAACGGATGGGAAGGTATCTGGGAAACATGCGAGTGTGCGGGAGGTATGCAGGCGATCCTTGACCGGGCTTACTGGTTATGTTGACGCGAACGATGTGACTAGCTTCAGCACAAGGTCGAGCGCAATGAAGCGGCCTTCCAGTTCAACCCTGCCGTCGACGATATATATGCCGTGGCGTCCCTTCTGAAGGTGGGTCTACGAGCTATCACGAAGTTTCTTCGGTGCTGACCACGAGTGCAGTTGTATCTCCGCGAGCTTCCAGAGCCTCTCTTCCGCTTCCCATTACAGGAGCGACTGGCTCACAGTGAGGAGCTAGGTATGTTCATCCTTCATGATTCATCTGGCGCTCTGTTCATCGCAACACTGTTACAGACGAGCACCGAGGAAACGACTTTCAGCTTATCCGAGGCAAGATCCGCAGGTTACCTACGGTCCACCAATCGACGTTGAAGGTCCTCGTCGAGCACCTCGCACGAATCGCCGCTCATGCGGAGAAGAACAAGATGGACGCGAAGAACCTTGCGATCGTCTTCGGTGCTGTCATATTCGGCGAAGATGAGATGCCCAAGTCCGGCGGCGATCTGCTCACCGTGCACTCGTGGAAGGTATTGTCTGGGTATAGCTATGACTATGAGCATGGCTGACTCGGAAACCATAGGATACGTTGTGTGAAGACCTCATCAGTAATGCACACATTCTGTTCCAATCTACCGACTCGCCTCAACTCCTCTCCATCGTTCCGGACCCTTCGAACGCACCGTCTCCCATTTCACCAACCGCATCAGGATCACCTCGAGCCAGAGCGACGTCACAAGCATCTATTCTGGGCCCGATGGGGCCACCAGCCCTTCCATCCGGCTCCCTATCACGCAGCCCGAGACTTGGACGCTCTCCATCACTCCCTCCACAACGCTCACCTCCATACACTCCGGGGATCGCTAGTCCGCGGGCGACTCCACCAGAGGACTTCACACCACAGCTTCCGCCACGCCCGACAGGGAGCATCCATCCGTCGCAACGGTCTGCGGGTCTACCGCCGCCTGCCCCGCTCGTGCCGATGTCGCAGCGGCCGAATCGCCAATCGCTCCCTGTTCGGCCACGGTCACCGATGCCGGATTCTCCCCCTGGCTTATCGAGGTCACGCGATGTCAGCAGAGAGCGACGCACGCAGAAGACAACACCGCGGCTGCAGCAGCGCGAGCTGGATGGAGCAGAAGAGCCAGCTTCGCCGCGCAGAGAGCGACTGCTTACGCCGCATCTACCACCTCGTCCGCTGTCCCCTGCGGTGTCCACTCGGACGGGCGAGTCGAGCATTCAGGAGGAGCAGGAACCCGAAGTGCATGAACAGCTGCATCTTGCACCGTGGGGGAGCAACCTCGACTTGCACGAGCTTGGAGATCGCCCGCCCTCGGCTTCGGCATCGCCCAGGAGTCAATTTGCGACCATGAGGCCGGACTCTAGGCAGTCTGCCCGAAGATCACTCTCAGGTCCGTTAGCAGAGCCGCAAAGGTCGCCGGCACTAGTACAGCAAGCTCTACCCGATACCCAGGACAGTGATACAGCGCGGCGCACCGAGATCACCAGCGAAATGCGTACCGTGGAGTGAACAATATGTTTTGATGTGCGGTGGTTTGTAGAAGTATCTTTGGGCTAATCACGGTGTAGGGCATTGCTTAGTACATACGATGGCTACAGTAGTACACATCTGTTCAGTACTATCTTGGTACTATTGGTCTGACCGATTTCGATGTAGTCTGTACAGTAATAGTATAACGACAGTTCTATGAGTGCAATACGACTGACTAGGAGAGCAAGATGATGATACGTAGCGGTCCGTATGAAGGGATGATGGAGCAGGGCACACGTTCGATAATTCATCGCATAAATTGTATCGCATAGGCATCGTTCGCAGCGACGAGTTCCAGCGGGCTCACAGGAGGACTTTCGCGCATCCATTCAAGGACTCTGCGGTGAGCCATGACCCTGAGACGATACCGTGACCATCAATGGAGGTGCTGACAAGAAGGACACGGGGGGGGACTCACTTGCTAGGTTGAAACTCTCTGACTTCGAGAGTCTCCATGCTTGTTGCGCGCGAGAGCGCGACGTATGCTGTATGATTGAATGTTCAAATGGGAGGTTGCGGCAGGATTTAAAAAAGCCTTTATTACCTTGGCCTTTCTCGAATACACGCCCAAGATCGACTCTGACTCTCTTCAACGTTTGCCCTTGCGATTTATGTATGCTGATGGCCCACGCTAGAATGAGTGGTACCTGGAACTGGCATTGATCATGTCCATTTAGGGTCAGTAGGAATACCCTCACCTGCTCGCGACTAGCCTCTATTCTTCCTTGAGCATTCATGACCTCAAACATACAAGGAATACACAGCAGAGAAAGCCCGTTCTCGAATTTAACGCATGGCCATAATTTCCCGCCCTTGAGGATATGCGGTGGAGCGGGAGGCGGCCCACCCCTCTGGAGCGGGTGCGGTTGGTCACGCTCTACTCGATTGACCACCCCGAGTTGGATGCCGCGTAGCAGCGCGTCTTGGACTGTCATGAACTCGACAACCTTGCCGACGGATCCATTGACGAGCACTCCTTGGACTATGTTCTGCGACGTATGATTTGATTTGCATGAACAACTCAGAGGGACAAAACTCACCATGATGAGCATCACTTGCGCGCCGATCTGTGGATGAAAATTCAATCACACATATGATCACCGGTAAGGATATCACTACCTTGAGATTGATGTGCTTTGGCGCGATCACCTGCTGTTCCAGTAGTTTATCCATCCTTTCAACCGTGACAAGGAAACCCTCGTTGTCGATACCGGGCTGATCGGCAGCCGGGAATGGCATTGGCGTTCCTTGCAATTGTTCAAGGCGTGTGTGGTTAGCTCCGTATACCTGTCTCCGCGTAGGAAACCTACTTATTGTGAGAAACGTGAAGGAGAAGATTTGATGAAGCAAGCACGCACAGGTCCGTAGGCTCAATGTCATCATGATATACCACTCGTCTTGACAGTCTCCGGAAGGCCATCATGGTGGACTGTGACAGTCTACCGAGCCGCATTTCGTTTAGCATGTCGACAAAATCTATGACAGTTCACTGAGCGTTTTGGCATAGATGCTATAACATGACTCCGACCTTGATCCCTTTGTCGGAAGACCTTGTTCAATGCAATGGCTTGGCCGACGCAATCCGGCCACGAATGCGCATCGAAGCAGAACGTAGCAGGCTGGGGCACACCGTCGATGTGGTCCGGAACAGGTGGCAGTTGATAGAAATCGCCAGATAAAATGAGCTGTCATGGAGCCATCAGCCCCAGAAAGAGTAGTGAAGGGTTGATGTTGCCTACTTGTATACCACCGAAAGGCTGAGGATTTCTACGAATATACCGCGCTATAAATTCCTGGCGGCATCTACTCGTGACGGCTTCTCGACCACTTAAGACGCAGATCACCCACAAGTTTATCGAATAGCATGCCATCGATCATTGAGACTGTTCATGTATATCAGCGAATATATCAGCGCATAGCGATTG